CCCTTTCATCCTGATCATCCGTCGTTGTGGGTTTGGTGCCTAATAATCACCGCAGCAATAGTCGCGGATGTACAGCACGAGGACGCAAATCTGTTCAGGACTCGTGGCAAGCTCCGTACCATAAAAAGCGTCCTTACAAGGGTATGCGTAAAGTCGACGCACGTCAAGTGTTGAATCACTCCCGTAGATTTACCGCTATGCACGGTGGCTGCGCAGATGCTGGCGGGAAGACTGCCAAATTGAGAAGCCTGCGGATTCAACAGCAACATTGAGTTTGGATGTACAGCCGCTGGCAGTCCATACTTTGTTTTGCTGGAGGACATGGTATCAACTGCGCGTAGATCCGCCCACAGTGTAGGAGTACAGGTATCCGCGGCACTGGTGCAGACTGACAGATCAGAGACTGTGATCTGCGTGGTCACTTGCATCGTCGAAACCAGCAGAGTCTGCACTATCAACTAGATCATAGCTGTGAGCGTGTATGGCGTTTCGTTCAAATGACCTCCTGGACTCATGTCCACACTCGAAGCACGCAGCTGTTTGACCTGGTCTGCACGTGCTGCCATCGGGAGAGCCCAGGCTGCCCAGCGCAAGGAAAATTGGATCAAGAATCAATCGCGCTGCGCAACGGTAAAACTTGGTCCAGTAATGATCGGCGATGATCGTACCCCCTGGTGCAGGAAGAGCATCAGATCTCCCAGTTACTCAGTGGTGGAAATGTCCCGGCAGAATCGAGCCCTCTGCAGAAGTCATACGATAAGACGAGCCTGCGGGAAGCCTGTTTTTGCCGCGTTCAGCGCCTTCAGTATCATAGCGGAAGCAACATTGGCTCTGCAGATACCTACTACTTGCTTGTGCTCGAGACACAACCAATGAGTCGGCTTGTCGTTTCAAGTGGACGCATCTCGCAGGTACTCCGGACTGCACACATCACGATTTGTATCCACGAGTAACCGGATTCAGGTTGAGGGGAATGCTTATCGAGACGAAGGACCCTGAGCGTTTCGGCAGGTGTGTCGATAGCGCTTGGATTGCGTTGAGCCAATGTCCTCGAAGGAGTGTTGATGCGTTCATCCACAAAGTGGAGACGGCGCTTGTCAATTTGAGCGATGACAGGGGAGCAGAGGAAGGCCGACGCGGACGTTGGTGGAGAGTGGAGACGCCCCAACGTCTTAAGAAGGTTAGAGTGAAAGCATGGCTGTGTACCGATACGGCCTGCCGAGACCGCCAAACTCCTTCTGCCTTTGACCCGGTAAGCTCTTGCGGCCGAGGTGCAGCTGAGCTAAGATTGCAAGGGGAGGAAAATCACGATCGTCCGAGATGTGTTTGAGGTACATCGAAGTGCTTTTGCGACATCCAAGAACCATGAAGAGTCAGGGAACTATCGAAATCTGCTACACAAGTGGAGCTCAGAATATTCGATATCAGCTGGAATAGGATAGACCAGCAAGCCATTGTGGTTACGAGTAGCAGTGACATTGGAGATGGCAGAATGGCCCGTCTCTAGACATGGGTACCGAGACGAGCAAGATATACGCGTATGGCCGGCAGATCGTTCCATATCAGTGGATCAGCTTTGATGATTTTGAGTTGCGATCGAAGCAGGCAAAGCGACACTTGTGTGCCTTTCGGCTGATCTGAGACCTGGCCCGGTATGTGCAGGATGCGCCAGTGGTCACCCGAGCACATCTCGGTGTTAATGGGGAGAAAGACTGCGACGGATCTACGTCAGCCGTTTTGGAGGCCTTGTCGTGGCGGAGTGTTTCCGGAGCATAACCTCAAAACGGTATACATGGACCAGGGCCTGGCGATCCTACAGCCCACTTCGTTTTCGCAATGAATGATGGCCGAGCATTCTCGGGCAGGGTACGCCACGAACGATTCATTACTTCCTGGTCCGAGATCTTCGCGAAGACAAACGGGATGGTAGTAGTGATACATTGGTGGCTCAATTTGTCGCAGTTGCTTGCTTGCCTCGTAAGGTGGGCGAACAGCCAGGTAAATAGCAAACCCATCAGCCATATGGCCGTCGCGCGGCTACGCAGGGGCCTTCACGAGAGTTGCGCACGTCGCGGAGATTTCGAGGACACAGATAAGGTCATGATGTGATGCAGCCTTGACGAACGGCCAAATGGCGGTGCCGTTGTTGAAGGATTCCTGTGTTGCCGAGTTCCGGATGGCAGCGCAAAAAGCGATAATTATAATTGCGGCCTTTCTTTGCAGGATGCAAGTCAGCACGTCGCGTGTGGAAACTCGAGCGTTGCTTGAGGCGGTCAGATAGCGTGGAGGTTGATATGGGTACCCCGGCGGTTGCGATTATTGGGGAACTTCGAGTTCGATAGAATCAACATCTCCTGACAAGGTATCACCTGCTGAGAGCAACGCAACTCCTTCTAGTATAATTCGCCTCACTTGCATTGCGCGGCCATTGTCCAATCTTTATCTATGCAAAAGTCCGATACTGCTCTGCATCGCACCATCCCAGCGGAATAAGCTCATGTCTGACCAGATCCGATGTGAGAATAGCATGACATAGGTGAAATGGCTCATCACTGCCGTGGAGTAGGCGATACGATTTGCGTAGTCGATCCCTTGTTGGTTGTCTAGATTGCGCGTCATGGAGGAGATGTGTTTCAGATGTTCGTCGTGAGTCTTGGAACCAGGACTCCGGGTACGGCATTTCGTGAAGCGCTGCAGCCTGCGTGGCCGCCAAATTGCAAGCAATATACGACAAGCTGTCGGTGTTGACTATGGAGGAGTCCTGTTGTCATTCAATACGATAGTAGTGATGCCTGACGAAGGGACAACTGGGTTCATCGATGAGCAGCTGATTATTAACTTGCTTCCAGAATGGTCCGTTTCATCGGTGAACGAGATCGAGTAGCAGAGCCAATGGGAGCAGAGGGCGTTCGCAATTACTGCCCAGTCCATGTACCAGTTCAAGCAAGGCCCGCTGGTCACCTTCATGACTGGATATACTTTCAGCCTGAGGAGCGACTGGGGCAGAACCGCTGGCTCTCCGCGACACTTCCGGCGTCTGCCGGGCATAATGGATGATGGACAGCATGAACTCCGTAGAGTTAAGCTTGTCCTCTGATTGCGCACCGCGTCTCCATGGTCAATATGTACATTGCCAGATGAAACACAGCCTCGATGACAATATTGGTGGGGATGCCGCTGCCATGCCGACTCGTAATATTAACTGGCCGAGATGATCACTAGGATGGCACAAACGCAGATTGTGTTATGGAAGCAGAATTGACCCGTGGCTGACAGATCAGGCAGCGACCGAAGCAGCGGTACCCCTGCGTATCTCCGCTCGCTTAGAAACGATACGGACTCGCGCTGTTTGGTAATGTGCCGGAAGATCATGGCTCGAGACAGCTAGGCAGCGCATGATGTCTGCAAAAACGCCTGGCAAAATGCAGTCGAAGCTTGAGAAAGACGATCGTGGCAGAACTTCAGTGACAATTGAAGCTCTGTAGCTGTAGTGTCGTGGAAGCAATTCCTACCGAGTGCCGGGTAAATTCGATATCCACATTGGCCACAAAATCCAGGGTAGTGGTGGCAGGAGCTCCGTGAATCGCACGAGTGATCATGTCCGAGGTGGGAGATTTTCCTACCACAGAGGACCCTGGCTGTTCATCTCCCATAGCGTCCGTGCGTGCTCATGTTCGTGATGTCGTGTACACAGCACAAACGAGACGCCATTACCAACTCGTGATTCGGTCGTACGATACACAGCTTTCTGCATCTTCTGCATCTTCTGGAAAGGTACAGACACGTGGCGAGAACGTAGCACAGGGCAGAGTTATGTCGTGAGACATCTGCTCGGCCGTTTCGAGTAAAATCCTCGACGAGTCTAATGTGATACTCCGGAGTGTGGTGGTGCTGAATCCTGCATGCCGCCGCCGCAGACGGCCCTTCGGTAGATGCGCAGTCTGCCCCTGATGAACATCGCACGCGGATGATGGTTCCGAGGCTGGACCGTCTCGGCATGTTGTGCAAATCGGCGCAGATTGAGAAGAGATCTTTGTGGTGGCATGCTTCTCACGTGGTGAGCTTCTCGAAGCCGCGGGTTGTGGTTGGACAGCGGGAGGTCGGCTATAGGTAGCAGATGGTGACAGCACGCCAACGTGGCTTCAGGGTTTAGCTGCATGCGCTTGCACTGATCGACCCGCCTCTTTTTCTGGATCCTCCACAGACGAACAAGGCCAAGACATGGGATTACGCCGCCATCCGTCTTCGCGGCGTCGCGAGGTCCTCGCGTACGGGGGGCGGTCGAGATTGCTGGAACAGGTCATAGTCCGGCGTGCCGTCGCTTTGCTCTCCCGCGCTTGCCCTCGCTCTGAAACTGGTGCAGACCACGCGGCCTGGGCAGCTAGCCCAAGGAGCTTGCCGTCGAGCAAAGGTGCGGTGTGGGTGTTGGATGGAGCAGAGCCTCCACTCCTCGCCCGGCAGCCTCGACGGTGGAAGACATAGGATTGTTCAGATTGCGAGTCAAGAGCGGCGCGCCCAGGGCTGCGTTTCTGAGATGTAACAATGTAGTACAGCGTAGAGCCCGCTGCAGCACGATACGAGAGCGCGCACAATGACGGCTGATGACCGCCATCGATGTTCTCGTCACATCATCCCGTGCTCGCTTCGCCAGCGGCTGCAGCCATGTGCGTCACTGCAGCACCGACGAGAGCGCTCTAATCGCTCGCAGAGGGTTTTCTGAATTACCGGGCTGCGAGTGGCCAGGCAGGCTGCTTGGTGAGAGCAGCGGCGCCAGTGTTTGGTCGTGAGGGTGCAAGCGGGAGCGCCAGTAGAGCGCTTTGGTAGGCGCGCGCAGTGGTCGCTTCCTCATCCCACCGAACCTTAGCGGAACGATTTGGGACTATCGTGCTAGCGAACGTCGCTCGCTCTGCCACCGTCCGAGTCGCTCGTCCGCTTGCACGTAGACAACATGAGAGGAGAGGCGGCTGGGGTGTTTAAAGCGTGCAGAATCATCTTTCGTCTCATGTCTGTCCCTTTCTGAACCCCAGCGTCTGCCGTTCCGCCCCCCTGCGTGATCCTTTGAGTGATCTAGGGTCAGCCCAATCCGTGCTTGTCTCGACGCCCCGTTCGCGGCGCTGTCGTTCTCGCACTCGCTGGCTCCTGCTGGCTCCTGCTGGTACTGTCTGCGACGGGTGCTCTTGTCGGCGGTTTTCTGGAGCATCGGCGAATCGACTCTGTATCTGGGACCGGGTGTCTTCACCCATGACACTGGTGACTGGTCTGACACTCACGTCTGCTTCGACGTCTCCACGGTGCAGCGTGCAGACCAGGCAGCAGGTGCTCGCAGGCCTGCTGTCGATCGATTGCCGTCCGAGTGGGCTCTGCAGGCACTGGCAGCGCCGCTCTGAACAATCCCTACCGCGCGCACCCACGCCAGCACACACTTGCACCAGGGAGTCTCGCGCAGCGCTCGAAGAGGCTACCAGCAGCAGTCGGCGGCGCACAGCTTCGAGGGCTGTGTCACTATCGACGGACTGCAGGCGTGGCTGCGTGACTGCTTTCGGAGGGGGTTGATCCGCTCCGCCGGGAACACGACCTTCAGGCACTGCCATTAGGTATTGGGACTGGCATCAAACCAAACCAGAGCACAAAGCAGAGAGTCAGCATTCAGGGTACTTGCTTCCGACCGTCAACGCGTCCATAAAACACTTCGTCCGGCGAGGGTCGATCTGCGGTGCATCACGGCCTGTCCTGGAAGAGCAGCTGGGGTCCCCTGTAACGCCATTCACGAGCGCCCTCGCCCTCCCTGCCCGTTGCCCAAAAGCGACTCTTCGCCGGTGGTGCGCAGATTGGATGGTCTGGGATATGTGGGCGGATCGCTCGGACCAAGGCATTGTTACGGAGGCGTGCGCATCGCTACCCTAGTCCCAATCCAGCCGTCATCTGCATTGCCGTTACAGGGCTGGCAGCGTTCGTCTAGCCGTGCTGGGAGCTGGGCTGCTTGTCACAACGGTCCGCCGCCTCGTCGACCGCTCTTGCAATTTCGACAGGGCCTTGACAGGACTGGGGTCGACCGCTGTCTGACCCACCTCGTTGGCAACGGTTTGGTCGCCGCGGGCCTCTCCACTGACGACGCTACAGTGTGAACGGGCGTCGTGCTGAATCTCGCCAACCGCTGGCTACTCTTACATAGACACTGCAGGCCGCCCGGAGTCCTGGCGCATCGTACCTGCCACTACCCGTCCTCTATCGTGGACTACACCCAGCCTTCCCATCTCGTCATCACTTGCTCACCTTTCACCTAATCACCTCCTTAGCCCCAACACCCACCCAAGTACCACAGTACCTCTACGTTACGCAGCCTCTGCTGTGCCTCGTGACTTGAACCTTCTCCATGGCAATGCATCTTGCCAGCATGGTACACGGCAGCGTACGGGAGCGCGAGGCGTTCCAGCAACCACCGCAGTCGGCCTACTACCAGCAACCGCAGCCTCGTGGGTACCCTGTATCCACCGCCGTTGGTCCCAATCTCTACACCGCACACCCACAGCAGGTCGAGTACCAGTACCAGCGACAACGGCCCCAGTCACCGCCATCGCCGCCTGCCGAGGAGCAGAAGCCGTCGCTGCCTTCAATCTCCAGTCTCCTGGAATTTGCCGGCGGTGAGAAGTCCGCCTCAGAAGCCGGTAAGTGCCCTTTTGCGCCTTCCATTCACTGGTCCTGACGGAAGCAGCAGCTGGACAGAGTCCCACATCACAACACAGACAGTCGTCCTCGCCACAATTGGGCCAGACACAACAGTCCACTGGCAACATGCAAAGGCCGCAGCAACCCTCATCCTACGTCGCCGCCCCATCATCAACCACCAACGCTCGAATGACCCTTCCTCCCACGCCACCAATGCATCCAGACGCCGCTGGTGACGGTCAGAGGTCGCCTTCCTCCGCCTCGACTCACTCGGCCGCCTCAGCAGCCTACTTCATGGGCGCCTCGCTCAACAACATGGAGCCCCACCACCAGCGTCAGACTCTGTCATCAATGCCACCCGTGAAGCGAGACTCCATTCCTACGCACTCAATGTCTCCATACGGCAGCTCCATGTACGCCCAATCGCCCTATCAGTCATCCCCAGGCAACGGATCAGCGAATTCGTTCTACTCGCCTGAGCAGCACTCTTACAACAGCGCCGCCATGTACGCTCAGCGACCGTTGCCTTCGAACTACCAGCCCACAATGCCGCTACCAATACCCCAGCCCAGCGCCAACGGTCACAGCTCAAACCCCTGGCAACATCACCACTACATCAGCACGTCCAGCCAGTCAGCGTTCCCTCAGTCTCAGGACCGATATATCTGCTCGACCTGCAACAAGGCCTTCTCGCGGCCCAGCAGTCTGCGCATCCACAGCCACAGCCACACTGGTGAGAAGCCTTACAAGTGCCCCCAGGCAGGTTGCGGCAAGGCTTTCAGCGTGCGAAGTAACATGAAGCGCCACGAACGCGGGTGTCACGCCTCGACCAGCACAACCATCACGACATAACGACTCAAAAAGCTAATCTCGACTGTCATCTCTCTCTCGGCGTTGTTTGGCCCAGCCTCCGATGCCAATAATGTATACTTGGAATCAGCAAGGCGGAACTTGTTCGTTTGGCGCGCGTTGCCATCGATGGCAGTGTCATCACGGCCTTTGTATTGGCGTTCTTGGAGACGTTTGTTCACTAGCATTTACACCGGCGTCGCGACACCTTTTGCCTTTCGCCCCACGGCGAGGCCACCATTTCGAGAGTCTCACTTACCTACGCCACCACCTGTTTGGTCAGGCGCTTTCTGTTCTTCTCTGTATTATAGTAGTATTTCAACACAGCACTTAGGTGCTCCGACAAATGTCAACACCATGTTCAAAGTTCTCGAAATTATCTCCTGGGTACATCCTGGTAATGGCGTGATTTAACGTGGTGGATGAACCACGGATCTGATGAATTGTTTGCATGAATTTCACCGCCAAGTTGAGCACTGTCGCAGCTTCGCGCGCCCAACGCAATCAAAACACATTGAGGATCACCCATGCTGACCCCGATGTATCGCGCGCTGTCACTCTATAGGGTCCTTTATTAAAGGTCTCCATCATTTGCGGATTTGCTTGCCCACGCAGCATGGAAAGAATAAGATGCGTAACTTCCCTCTGCGCACCAACAGTGACGCCTGGTTTATGCCTGCCTGCGCAGACGCGATGCTCGCCTCCATGGAAATCACTATGGTTATGCGCATCTCCCGTCGACCCTGCCGCACACGTCGACACTTAGTGCTTGTTTCTACAGCTCTTGGTATGGAGAGACATCTGATGTGACAGTTGCCTGGGCGATAATTCGGACTTCGCCGCCCCATCACCTGCGAGAGTGGGACGCAGCAAACAGTTCACTGGCCGGTGTGCTTGCTGAGCTTCACAGTCTCTTCGCCCGCAGGCTGAATGGACCGACACCTTATGGCAAAATTCATAGAAGACCGTAGATCACCGCACTGCACTTCGCGGTTCCCACTGGTAGTGACAAGCCCAGCTGCAAGTCCAGCTCGGCGAGACTGGGCTGAGGTAGGTTGACAGCATCTGCTTGGTCAGGAAGACTGCATTAAATCCTGCAGCGGCATCTGATCAATTGTATCCTGTATTCTCGCCGAGATGAAATTAAGCATATCACCATGCGAGATCGGCATGAGTCTCCTGTGAGTTCTTCCCACACAGTGCGCCGAAGCATGCCGCACGACAACTGCTTCCTCCCGCTCATTCATACCAACCACTCTGATCGACAACTGAGAGGCTTCTTTGGGCGTTCCTCAGCCATCTATGCATGCGATACATGGTGATGGGCTCGCATATAGCGCCTATCAGCTTCGTAAGCGCGAGGAGTCTCTTTAGTAGGAAATATGTCTGGCAGCATGTTCCATACATAAGAACATGGTCGCCGCGCGTCAGTCCTGAGGGGGCACCTTGCCGTTTTGAGCATGTGTCGAGAAGAGTCAGGTATTCAGATCACCAGATTCGATGAATTCTGAAGCCGCCCAACGGATTCGTGCTGCCGTCGAGCGTATCACAATAAGAAATTCGGTTCAGCAAGACGTTCATATTAGCATACTCGCGTATGGCTGGAACCATCCGTGCCGTTAAAAAGCAACTCATATTGTTCGATCAATGGACGAAGGATGCGGTTGCACGACCGGGGGAACAGCGAAAAAGCATTCTTCCCGCTATTATAACATTTTGTGCAAGCCACACGTTGGGACGCGCGCCCGCTGAGATTACCGTTCTCGATAGATCCACCAAACGCCCGAAAAAGCAAGATGTCACTAAAGAAGAACGTCCCGAAGACAATGCATCTCACATTGGTTTTCCCCAGGCCGCATGCGGAGCGTTTCGGATAACTCATCCTGTTCAGTTGCAGAGCGCCACAGGAAAGGCTTCGGAGCTTGCGCTTGATCTGTATACACGCTATTGTAGACTGTTGTTGCTTTTCTTCCTCTCGTCGCGACCTGCGTTCTTCCCCAGCTCCATCCCCACAGACGAGGCAGAATCATGAGATCGTGACACTGTCACTATGAAGATCTGCGCTCCCGCAAAACAAGAAAACGGTCATCATCAACTTAACGTGCTCACTTCGGTGACGGCACAATCATACGATGTCTTGATTGATGTCGAGATAAGTCTGTCCCGGGAGGCAGGTTCGTCCGTTACATCACCGGTCTAGTGTGCCTGCTCATCACCCAACGCAGGCGAGGCAGCCGAACCGCGCCGCGATAATAATCGTAACGTTGATTCGATTCTCGTATCCATATTGCGCAATGACATCTGCCACTGCTGCCAATTCCTTCAATCTTGATTCTGGCAGCTGTTAATGGTTTCTGCCCTACGCGATCGTCACACATAATGCTTCCCGTGTTACAGCGATCATCCCAGGACGCAGTACTTCTCGAAGGCAGCTTTACGGAATTATCCAGACGCCAATCGGTGCCCCTCTTGCGTGCCTTTTTGCGGAACACACCCAATGCACGAGCACAGCAGCAACGTGGGCATCGCATCCACTTTTAGTACCTGTCGCTGCCAGCCGTCAGGGCTCCTGTGCGCAGGGAGACCCTTTGCAATGTGCACCTGCGTGCGCTCTCTTGTCGTCGCACCTGGAGCCTCAGGATCAGTCACCTGCCACGAACATCTTGTGCCATCGGCCATACAGACCACCATTCCCCGACCTCTACTGCCGTTATGGACACCGAGCGGTGAGTATCACCTCCAGGATTGATCCAAGCGCTGTAGGTCATGAGGGTCTTCCCAAAAGCCCGCGAGACACGTCAGTGTCTGGCACCTGCTTCAGCCGCGTACTCGCCGCGGGCACGACAGCGGTGATCGCCTTGTGCCCCTAAGCCCATCATTTCGTGCGAACAAGCGGGCCCCGGTTGCTTCACTCCGACACGAGTATCAACGACAGGAGAGTCCTGGGATCTGGTAAGTTAAGGGTCGCCCCTGCACGTCTACCGTTTTGCAGCGCGCAAATGAATCGAGTCAAGACGTTTGAGCGGTGTGCTAGACGTGAAGTCATTGCGTCTTCGAGGTCCGCTCCGCCGCTGGTCAGCGCACAGTTCATTCGACGGCCTGCTAGCAGCAACCAGCGTCAAAATCTAACTCTTCCAAGAGTCATTGCGCGCAAATCAGCAAATCTCATGAGCATCCGTTGGCCGATTGCCCTCCAGATAGCAGAGTTTGGTTCGCTAGACGGGAGCCGAAATGGGCTCAACTCGGCACGTTTTGTGAGTCCTCGCTTACAAGATCATCCTGGCATCATCCCGGAACATCCAACGCTGGTGGGAGATGAGGCTTGCAGACTCTCACAGACCATGAGGGGAAGAGACGATATCTCGGTGCTACCCCTGGTGCGAGATTGGAAGGATATTACTCCGAGCTTGGTGGCCAGTGCTAATTTCAGTGTGTTTGGGAGCGAGTCGTGAAAACCGATAAAGATGTTCAGGTACCCGCGCACGAATTCGGCGGTAACGAACGAAATGGCACGCATGGATCAGCTTGCGAAAAGAACTGTCAGGTCGGGTGATTGTCGTGTTGTCGCGCGTATTGCTGCATGCAGTGATGTCCGTATGTGATCAGCAGTCTCGTGGCGCTCAAATGCGTTTATCGTCGTCTAGCTGCGAGGAATGACACTGCGCATAAGTAACGAGCTTGTGGCTTGATCGTCGCGGGATCTGCCTGTCACACCAGTGAGCGATAAAGTCTCGTATCGTCGTGTTGCAGAAGCTTGGCTAAGGTGGTTACTCAGCGACACATGTCTGTATGGCTTGCAAGCCGGAATTCACCCAGCTGCTAGTGTCAAAAGTTTTTAGCCACGTTCACAAGACGCACGCATGGACTAAGTCATCAGTTGGCTTGGTGACACCGGGCATGGACTCGATCCTAACCAATAAGTAGTCAACTAGGCTTACAGGCATGTGTGCCGCCTCAGAGAGTTCGTGGAACCAGCAGCAGCGATTGCAGTTGTTGGCATGGAATCAAGCCAGACGCTCCTTGGAGGAGTTGCTTAGAGAGGAAGCAGTACAGCACATGAGTTACGAATGCCATCTTTGATATTACTGCTTCCTCAGCTTCGGCTTTAACGGAGATCAGCTCGTTCTGTTTACGACCCCGCATCGCACATTTCGCACGCCGTCTGCTGCACCTTTCTGTCAATCGCTTCTTAATCGCTTTGCGCACCTGCTTTTGACCGCCATCACGTACACGAGATGGTGCGATGTATATGACGAGTCTCACAATGTAAAAAGTCTTCATGCTTAACTATTTCAGTTGACAAGCTATGCTGGCAGTAGGCATACAGGCCAAATTGGCCACTAACATATCGCGCCACCTTCACACTTGGATCGATCGCCGCCGGTCTCTTCTCTCATCGCAAGACGAACCTGTGCACATCTGCGGTCGTTGCTTCGTTCTTGCACTGTACGCTCAAATCGTCATGGGAAGTGCTTGTGCCAAGGTGAGATACATAGCTACCGCAGGCGGTAAGAGCGCAGATACTTCTGAGTTGTTGAAGATATGGGGCAGGTACAGCCAAACCCGTGGGTTCAAGCTGTCACTGTCTGCAGACGTGGAGTGTGCGCTTGTAAATCGTAATGAAATGTTCTATGTATGTATACGCTACAACAAGATCTTGACACTGTGCTTCTCCGCAGCCTTCTTTAATGCCTCTGTATCAAGCGCTCTGCTCTGATCCGGCACGATAGTACCTTCAAACTTGCCGCCAGCATCCGCTATCAGCGACTCCAAGCCGTTGCCGCTCGAGTACGCCCAAAAGCGGTTGTATCGGTCAACAAAGTCGATGGAAATCTCAGTGCCCGCAGGGACAAACGCTGTCTCTCCGCTGCGAACCAGGTTTGTGCTGCCGTTGACAGTAACATTGATCGCTCCATCCAGCACGTGGTACACCTGATGCGTCTTCTCGAACGTGAAAGGCTTGCTCAACACCGAGTTTGTGAGGCGGTTGCTCGACTCGATACTCGTGATCGCGAAGTTTCCTGTCTCTGCCTTGCTCTGTTTCGTCGTGATAAACGGCCGACTCAGAACTCCCTCCAGCAGATGACATGGCCCCGTGTTCGCTTTGAGATAGTACTCCTTGCCAGCCTCCTCAGGCAGCACGGAGTCCTCTTTCGTCCACTCACTGACCTCCGCACCTTGGTACCCCCGCTGGAACACAACATCGTATTTCTCTTTAATCTCCCTGAACTTGGGTCCGAACGTGTCTGCCGGATTCCTGTTGTCGAACTCGTCCGCAACAACACCGTCGTATTTTTCCGACACGAATCGGAAGAAGTCCACCCACTGTCCCGGCGTCACCAGCCCAACCGTCTCATTGATCCCGTCGTCGAGCAGCTCCGGCTGGTGCACGACCTTCGGCGGGACGTAGCAGAAGTCTCCCGGTCCGAGGATCTTGCACCGATCACCCGCCCAGACCTTCAAGTGACCCTTTGTGCACATGAAGACGTCGTGCGCGAAGTCATGGTAGTGGAAGCCGGGGGCATCGGCGAGGGCGCCGTCCATGCCAAAGACGGATATCAGACCTTCTGTCTCTTTTGCGCTGGCGAGGATGCGCACAGTAGACTTGGTGCCTGGGATGGTGATGGTTTCGCCTTCGTAGGCGGGGATGATGTAGGGGCTGGGCTTGCCGAGGGGTTGTTGCACGCGTGGTATGCTGGAGGTCTGGGAAACGGCCATCTTGGTGGGCGTTTGTGTTGTGATGGCGCTCATTGTGAGAGTGGGAGTTCGGAGCTCGGAAAAGTGGAGATCAATGTGGAAGCTGTACTCGAATACTTTGAAGGCAGACCAGCTCGATTCCTAGGCAAAGGGACTTTTGAAGTTTGTGTAGGAGTGAATTCCGTGGCAGAAAAATAAGCAACTGAAGTACTCGGGCGTCCAAGATCAGTGCGGACAAAGCACCCAGCGTTGAAATATGCGAATGTACGAAATGTACGAACTCGTCCCGTCCTCCACATTCCATGGTCTCGGGTTGCAAGGCAGTTGCTCGAGAGCCTCTCTCTACACCAATTGCAGCTAAATCAATTCGCGGTGCTCGGTACTCCGCGGATTCCGTAATTGTCAACCCCGCGTCTCCCAGGTTGGAGAATTGCAACCAAGCATTGCGATTGAACAGTCGTGATGCTTGTCTAGACCGCGAGCGCGGACACTTCCCGCGGACCTCGCGCTCGTCCTCGAAACACCGCAGATAGTGCTTGTACAAGCTTGCAAGTTCAAATGTCCACTTTTCAGTTGAAATGGGAGTCTCGTTGTGATTGCAATTGATCCTTGGCTGCGCAAGATCTAGGTGGCGTGATTGTCATCTTCGTCTGGAGATTGTGGGGCCCTCGCTCCACAGTCCACCTGGCCTCGCACATCAATTGCCGGATTTAATTCAATCGTACAACAACGATGATTTCGCCACCATCATTAACGAAATCAGCAACATACGCTCGTACGAACAGAAGGACGCGAGACCGAAGCAGTGCATCTGGCGATTTCGTTTCGTCCGTGTAGCAGACGGACAACGAATCTGTGCGTCCGTACTGAGCGGGTTTCCCGCCATTCGCACACCCCTTAGGTAGACAAAGCTTAACGCTAAACATAGCTCTCCTTCAGCCTCGCCTCCAACCAATCAAACCCTCTCCTCTGGCTGTCCCAAGTCTTACTCCCCTTGACCATCTTGCCGGCAAAAGTATGCGACTCACCCTCGACCTCGAAGAACGCCGTCTTCACACCTTTCCCCTTGAGCTTCTCTTGAAACTCTTTGCTTAGCCGCATTGGAATCGTAGTGTCAGCCGTACCGTGCACGATCGCTGTGGGCGGCCATGTCTCCCTGACATTCAGGATGGGGTCGATACGTTCCAGGTTTGAGGGATAGGAAGGCCAAATAGCGTTTATGACGTTTCCTGTGGCAATTTGATGCATGGCGAAGCCCTGCCGTTGCTTAGGGTTTGAGTGATTGGGGTCAGATGCTTGGCCTTCAAGGGACAGACCACCGATGAAGACGGCTTTCTCGTCGTAGACGGCTTTGACGTCGGCGTCTGAGAGAGGGTCGTAGAAGTGCTTGGGCATGTCCGGCATAGGCTTTGTCCAAAAGGGGTCCGCGAAGCATTTCGCTCCGTAGAAGTCCAGAATGGCTAGGGGTTGTTTGTCTGAGTTCCAGGCCTGCAGTCGTCAGTCCACGAAGATGGATAGAGATGTAGGCGAAGTTCGTACCGTGGAGAGCGCAAGATGCCCACCAGAACTCGTGCCCATTACCATGATCCTCTCCGCATCAATAGCCACATCTCTCCCGTTCTCTTTCAACGCTTTTGCAAGATCGCCGTTCTGCGCCCATGAGAGCGCATCACGCATATCTGCCATCGGTCCGTCGAACACATTGACGCCCGGGCATAGTCGATGTTCGATCGCAAGGACAACCCAGCCTCTTTCTGTGCAGTCTTGGATCTGGTCTTTGCTGTTGATACCTGCGTGTCCGAGCATGAAAGCACCGCCGTGAATCCTAAGCGACCATCAGCTGAGAGATGCCTCATATACCGGTTGCACTCACATGATCAGAACTGGCGCTGGTTTGGGTCCAGCACTTTCTGGGAAGTAGATGTCGGTCGGGATTTCGACATTGTCGACGGTCTTGTAAGCGATTCGTAGCGATGCCATTGTAACAAGTTGTTGTATGGTACTCAGGCATAAAGTGTGGATTCTCTATATGGGCGTCTAGCTTCGACATACCCTACACACGCCGCGAAACAGCCTGCCGTACGTCGCAATCGCTGATCGTGATTGGTGTTCCAAAGAGATGTACGAACGTCATGTACGAACATAGCGCGGCAGCGGGGCCGAGGTGGGGAAGTATAACCAAAACCATGAACCATGATGTAGACGTGTCTCTTAATAAATTGTCCGTGGAATTTTGCTGGCACGACATGGTATTCTATCTGTTGTACGTACTCAATCTACGTACACCAGATGCGTGTCGTGAAGCAACCCATCGGGTGTGAAGTCTGGGAAGAAGCCAAAGGCGTAAAGAATAGGCATCTTTTGTAATGTGCAATCATCCAAGGATTGTCCGTCGAACAATTTCATGGAACACTCTCATTATTGCTTCGCGGATCACCTCTCCTATTCGCCAACTCCATCTTTCCGCCATTGTGCGCCAGCTTCTCTGCAGCAACACCAGCATCGTCACTCTCAGCCTTGATCCCAGCACGCTTCAGGATGAATCCACCATTGAACTGATCTGCCTCCAGCGAATTGAGCACATGGTCATCGCCCAGGAACAGATACGATACCTACCAACCTTTCCCATACCGCTCATACAAGCTCTCTGAGCAGCCCTTGCCTTAAGTTCGATCACTAGTACCATATAGCAGCACGAAGTGCTTCATCTCGTAGCTTGACTCCAGCTCGTTCAACGCAGCTGACACGTCGCGCCCACAGTATCTGCTGCGTGCCGGGTAGCGGTAGTCAAGACGAAGTGCAGGAAATGGCTGCTTGAGACTTGCGAGCTTATCTGCCAAGGACACGAAATTTGCGATGGTGAAGTCGACCGTTGATATTTCTGAGGCGTTTTGCTCTGCAGCGCCTCGCCTGCCAAGGTGATGTGAAAGGAGTGGCTACGACCTGCGAGACAACAGACCATAAAGTCTCAGGGCTGAGACTCGTCTTTCTGGTAGCCCATGCCAACTCGCCACCAGTTCCAGACGCCGAAGGTTTCCATCTGCGCACCGAACTCTCTGACAGTATCCGTCTCTTCCAGCTTGCCATACGGTACTCTACTGTCGCTCGCTTGAGTCTCTGACTGTTTCTCCGCAGGCTTCCTCACCAGCTGGAAGTCTTTGTAGCGCAATCTCTGGACGTCTCCAACCCAGTCTCGTACTCCTCGCTCGGCACCTTGACAGTACATTACACCGGGGCAGCCTCCATAGCGTAACAGAGCATAGACGTTGTGGTTCGAGGCTGCAGCACGCAGTTTTGCGACTTTTTTGCGGGACGTGATGTGGTGTGTGCGGATTAAAGCATTGTACAGCGGTGTCGAGGACATGTCAGTGTGTGTGCGGAGGCTGGAGGTGCACATGCACATGCAAGTGCACCCTTGATCCACGTGACGTCAGAACCCAGATTTTCCCAGATCGCGAAACCTTGCCTGCGAAGCTTGACAAGTCGCAGCCAACGACAAGTCGAAGCAAATCGCATGGCTGGACGATAACGGACGACACGACCTCGACAACGGAGAGACATGCAGCCGAATCTGCTTCGCAAAGTCGCCGCTCCATCGCCATCGGTCCTGAGCTTCCTGCGCGCCCAAGTCAACCATGCCTTCGAGTCGCCTGCAGGGCAATGCGCCGGCCTGAAGAGGCAGCGTCGCGCCTACACAGCGTCGTCGCCGTGCACGGTAAAGCCCTCCGTGTCAAGCACACGTGGTTTCTCGACATCTCGGCCCTGCAGTGCGTGGCCCAGCATCTTCAAGGGGAAGAAACAGCATGCACATGCGCGACCAGGCCTTTTGCAGCCGCCTGTATCGCCGTCGAGTGACGACGTCTCGGCGGCTGGCTCCGGATATGGAAACACACTGGGACGGTTGGCTCGTAGCGCCAACGAGCTGAAGATGCGCTGCACAGAGCTGGACGAGCACGGCAACGTGACGCTCGTCAGCGGCGAGTTCAAGAAGAGCGAATTGATTGCAAAGTATGGCCTCCTTCCACGAGATCTGCGGAAAATCGACTCCTCGCTGCTCCCACACATCCTCGTCCGCCCATCTGCGATCCTGATCAATCTCCTCAACCTCCGAGTTCTGCTCAAGCACAACCGCGTGCTCGTCTTCGACGCGTATGGCACCACGGATTCCAAGTCGCAGAGCGTCTTCATGTACGACCTCGACCTGAAGCTGCGGCAGAAAGAATCCGTCGCAAACGGCACGCTCGCATACGAATTCCGCGCTCTCGAAGCCGTCCTCATCAGTGTCACGCTCTCTCTCGAGAAGGAATTCGAGGGTGTCAGCGAGCCAGTCGTGCGCGTGCTGCGCGAGCTCGAAGAAGACATCGACCGCGACAAGCTCCGCTACCTGCTCATCTACTCGAAGAAACTGGGCAGTTTTGAGCAGAAGGCGCGCCTGGTCCGGAACGCGCTGGAGGAGCTGCTCGAGGCCGACGACGATCTGAGCGCCATGTATCTCAGCGAAAAGGCCGAGGGAAAGACGAGAGAAGACGACGACCACACCGAGGTGGAGATGCTGCTGGAATCGTACCACAAAGTCGCGGATGAAATCGTGCAGGCGGCCGAGAACCTGGTGTCGTCGATCCGCAACACGGAGGAAATGTCCGTTACCCATCTTTCGCCCCTTACAAACAAACAACCCCGAAACTAACAGCGCACAGCGTCAAAGCGATCCTCGACGCAAACCGCAACTCGCTTATGCTTCTAGATCTGCGCTTCAGCATCCTCACCCTGGCCATCACGGCGGGCACGTTCGTCGCGGCGCTGTACGGGATGAACCTGAAGAACTTCATCGAGGAGACGGATTTTGGCTTCTACGGGGTGTCGGCGTGGTGCACAGTCTTTGGCGCCATCGTCGCCGTCTACGGGCTGCAGAAGCTGCGCCGCGTGCAGCGCGTGAGCATGTACGCGCACGGCCCAGGCAGCATCGTCGGCACCAAGCCCAAGAGCATCTGGGGCCTGGGCGCGTGGGGCGGTGCCAGGCCGGTCCGGGGGGTGGGCGAGAGCGGTGGTGAGACGGGTGGTGTTGTTGTGGGTAAGCCCAAGGGCGGCGATGCGCTGAGGGAGCTTATTCATCGCGATAGGCATTTGGCACGGAAGGTGGCCAAGGCCGAGGGCAGGGCTGGGGATGTTGCTGGTGGCGGTTTGTAGGAGGGGGTTTGGACTGGTGTGTTTTGGTTCTCTACTCAGCTGTCCCCGCCAGTAGCTTCTTACAAGAGGAGGGGCTGGACTGGTGTGTTGATCGCTTCTTACAAGAGGAGGGTTTGGGCTGGTGTGTTGATCGCTTCTTACAAGAGGAGGAGGGGTTGGACTGGTGTGTTGATCGCTTCTTACAAGAGGAGGAGGGGGTTGGGCTGGTGTGTTGATAGCTTCTTACAAGAGGAGGAGGGGTTGTGCTGGTGTGTTTATAGTTTCTTACAAGAGGAGGGTTTGGACTGGTGTGTTTATAGTTTCTTACAGGAGGAGGGGTTGGACTGGTGTGTTGATCGCTTCTTACAAGAGGAGGGGCTGGACTGGTGTGTTTATAGTTTCTTACAGGAGGAGGGGTTGGGCTGGTGTGTTGATAGCTCCTTCTCTCCTCGGATATCCCCACGGCTAGATGGCCTGTGTTGGTGTGCATAGCGGCGGCGTTTAGGATGGTGGACATGTCTCGACCGGCGTTGACGTATGGAATGAATGTTGTAAGATGACAATAGAATAAATGCTGTAAGATGACAAGAGAATAAATGCTGTAAGATGACAAGAGAGTAAATGTTGTAAGATGACAAGAGAATAAATGTTGTAAGACAACAATGGAACCGTCGACTCTTCCCGAGACTACCGAGAGGAAGGAGCGGACCTGAGGCTTGGACTGCGGGGGTTAGACTGCGGGGGTTGGACTGCGGGAAGACGAAGAGATGATTGTGTGAATAGATGTAGTAGAGCGTTGCTATTGGGTATCATTTCGAGTCTGTTCCTATTCCGCCCTGTCATGCTTGGATACAGCTGTTGCCTTTCTGATTTCGAGTCTGTTCCTATGCCGTGCTGTCATGCTTGTACGCAGGTATTGCCTTCCTTTCCCATCCTGCTTGGATAGAGCTATTGCTTCCCAAAATTATCGGCACCAGCCTGTCCGTACTGCCTGCAACCCTGCCTGTCCGTACTGCCTGCAACCCAGCCTGTCCGTACTGCCTGCAACCCAGCGTGTCCCAGCTGCTGCTTCTACCCGGCGCCGCCGCCGAGCTTCACCAGCTCTTGGTTGTCAGCAATCAGCCTTTCCAGGAAATTAGCAGCCTCGGTCAGCACGCTGCTCTTGCTCAGGCCGCCGTTGCGTATGTCCGGGACCAGGTCGTGCAGGTCGTCGAAGCCGCGCTTGATCAGGTTGCGGCGCTTCTGCTCGGACAGGATGTGGTTGCTGCGCTTCTGGGCCTCGCTGAGGTTCTCGCGGGCGAGCTTGGACGCCGCGGCGCTGGCGCGCCTCTTCTTGCTGTCCGAGTCGGGCGCCGCGGGCTTCTTCGCCTTGCTGACGCGGGTCCCCGACGCCGTCTTGCGCAGCGCGTCTTTTCTGGGCGGGACGCTCTTGGTGCGCCTGCGCGAGGGCTGCGAGTCGTCCGCGGAGCTGGCCGCGTCCGGGGAGGACGACGACGAGGACGACGGGTCCGCGGGGTCCGCCGCGGCGGCGAGCTCGGGGGCGTGCACGTCGGCGATGAACGAGAGGGTGCGGGTGTCGCGCATCAGGCGACGGGTGACTTGGGCCTCGGTCTCGCTGTGCGGGGCGGAGAAGGCGGCCGGGTTGCGGAAGGCGTCGTCGGTGCCAAAGGTGTAGGTGCGCTTCAGGGCGGGGCGCGGCAGCGCGGGCGCGAAGCCGCCGTGGATGCTGTTGTGGGCGTCGCTGGCGGCCCACTGTGCGGCGAGCTGGGCGTCGAGGGTGCCTGCGGCGGCGTGGTTCGGGAGGAGGGCGGCGAGCTGCTCGTTGAGCAGGCCCTGCGAGGTGGCCACCATGGGACGGCCGCCGGGGGCGTGTGCGGGCGGCATGTCGTGGAAGAGGGCCGACGCGGGCGGCATGGACGGCGCCATGGACGGCGCCATGGACGGCGACATGTCGGGAAAGAGGGCCGCGGCGGGCTGCTGCGAGTTGTGGAAGAGGGTCGAGGCGGCCTGCAGGTCGTCGTGGGTGGTGCCCAGGTGGTCCAGCGGCTGCATCGCAAACATGTGCTCGCTCGGGAAGCCGTGGTGCAGCTGGGCCTGGTCGGGAATCGTCGCCGAGACGTGGTGGACGGTGGCCGGGGCCATGAAGCTCCAGTCGCTGAAGTCGTTGCCCGCGAGCTTCGCGTCGGCGGGCGGGCCAAAGGGCTGCGAGTCCGACAGGCTGAAGGGGTCCGTGTTGGAGAAGAAGTCGGCGAGCGATTGGCCCTCCATGTCGCTGAGCAGCGACTGGTGGTGGTGTTGGTGGTGGTGGTGGTGGTGGTCTGGCGACGGGCCATGGTGGTCTTGCGACTGGTCCTGCGACTGGTCGAGCGACTGGTCCAGCGGGTGCAGGTAGTCGGCGCTGAATGTGTCTGCGGGCGTGTCAGTACGGCGGAAGGGCTGCGGCAGACGCGACGGGGTTCCGTACAGCCAAACGGCGGCGGGTCCTTGTCGCTCATGGCGGGACGGGCGCGGCCTCTGGCGGCGCCCTCGAACCCTGCGAACCCTGCAAACGGCGGCGTCGAGAGCGTCTCCAGCTTGGCGGCTTGCGGGCGGACAGGCAGACGGGCAGACGGGCAGACAGGCGGACAGGCGGACAGGCAGACAGGCGGCGGCGGGCCCGGGCGCGTTCGCTCAGGTGGACGGGCGGCGCTGGCGACGTGCGGGTTGCAATGTGCCCTCACAAAGAGCGGGCGGTGCGCGGACAGCGGTGCCTGTGGTGCAGTCGCGTCTCCCAGCAGACATGGCCAACGTGATCAGCCTCGGGCACTCGACAGGCGTCTGCACGGAGGGAGGAATGCGGGCGGGTCGGCAGAGGTGAAAGTGTTGCGCTCCCGTCACGCTCAGTCTTCACATGCTCACACGCCAGACCTCTGCACGGCACGTGTCCGAGGCCTCGGAGCGCTGGGCGGCAATCCCAGCCGACCCCTACAGGCTACCCCGGATTTCGCACAACAGCCGTCCCTCTCGAGCCTCAGCCTTGCATGTCACCCACTCGCTGCGCTGCCGTTTGCCGCAATGGCACGGCGACGTGACGGCTTTGTTGCACGTCTGCACCTTGTGAAACCGTAAGGGCGAACCTTGTGTCGGCATTGTCCGCTGTCAACTGACACCACTCGCCAGCCTCACCACTGCCTACATACTCGCCCTGCTGTCGAGCACGGGTCCGCGTCTGGCGAGGATCCTGTTTCTGCTTGGGAGGCGAAAGGTGACTGTTCGAGCTGCGTGGCTGCAGGTGCGTGCTTCTCCAGCCTCTCTCCAGCGTGTCTTCAGCGTGTCTTCAGCGTGTCTCCAGCGTGTCTTCAGCGTGTCTCCAGCGTGTCTCCAGCCTCTCTCCAGCCTCTCTCCAGCGTGTCTGGAGTCACTGCGCATCACACTGACGGAACACGGCACGGCGAGCTAACAAGCGCAAAGTCTACCCACACGCTCCGCGAGGCACTTGCCCTTCACCGATTCCCCACCTTCTGCGCTGTCCTCGTCGGTGGCTCGACACTGCTTCAGATTCCGATCAGGGCAGTTGTCGACATTGTCCTGCCTCGGCTCACGTCTTCGTCGCCGTGTCTGCATCCAGCAGTTTCGTCGCCATGTCTGCATCCAGCAGTTTCGTCGCCATGTCTGCATCCGGCAGTTGCTCGGCTGCTGGCCAGATTCATCGCTGCTCTCATCTCAGCATCCGTGTCGTTCAAACTACTCAACAACGCTCCTACCGATGCTGCAGCACTGGCTGCAGCAGCGCCGCCGCCCGTGCTCGGCAGATTCGCTCCGGGCCCCTTTGACGAACCGCCCGAGGAGGGCTCTGCGGGAGCGACAACTCTCGCAAGACCCGACCTCGCCGGGCGGACCATGGACCTGACGCTGTTCGCAGCCATCCGCGCTCTGGACGTAGTGGCGAGCTCCGCAGCTGCCGCACTGAAGCCCTCGTCTCTCACGCGCAGAGCCGCCGGCAAGCTCGCCACACCGCTGTTCTGCTTCTCCGCAGCCACGGTGATGTGGTCCTGGTTCTACGCCCCCAGCCGCCTGCCCCGCAGCCACAACGCGTGGATCTCCGCCGCCGCCGAGCTGGACCACCGTCTCGTGCTCGCCCTGCGACACGCGCGGTACGGCACCTTCCAGTACGGCAAAGACACGGGCATGGCTCCGCTGCTGGGCTCCATGGCGCGCGACTACGGCCTGCCAGAGGAAGCCGGCGATCCCGCCAAGACGGTCCCCGTGCCGTGCGAGCTGGTGCACATGGGCTGCGGCCAGAGCTGCGAGGCCCACGCGCTGTGGCGGTTCTGGCGCGGGTGGGCTTTCGCAGCGAAGCTGTACTTCCCGCTGCAAGCCCTTGCCCTGTGCAGACATGTGGCGAAGACTGCGTCGCCCGGGAACCGCTTGGCCGGGCTGAAAATACACACACTGGTCGCCGCCATCAAGGATGCTGCAACGCGCTCGTCCTTCCTCGGCGCCTTTGTCGCGCTCTTCTACTACGGCGTGTGTCTCTCGCGGACACGCCTCGGGCCGGCCCTGGTCTCGCCCAAGACCATCACGCCGCAGATGTGGGACTCGGGCCTGTGCGTTCTGGCCGGCTGCGCGCTGTGCGGACTCAGCCTTCTGGCCGAGGAGCCCTCGCGGCGGCCCGAGATTGTGCTGTTTGTGCTGCCTCGCGCTGCCGCGACTTGGTTTCCGCGCCGCTATCTGCCCGAGAACAGGGGACGGGAGCATCTGGCTTTCGCCCTCGGTGCTGCGGTGGTCATGTCTGCGGCTCAGGAAGACCGCGCGAGGGTGCGAGGCGTGTTTGGGAAGGTGCTGCATCGGGTGTTGAGGACGGATTGATCATATTCGTGGCCTCACCGGTGTTGAAGACGGATTGATCATATTCGTGGCTTCACCAGTGTTGAAGACATTAATTAAATGCCTGGCTTGCGTCTAATCTTAGCTTTGGAAACGAACAAGCAAACCGCAGATCGGTGGCAAGAGAAAGGACTCTGTACCCACCGCACCGCTCTCCCGGCACATGACACTTCTTCAACTCACCACCCACGCAAGCAAGGCCACACCTACTACCACCCGCCGCAAACAAGGCCACACTTACTACCACCCGCCGCACATGAAGAACCCCACACAATCCCATAAAATCTCCCCAGCCACGCACCACCACCAGCACCCACCCCCTCGTCCGCCGATCCACACTCTGCACAGTCGATCGCGCACGGCCACAGCAGCGGCGAGCGCCACACCCGCTCCCGCCTCGTCTGGCCCCCTCGCGCCGCGAACTGAACTGCTCTGAGCGAGCGCTCACGCACCACCGCGCGCCGCGGGACGACAACGCGCAAGCACTCCGCCCGTTCCACTGGCGTAATCAAACTCTGCTGCGCCTGTGCGTGGGCATGCACTTGCGCACCACTGCAGGCCGTCGGCGAGAGCCAGAGCGTCCTGCGTGCCTTGTCGCGCGCCCGCTTGCCCGTTCGTTTGTGATTAATAAGAAAGTGTCGAGGGACGGAGGCAGGGAGGCCAGTCGGTCTATTTGCAGCGCGGCGCTAGAAGGGCCGGCCAGACCAGACCAGGCGCCGCCAAGTCCTGCTTGCACCCCGTAATTATATGCACCAGGAAGCGTTGAGAGAGCGGGTCCTGGCGGATGCGCGACTACGAGGCTGGTGTGTATTCACCAGTTGATGCTTTGGCTTTGGCTTTGGCTTTGGCTCTATGAGACGATGCCTAGGACGATCTCGCCGTGCGGACTGTCTGAGCGCCGAGTCCGGGGGAGCAACTACCTACTTGGTGTTGTAAGACCGAGCATGAGAATACCTCGATACGAGCGCCATCGGTACATCCCATCTTGCTGCTTCCGAGACGAAAATCGCCACGCTGACCGTCTGCGACCAGACAGACAAACCACACGTACCTCTTACCTCTGCGTCACGACACCGATAGCAGCGTCTGGCCCGTTCTGCACCCCTCTCACATGTAGTTGGGTACACTGCATACATCGCGTCGCGACCCCGTTTCGTTTCGTTCCGTTCCGTTTTGCTTCGCTTCCTCCTTCAAAAACCCCCTTCCTCCTCCTTTAAAAACCCCCTTCCTCCTTCAAAAACCCCCTCCCTCCCTATCTCAGCATGCCGGTACTTGCAAAGCGTCCGCCTGGAAACGCCCCACAGCAATCAATCTTCACCCCGTGCAGATGCTGGTCCTCTCCGTATATGCAGCTCGGTGAACTCGGGCAGCGGCATTCGCCTGCTTCGAGCCTAGCGGCCCGCGTGGCCATGATGTCACTCCGCGCCGCGCAGGCCTGCCGGGACGCACGAGTATGCAGGGGCACCGCTGACGGAGGGAATCGTACCGAATATCATTTTTTCATCTCGTTTTGCGCACAGTGTGATTGTAGAGCCGAGGGTGTGGGGACATGGGGTGCGGTGGAAATAGAAACCGTGTTTGCATGTCCGAGGTTCGGTGGGTGGGGGTTGCTCCTGTGGCGGGTCGGTCGATCAGCTGCGTGGGAGCGTTTCAGCTTTCCGGTACATGGTGATATGTTCCTGTTTGGGGTTCGGCTGTCAGGCTCCCGGCAGATAGTCGTTGTCACGGCCTCGACACATGATCAGCACGGCTACACTGCATCACACGGAAATTTGGTGCGGAGGATATGTATTGACAATAGCGCAGCTACCGTCGTGGTATAAACTATAAGATATGGTAGAGCGGTAGAGGGTACTAGGGAGGTAGATGGTAGGAGGTATGTAGTATGCAGAATGCGCAATTGCTGGGTGCTAGCCTCCGAGGAGTGCTAATGCAGGTGGTATCATCGAAACAAACAACACCGGAAATGCTAAACGAACGCCACGGGCCCGTGCCCTATAGTGTGATACTGATGCCAACGCCGGAATGTGGGAGCGCGCAGCCCATTAAGTCTTAGCTGCTGTCTTCCTCGCTCGCCGTTGGGGTGCTGTCGCCAGGTAGCTTGCCCAGGGTCCACCGCCAGTCGCGACTGCGTTTCCGTCGGCCGGCGACGGGCGTCTGTGGGCATGTGTCGCTGTCGTCTTCAGACTCGGAGGAATCGCGCTTGTCTCCAAGTCTGGGCGGCTTTCGTTGGCGAGGCGCACATTCTATTGTCGCAATGGTGGGCTTCTCCAAAGACGGCTGCAGTGACAGTGTGGGCTTCTCCATAGAGGGCTGCAGTGACAGCGTGGGCCTGCTCGGTGTGACAGACTGATGTGTTGCTGTGGTCTCAACCTGGGTCGAGCTTGAGTCTGTCGACGTCGACTCCAGCGGTGTCAAGGTCGAGCTTGGAGACTCCATGTCTGAGTTGGCCCAGGTGTACTTGATGGTCTTGATCTCCTCTTCCAATGGCGTGCGGAAGGACACGCGCTTCTCAGCAGGGAACATGGGCCTCGAAGCCATCTTGCGCGAGACTATCCGGCTGTTGGAGAGGATCGAGTTGAGGTTGTGGGGCTGCTTGTACGGTATTGTGCCAATGCTGCTCGAGGTTTCGCTGGAGGCTGATGTGAGAGTCGACGAGGACAGAGTCGAGGCCGAGTCCGGCGTGGATATGCTGGCCGGGGTTGGGGTGGTGTTGCTAATGTCGAGGCGCAGCTTTGCGGGCGGTCCGGGCGGCGGTGCAACGCACGTGTTCAGCGTGCTCGATGTGTTTGTTGTCGTGCTGGGCTCGTATGCGTTGTTGAACGTGTTGCGCACGGTGGGCGAGGCGGCGCTCAGCGTGTCCAGGCGTAGCGAGGCGGCCTTGCCAAAGACGCGGGGCTGGTGGGTGTTGACGGTCAATTTGGGGCGCTGCGAGGGCCGCGGGGCCATTATAGGCAGCGAGGTGGCCATGGCCGGCTGCAGCGCAGGTGACGACGAGAATGTCGGCGGCGCGGGGTGTGGTGATAAAGTCGAGAGCATCATGGGTGAGACTTGCCGCACTCAGAGGCCAGGTGGGTCGCAGACAGGTAGTGTGGCGGGGATCCGTCAGGTCAGCCTTGCGTGGCCCGGTGCAGGCGGCGTGTCTGCTGATGAGGGGATGCGAGGGCAGCTGTCGTGAGCGCGTCTGGTATTGCTGCGTCTGCGTGTGAGAGTGTGTGTGTGTGTGTGTGCGTACTAGTACTGTGTACTGCGGGTGGTCTGCACTCATCTCGAAGACGGCGCGGGGCCACGCTGCTTTTGATCGTTGCGGTGGTAGACGCGCGTGCTGAGAGGCAGCGGCTACCCAGGTTATTTTTGGCAGGCACGCTATTTTGAACCTTGAACAAACAGGGAGCCGCGACCCACTCACAACCAGCCCGTAGCGCCTTCTTGTTTTGCATCCTCCGCACCTGCTCCTCCACCAACGCGGCGTGTCAGACTGCGAGCCGCCGACTCCCTCCGGTGCCAGGTGGCTTCGCCCTCCGCTTCGTCTGTCCCTTCGCGTGTCCACCTGGTCGTGCCATGGACCGCCCGCGCAGAAGGAGGCTGAAGCGGCAGCTCGACTCGACCATCATCCACTTTGTAGGTCAGCACTGCGCACACAGTCCGCCACCAGGCATCCCGTCGCGAATGTTACACAGCCTTAGCAAGAGCGCCTGGACGCCGTGGACCGCCTCACATCCTCGTAATTGCTTGCGTCTGATCGCACTCAGCGTTGCTAACGTGCTACCTGTACGCATTTAGGACTATGTACGTGTTGCCCTGTGCACCGAGAGTCATGGCCGTGTTCAGATGACTGGCGCTCGACGTTAGCTTACACGCGCCCCATTAGGACTGCTTCTACGCCAGCGTCTTCGAGCGCGAGCAGCCCCACCTCAAGGCCCTCCCACTCGCTGTGCAACAGAAGCAGATCGTCGTGACTTGCAACTACGAAGCTCGTCGAAGGGTACATCTCCACCTCTTGTCATGCTGCCCGCACGTGTCGTTGCCCACGCGTGGGTACGCAAGCATAGTCTTGTGCAGTCTTGCAACACCAATGCACTCTTGAACTACAGACGATGCCAAGTGTCAGTCTGCTGACCGGACCAGGGATTGTACAAGCTGCAGCTGATTACAGAGGCTAAGAAGGCTTGTCCAGATGTGGTCATCGTCTTGGGCGAGGATCTCACACGATTCCGGAATGCTTCGAAACAACTTTATGCCTTCCTGAGCTCCTTTTCTTGGAACTCTCGATGTGAGCGACTTGGCTTCGACGAGGTCTGGCTCGATGTGTCAGATCTCGTTGACAGCAATGTTGCAACCTTGACCCTGGCAAACCTCAGCCATTCTTTCTTTCGTCTGTCCAAGCATGATCCAACAGTGGGTTTCTCGTTCGATGCAAATCACTACGCTGGTCCTGTTTATCCAGAGACAACACACGAAACACACAGTAAGCTCTTCCATCCACATGACTGCAGGGCTGCATGAACTGCATGCCTGTGCTTCTAGAATTTCCCAGAAACTCGCAGTGCGGCAAGTAGGCGGGAAATTCGTCTCATGTTTCTTATGCGATCGACCGACATTGCGCCCAGAGCTTGCGATACACATCAGCATTGTGGCCGTTTCGTTTCCCCGCGTTTCATGTTTCATGGCCTCATACCTAATATACGTCTGACAAGCACCCACAGCTGCCACCTCAGATGACTCCTTACGCTTTCGCCTGCTACTAGCGAGTCACTTAGCTCAGCATATCCGGCAGAAACTTGAGTACGATCTGGGATACACAGCTACGGTCGGCATATCAACGAACAAGTTACTCAGTAAGCTCGTGGGCAACGTTCATAAGCCAAATAGTCAAACGACACTGATACCGCCGTATAACGCGGATGACAATGACTGGGACAATGTCACGCCTTTCATCGACGATCACGAAGTAGGCAAGATTCCGGGTATTGGCTTTAAGATTGCCCAGAAGATTCGTCATCACGTCCTCCAGCGACCGGCAGACTTCGATGATGGTCTCGTGTATGGTGGAACGAAAGACCCTGTCTGCGTGCGAGACGTGCGCACTTACTCAGACATGGGTCCAGATGTCTTAGAGCGGATACTCGGTGGTCCTGGAATGCCGCATGGTATAGGCACCCGAGTCTGGAATCTACTGAACGGCTCAGATGATACACCCGTCAGTCAAGCTCGCGAACTACCTCGGCAGATCAGCATCGAAGATAGCTATGTTCGTCTTGACACCATGTCAGAAGTAATGAAGCAGCTGCGCGTCTTAGCCATCAGTTTGCTTAGACGGATGCGCACTGATCTGGTGGAGCTCGACCAGGAGCCAGTCGACGATACAGGTCCTACTAGCGGGCCGCCTACACAGCGTTGGCTTGCCCATCCTAAGACGCTTCGCCTTTCCACGCGTCCACGTCCGCCTCAGAACCCAGATGGGAGCCGCAATCGCTCGTTCGCACGCATCTCCAAGTCAGCGCCAATGCCCAGTTTTGTCTTCAATTTGAAGGAAGGCGTAGAAACGCTCGCTGACAGACTGATCCGGGAGGCACTCATACCACTGTTCAAGCAATTGCACCCCGAGAAGCAGGTTTGGAACCTCAGTCTCGTCAATCTTGCGGCAACCAACATGGTAGAAGGAGCGAGCGAAAAGGGTGGAGCTGGCCGGGACATTGGTAAGATGTTTAGAAGACAGGATGATGTTCTGGCACCGTTCAAAGTGCGAGATGAACCCACTGGGGGCCTCCAGGAGAACCCCAAACCAATAGCAGAACGGCAGGTCGTATCAGAGGAGCCTGGAGAAGAGCCGCCAATCAGGGGTGAGACTCACTTCTACCCACCAAAGTTCGCCCTCAGCAGATTTGGATCCGAAGACATACCAACGCCGTCCCAAGAAACTGCCACCGATATTGATGATTTTTGGGAGGAAGACGACGAGATGCTAGATGCCGATACATACCGATGCGATGACTGTGGCGCCTACATGCCGCTGTTTGCGATGGGTGCTCACGAGAGATGGCATGCTCAAGGTTGAGTGTTTAGTCGGCAGCCATGAGAACGGTTCCTTTGACAACAATAATGTAACATTAAGGGCTAGAGAGTTGGACATAGGCGCTAAGCTTTCACGTGACCTCTTCCCAATGGTCACGGTCAGAGCGGGGCGGGACCGAGGGACGCAAGGGTGAAGATCAACTACCGCAGCAGCGTTGCCCCGATCAAGTATCACAACAGCCTTCAACCTCAACACCGATACTCAGTATGACGACATCGATTTTGCTGTAGAAGACACAGCGTCTAGAACATGACCACTAACATGTCTCGCCAAGTTGAAGTTCGTTCGGTGGAGGCCAACTCTACATCGCAAGGAAACCCACAGGCCATTGAACTAGAACATCTTTCACCAGAATCAACAACATTTTCAGATCAGACCACCGGCCCTCCAATTGACGGCGGCTTTGAGGCATGGCGCCTCCTTCTCTCCGCCTTCGTGTTCGAATCGCTTCTCTGGGGATTCCCTGTAGGTACCTCGTCCAGATTGATGCTTGGACCTACATCGGACAGAAGCCTGCTCACGTATCGAACAGCTGTCTTTCGGCGTCTTCCAGGAGTATTACACCTCAATCCCCGAATTCCGCAATAGCCCATACATCTCCGTCGTCGGTACTACTGCATCCGGTATCTCGTACCTCGGCGCTCCACTTGTCATACCTTTCATCCGCCGATGGTCGAATTACAGGACGCACATGATCCTTGTGGGATGGCCGCTTTGCATTCTTGGTCTCGTCGCAGGGTCTTTTGCGAACTCGCTCAGGACACTAATCTTAACACAGGGAGTGCTCTACGGCGTTGGCTTCATCATCTTCTACTATCCGATCTTGTCAATGGTAGATGAGTACTGGATCCGCCGGCGCGGCATGGCATACGGGATGCTGTGCAGTGCCTCTGGCGTCAGTGGTGCAGTGACACCTTTGACACTTCAAGCACTGCTTCACAAATATGGGCACAGAACGACACTGAGAGGCGTAGCAGTCTTTCTGTTCGCATTGACGGGACCACTTATTCCGCTGCTCAAAGGTCGGCCCGGTCAACAGCAGGGCCTCGCATTGAGGGCGGACTGGACCTTTCTGCGAACCCGGCTTTTCTGGATCTACAGCATCAGCAATCTGCTCATGGGCCTTGGCTACTTCTTCCCTGCGCTCTACCTGCCCTCGTACGCGAGTGCAGTTGGCCTCAGCACATCAAAAGGCGCGCTTTTGCTCGCGCTTATGAGCGTCGCCCAGGTTGCTGGCCAGTTCACATTCGGGTACCTCTCTGACAAACGGACCTCAGTCAATGCACTCATCACGCTGTCGGCATCCGTCGCAGCGATTGCAACACTGGGTGCTTGGGGGCTTGCGCGCTCCGTTGCACCTCTGGTCCTGTTTGCACTGCTCTATGGGTTTTTTGGCGCTGGATATACAGCCATGTGGGCGAGGATGGTCACTGCTGTTAGCGAAGAACCTTCTGCCGCACAAGCCATATTTGGAATGTTCAACTTTGGCAAAGGGGTGGGTAACATTGCTGCTGGTCCGATCAGTGCTGGGTTGCTAAGGTGGTCAAGTGGCGACGGAGGATATGGGCTCGGGACGTACAAGGCGGTTGTGTTGTTTACTGGGGTGTGCTTGCTGCTGAGCGCCGGGAGCTTGATCACTGTTCATATCAGGCCAAAGAAGTAGCCATTGTAGGAACGGGCGCCGGACATGGCGAATCAGAATACTGTCACGGTTAGTATCTCGAATATACATCTACGTCACCTGTTCAGATATGAATTGTTGCTGTGCGGGAGGCCTCACGCATGCACTTGCTTGACCGCCAGATTTAATCAGGTGAGACATCACAGCTATTTTCAGCCTGATCCCCATAACCTGGTGGAGCATCATCCTTATCGGACAGGCTCGTGGTTACGCAATGTAAGCCTCGTGTTGGGCCCACATGAACAAAGAGCCTCGCGATACCTGGCGATTGCGGCGCTGTGGCAAGGGAAATAGAACTCAGCCTCATGAGCAAGTTCTCATCAGCAACGGTGTGGCTGAGAGCAGCACGGAGCAGATTCGCAAAGGTAGACAGAAAGAGAAGCGGTGTCCAGTCTTGGAGTCTCTCAGTCGATGAATCGTGAGTTCTGGATGGAGGACGTGTAAAGCTGCTCGCTGCAAGGCATCAGCTGGCCCGTGCGGCCACCACTTAACGCGTCGAGGAAGTCGCGACGCGTCTGTTCGCGTCGAGGCATCACGACATTATCGAACTTCCTGATCCACCGCACAACAGCTGCAAGATGGCACTCCTAGTAGACAAACACCGTCCCCGCAACCTCGAGGCTCTGAACTACCACCCAGAGCTTTCAGACCGCCTCAGGGCTCTCGTGAGTGCTTTTGGCCCATGCGCAACTTTCTCGAGCTCACAAAATTATCAAGGCACAAAGCGGTGACTTCCCTCATCTTCTGGTCTACGGACCGTCTGGCGCAGGCAAGAAGACTCGCATCGTCGCAACACTCAAGGAGCTTTACGGTCCCGGTGTCGAGAAGATCAAGATCGACGCCCGCGTGTTCCAAACCACCACCAACCGCAAGCTCGAGTTCAACATCGTCGCATCCGTATACCATCTCGAAATCACACCCTCAGATGTCGGCAACTATGATAGAGTGGTCGTGCAGGATCTGCTCAAGGAGGTTGCGCAGACACAACAAGTCGACTTGGGCGCAAAGCAGCGCTTCAAAGTCGTCGTGATCAATGAGGCAGACCACTTGACCCGAGATGCGCAGGCGGCGCTCAGAAGGACCATGGAGAAATACAGCCCTAACTTGCGATTGATCCTGTTGGCCAACTCCACAAGCAACATCATCGCACCCATTCGGAGCAGAACACTGCTTGTCAGGGTGGCAGCACCTACGGAGGACGAAATCTGCGGGGTTCTGGGGACCGTGGGCAGGAAGGAAGGCTGGAGCGAGGTCGCGCCGCTCAACAGGAGGATTGCGAAGGAGAGCGGGAGAAATCTGCGCAAGGCTCTGCTCATGTTTGAAGCTGTTCACGCGCAAAAGTACGTCAGCCCAAACATCGCTGAGAGTTGATGCTGATCAAGACAGCGAGAAAGTCACAGACCAAACGCACATCCCGCCACCGGATTGGGAAGCACTCATCGAGCAGATTGCAAGACAGATCGTCGAGGAGCGGAGTCCACAACGATTACTGCAAGTCCGCGCCTCGCTATACGACCTCCTCTCGCACTGCATCGACTCGACAACCATCATCAAGACACTCACGTGGAAGCTGATACCCAAGACGGACGATGCGCTCAAGCCAGAAGTCATCAAGTGGGCTGCTTTCTACGAGCACCGCTGCAAAATGGGCAGCAAGCAGATCTTCCATCTAGAAGCATTCGTTGCGAAGTATATGAGGTTATACGAGAGGTATGCAAACCCGCCTAATGACATAACAAGACTGCCGCTAACGTTGACAGCTTCTCCATGGGCATTGATTTCGACTCGGCATAGAGCATAACTGGTCTGTGTCCATGGCGTCCATTGCCCAATGGAGCATTCCAGTACGGGCTTGCATGCAAAAGGCGTTTGGCGTAGAAGTGGGGACGTGTCGAGATGACTACGTCATACTCCGCACGCGTTGAGCTCTACCACGGGCTCCATCATAGCTTCAGCACCACCAATTCCACAACTCCAATTCCCCATCCAATTCCCCATCCATTCCTATACAGTCTAGCGCCACTACCCACAAAGTTCAGACCCAGCACACAATGTCCTCAGGCCTCATGGACACGGAGAAGGGCGGCGAGCAAACGCAGTACGAAGCAGAGTACTCCGACATGCTCCCCCACAAGCAAGAAGCCGGACAACTGGGCGGTACACACCCCTCGTTCCCCCATTCCCCTTCCTCACCCTCACCCTCAATCACAGTCACAGTCACAGTCACAGTCACACACTGACCGACGTGCCACAGCCTCAGCAATGCAAGGCGGAAGCACCGAGCAGCCCACCGCGCTGGAAACGCGCAAGACGGACGAGCCGAACACGCACGGCATCACGGTCGCGGACAAGATCCGGTATGGGCAGAGTATCCAGGAGGGCGGGATGGGCGGCAAGACGAACACAGTGACTGGGCAGGCGGATAAGCCGACGGACGAGACGAGTGCGGAGAAGCAGAGGAGAGAGCAAGGGTACGGGGGAAGCAAGGATATGGACCGGACGATTGGTGCTTAGGATGGGGTGCATAGCACGCATCACGGTCGAAGAAATGAACGATGGGGTGGACGGCTTGCACGCTGCGGTATTGGTCTATCCCCACAAACCCACACACTCCACCGAAATGTCAATGCAGATCAGGAGTGATGATCCGTGAACTTGTCATTTTCTCCACCCCCCATACTCGCCCACGTAAACCCACCAATGAGCGGCAGAAGCACAAGGAGCGAGTAGACAATGTACGACCAGCCCCAGCCCTTCATCGCTTTGAGTGGCGCTGCCCAGCACGTCACGTACCACTTCTTCTTCGCCTGCTTTTGCGCCTGGAGCTGTTCCTCGTCGGACGGCGGAAGCAAAGGAGAATCGGGGACTGCAGCTTCAGCAGCTGCTTGCGCAGCCTCGAAGGCCGCCTCGGCTTTTTTGGCTTCCAGGAATGCCTGCAGCGAGGGGTCGGCTCGTGGGTCATCCATAGCAATACCCATAGGGTGACGGTGCGAGAAGCGTCTGTTGTTCATTCCCGGGTCGTTCTTCTTCTCGGCCATGATGGTCGTTTGCCAGTCGTAGAGTCTCTTGTCGCGGACCTTGTCCCACTTCTGGAAGCGTTCGTCGAGCGTGCCATCCTCGGCCATCTCCTTGAGCTTCAATAATCTGGCGGTCAGATCCCTGTATGTTTTGACTTCAATGAGGCCTTGATAAAATTCCATGTCCAGTTTTGCGGGATCGATATCGAGATCTTTCATACGCTGGACAATGTATGTCCAAGTGATACATCCTCCCCCTTGTCCGGAAATGCCGAGTTCAAGGAGGTGTGCAGGGTTCGGTATTTGGCGCCACCTCTTGATGTGCTCGATAAATTCCAGTATGTTGCAATAACGAAGATGTGCAATCCCGTGGCGTCGAAGGAAGTACAGCGCCAATCGATGGTCCTCATAGTCAGGTTCCTTTTTGCCCTCGATTTTGACGCCTGAAAGGAGCCATCCACCATCCCGATCGTACGGGCTTGATTGCTAATCGTTCCAGAGAGCACCCAGGATGGTCAACAACGCGATATCGTAGCCTTCCAGCGAGGCAACATCAAGCCCTCTCTCAGCTGCCAACTCTTTGACCTCATCTGGTATTATGAAAGGCGTTTCGACTATGAGCTGGAGTCGAGCAGCCAGTACCTGAGGTACAAGTATGTACGGACATGCCTTGCTGAGCTTGAAAAGCGGGTCTCCCGCGTATCTTGCGATGGGTCGGTGGCTGACCCAATGTCTGGCAAGGGGTATATAGATGCGGTGGGTCACGTACGGCAACCGACCAAAGCACTTCACATTGCGCGGACCGTTGATGTGTGGGTAATCACCGGGCTCCTCGGATATCTTGAGAGGGTACTTGGGTTCGTTGTCCCCTGTCCTCGATCCGCGGGCTCTACGACTATCAGAGCGATTCGTATATAGTGCCCGGATTAAGTCGCCGTTTACCAATTCCGCGTTATAGTGCACTCGAGGAGTTGCCGGTGCGATGTTGAGCGTCGGTACAGAAAAGTCCGGGTCTGCGCTGGGTGCCACTCCTTCTCTTGGTAGTGGAGCAAAAGACGAGGCGCCTGCATGATTGACGTCGTTGAGATTCACCGACAACCTCCGTGATGCAGTTGCGGATGCTGCGTCATCTGCTGTCTCATCAGGCGTGACTGCCTCCTCGACAGGAGCTGCAGTAGCTCCAGACCTGGAACTCTCGGCCACTGTTTTCGGAACGGTGGCGGTCTTTGCACTCTCATCAACCTCGTCAGGCTTGCACCTTGAGAAGATGCCCAGCTTGCCCTTCTTCTTCTTTGGCTCGCTAGCCGGTACCGGCGTTGCGGATGTGGTGGCAGGACTGGGTGGGCTCCAGAGGTCTTCGCTATTTTCAGCTGCAGCGAGAGGCTCAATCTGTTGCTCGGAGAGGTCGCCCATGTTGACGATAGGAATATGGTGTTGGTAGTGAGTGTCCGCAGCTAGTATGCTGCGATATGTGATGGCTGGTGTGAAGATGGCGATACGGTGCACAGGAGGTCAGGCACTTGCGGAAGCATGATGTTGACGATCGTAGCAGGTAAGAGCGTGTTTGCTAGATCAACGTTTGCACGGGGAAGCCTCGACTTCTGTCATGATGCGCGGAAGGAGCACGAGTAAAGAGGTGGCGCAAGAGCGACTTCATCGTTCTTCATTCAGCGCTTTCGCATCCTCCACGGCCGCTCTCGCTATCTTCTTCAGCAGCGACCTGGAGTCGGCTTCGCGATATTTCTCCCATCCATCCAGGCCCTCGCTCGAGTCAATAGACAGCGTTTCGTACCCCTGCTTGATCACAACGCTGACCTCCTCAGGACTAAAGTGCTTTCCCTTCTTGCCATCTGCCAGCAGGGAGTGGTAATGGGAGGATACATTCACCAAGATTTGCATTGCGGCTGAGCTGCCAAGTCCAAATGTGTCGCGGAACTTGGTTAGGATGTCGCCCGTCTCGACGAGTTTGTAGAAGAGGTCGTCGTATGAAGCTGGGTCTGGTAGGAAGTTCTCGCCGCTCGAAAGTGCAAATGCGAGGACGTGCACAAGGATGTCGATCATCTTGGTGGATTTGTAGTTCGACTTGATGTCGCTTTCGTACTGCGTCAGGAAGCGGAGGAAGGACAACAATGTCCTCCAAAGTTCGGACCAGTGGTAGGCGATGCGTGTCTTGGTACGGCTGAGGTAGGAGAGTAGACGTAGCAGAATGCCTAGTGAGAAGCTGTCACATGTCAGCTGAGGAAGGGTAGTGCAAGAAAGTGCGCTTACATGTAGAGGTCAATGTCAAGCCGTCTTCGGAGGTTGTGATTGATCCCGTCAACCATGAGATCTAGGATGACAGCAGCCGGGGTCCGCTCGCCAGTGGCTTGCGGTAGGAAGGGCTGCCGTTGCCGGCACATGCGGACAGACAACTTGCTTTCATCGCTACATAGTCGCTTCACAAGCTCTTTGTCCTCTACTAGTATTTGCAAAATGAACAGGCACAAGTATGTGTACAACGCAGATCTTGTTGATCGATGCGCGTGCTGCAGCAGGTACGAAGTCATGGATAGGTACGCGCTGAGTGGCGAAGGCGTGCCCTTTGACGGCGCAGGTAAAGATGCTAGATTAAAGCAAAAGACCTTGTTCGCATTCACAAAGTCGTATGTCGAGAGCAACACCCCGATCTCGGGTCCAGGTAATGTCGCGAAGAGGGACTTTGTCTCCTCTGGGTTTGGTGTGGGTGTTGCTGGCCGCGATCCCGGAGCGAGTACACCGAGGCCTATCGTCCTCAGAGTGGAGCCTAATGACCAAGCCTCAGGCACGTCGTCTTGGATGGCTACATATGCGTCTCTGATATCCTCACACGTCGTTCCAAAGCACGTGATCATGTCTCGTATGATGGCGTCGTTCACGAAGTCGTCCAGCCGCAGTCTATACGGATTCTGGAACTCGAACTTATTGTAGTTGGCGAGGAGGCCGAGGAGATACAGCGCAGGAAGCACCTGGGCACTGTCGTCGGTGTCCTGGATGTACCTCATAAGCGACGGGAAGAGGTCGCGATGTGTGAAGTACGACGGCAAGGCGGTGTGGAAGCCAGCCGCGGTTATGGAGAGGGTCGCTCGGACAGCCTTGCGTCGAAGGGGCACTGCGTCTGGTCAGCTCTGGCAGCAGCTGATGGCATCCTCGACGTATCGACGTACATGTGCGCCCTGCCCGGATGACTGTGTCCAGCGTAGCTATGCAGTCGGTCATGACGGCGTCGGCATCGTGCAGACCTGCGAGAACGGAGATGATGTCGGAGCTTGGGTTCGTGTACTTCTTCGTCAAGGCGGCGTCTAGGAAGCCTGTCAAGGTCTGGCCGGTAAGCCATGGAACGCGGTTCGTAGATCTTGGCGTTTGCGTACCTCGAGCGCCATCTCGTCCGAGGGTGGTTCGGCCTGCTTGACCCTTTGGATGGCGCGGCTGAAGAGCTGCTGCGAATGCGCCTGGCGGTGCAGCATCTCGTCCGGCGAGATGGCGTCCAGCATGCGCTTCAGGCCGGCCGGATCGGGGCGGTGCAGGAAGAACTCCTGCCAGAAGCCCTCGGTGAGTTCGACATCCTCCTCATCTTCCTGCGTTCGTCGTGAGCTATGCCTCGAGCTTCAACAAGCACATGCGCACCTGGAATAACGTTTCATAAAGGCTGATGATCTTGGGCTGGAACAGCTCAGGTCTTGACACCTGCGTCAACGGCGAGGGCTCCATATGAACAATGGACGCAGCCTCACAAGCTGCTGGGCTTCTGTTACGACAGGAGTGTTGGGGGACGACTGTGTCTCGAAGCTCCCAAAAGTATAGGTAGTGGACCCTGTTTCGTCCCTGGACCGAACGCCAAACGCCGATCGCCCCCACACCCCACCAGCTCCATCACCAGTCACGTTTCCAGCCTCAAGCGTGACAGCAGTAGGGCTTTCAACCTCCAACAGCTGGTTCCCGCACTACGCACGTCATCATGCCACAGCCACCGCTCCTGGTCGGCATCTCAGGCCCTTCATCTTCTGGAAAGACGACCCTCTCTCGCCTCCTGCGCGACATCTTCCCACAGAAGCAGCTGTCGATTGTGCACCTGGACGACTTCTACCTCACAGACGCCGAAATCCCCGTCAGAAACCAAGTGCAGGATTGGGATTGCCTCGAGTCTCTAGACCTCAGCGGCTTGAGAGACGCACTACTGCACATCAAGCAGCACGGCAAAAGCCCGGACTGGCTGGTCAGCAAAGAGGATCAAAACAGCGTCGGTGAACATGGCGTCTCTGAGCGTGTCGTGGGCGAGCTGAGGAGAGGGGTCGAGGCGTTGCTGAAGGATCATCCAGAGTGGCAGAATCGGCGCATCTGCATAATCGATGGCTTCTTGTTATTCAGCGAGGAGATGAAACACATCCGCGAACTGTTCGACGTTCGCATGTTCCTGCGTACAAGCTACGAGATAGCAAAGAAGAGAAGGGAAGCCCGCAGCGGGTACGTAACGTTAGAAGGGTTCTGGGAGGATCCGCCAGGCTATGTTGACCAGATCGTATGGCCAAATTATGTCAAAGATCACAAATTCCTGTTCGAAGACGGGGACGTGGACGGAGAGTTGGACGACGATGTGCTCGAGAAGACAGGTATATGGGGAATGCCACGGGAGGCCGAAGGGGATATGGAAGTGTGTCTACGATGGGCAGTGGATGTGCTGGGAGATGTGATCAGAGGTTCATGACGCTGGGAGAACGAGAGAGGAACATAGAAGACGAAGTATGCATTGCGCCGGACGCCGTGAGTTGGCAGTCGCGTGTCGAGTACCAAATGTCCGCGAGCGCCCTATCCAACACGCTGAAGTGATGATACAGATACAGTGGAACACATGTAGGGAGACCCGGGCCTAGGTGCTGCTCTTGACCTTGTCAATGTAGGCTTGTCCCGGGCTCTCGTACACAGATGAGAAGAAGGCATTGACTTGGGGCTCCTTCGACAGCCATGTCGTCATGCCGCTAAGTTCTTCGCGAAGACGGTTGATGGCTTGGACGTCCATGTTGGTCTGAGCGATAAGTTCTGGCATAGAGACTGGGGGTTTGGTCAGCGAATGCGGGTTTCGACAGAGCATGATAGCGAATTACCAAAAAGGCGCAGAAGGTGCTCGCCACCGTAGATCTCCGACATCGACTTGCCAGCAAGGTCGTGTGTTGGCTGCTCGACCTGCGTGGAGATATCATAGAACTGTTCGCGTTCAAAGCGGTACAGCAGAAGTCGCCCCAAAGCCTTGTTGAAGTATTCTTTCAAGCCTTGAATCACCTCTTCCAGGATGTCTGTCTCAGTGCTGTTGCGGTTACCTGTGGAGGTAGCAAATGCAAAGTACTCGTCTAAGATGATGGCAGCAGGCTTGCTCGATGGCAGCTGAACGAGCTGCAGGTTCTTGGTAATGTTCTCCCAGTCATCGACAAGCAGGCTCTTCAGTCGATCCGGCATGTATATGCGCACAGCGCGCTTCTGCTGGAACGTTTCCTCCTGGAATGAAAAGTCAGACACGGTCGAGCTCACTGTGAGTGAAAAAGCGTAGTTGTGGGGTGGGAGACTAAACATACCTTTTCAAGGTCCTGGTCACGCATGCGTTTCTGACCACGAGGAGCAGCGGAGACAGAAGTTTGGCGCTCTTCACTTCCTCGAGTGGAGCCCTGTGCCTTCTTCTTCACGGGCGGTGGTTGCGCCCGGGCGGCACGCTGAGCCATCAGCATCTCGTGTCTCAGGCTGTTTGCCAGTTCACGATTTTCAGGATTCAGCTTGCGAAGGCGATTCTGAGGCACCCAATCGTCCCAGCTGATATTCGTTAGTGAAAGCAACCAGAAGAAAATCTCGGATGGTTGAAGTAGATCGGGGCAGTGGCGGGGTGCGGCAGACGTGCTGTTGCGGTGTAATATTGAAGTGGTTGAGTCCAGGGTCGAGGTGCGGGCGAGGGGCGAACGCGATTTGCACAAGTCGAAGCTGCCTGACGACAGACACGGAGCAAATAGGCAAACGAGGATGGACTGAGTACGTACGTATTCTTCCACCCTTTGTAGTGGACCTTGTACTGGAAGCCACTACTTGCATCGTCGTCCTCGCTGGGCCTCACATCAGTGACCTTGGCCTCGTAGAGCAACTCATGATGGAAGCAAAAGGCCTTCTCGTCTCTGCGGTAGGTTGGCTCGGCTGCGGCTGCGGGAGCCATGATTGCTCTGTTGGGTCAAACTTTGATGTTGGTGTTGTAGACGAGGCAGTCAGGTCGGGAGGAAAGGGTGAGAGCTACACCACGTATCACCCACTGCTGCCTTCTACACGCGCCACGCAGTGTGTCCAGCAACGATTGATGTCGGGCTGATAAAAGGTTTGATTAATCCGAACAGGCCGGAGATGGGCTCAGGTGTCGCGCGACGTTGTTGTCTTCACATCGAAAAGCCTCCCGTGAGACGCACAGACCAAGACGCGCCGTCGCGCTTGATGCACGCTCAGCCCTGCGCCGACTTGACTACGCTCTCGACATCACTGACGCGCCGGCCGCGAACATTGACTGGCACTAGCCGTCAGCAATCACTGACCGCCGCAACAATGCCGTCGCAAGAAGCCAAGCTGCTCAGTGACTTCCTCCTCGCACCCGCACCGCTGCGCGACTTCATGACACTGCGCCAGTTCACCGACATCTTCCCCCGTAGCCACCGCGAGAACCCGGCCGTGCAGGATCTGTACCGCGAGCTGCACCGGCTGCGTAAAGCCGAGATTGAGGCTGTGCGCAATGACATAACAAAGGAGGTGAAGCGGTCGAAGCAACTGAGGCACGCGTACGCGAGAGAGAGACGTGAGGTGGACGATGCACATGTCGCAGGCACTGATCCTGTGGCTCTGCAGATGGAAGAAGAGGTACGTTACGCCGCAACCTCATGTTCAAGCGCCGGCTAAGAAATGTGCCAGCTCTCCGGTCATGGTCGCAAAACACCGCACACGCTACAGACAGTCCACTCCAGTATCGAAGACGCATGCCAGAGCCTCGAGACACAGATCACCGAGATGGAGGAAGAGAGCCAAAGAGCCCTTGCTGAGGTCCAAGAAGCTGTCGGTGCCTTGAGCGACCTGCGACATGGGCGATTCGCACAGCCGGCCAGTGGCGAAGACCTTGGGGAAGAGGTGTTGGCCGCTCTCAAGAGGCTTGATACCGTGTGCGCGGACCCAGCTGGCTGAACACACCGTCGCTAAGGCTCACGCTGTTTTTGGCCTTTTCCAAAACCAGGGGAATGATCGAGCTCAGTTTCCCGGGCGACGGCAGTAAATATGCCTCTGCGACACACCGACCTTAACAATCGCTCCTTGGACCTCATTGAATACTTAGAGGCGGAGCACCTCGCAGTTGAGCCATGTCGAACCTACAAAGCTGGCAATGGAGAAACAGGCTCTTGAGGGAGGCCATGTAACGCTGTAGGTTGCAGCTTACCTCTTTGGAGGTCACTGAAACCCCACTGCCGGCCTTCAAGGTTCAGATATAGCCAAGGAGCGGGATACTAGGATCTGGGGCCGCGCTGAAGACATCCGGCCACCATCTGGATTAGTGCTATCTGATTGGCCGCTCCACGCACGGCAATCAAAATAGATGAACATCCTCTATATCCGCAGGAACATCACGTAGTTGATCACTCACATACGAGACGTATTTGCAAGGCTCAACGTGTTCATATTGAGCGTATATCAGCAGGATGACCGCTCTACTATCGATTAATGTAGGATGTATTGACAATCCACACGACCATGTATCTCAAATCCATCTTCGCACTCGCCTCCACACTTTTCTTCTCCTCATTTATCCCGCTCGTAAGTACCCGACTCATCACAGCGGACAACCACTCTTTCGGCGGCGTCAACTACCCGCTCCTCCAATTCTTCACACCCAAACACCGCGATGATACCATCCGCACCATCGTGAAAAGCAAGGCCCGTGTTATCCGCCTCTACATCGGACCAGATAGCCACCACACCGACCCTGAGGTATCGATTGGAGAGTTCGACAAGTCTCTGCTAGACCAGCTGGACGATACCCTTGCCGCCATCCATCACATTTCAGAAGGCCAGGTCAAGGTGATCATTTCACCACATGATGCACACGCACTGCGGGGCTCAAATGACATTCCGTGTGATGCGTATTGCAAGAAGATCGGAGATGCGTTCTTAGACTTCTACAGCCTGGAGGAGAACCGGGAACTCTACAAAACTCGCCTTGATGTATTTTTCAAGCACTACCCGTCGAAGAACTTTGGAGGAAGGAGTTGGAACGAGCTATCAGAAGTCATCATGGTATGTGCATCTCCCTTCATATCACACGTCATCTATGCTTCTTATGATCCACGGCCTTTTCTACGCATCCGCAGTCCAACACTGATTACAATGCAGGGCGTTGATATCCAAAACCAGCCTTTCAGTGGCATCTGGCCTATCCCCGCGGGTGAGTCCTGGCTCTGTGACATGGCGAACCATCTGAAGTTTTCTGTCGGTCTGGACAGCTCGAATATCGCCGTCATCAGCGGCGGCGTCTCTGGCTGGCAAAGCCTTGACGGTATCCAAAACTTCCCAGACAGCGTGTTCGAGTGCTCTGCTATCGACGTGATCGGTATCCATGGCCGATTTGCTGCTAAAGAAGGTGTCACAGCAGGCACATCGTGGGCGGAGATGTTCGTCCCGGGCAACACACTGACCGCTCGGGCCCAGGGCAAGCAGGGAAAGAGGAAGCTGCTGATAGTCGAAGAGTGGGAGTATGTGCACACCGATGCCGGTCTGAATCACAAGGGAGAGGCCATCTTTGACCAAGGCAACGCGCTGAATTTGCGCGGCATACCATGGGTACTTTGTCCCCTAACCCCCACTTTGTTTCGATGATCATGAGAGCTAACGAATATAGATCTACTCCCACCTCTCCAGCAAGAACGAGTCCACAACTTCCATGATCAACCCGCTTCGTCCAGAACACGAATCCATGGCTGCCCTCGCCGATGTGCTCACCCGCGCCTCGGTGTCTCGAAGTAATTTCAATTGGTCCCCTTACCTCGCTGCACCATCTATGTCGCTGTCACCACTCACCGAGATCCCACTAAACCCATACATCCCAGCAATTAGCCCCTGTGCATTCGGATGCGAAGGTCATCTCTGTTCCTCCGCCGATAGCTGTTCCCCAGACCTCCTCTGCAAGAACCAAGTCTGCCAGCGAAATTCCGATCACCAACCTGGCCGAGCTGGAAGCACATGCAATAGCAAGAAGCCATGCCAGTCACATCTACACTGCTACGCCAGCACGTGCCAGTCCTGTTCTATGCGTCCCACTCTACCTGGCACTGAGACCTGCGCTCCGGATGCAGTTACGGCATTCTATACGCACCCTTCGCGCCCACAGACATGCTTGAACACAATCGGAAGGCAGAATCCGTGTGAGAACGCAGGTCATTGCTCGTACAATGAGTACTGTTCATGGGGTCTCTGCACCACTTGCAAAGAGGGCGATGCGTGCCTCGGCGCCCCGTGCAAGAGCAACAATGCGTGCAAGACTGGATTTTGCAATGATCACGGGCGGTGTGACTATAGTGGGAAGAAGAAGTTGTTTTTTGGGCCTGGTGTACAGGGGCGCTGGAAAAACATGAGGGTCAATGGAATTCCGAAGGGGCATGAACGCGGACCTGCGAAGGTGAGGAGTGAGGCTCTGAGCATTGTCATTCCGACGGAAGCAGTCATGGAGACTGGCCAGGCGAGGGTTGTGTCGTGAATGAACGACTCATCCATCTGCTATCGACACAATGCTGGGAGAAGCCTATCTCGTTTATTATCTAAGTTCATAAATGCCATGTGTTTCGACGGGGTCTGCTTTTAGTGAAGAGAGCCTTGCTGACCGTCAGTCTTCCTAGATGAGCAGACTTGTTGCTGACCAGATCGTTGTGTCTTGAATAACCCAAATTGAATCCGTGCCCATCAGGTTTGGACATCCTCGGAATTTGGTACTTTGTCGCTGTTAAGTGCACCTCCCCGAGGTTGCTTTTTCACGGACGCTAGACCCAGCCCCACTACGAAATGCAAGACGACACGAAAGCTTCATCTCTTAAACCTGAATCTCCAACATCACCATGACATCGCACCATGATCGACCAACACCAGCAGCAGGGGTTCCATGTGTCAGGACGGATCGTTGTTCCTTCCAGATCTGTGCGGGCGGTGGGAGACGTCAACGGCGGTTGAGCTCGATGTGAGAAACGCGGCTGGCAGCACGCCGCGGTGCTCCGTCGGCGATTCTAGGGTCGCAAGATAGGCCGATTGTGGAGGACAGGCGCCCTTGGCCTCATGGGAGTTCTTGCCTGACAGGGACGCAGCTCTTCTGGCCTCCAGGTGCGAGAAAAAAGGTGACTCCTGCCAGAAAAGCCAGCACTAGGAACGACAAACGACAATAATCCAGCTGTCATGTCGGAATTGGTAGGCCATTGGGATATGCAAAAGGTGATACTCTCGGCAAATTTGCTTGCTAAGCCCAAGTCTAATTACCGGTTTGGGCATTGTGAGGCGATGATGGCGTGACAATCAGCCCATGCTTCTCACGGCACAGCCTCGCGAAGACTGACACCTCCACACGTGCAGAGCAAACCTATGTTGCGCGACAGCTTCCGCGCGCCCCGGCATTAGATCCGGCACTCTTCTTCAGCCTTACAGGTACTTTGGAACTACTATACGGCGGGATTGCCCGCCTAGTCTGCTGTTAGTCAGAGCTTGGTCACCATCACCCCTATGATGACGACTCGATTCACGATATTGAAGGGAGATTGAAGGACGACCCTCCGACAGCAGCGATCGATGCATTGCAGAACGAGCATCGCATTTCTTATTTGCTTCGCAGTGCTTCGCAGATTGGCGGCATACGCGCCGACTCGACAGCAGTAAAATCGCCGATGATGAGAGCCATACGCTCGGATCCTCAGCAACAGCTGGGGTTTACGTTCCTGACCGACGCCGTGTTCCGTTGATCGACTCGACTCGTGGATCCATCCCTCCGGAGCTTTCGCCCGCGAATTACAGAAGGGCCAGGCATATCGCTCGCTTCCACTCACCCTATGACAGCAAGTGCCTTGGAAGACCTGAGGGATGCTGTGGTATCCACAGGAATGGCGCCGTCAATACTCGGGCTTCGTCCGCTTGCAGAACTGGGAGCCTGAGATCACCTAGGATGCATAGCCGCTGCTGTGTTACTACAGCAGATGCGACCAAGATGAAAATCTTTTGACGGAATGGTTGAGGTGTTTCTCTTCTCCACTCAGAAGCTGTTCCCTGTGCCGCACATCTATTTTCGGCGAACCGGCATGTCAAAGTCGGCGCGCGCATGTGCTACGCAGGCATACGAATCAACAGCGCACGGAAGCCTAGCCCCACTGTACAAGACAACAGCTGCCCCTCTGAACCGGGAAGCACCGATATGAGCAGGTAATGGTCCGACAGACGCATACATCCAAAGCACTCGGATGCTTACTGTGGGAACAAGGATCTTAGTCATACCATACGTACGGGGAACGCGGCGGCGGGAATGGAAGGATGTGACTTCTGTGTTAGTACAAGAGGAAGGACGGATCAACGGCGAGATTGCAGTTTTAAGTTTCAACTGCATGTTTCTCGACTAGCCTGCCCTGAAGTTAATAAGCGAGACGCAACAAACTCGGGAAGCGGAGACAACCCAAGCACAGCCATTGCCCAGTTGGGTTCCTGACAGCTCTGGAATCGTCGATACATACGAAGGATGCTCGTGTCTCTCACACCTCCATAAAGCAGGGTCCTGCCGTTAACACTTCGAACTACTGTAAGCCATTATCATCGTTATACTCTAGCCTTCGGGTAGACCATTTCGCATATCCCCACCGAGCCACCAACTCATCGAGCAACCGTTACACACAACACACTTTCATTCATCGATATCGGCAATGAACTATCCGGGCTACCCAAATGTAGCCAATCCCGACTACTCTCCTTCACAGGAGATGCTACCCTACCCCGATCAGTTTGGGAGTGCGTATCTCGCGGACACGTACACCACATCCCCCGAATACTCGCTCGACTCCTTCTTTGACCAGGCCCTCACATCGGGCGATATATCGTCAACCTTCCCCAAGGATCAAGGCCAGTTCAATCACCCCTTACCACCAACTAGGATACCAGCATCGAGTGCCACACCGAGCAATAGAACAAGCTCCTACTCGACTTCGCGACACCCATCGGATGCTGCACCGCTTGGTAAGCTCGAACAGTTCTCGTTCGGCTTTTCCTTCGACCCGATACCAACCGAGCCGTTCGAAACAGCCTGTTTCTCCCCAAACACCCATATCTCCTCCAGGACCCCTTCCCTCTGCGGCGACGCACCGGAAAAGGCCTCATCACCCACATCATTCACCCTCTCGCCTCGCAACCTCAAGCGCGAATCCCCTTCAGCCCCTGACTCGGCCTTAGAAGAACCCACTCCCAAGCGACCTCAACGGAAACGCGGCCGGCCACGACTCGACCGCGCCGAAACAATCTCTAGCACTTCCTCGCCCTCGTCGAAGAGCCAGAAGACCGGACGACTGCCCCATAACCAAGTTGAGCGCAAGTACCGCGAAGGCCTCAATGCAGAGCTGGAAAGACTGAGACGCGCGGTCCCCACGCTTGCCCAAAGTGACGAGGCAGGAGCGATGGGTCAGCCTAAGCCGAGCAAGGCTATGGTACTAGCGAGTGCCATTGAGTACATCCGAAGATTGGAGGCAGAGAACAGCGCATTGAAGGTTGATAACGACAGGCTACGACAAGCCGCGACCAGCGGGCAGCCCATCAGAAACTGGAAGATTGAGGATGAATCACTACAAGAGTTTCAGACTGACTCATGATGGATATGAGGGCACCAAAATTGTGATGCAGTCTGGATTCTTCGGTCACCAACTCACGGGATAGACCACGGCGCTGGCGTTCTGGTGGGCACAAATTTAAATCGATGGAAGATATCCTTGGAACTCCACTTTATCAAGTGCTGATGCTGGCGGAGGCTGTTGTACAGGCTACTTGTATTTCTCTGCTGTACTCAACGAATTTACGATACCCAGGCAATGATTGCCATGCAATGCAATATACTATTTCAAGGTTCAGAGTCACCACAATTCTGCCATGTGCCAGGTACCGATATGTAAACTGCCCTCCACCTACTGGATGATTACCTGAACATTTGAATGCGTTTTCTCCTAACTCATTCCATGGTACGGAAGCTGCCGCCCTGGTGATCCCCCGCTAACCCCACCTCTCATCGAGCTGCACCGAAGCTCCGAGACCCAAACATCAATATGTCTTCAACAACCGCGACAACAACATCACACACGGCCAAATCCCATATCAAGACCCGATTCCTTATTATTTCTGACACTCACTCCTCGGATCCGAAACAAAATGACCGGAATGACGCTCCCTTCCGCTCACCGTTGCCAAAAGCAGACGTCCTCCTGCATTGCGGCGACCTGACGATGATCGGCCTCATTGACGAATACGAACGCACCCTGGACATGCTGGGCAGCATCGATGCAGATCTTAAGCTCGTTATTGCTGGAAACCACGATATCAGTCTCGATGAGACGTACTACAAGAGAAAGGGCGCAAATATGCAAGGAATACGGTACAATGAAGACATGCCGCGTCAGGCCAGGGAGCTTTGGACCGGTGCAAGAGCTAAGAAGGCTGGGGTCACGTATCTAGAAGAGGGTACGCATAGCTTCGCACTGAAGAATGGCGCCAGGCTGGGCGTGTATGCTAGCCCGTACCAGCCTGAGTTCTGCGTACGTCTACAAATATTGCATTGATGTCGAAGGGCAGTGCTAATTGAAACAGGACTATGCATTCCCCTACCAGCGCAATGAGGATCGCTATAATCTCTCGCACCAGTGCTCACCGGGCGCCACGCCTATCGCAGAGAACCCTGTGCCGGATTGGCAACAATTCGAGGGCATTGATGTAGTTATGACGCACGGCCCACCGATGGGCGTTCTTGACGTTGTTCGGAACGGTGAGCACGTTGGATGTGAACACCTTCTCAGAGCTATGAGGAGGTGCAAACCGATGTTACACTGCTTTGGGCATATCCACGAGGGCTGGGGTGCACAGAAGGTGCAATGGAAGGATGGGGATGAGCTCGATGTCAGGAAGCCAATGGATCATATCAAGGACACAACGTCAGTCGAAGTGGACGATCAGCGAATGAGGGATGAGCGAGCAGTTCATGTCGATATCAGCACTGGCGGAGACGATGCGGTCGTGTTTGGGCACGAGACATTGATGGTCAACGCGAGTATCATGAACCTCGCGTACTATCCGGTGCAGGGACCGTGGCTGGTGGACATGGATCTTGAGAGGGCGTCTGACCCTTGAGCTATCCGCAAGCAACTACCGGTGAGGGCACCAATCTGAATGATCGTACGTCGACAATCAGCAACGACTGGCATGGCACTCAGTCCCTACTCACGTACACCAATCAAAAGTCTTCAGCGTCTCTCATACGTCTTTTCTTTGGACGCGAAACATCACTTATCGACAAAGCCCAGCGAGCACCTGTGGCTGGTGGGTACCAGACCACGATTACTGCTGGTGTGGACATCCGCTCATATTTGATGCGAAAGCGAGTCCATATTCCTGGTGCTCCGTCCTGTCGACAGGCGACCTTCATTGAATCACGGAAATAGATATCCATCACTAATACACGCCAAGCCGTCATTGCGGCAGCTTTCGACCACTGACAGCTTTCAAAGACCCCCCGTTACGCCCAGAACCCTCGCGCCGCTGACACTTATGCGCTCCCGCAAGCCTGGTCCACGACCTCTCCATACAAACATCCTCACTCCAAAACCGAACGATGGGCACAGCCACGTTCATTTCGCCACAGCAAGCTTGCGCACCAATTACAGATGTCGCACGTCCATGATGTCGATAAAAAACAGGGTCACGGCACGGAAATGCCATGTTCTAGCTGTGGCTAGTGAGGGGAAATCCAGGTTTCCTGCAAGAACAACTGGGGTTGCGGACCCTGATCAGCATCATGGACTTCCGAATGTGGTCACCATACCGGATGGCTATGAGTGTCGATCCGTTGGCTTTTGCCTCTTTACAAAGTGTACATGCAGGACGGAACATGGATTGTACTGTCCTGATAAGTCGCAGCGCGCCGTGCTACTGGTAACTTGGATTCAACTGAAGTAAATCCAACATGCACTCATAACGACAAAGCGGCCGTTCGACATTCACGACGATTACTCATTCTTATTCAAGATTCAATTTAATCGCTCGTTCATGCATTCGCTAGGAGGATTGACGGCATTGCGATGGCTTATAGTCGGCCTTGGGGCACAGTGCGTGAGTGCAGCAGTGAACGCACCCACGCCAACCATCACACCTGCACCGACGATTGCCGAGCGACAAGATCCTAATGCGTACGTCTGTTCAAAACAATGTATATTGGAAGCAATTGATTGACCCTTGAAACAGTATTGAGCTCGCAAAGGTGCTCCTCACTGCGCTCCCCGCCTCATTACGTCAGATCGCGGCCACAAACATACCTGCTGTGTCAAGTATTTTGTGGCACGAATTCCTGGACGACAACAAACCTGACTGGTTCAAGGCCTTGCCTTCGAACATACAGAGCTATCTGATCGTTCAGTACGGACCTTCCACAGCATGGCCGACATCTACTTCTTCGTCGAGTGCGAGCAGCACCATGTCTACGGCTGTTTCCACGACTCGAGCATCTGCGGACACCGCTTCTGCTACCTCAGAACCTGACAGCCCGTCTGCGAGCAATTCTGGCCTCAGCCAAGGCGCAAAGGTTGGCATTGGCATTGGCGTTCCGCTCGGAACCCTTGCACTCCTGGCTGTGTTGATCCCATGCTGCTTCGCAATGCGCAAGAAAAAACAGAATAAGTTAATCGGTTACGAGCCACCTCCCTCTCCTGGATTTATGCCCCACGGTGCCTTCCAAGAGAAGTCTACAAGCTACCAGGAACACCGCAGACCGTTGAACCGAAGCCAGAGCTGGGATCAGGATGACGAGCTGTGGATGCAACCTGTGGCAGACAATGTGCCGCATCCTCCAAAGCATACCGCACCAAACCTACCTATGGGTAACTCTAACACTGTCATTGGCCCTCCGCTCGTCCATACGCATAGCTCGAACCGTGCGCGTGGAAAACGAACAAGTCACAGCAGTTTGCACGCTGTTGCTGAAGTCACAGAGCCCGACGAGGAGTACGCAGCACATAGCCTCAACAATCGTCTGCTCCGCCGTTCCAGCATGCCGCTACGCCCTCAAGACGTCCTGCCAGTACCAGCCGGCGCCAGCATCCGTCGCAAGCCTCTGTCCACAGTGAAACCTCACCCTCAAATGGAATCGCCGCTGGCAAGCCCCGTCGCCGAACGCGGGTTCTTCGGCCATTTCTCCCTTCTGCGCCCCGCCATGCTGCACCAAGACCACAGCGGAAGCTCCTCCAGCGGTCTAGCCGCCGCATCTCTCTCCTCCCCAGAAGACTCCCGTCGTTCGTCTGCCAACACTGCCCCTACGGAACCCGATGTCGTCTCGCCTGTCGCGTCTCCCCCACCGCGGCATAAAACTGTCAACTCGTTCACGACTACCAGCAATGACTACACGCTGAACAAACGCATTTCCAACCCCTTCAGCAACGATTATGCGTACATCGAGGACTATGGTCCAGAGTACCAGAAAGGGTACGTCGACGTCGAAGATGGGTTGTATGGAGGCCACAGAAGTCTGGATGCGTATCCTGTCGTGCCTGAGAAGAGCGAGCGGAGGGGCAGCAGAGGGGCGAGCCAGTGGCCGCTAGCGGATTGGCCACTCAAATCGTTGGGTAGCATGGGAAGAGGGAGGAGAGAAAGGAGTCCGCAGTGGGATCGTGTTTATGAGCGACGATGAGTGACGACAATTGTTTTGTTATGATACCATTCTGTTCTTTGTTGATACGTACACACGCGCGTTGCGCAGGCACATACACAGTTGCCGTGATTTCCGAGTACGTAGTATAAACCCACCCGCAATAAATCATCTATCCAACCGTCTACTTAGTCGGATTGTCGACTTGACTGCTGCGTTGGGACGAAGCAGATAAATTTGTACCATTCTATCCTCCAGCTGCTTTTGAGTTCTCACCACGCCCTGCCCCTCTATTCATCTGAAATTTCCTTTTGACCGTTGGTTCGGAATGTTCTTGGATCCTGTCATCCTTACCCCTAACCAACGCCTTGGGGTCTAGCGAAACTTCATCTGGATCCAAGTCGGAATCAGAAGGAGCTGTTGATTCAGCATCTTCTCCTTCAGCATTTAACTTTGCCTCTCTCTCCTGTCTTCTCCTGATTGTTTTTTCATGTCGTGATATTTTATCATCCTGCGCCAGCTCCACGTTCCCTCCCTCGTCATCGTCCAATCTCAATGGCGCACGAAGGTGACCGCCGGCACACGAACCCCTGCGGGTGCACCCGTTGCAGCAGCAACCATTAGCCACCCTAGCAAATATGTCGTGCTGCCAGGAGCGCGTCTTTTCGTCACTAGAGTGTGATAACTTTGGCTTCGCCTTCCGGTCCCACAGCTTGGGGGGTGAAGATGGCGTCGCATTCGGTGATGAACGATGGATCATGTACCTGCACAATACGTTCAGCCCGTGCACACCTTGTCAGCATAAGAGCCCACATACCTCTATACCCAGGTATCTAGCATCTAGCATGCTCATTAAATCCGCGCCAAGGCAATCGTAGTGTTGCTCGAAACAGACGGTAGCTGTGGCGCCGGTGGTCTTGATGCACTAGTAGGCAGGCTTCACAGACTCAAGAAGATTGTATGCTGCTGCAATCGGCTTTTCATCGGCCTCAAAGGTTACAAGAGCGCAAATTTCGATCTCGACTTTGCAGGTTTTGTAGGTGATGCTTGAGAGCGCTGCCAGCGATGCACCGAACACCCGGGATGAAGCTCGAGAGCGCATCCGTTTCTCTTCTCCGCTCAGATCCTTCTCGTATGGGAGTGAATCGTAACGTACGTAGACTCGGAGATGTCTGATCAGGTCGCGCATGAGGCTGCCGGAAGGGAGAGGGTGGTCAAGCAACATATCGAGATCGACACCGTGTAGGGGCCCACGGTAGTAGAAGGAGGTTTTGCATATAAATGTATCCTTGATCTCAGCACTCACTGCGGGGCCCATTATGTCTTCGTCAAAGATGGGGAATTGCGGAAAGAGGTGTTCATCGGAGACGTCGGGTATTGGTAGGACGACACGTGCAGCAGTATTGACATGTATCATCAGATAGTCATATATGTTCTTGCGCAGCTCTATCGGAAGCGTCGAGTGGAATGTATCCAGCAGTGGTTGCAGCAGCTGCCGGGAGTACAGATCCCGATTGGCCATGACTTTCTTAGAAACAGTCAGGCGATATCTACTAGAGCTCTAATGCGGCACCAACTTCGCGAGGTACGCTTCATCCTGATCGAACCGTGTGAGGTGTTCAGGAAGTGATAATGACTACCTTATAGCCCGCGTCTTTTGCTCCTGAGTCGCACTGCAAGGTACTAAAACTCTCGGACCAGTCTTCCTGAATGCAGACAGTAGCATACCGGACACACAGATCACGTACTTTTGAGAGCGGAAACTTTGGTGCGAGCACTTTCAGTGTCGACAAATAACAGCAGGATCCGAGTAAGGGCTTTGACGGCCGTAAGATCCAATGTGAGTGCATTGCACTGGAATTTGTGCGAAGCGACCACCCATTCTGTTGATCTGAGGGCGACTTGCACTCCAGCAAGCTCAAGTATATCTATGTGGCGTTTGTTACACTAAGAAAAGCAACGCGATGCTACCGCCGTCAGTCTGTGTCCGTGTAAGGGTCTGTCTCTCAGGCGTACAACTCATGGAGTGAAGTGAGTGGTTGCTTCATCAATTCGTACGACTTGTTCTATCTGACGATGTTCCTTGCGTATTCCTCGTGAAATCGGGATCAATTGCGACCGAAAGAATTGGACGCGTGCTCACAACGCCCTCAATAGGAGTAGTGTGACGGGATGCTGCCATTATCATGGCTTTTGGTTATCTGCATGACCACACAAAAAAGCATACCTCAGTATAAGATATGCAATACCAGACTGCAGTTGCTATTGTGAGGTGGTGATGGCTTGCGCAGCCCCGGAGTGAAGTGAAAGTGAAAGAGGCTTGGCTGTCAACAGGAAGTCGCAACGGACCGCTCCTTCGCCGCCTCCTCACACTCACACACTTTTCACGGCCTCACATAATGGCAACAACGAACTGCGATACGGCAGTTCTCGCTAACGCCGGAGACAGTCACACTTCCGACCCCTCAACAGTACCTGCTGACGACGCGACGACCTCTACGGGTTTCAAGCTCAAGATGACCGATCTTGGGCTCGAAGTTATCACAATCGACCGGCATTACGATCTGACGCTCATTGTTAGGAATCCGGACCACACGGATGGTCAGAAGGCCTTCCAGATCAGCCGCAGCGCTATGTGCCATGTCAACGATATCTGGACAAATATGCTCACAGGTAAATGGGCGGAGAGCAAACAATCAAATGTTGAACTGCCGGACGACTCGTGGAAAGCGTTGCTTCTCGTCTTACACATGGCGCACTCGCAATTTGCTCAGCTGCCAGACGAACTGAGTGTAGAGGAGCTTTGGGCGCTGGCAGTCTTGACGGACAAGTACAACCTCGCAGAGATAGTGCGTGTCATATTGGAGCTCAAGAAGTGGCTGGTGCCTTACAAGACGGAGTGGACGAAGTGGCCCTTGCACCCCCAGATCCAGGAGCTCGCTGAGATTACTATGGTGTTTGGCCTCGACGAGGATTACGAGTATCTGGTTGACAGATTGGCGATTGAAGTCGAACTCGTCCAGGACGGCGATACGGTGTGCAGAAAATACGGTCCGAAAGACAAGGAAGTGCAGCTACGGCCAAGTTTGCCCGATTGTATCCTGAGTAAGTCAAGCACTGTGACAGCCTTGCCGCATGATCAGGCGCTAATAGAACGTATAGCCAGGATTGTAAACGCACGTGACTCGATCTTGCCTGACTGGCTCGCAAGGATCGATTATGCGGTGGGAATGGCTATCACGGGATATTCAGATCCCCAACTGTCATTATGTGCGAATAAGCTGTGCATAGCGACAAGATCTGGAGTCCTATTGAGAGGCCTCAGTGCTGCGGGTATTTGTCCAAGGTTCGCGACTATCGATATCATGGACAAGAGCGTTGCGTTTTACTGGAAGGGATTAAACAACATCGGTGCTAGGTTCAAGCCGTACAGTACCTGCGACAAGACTTTCGGGTACGGGCGAGGGGCCCACCACTCTAGCTGCAGCTTCGAACAATGCTTCGGCGACTTCGGTATCCTCGGTCAGGCGAAGATACACTGAGAAAGGTGTTGCATGTGGAAATCTCCGCCCACCTACAAAATGTAAGCTGCAGACGTCGCACTGGTATCGACTTCACTGACATCGATGGAATGACTACCTTCAGGCACTGGCATAGCAGAAATATTGCAAGCCGGTCAACGGAGCACAGCTCACGCTGCAACAGGAAAACGGACGCTGCAGCGCTGCGAGGATACACCATCTCAAAGGCTGCGTTCCACCCAAAAGGAATACTCTTTGCTCTGCATCTCTTTTCAGACTCCCGCATCACCAAGGGTCTCTTCCACAAGCTGCAGGTACGCTACCACAGCCTGCATCTCTTCATCGGTGTCCTCTCTGTTCCTGTACCCCTTGAGCATCTTCATTGCATCATTGTCGCCCTGCTTCTGCGTCCACCTGTGCGGTGCATCGTCGTGTCTACCTCCTCTTCCTCTTCCTCGGCCTCTGCTGCCTCGACCCCTGAAGCCGCCTCTGCCACCTCTGCGTGGCTGATCGTCTTCATCGGGCTCGATCGTGGCAGCGTAGACGCGCTGTAATGCGGGAAGCAGAACAGGGTATGATTTGACGAGTTCTTGGAACTTTGGGTTCGTTGCGAAGACGGACAAGTCGGCCTTGTTCTTCAGATAGCGTGGGACGGGCGCTGGCGGTGGAGGCTGGGGTATCTCGGGTTCGACGGGCGCGGCTGACGTGGGCGCATCGTTGGCATGTGTGGATTCGTGCTCTTTAAAGCATGGCACCGAGCAGCTGAGCTTATCAGCAAGGCTGAGATATGAATGATAAGGCCAGCGTACTATGGGAGTGCGCAGTTCTTGCACTTGTACTTCTTCGGCTCTGAGTTGCAGACGCCGCAAAGCACTTCTGCCATTATGTTCAGAGCTTGTGGTTGTTCTATGAGAGCGGAACGGTTTGGAAGGCTTTTCAAGTGGTTGCTGCAGATGCGGAAACTGGCGTTGGTGCAGTGCCAAATAGCGTCGTGATGTGAGTGGAACATATACCTGGGAAACAATATATATCAGTACGCAGCCTCTGGCTATTGAGTCAGGTGCGAACGAATCGCGGTTCACAAATGGGAGAGGCGGCTCTGCTGGTGCTCCGGCCCAAAGCCCACTTGTCCTACGGCCAATGAGAGGCGAGAGAGGCCGCGGGCCGCCGAGGACTTCGAATTCACTGATTCATCACTTGGACCACCCCTCAACACCAACACCATGTCTCTCGCATTACCGTTGCGTCAGCTCCAGGCGCGCATTGCGCAGCCATGGATGTGTACAGCATGCTCGAGATCTCTCAGCCGCGTACCACGACCCCGCAATATCACAAATCCCGTACCGCACCGGTGGATTAGCTCGAATAAGACCACTGGAGACACAAGGCAAGGCGCCGTGCCGAGCATGGACCAGATGCATGCAAGATACAAGCAGAAGAATAGGACGGTCATGTACGATTTGGATGTATAGTGCACAAAGGCAGTGGCTAACGACGTACAAGGAACTATGTCTTCAGTGTCATTGTAGGCTTCGTAGCAATCACATACGGCTCAGTACCTATGTACAAGATGGTGTGTTGAACAAAGAGCCGGAGACATACTGCGTGTGCTTACATGATACCCAGATCTGCCAGCAGACAGGGTGGGGAGGTCAACCCATCAAATCCGCAGCGCACGGCGGCGGCGACCCCAATGTCGACCCGGCCGAACGACTGAAGCCCGTCGAAAATCACCCTCGAATTCGAATCACATTCAATGGATCTGTGTCAGATGTTCTGCCCTGGAAGTTCGTACCTCAGCAGCGCGAGGTGCGCGTGCTGCCCGGAGAGACAGCGCTCGCCTTCTACACCGCGACCAACAAATCGGACGAGGACATCATTGGCGTCGCAACATATTCAGTGACGCCTGGACAAGTGGCGCCGTACTTCAGTAAGATACAGTGCTTCTGCTTCGAGGAGCAGCGGTTGAATGCTGGTGAGACGGTGGACATGCCGGTATTCTTCTACATCGACCCTGAGTTCGTCACGGATATCAACATGAAGGGCATTGAGACGGTCACGCTCAGCTATACTTTCTTCAAGGCGAAGTACGATAAGGATGGGCATCTGCGACCAGTGCCCATGGGGTAGTTCGAGCGTTTGAAACCTCAAACACTGTACCATATTTGCAAGAAGCTCCCAAGACCCTGTATATATCGAGTGAGAGCGAGCTGAACTCACACAAAAGACGTAAAAAACCTTTGCGCCTCTTTCCTGATCTATTCGAGGGAAACTACGCTCGACCTTGGCTTACCTGCTTATCTAGGGTGCTCTTGCGCGGTTCGAGGGCCTCCAGGGTTCAGTGGCTGTTGCCAGATCTTGACGCAGAACTTCCAATATTTGTCCACTCAATTCCCACACCATTACTCACTCACCATCACCCCATTCATATCGCTCTGTCTGCGCGCGACCACCCCGCGTGCTACTTGCTATCGCTAGCTCTCAATACAGCACTTCCATCGCTAGACATCGCTGTATACCTCCTCGCCGTACGCTTTTCACATCAAATAAAATGGACTCCAAAGATCTACCACCACCACACGGCACGATTGAATGTTTCGGCGAATTTGAAGGGCCCGAAGTCCTGCTACTGGTCGGGCACGGAGGTGATTGCGCCACCTTTCACATTGCAGAGTCGTACCTGCGCCATCTCGGTCCACGGTGGAAAGCCCTGCAAGGAGTTCGAGCGCATCGCCTATCCAGAGGACTGTTCAGAGGACTGCTCAGCGGTGTCTTCGGCGGATCGTATGGCGGAGTCTTCAGAAACCCATTCACTGGACTGCGTGGCTTCGACAAGAATCCGAGAATACTGAACTTGAAGGGCGATTACCCAGACGCCATACGCATTCTCCTTCAGATTGTTACCATGGAGTTTACGAAGCTTCCTGAAAAACTCGACTTCCCCGAGCTTGTTCGCCTAGCAGAGGTTGCTGCACGATGGGACTGCCATGCGATGCTCGCCAAGTTTATCGAAGGGTGGGCTGCACCGTACCGCGACAGGATATTCCTTCCCGGATACGAACAATGGCTCTATATCGCTCACGAATTTGGGTACGAGGACGAGTATTTGGAGCTTTCACGACGCCTTGCTATTTGCTGTTCGATCGACTCCCAAGATCGGCTCGTCACACCTGATGGTTCCGTCCTTGAACAGAGGGGGATATTTCCTCTCGACACACTCTGTATGTCCTCCAAGTAAAAATAGATGTCCTGATGCTAATAGCGACAGTTCAAATTCATGAAGGTCGGCGACAGATCCTTCACAGCATAATCAAGGCGCTATATGACCTCTGGGCAATAGTCGCCAATGGCTCCAGTTGTCAACTTGCCGATGAAACCAATAGCTATGACTACCGAAGCTGCGCAGGTGTCAACCTGATTGAGTTCACTGAATACCTCCGGGGCAAAGGGTTGTTTCCGATGATCAAGACCGTCGAGCCGATCCGTTATTCACCATTTGAGCTGGCAAGATATGTGGATACGGAGCTCCTCTCGCACACCGTCGACCTCGATTCCGAGGGATCTTCATCACCTCGTCCGACACCACCACACATCGACTGTCACGTTGGGTTCCAACTCGGGCCTGTCATGCAGAACATTCTTGACAATGCCAGGTGGCCGGTTGAAATCTCCATAGTAGATCGCATCAGAAGCAATACTTGTGAGTACCGACTCGACCCTGCATTTGATGACCCATATGCAGATGTCGATGGTACCCCAGTACTGCCGAGAGAGCTTGTTTGAGCAATTGGCTAATTCCCACAATAGTGAAGACGGGAAAGACGCTCTCTTGCCGGAACGTATTACCGGAACTCATTCTGGACATGGAGGGTGTGACAGGACGGAGACGTAGGGAAGTGACGGAGATCGACTCTGCACTGGATACATGCCCAAATGTATTGAATGTACGATAAGGGGTATGGGGGTATATTTCGGGCTTAGAAGATAGATACTGCGATGCGTTTGATATCTTCGATACTGCTCTCTCTTGGCCATGTGTCTCTCACGGTACAGTTAAACTTGCGGTGGCTTGCGTGACTACCTCCGCCGGCGGTGTCATCGCGACTGCCTCCAGATTTGGAGTTGTCTATTTACGTGCCACCCACTTCACCTCACCTCACCTCACCTCACCTCTCTCCATTTTCGACACTCCTGCTCTCATACAAACCTCCTCGCCTCGACCTAAAGTACACTACAAGGTGCGTGCGGCTTATCAGACTACGACTTTAGCTTACTGGATACCTACAGGATGCTGTCGGTGTGCTCTTCGTTATTGATAGCATAGAACAGCAAGCAACTGCTGTTGCCTCTGGAGTTAGACTTGCGCTTCCTCACAAGTTTCTCCCCTTTCGATGACATCAGCATACTCGCATCGACCATGGTCCACGGGCTACCAGCAACACTGCGGGCACAGCGACCTTTCAAACCAGCTCGTGAGCTGTGCCAAGTTTGTGGTCCACAGTGTCGTCAGCATCGTGGAGTGTGTAGGCCGTTGGCGGATACCTCTACAAAGATCGAGGATGTAGGAGCGGGATCCTCAACCACGATCTCTTGCATGGCGTGCCAGCCTCTGCGACTGCACTTTTTGAGACGTGCCCTTCGTCAGCGCGATAGCCTTCCAGCCTTGCACTCATTCCCTGCATCGTAACCTGCGGGTCGTCATCACTAATAGTGGTCTGAGGTTTCTGCCGTTCGATCCGGGCCGATGAAGCAGTCATGATGCATTTTGTCGGCGCCCTGAATCATCACGAGCTGGAGAGACGCAAAGGGTCAACAATCGACTGACTGTCGACATCGATGCAAATGCCTACGTCTGCCAGGGCCATCGGTCGTGTTTAGCATTGACACGGCCGCGTTGGGTGTTCTGGCCAAGGCCGAGATCAGCAGCACCAGCGCAGTTTCAGCCACGCTTGGTATTAGATTGGAAGTAAACCGAGGTGTTACCACGGCTCCGCTCCGCCTAAGACCGCATGCATACGGAGGCAGACGGATAGGTACAAGACACAGCGTCACGAATAGCGCAGGCGATGGGCCTTGTGCATGTGTCCAGACGGAGTGCGATGTAATGATGATTCGCGGGGCAACCACGGATTGAAGTGTTGTACGACGGGCATTGCCGCGATCAGCTGGATCAATACTTTGCGACTCCACACAGAAGAGGTCCCCAGCCAGCGGACGCTCTGCCTCTGCTTGGCGGGAATCCAGTGCGCGCAGCGGGCGACACAGGCGCTCGGGACCAGAGCGGAGTCACGGGCGGCGCCCAGCTGTGCCCCAGGCTGCGGTGTCAAAGCACTGTGAATTTGTATTGAAGGGCGTGGCTCCACCGCCGCAAAACGATATGAATTGAGGCCGTTCTTCCGTCTTGTCGGCCTCAGCGTCGCCTGGAGAAGAGCCAAACTTCACGCGTGTCCCGCCAATCACATGTGCGTGCCCAGATCAAGCCAAGGTCTTCAGCCAAGCAACACCAAGGCCAAGATTCACCCAGGCAAATCGCAGGTAACTTGGGTTCTTGTCCTCTCCTGAGGGCCTTGCTATATGATGCTCAGTCCGTCCCTCCCGGTCCGTTCGAAATTCGTTGTTGCCAGCCACGGATGCCCATCGAGACGTAGCGCGCACATCACCGTCCGCCGGTCATGGAACCCCGACACCCGCCGGCGCTCTCTCCGGCCACACACACCCAAAGACACAGCAGCCGTCACCCGTCGCCCGCTGAGACCGACTACGGTTCCGAGTACGCCGAGAAGTACAACGAGAAAGACGTACATGCGCGCAAGGACAGCACACGGACAGACGGCGCCAGCAAGGCCTCATATGGTCACGCCCATGATTCCGTCATTTCGCCATTCTCGCCAAAGGCCTCCGCGCCGCCAAGCCCCAGCAGCAGCATCTCCAGCGATGTAGGACGAAAGGACCGTACCATCTCTGAGATTCGGGAAACACTTGTCCGCCAGAGCCACAACAGCCACCGCGTATCACATCCTCCGCGCGCGCACCTGGACCCAGAGAAAGCCAACTCATACGATGCATTTGAGCACCGCTCGCAGAATCGCCGCTCCGTCCCAGATGCGGGCGCTGTGGTGTACGACAAGAGCGAGTACCACGAGAAGGGCCCTGAAGATAAGGCCTGGCAACTTCTGGTATGTGTATCCCTTGGTGAGCATAACCCCCGCAAAGACTAATTCTCTGCAGTTCTACCTTTCTGGACCTTGCGCACTGCTTTCCGTCGCAATCGCCTTCTGGAGCATCTTCGCGATCTTCATCTCGCTTGCGCTCTACCCCCTGCGCTTCTGCAGCAATCGGCCCGCGCTCTCCACTCAGTTGACGACATTCCTTGCACCTGCGCTCAACCTGCAACTTCATCTGGTCTACTCCTTCGATGCGTCCGAGGGCTACAGCGTACCCATGCTGGTGGTCATCCACCTGTTCTCACCCATCATTGCATTCGGTGTCGCAATTGCCTCATGGACAGCCGCAGGATTCTGGTTTTTCTCGTCCATTCTTGGCGACCCTGGGGGTCACGACGGCGGCCGCCACAACGACGGCAAAGACTGCATATTAGGTGTGAGAAACTACTGGGAGCGATGGCTATTGCGAGGCCTTAGATGAGCTGACCTCAAAACTTGAGGAAGAGGTTGTGTAAGAAAAGATTCGATTCAAAACACGATTTTGGCATTTAGCGCTTTCCCAGTTGGGAGTGCAGCATCAGCGGCATGGTGTGGCGTACATGGATTGGGATGGACTCTGCATGAGGAATTGCTGGTCTGGCACGACAGCACGGCGTTTTGGCATCTGTTTAGGTTTTTGGGACGGATTTGAGATCTACTCTCCGTATGATTATACCCCATTCATTAATGTTATCAAAATCAACATTACAGAATACTCTACTTGGCCTCTTCGACACGCAGAGCCCCATTTCACACTTCTTGTCTCAAGTGACTTCAGCTCATGCAGGCAGCAGCGTTGGTACAAAATCCAAACACCGACAGTCCCTCTACCAAGCCCTTCCAAGCCGCCCCGCGCCATGACAAAGAACACACCACCACTTTAGTACTCACAACCTCAAAGCTTCGAATCCAAGTATTGGCTCTAAACACAAGTTCAACCCACTCCCATCCACACCAAGAACCACCATTAGCTACGGACCTTCGCACCATGTCTCGCTCCACTGTCTGACAGCGGTGAGACCAGTGCTGCCTTCGGCCGAGCCAAGAGCCACAGGGCCTCCGCCCCCTTGGACAGCACCGAGCGGTCAATTGCTCGGCGCGTTGTGTCTGCACGAAGGCTAAGCGCCAACGCGCCCAGTGCAAGCGCAGCAGGGCAACAAGGTTCCGCTGGCGGAGCGAAGTCCAACGTCAAACCGAAGGGCTTGTGGTGGCTGTGTATGTCTGAAGCCAGCGGTGTGCGTGAGTACCGGTCATGAGAGCTGTGCGAGTGCGCTTTGTGTCGAGGTCGACGGTGATACGACGCGACGCGGCGAGAATTGAGGAAGTTCGGCGCTCGCGGCATCGCGATCGCGATCCCACGCACACGTCTGGGGTGCTCGTCATCGCAGGAAACATCGCTCGTGTTCGGCACCGCTCGTGTTCGGCGCATAATCCTTCCAGTACGACCGGAGCTCCGGCATGGACAGGTGACTGTACGTGTAGATCTTGGCTGGCAAAGATCAAACGCCCAGAGAAGACTGCGGGAGCATTAGCCACACGTCTGCAGCCGGGATGGAGGTAGTGCGCTGGGCGTGCGGCTTGTCGACGTCGTTGTGGTTGTGTCCGGGGCGGAGACAAGACGGGTGTGCGGCGTCATAGTCAGGTGTAGGAGGGCGGTGCGTGTGAGGCTTGATGTGGTTGAGTGGACGTCGTGCCTTGAAGGGCAGTGAACAGATTTGTTTTGTGTACCAAATGGATACGGTGTAGTAGATATTATACATTCATGAAATTACGTCTAAGTCGTGGGTATATGGCAATAAGGAGGATCGTGAATTAGAGGAAAGAGGAAGTGCAGACCATGGTCGATGACCCGGTGAGAGAGCCGGCCTACCAAGATGTTGCGCTTCGCAGACTGTTGAGCCGTACCTCAATCTCCTTCGTCTGCACTGTGGCCTGATCTTTGGAGACTCTCTCACTTGCAGTGCGTGACAGCTCTCGCACGAGGCAGTTCTTGAAGCATTGTTCGATGAGGAATGGATCGAACTCATGAATATCCAGCGTCGGACTTGAGACTCGCAGGCAACTCCTGTCGCTACCGATCTGCTTCTGGAAAATATGGTCCAGGAAGGCATATGAATCGTCGAACGTCTTGTAGCAGCTTGAGCATGCGTAGCTTGCATAGTCAGCGCGACTTCCCGCCTCAGGCTTGATGTGTGATGTGAACAGGATGCACCGAGCGTCCGGGAGTCCAGAATGTGTGGCGACTGCGATGCATTTGTCGCAGTCTGGACATATCTCTCGATCGTCATGGCGGTCACGGGGCCGCAGCTTTTTTGTTTGGAGGTTGCTACCCTCTGATGATTCGAGGTCTTTGCGTAACTGCTCCGCGAAGGCGCAGTACTGGATCTTGAAGCGTGGAGGTGGCAAGTATAGCATCGATGTCGGTGTGGAGAAGCGTTCGAACTGGGCATGCAGAGCCTCGAGGCATATACGGCGGATACTCTTTGCGGTCGTGATGATGTCCTCATATGGTATGGAAATTATTTCGGACACGGCGCTGTCGCAGAGAAGCTCTCGCACCTCGTACTGCATGCGGATGAGCTGTGCTTCTAGTATGGTGTGGCATGTCGCTGGCAAGGTCAGTATGCACCAGTGATTTCCGTATATTATTACACACCATCGCCTTCCTCGAATCTTGCCCCAAAGCGCTTCTTTCCGGTGCCCATGAAGTTTCTGACTTCGCGGCCTAGGCTCAGAGCTTTTGCAAGGACATCATCCTGACTCTTCATGGCGAGGCGCGACCACGCTGAGCGTTTGAAGCCGCTTTTTGCTTGCAGTTGTACGTAAAGTTCGTACGCATTCTGGAACTCGCGGTCGATGTCCCATAGGAGGAGAGACGTGTGCTGAGACTTATTCCAAGTGGCAGTCATCTTTCGTGATTAACTAATTGTTTCGTAGCGGCGTTTAAAAGAGGCTGGGAAAGAGTGACTGAGAAACTAAATGAATGTGGGCGAAGCAAACTTCAAGAAGGTACGTGTTGTTGCTCTCACCGCATGCGGATCAACTCTTGATCAAAGCAGACAAAGTCTCTTTCTTCCAATTCCACGCGCGGAAATACTGTAGGCTTTATTATCTCTTCGCACCGCGTTAGACGATGCATGAATCGCGGCAATTGACAATCATTTGTGGAAATTGGCGATAATATCGTCGCATCCGTAGTGCGCAATGCGCATCCTAATTTGGTGGAGCAGCGAAGCCGTTGCGCAGAAGCCGCGAAAACCCTTCCGAAAGCGACCGAAAGCTCACAAGTACGAAATCTCCATCGGGAAGATACACGAGGTATAATTGCGCATCATATGAGAAGGACCGCTGGTCGTGATGTGATCAGGGGGTGAGGCGCTGCGAACAGACCGCGATGCAGCCATGATCCTGTCCGGGTGCGGTCATAGCGTGCCGTTTTGCCCAGTGCGGCGCGATCTTGTCATATTCGCGTTTGTGACCTCAAAGTTCAAACAACCATCTCTGAATCTTCATTTCTGACAGATGAAGCGATAGATTTGTCAGCGCTTGAGTGACGGAGTCGTGAAGGTGGAGGTGGAGCTGCTGGACGGACGCGCCTTCCTGACGAGGCGCTCATGAACCCCACCATTGCCTGCCCCGCGTCAAGCTCCAGGGTCTCGTAAACACGACACTCTCCACCAAATTTCCTGCGCAGGCTTCACCATGTCGCACAGCCACTCGCACGATGGTCCATCGCACTCGCATGCGGCTGCAGACCATGGCCACACCCACGAGATTCTTGACGGGCCTGGTAGCTTCATGGGGCGTGAGATGCCTATCATCGAGGGCAGAGACTGGGAGGATCGATCGTTCACTGTAGGCATTGGAGGGTAAGAGTGACGTATACACATGATGGTGGTAAGTATGCTGATTACATGCAGGCCTGTAGGATCGGGAAAGACGGCTCTGATGCTGGCTCTGTGCAAGAAGCTTCGTGAACGCTTCAGTATTGCAGCAGTGACGAACGACATCTTCACCCGGGAAGACGGCGAGTTCCTGACCAAACACAAAGCTCTCCCAGCGTGAGAATTACCTATAAGTTGAACGAAATTTACGCGAGCTGACCCGATTAGGGAGCGTATTGTCGCTGTCGAGACAGGCGGTTGCCCCCACGCTGCTGTCCGCGAAGACATCTCAGTCAACCTCCTGACCCTCACCAACCTCCACCATAAATTTGACACCGACCTCCTTCTCATCGAATCTGGTGGTGACAACCTCGCAGCCAACTACTCCCGCGAACTCGCCGACTTCATCATCTACATCATCGACGTATCTGGCGGCGACAAGATCCCACGCAAGGGTGGACCCGGAATAACACAGTCAGATTTGCTGATTGTCAACAAGATCGATCTTGCTGAGGCGGTCGGTGCTGATCTGAACGTCATGGAGCGTGACAGTAGAAGGATGCGCGAAGGCGGGCCAACAATATTTGCGGTCGTAAAGAAGGGCCAGGGTGTCGATGCCATTGTTGACCTGATCCTGTCGGCCTGGAAGGCCTCGGGTGCCACACAGGCGCGGAAGGACAAGTTCGAGCCAACCCTGATGGACGAGAACGAGGAGAGTACGGAGAGGGGCTACAGCATGTCTTGAGCTGATGTCGCGTAACGAAGTAAGAAAATGAATACCCTCCCCATATTAATGGACCGCAGGCCGTGTGCGATATATCAATGATACTGGCGAATGCATGTGTGCTGGAATGTCCGCCAGGTTCAGGCTCTTCCTCAACAGACAAAGGCTTCTAGTTTGCCGGAAGCACTGCTCCATGCTCGCCTGGACGCCCAGCTGCACCACTGAGTTCTGATGCATGAGCCATTGACTGGGGCTGTACAGCTGCGGACGATACAGCAGGTTGTGCAACTCGCTGAGCTCGAGCTTGCGTGCGTGTGATCTCAGAGTGGAGGTTAAGAGCTCTATTCCATATCTACCCAAAGACGTCAGCGAATTGTCCGCCATATACTCCGGTACACATACCTCCGACCATTCAGTCTGTGCAGAGGTCTCTGAGAAAGGTGTTCGCGGCTCAAACGTAATGGAACTGTGCGGAAACTCGGCCCGGGCTCGCTACCATAGTCGTCAGTCACGTCACTTATATCAAATCTGCAGCTGACATACGCTTTCTTGCATTGACCTCGCTTCTTGGTCTCCCAGAATGCCTTCGCAGTCGTTATATAGAAGCTCTCCATGGCCGATCGAATGGCCATGTACTCTCTGTAGTTGTTTTCGAAGTAGGCCATTGTGGTCTTCTGGGCCTCTTCCAAGGACTCGACGCGTCGCTGCTCGCTTGTCAGCGTCTTTTCAAGCGCGTTGACCGTGTTTCCAACGCCGGTGAGTGTTCGAGTGAGTCCTTGAGCCGCCTGAACATAACCTTCCATTCTTATGGACGTGGCGTTGGCACCTAATTTGAGGGCGGTGATGTTAATCTGACAGGTTTCGACGTCTTTGAGAGCATGCGGGATCGTTTTGCACATAGACTCAAGCTTGCGCTGGAGGTCGGAGAACGACTTCGAGATAGCTTCGGTATCCTTTGCATATGCAGTAGTGTATTTATGCGCGGTGTGGTCGGTGTACTTCTTGGCCTCCTGAAATCGTAGATCGGTGTACGCGTTCATACTGTCTTTTGACTCAGAGATCCGGTTTACGATAGTTTTCTCGACGATTTGTGCCATGTTCTTAACTTTGATCGAGAGTACCGCATGGCGGTCGTTCCCGTCTTTGTCATTGCGAGTGAAAGTAGCATGGTTCTGGCCGATGAGTGTATGTGCTCTCACAAGCTCGTCATCAAGCTTGACCCCGTCTGCTCGGACTTTAGTAACGTCATTATTGAGAAGGTCCATGTCATTCGTGAGCAGAGTCATGTGGTGATCTGTTTTTGCACGGCTGTCTTCCACGCGCTTTTCGACATCGCCTATCGCGATCTTGTTGGCCGTGACATCTCCGTGGATCTTCTCGACACGAGTCACACGGTCAGCTAATTTCTTGACACTGTCTTGCACAATGTTGAGGTCCGCCAGTGCAGGACCAAATTGCTCGTCAAGAAACTCTCGAACACGCTGATAGAGGCCTTCGCGTTCTTTTTCGAAGGCTTGCTTCGAACCTCTGAAGGCACAGCATAGCCAGGTGACCTCTTCCTCTCTTTGCCGCAAGGTCTCCTGACTCTTCTCTAGAGCTGACTTAAGTTGAGCAATCTTTGAGTCGTTATCTTTTACGTACAAGTCGTGTGATTTTTGCACTGTTTTAAGGGCGGTCTGAAACGCATTCTATTCGTTGCGCTGATCCTGGGGCTGTCTTAATAGCTCTGCTTCGTGTTGTTCCTTCTCTTCGAGAAGGGCCGTGAGCTGTTTGACCACTTCCAATTCTGGGTATCGATGAAGCGTTTCTGCCATCGGTCGTCCTCTCTGTAGCGTTTATCGGCCTTTCAAACCTCAGGACGAAAGTGTCTACTTAGTTGGTACTATCACAGTTCTCGATGTAAGTCGGGGATTGTTTCTCGCTGGCCCATTTGGAAGAAACGTACTACCAACGTTGGCGTTCGTCAGACCAATTGAAAACATTCACAGGCAATTAAGAAAGAGTTACCTTGAGAAATAGATGACAAGAGCTGCGTGGATGCTGTCGAATACGCATAAAAGAGGGTCAAACTTGTTGCGTGGACATCGACAGACACTGAGAGACAAGGCCTAAAATATATGTTACGGTGATCTCGTAATAGAGCTTGACCGCTTCGAATAACAGATGTTCTAGAGGCCCCATTGGCAATCAGCACAAAGGTTCGGTCTCATAAGATGCAGATATCCATCTCAATGCGCAGGTGGCAGCTATGCTCCAGGCTTCCAGCACAATGTTTCGAAAAGTTAGGAACGAACGGACCTCCGCCTTCACTGCAACGTCCGAAAGTGCAAAATCAGCGCTACATGACCTTCCTTTCTGTAAGTTCTCTGGTAACGTCCGGATTGATATATCAACAAATGTGACGTAAGTGCAAATAGGTCAGAGTGCAGACCTCCTGTGACTGTTTTCTAGACCGGCCGCGCAGCATTCGGGATTACAAAATATACACGCTCAAAGTGAACGCTATGTGTTTGTATGTAGACGGATTCGAGATGTTTGAGATCAGCTTTCATTTTACCGCACAGCACTTCGTAAAGTGAAGTCAAACCAAGCTGTGCGTCGGATGTTCCGGCACAGATGCCTATTGGTGGAGGTCGGTAGAAACCAGGTTATAGGGAGAGATATGATATCTAGACGAATAGATGACTGGACATCCTTGTGTCACTAATTGTGATTGAGACCAGCTCGCATCACGCCAGTTCTGTGTGTCTTTCCCCACTGCATCATCGTGTGCATTGCAGCTTACCGTCAAGCGGCAACAACGACACACTTGAGCTATAATAGCCACTATGTACTTATATAACATCGGCGATGCACGGGCTTGACAGACCAGTCTTTATCAGGCATTGACTTGAGGACGAGGATCGATTTGATCAAGCTTGACTGTGACCACCTGCATGAGAGGATCAACTCAAATTTGTCCTTCCAATATCTTCGCAGCCTTCTCTGTGACAATCCCCTTGCACATACCGTGCTTGTACCTGGCGCCGACGTGATCATCTCGTATTCACTTCTGTTGACTCAGATATACTCTCGCGACACAACAACACGAGTGCATTCAGCTGTATGGGATCTTCAAACAGCCCTCTCTTCATCAGTTATCCATCATGGGTAACATCTTTCCGATATGATGCCTAGACCTTGACGATTCGGTCTCTGACCTCGGCTGCATCGGCTCGGATGGCACAACCCCGTGTTCTCCTCGGCCATGAAAGCTGTACGCAAACTCAGTTGAGGGCGGCGATCTCCTATGAGAAGAAAAAGTAAATCATCCAAGTATGTTCGGCCTTCCGTGGAAGGGTCGCGAATAAGGTCACCCTTCGTGACTAAGCTTAAGGCTTGATATCGAGGATGATATTGAGCTAGCTTTCAAGAACCTCGAAGGCAATTGGAGGCAGATCGATGATGCTCCTAATAGATGGTGTACTCATCCCCTTTCCCTGCACAAATGTATACACTCTCTTGGCTGAATGTGGCGCTGCAACTCGGGGTCCCTTCGCAACTCTGCTCGCTAAAATGTGCAGGTCAGAGTCTGATTTACGTCTGGCCTTACAGGTAGGGCAACTTTATGATGTGCAAAAGGCGCTGGAAGTGGATCGAGTGGAAGCATTGCTGAGTAGCGCCGTCTCAAAAGGCCTTATTATGAGCGCTTTCCACATCGACGGAAGAACAGATCAAAGACCAGCGGGAGGTTAAAATGGTGTTGAGAGAATTCTAGACGCATGGACGGGTTGATGGGTCAATAATGTCTGTTCGCATCCCGCTGTGGGTATAACTCTATCTCATCCAAAAATTCAAAAACAAAATGCCAACACTCATTATTCTTCATATACTCATCCAACGCCTAATAGTCCGACTCTGTACGGTTCTTGTCAATAAAGACCTTCTTGAAACGGAAGTGCAGCAGATCGTTAGCGACCTTAGCAGCACTCTTGGTGTTCTCCTTGACCAACTGGCGGGTGGGCTTCATAAACAACTGATCGATCTCCTCGAGTGTCTTGTTCTTGGTTTCATACATGAAGAAGATCTGGTAGAACCAGCCAAGCACCGCGATACCACCGTAGAAGCCGAGCGTCAAGCCAGTAGGAGTGAACGCCTTCTGCATGCCGGTGAAGTTGTATGTGACGATGAATGAGGACAGGAAGAGCCATCCGGTAGAGGTCGTCATTCCGTAGGAGCGGAGGTATGTCGGGTAGACCTCGGACGGAATGACCCAGGTGAGAGCGGCGTAGGAACCGAAGAAGAGTTCGTAGAGGATAAGGCCGGTGAGGTACATGGCGAGTCTGCCCTGGGTGTTGCTCTCGCCAAGGTGGTCGGAAGCACCGACAAGGACGAGACCGACAAAGAAACCGGGCAACATGGCAATAGCCCAGAAACGGCGACCGCATCGCTCCATGAGGAAGATAGCAGGGATGGTACCGATCAGAAGAGAGCCTCCACCGACGAGGGACATGTACGTGGCTTCATACTTGTCGAAGTTGAGCTGAGACATAAGGACTGACATGTAGTACATGATTCTGCAAAAGTTGTGAGTGATTGTTCGGTAAGGCTTGGCGGCGGGAATTTGTGACTTACGCGTTAATACCCGTGAACTGGCCAAGGAAGATCATGATGTTGGCGTAGACGATCGCACGGCGGGCGCGAGGCTTGGTGAAGAAGTCCATCCATGGGTAGCGGTTGGTACGACCAGCAGCGACCTCAGCCTCCTCTTCTTCTGTGCTAACCTTCATAACGAAGAACTCCTGGCGAGCTTCAAGAGTTTCGGTGCCACGGATGCGCTTCCACACCTTGAACGCTTCAAGTGTCTTGCCCTTGTGCATGAGGTAGCGGGGTGACTCGGGCATAAAGAGAATTCTGCAAATTCATCAGTGATTGTTAATGGACTGGAGAAATTGGTGATTTACCCAACACCCATGATGGTGGAGAAGACAAGCGAAGAGCCAAGAATATAGCGCCAGTTGCCAGGAACGCTGACAAACATAGCAGCGACGGCGTATCCGAGCACCTCACCGAGAGCTATGTTGAACTGGTACAGCGACACCAAGTTGCCACGAAGACGGCTTTCGACGGTCTCAGCGACATAGACGGGTACTGTTCCTCCCTCAAGACCGACACCGGCACCAAGGATGACGCGAGCGGAGACAATCATGCCATAGTTTATAGCACCGGCCTCAAGCGCACCACCAATAGTGTAGAGAATACAAGAAATGAGGATAGCCCAGCGGCGGCCGAAGTACTCATTGCAAGGCGAGATAAGAAAAGCACCAGCAACAGCTGTGGAGTATGAGCTAGCTTCCGAAAATGCTGGTAGAAAGCTACTCACCACCTAGCGGCATGCCAGAATTAACGAGGGAGTTTTGCTGGTCGGTAAGATGGAGGTCGTCGGGCAGGAACAGGTTGGCACCGGAAATAAGCGATTGATCGAGTCCAGAAAGAAGACCACCCATGGACGCGAAAGCGACGAGGAGCCATGTGAAGTACTTGGGGTTCTTGAACTCGAGGTCAAGCCAGCCCTTCTTATAGCCAGACTGCTCAAGCTCCTTCTCCAAGTCATGGATCAGGTTGTCAGACTCCCAGCCACGAGCGTTCTCGAGCTGTTCCGTCTTCGCCTTGGGTGCCTGGTAGTGTGTAGGAGAGGCCACCTCGATTTCTCCAGTCTTGTCAGCAGGCGCCGAGACCTCCTCGAACATTTTGGGGTCCTTCTCGTCTATGGACATATTGGGCAGTGATCGGCGAAGAGCAAAGGTAAGAGAAGTGCTACCTTTCGCCCATCTCTGGGGCATGTCTCCGCCTTTTAAATCCTCAGTGGAGATGCCCAGCCCATGGAGAAGATCCCCATGGCATATTCTCCGATGTCGTGTGACGTACGCGTGGAGTCTCCATGGCACATGCAGCGAAAATCTGCCATCTCCCGGCTCAGAAACCTGGTGATGATGCATAACCGGACGTTAGGGATTCATCGCAAACTGCACAGGAATAGTATAGCGTGGTGGAGCACATAAGCATCAGGCCAGTTTCTTGGTGGAGCTTGAGTGCAGCTTGAGTTCGAAAAGCTTCTAGTGGACCCACATGCGGCTCTGCGAAGGTCTTTGATTTTCCTTCCGAAATTCCCACCGATTGAATGCTGGAGAGATGCTGGGGACAGCTTATCTCCCCAGATCTGTGGGTGTGTCCTAACATCTGGGGATCGTGAGAGTGATGCATGTGCGATTGTGGTAGTGACAAGCTTTCTGTGGCCAAACGGCAGTGGCGCACGCCTACGGTAGTCAGTCGTTCGAGCCTAGAGTTGAGGCTCTACAAAAGCTTTTTAGCTGCCGATGAGCATCCGATTGGCATGCCTAGGCGTGACGCTATGACGACGAGTACGGCTTTTGAATCAAAAGCCGGCCCAGGTTGAGCTCGCTCATCGCAAAACCCTTGCAACATCGGAGGCAGCTGTTGAGGTTGGGATCGGATGCTCGGCCTTCATACTGCTTTGGGTGTACCGTTGTCAGGAATGAACTCAGCAAAGTAGACCACCCGCTACGTTGTCCCCGGATACACATCGCGCACTCACCTCAGAAAAGACCGTGCCGTGATACCGCGTTCAGAGCAGGGAATCCATCTAGGTGCCTTGAAGCCGGAAGAGACCGGCGAGCAACAACCTCCCCATAGCTGCGTGCGTCTGGGGAGAAATGAGGGGACTATCCGCACGGCTTCGCGTGAGATGAGAAGTTCCGGAGAGACAGTACCCATCAGACCGTGTGCAACTGTGTGCATTGAAATGGTTGTGTAAGGTCTGGCTTGGCTCTCGATGTCCCAAGAGTGTTCACGATCATGCGACAGCCGCACCTGGACCGCCTTCAGGCCCCCATCAGCACTTCACTATCGTGTAATAGTCATCTCCAGTGTGGAGAAACATGAGGCTCTGCGGTCCGGTCAGCTGTCTAACGTTATCTGGGCACACGAAGGATGCGTCGTCGATGCAAGGCGAGTCGTGCCTCAAACAGCGAGGAAATGAGAGATGCTTGGACACAGCACATGATGCTGTAACGACACATATGGCGGTGCAGCAAGTGTCCAGTCATTGTAGATTCGCAATCTCGTTAGGGAGTCTTGATATTGACGAGTGCGTTTTTGGGGGAGGGCAAGTGCGGCGGTCGCCCCCACGCTGACTCGTGCCTGCTCGCTCGGAGAGCTTAGTCAGGCGTAACATTACGCTTCAAAACAAGGTAAGCCCTTAGACTTCGTCACGAAGCATCTGGGAAAACTCTCTTCTTTGGCGAGCAGGCGTCTTCGTAGCATTTAAAACTTCATGTCGTGCGGTGAGTCTTAGCGACAGATGGGTATCTTACTATGGTGTACAAACGGATGAGAAACTGCGCAAAGAAGAAAGAGCCGCAGAAAGACTGACAGCAGAGAAAAGAAAGGAAAGCAATGAAGGAGAGATAACCAGGAAGTAGCAGGCCGCCGCCCTCACATGTGCCGACTCAACAACATCTCGACAGCGCGATCGACCCTCAACCCGTCCCCCAAATCAGTCTTCCTCAACGCCTCTCTCGCCTCATCAGCAGTGAACCCCATCTCCACGATGCGATAGATCGCCTTCTCAGCCGTATTCTCATGCGCTGGACTATCGAAGATGTCCGCTTGGGCCGGATGCTGCTGGAACACCGGGTGATGGGGACCGGCTGGGCCACCACTGCGGTCGCTGCGTCCGCTGTCACTTGAGCTGCGCGAGCTGAGACTAACATCGGCTTCTTTCCTGGCATGCGGGCGCTGGGAGCGGAACGCTGGGTGATCTGGGTATGGGAGTTGGGTGGGTGATTGCGTAAGGGGAATCGAGTGCTCGTTGATGGATGGCATGGCACTTGCGATGCTTCTTCGGTCGAACGTGCCGGACCATGTGGATCCAGATGGTGTGGGCAGAAGAGGCTGCGCTACTGTCCGTCGTGGTGAGGCAGATACCGCAGATACGGAAGGTGTGGGGAGGAGGGTTTGTGCTACTATTCGCCTTGGCGACGCAGATACCGTGGATGAGGCAGGAGTCGGGAGAAGAGGTTGAGCTATGGTCCGTCGTGATGGAGAGTGCGTGATTAGAGGGGGCAGTAACGCTCGTGCTGTAGTAGATGCTGTGGGGAGCTCAGCGTTGTGGACCGACATATCATGCGCAATCTCCTGCGCAATTGCAGAGGTAGGTCTGAACGACGGAATATGTGAGGTCAGATTGTTGTCCGGCAATGGTGGATATACCCGAGTGAGACTACTCATCACGTTCTCCCATTCGCTCATAGGTCGGTCTTGGCTCTGGCGGATCACCCGGAGTTGTTCGCCGTTGTTCCTCTTGTGCTTGAGGTCGTGGATGTGCTTCTGAATGCGTTCTTTTGACATCTGGCGTTGAAGCTCACGCGTTGAGCTTTCAGCATAGACGTGCGCAAGCTTGTCTTCGTAGACGCGAGAAGTTGCCTCTTTCAAGAAGCCCCTCTTGCTACTGCCATGCACCGGAGGTTTCCACTTGGTCAGCCCCCTAGCATCAGCCAGTGTAAAGGCAACTCCGCCGTTCTCGCGGCAAGGGTGGGCAAGTACCAGTACGGTGGCGAGACCGAAGCTAAGAAGGTGGTGACACCACTCGTCTGTTATCAGTTAGTAGAGCTCTCAGCGTTTCAAAGTATAATTTACCCAGTATCAACTCCTCGCCATCGATGTCGCCCCCTCGAATATCTGTATCGTCGTAAATACCGAATTTGCGAGCGTCAGCGGTGCGACTCTGGAAACCCTGCAGAAGAACACCAAGACAGTTCCATAGTTCCATCATATCGAAAAGTTGCTCGGCTGACAGACCGCCCTTGTTGCCTTTTGCAAAGCAGTCCGGCGCACCTATCAGGGTATCGTTCATAAAATCTGTGCTCGTAACGCTGAAAGTGCACGCTGGTTGATGCGCTTGCACGCCTCCTCGAAGCCAGTCTTGCTGAGCGACCACATCGTCCTCGCGCCCCTTGCCAGATCCAAAGATCTTACAGAAAGTCCAGATGCGCCAAAGCGCGTCGTTCACTCTTGCAGCGCTGGGTGCTGACTCGTCGACCAGCGCGACCGAGATCTCAGGTCGCACGAAGGATTGACACTGCTCATAAATCTCGAGCTTGATGTGGCGCAGAATGTCCATGTCCTTTTTTTGAAGATGCAAGTAGCTCGTAGGTGTGTACTCCTCGAATGGTCTCGTCATCTCGAGATCCTCATCGTGAAGAAGGTCGTGTCCTGGAAACGCGATCTCCCTGAATTCCCACGCAGCAGGCGAGGTTTTCAGAAGGACGGATTTGATGAGGCCGAGTTCGTTGCGCTTGAAGACTCGGAAGAATCCGCTGTTGACTTGAGCTAAAGCAAACAAATCTTCAAACTGGTCCACGCTCTGCAGGATCTTGTGCAGAACTTTCTCGGCATCGCTGGATGAGATAACACGCGGCTGTACTCTGGCGAGGGTCGGGATCGGCGATGCTACGAGCTCCTCGGTCGACCTATGGCTGGTGGAGGGGATCTCAACTGACAACCCCTGCTCCCTCCTCAACGACCGTCCCCTTGTGATCTGCGACACAATATGATCGTTCGGTACTCGAGATAACCTGAATAGCTCTGCATTGATGACCGACTGCCGTTTGCTAGATTTCCTCGGTAGTAAGGGAGCAGGCTCTGCTGAAGGCCTTGTCATGTGTTTCCTCCAGGGATGGGTATCGTGCTCCTTCGGCAGCTGAGGAGTCAGGGGAGCTTTGTCGTTATCCGTAAGTCGCCCCAGGAAAGTGTCCTCAGTCACTGAGGTCAACGATCTCTCGAGCTCAGTCTCCGCTTCGCTTAGCGTTGGGCTTGTGTTCCGACCATTGCTCGACTTCTTTGACTCAGATCGGCTTATCGCTTGATCGATGGCGCCCATGCCTGGGTTGAAATCAAGGCTTCTTCGGTGACTGCTCGAGCTCGAGCTGGAAGTCTTACGGTGAACAGTCGGTCGGCGGGCGATGCCGCTGGTGTTGCCAGTTGCAGCATGGCGGGCAGGTCGAATCGTGCAGGTGAGCTGAAACTTGGCATCTTGTTTCGCTGGGCATGGTGCATAGCGTCGTGGAGGTATCGCAGGAGGTGGGCCGAAGTCAGCGCCAATTATCGGGCACCCGTCCATAGCCTTGGAAGCCATGCGTACGTTGTCCTCCTCAACACTGGTTTCCGAAGAATGGTTGCTGCGCAGGGAGAACGCATCGCTTTCTTGGGAGCTGACTGACGACGTAGTTGAGGTTGAGACGTGTTTACCGTGCTGTTGAGTTTTAGGGTTTGCTGTCGTGGTAGGTGTTGACAGTTGAAGCTGTCCGAATGCCACCGCAGGCGGGTGGTGGAGAGGAGATACAATGAAGTCGCGCATCATGACTTTGCCCGTTCCTGTTGGTGGAGACATGTCATACGCCTCCTCAAACTCAGCGGAAGCGGACCGAACTTGCGCGTTGCTAGGGTGTGCAGAATTCGGAACTGTTGGTTGAGCTCGATCTTGTGCTCCGCCAGGGATTACTACATGTATCTTTGGCTTCAAGCTCTTGACTGCGCTAAGGCCGTGTTTCTCTTTGAGGCGCCACTGGATCCTCCCGTGTTTGTAGGTACCGATAACACCCTTGATCGAAGCGATACTCGAAGCTGTTTTCAGAGTGCTGTCATGCTTTGAAGAAGAGTTGATGGTGTGTTGAAGCCATCCTTGGGAAGCTCCATTTTCTGATATGGACGATAAGCCTGGGCTGCTTGACGCTGACTTGCAGCTCTTGGCCTGGTGAGTTGACGTAGACATGTCTCGCTTGTCAGCGAGGAGAGCCGAGTCACTTCCTTTCGTTTCTGGCACTGCGTGCAGTACAGTGCCTGCTTTCTTCGAACCTCTCAACCTCTGAAACGACATCCTTTGCTTAGTGCAATCCTTCCAGGCAGGACTTCCGATACTGTCTGGCGAGCTTTCGATCCACAGCTGGGGACTGTTTCCTTCTTGATCCTGCGTTTGTATGGCGTTCCTGTAGTCATCGGCGGACTGCAGCCGCAAGATGGATCCGAGTGAAACGATATTGGTGATTGAGTGCTCCCACGACGGCGCAACCTGGGTGATCATAACTACCAGTAACCGGGCAATGATGTTTACCGTCCGGCATTCAAAATAGATCACCCGACTAAGTTCCGCATGCAGCTGCGGATGTCTAGGGAGTACAGGCTTGTGGCGCTTGGGACTATAGCTCGTGGTGTCGGCGTCAGATGGAACTTTGAGTTGCCGGCCGTAGTGCTATCACCAAGAGGCGATGACGAAGTCACTTTTCACGAAGAGCGCAATACCTACATGATAAATCACATCTGCTGGGTCTGTAAACAGACCGTTCATCCCAAGCGCGCAACCGGCATTAAGTCGTCTTTACTTGGAGGCGCAGTGCATGGCGGGTGTTTTTGGGGGGTCTGCATACAAGTTCGGATTCCGTAGCTAAGACTGGCAGGAGCGACCAGCGGGGCGCCCAAATTTGGCGTCAGCTCAGCCGCAAACAGGATCTCCCGTCCGACAGCATCCGTTCTGCCCTGAAACATCGTCTGGGAATGCCTGCTTGATAATCTTGTTATTCCTTATCTGAAACTTCGAAAATCTGACTGATCGTTCAACAGCTAGCAACGGCATGATATGCTGCGGTCGACGTACGAGCCGACGAGAGCATGTCCTGCAGTAAGCAGGGTTGCACAGCTGCAATGTAGGGTCCACGGCTGAGCCCCCAGCTTCTGCGGAGTTTGCATGCTGATGAACAGGCGTACCATGTGTGCCCGGACGATCTCCGCACTTCTCGTGTCTTGTCCTACGGCTATGATGGTTTTTGTATAACTTGGCCCCATCAGCCCCCGGAATGAGTTGCTGATTGAGCTTTGTGTAACAAGCGGTATTGCTGTGCACAACACATATCTAGGTCGCTTGTCTTCTCTAAACTCGCTTGTTGCTGAGCAAGGCAGTATCGCGGAGATAAGTCTATTTCAAAAGCCTTGCAAAGTTATTAGCTACATTCGGAAGTGCATTGCCTACGTGTACGCCTGAACACCGACTGTATCACACCTCCGATCCGGTGCGTGCCGACTCGGCTTTGGAAAGATGTATTTAGCAAAGCAGATCGTGTTGGACATGGCCGACGTGTGTAGGAGCTTCAAATTGCAACACATGTGATGAAAGTGAACTGTGATCAAACAACGCTAGCGCTTTTACGCTCTATACCGTACAAGCTGTACAACGTGGTATGTACAAGGAGAAAGCCATGTCTAATGGTGCTGTGCGCCGCCAAACCATGCGCGCCTGGTGTTGATGCTTCAACTTCTTGTCTGACTCAACCTTGACTTCTGTCATGTCCTCTCCGACCAACCCCAAACGTGCAAAACCAATAGGTTCCACACATTCCGATATTGTCCCAACGCTATAACGAGCCGTCAATGGTCCTGTCCATCTAGTACGGGATGCCCTCATACTCGGCGTAGCCAAGGGCCAAGTTCATGTTTTGCAGACATTGTGTCGCAGCACCCTTGAGGAGGTTGTCGATGGTAGCGTTGATGACAACGCGCTTGCCCGAGCTGTGAACAGCGAAACCACCGATCTCAACACCGTGCTTGCCCGAGATGTTCTTGACCAGTGGCGACTCGCCAACGATCTTGACGAGCTTCTCGCCAGCGTATCGGTCCTGGTACAGGTTGCGGATATCGCGCGAGGTCATGGTACGGTTGAGAGGGATGGAAATAGTGTGCTATGGCGTGTTAGCTCATTGCCTTGTGTTCAACTCCTCGAGACTTACGTGAATACCCTGAAACCAGACAGCGACGTGAGGAATGAACGCAACCTCGGTGCCCAGTTGCCTCGAGATCTCCTTCTCGTGAATGTGGTCAGTCAGACTGTAAGGGATCAGATTGTTGGTGAGGTTGTTGACATCGTTCTTGGAGCTGGGCTTGGTGCCGGCTCCTGAGTAGCCAGAGACACCGAAGACAGTGGGCTGTCCGCCAATGAATTCGAGGAGAGGTGCGATACCAAGCTGTGCGGCAGTTGCGTAGCAGCCAGGGTTAGCTATCCGTGTAGCGCCATCGAGCTTGCGGCGGGGAATCAGCTCAGGGAGACCATAAGTCCACTTGTCGTCAAAGCGATAGTCCGCGCTGAGATCAATAATGACGGACGAAGTGTTGCCCGACCGCTCAATAGCGTCAACAAACGGCTTGCAGACACCGTTGGGCAGAGCCATGACCCAGCAATCAACCTCGCCCTTCTTCGCCAACGCCTCGACGTCATCAGGCGACAGGTTCTCATATGTGATCTGGCGCTTGGTGTAGCCCTCCAGCTTCTGCCCGTTAAGCTCACGAGATGAAACGTGACGCAGGTCCATGTTGGGGTGCTTGTTCAGGAGATCGATGAGCGCCTGACCAGTGTATCCACGGGCGCCGATAAGAGCAACCTTGGAGGGGTAATCCTTGCTGGCGAACTTGTTGCCGTAAGGAGGGTTGGGGTTGGTAGAGTCCTGGGCGCGCGAAGCAGTAGTGGCGAAGCCACGGGCCGCAGCTGGTGCGATCCTGCTCTGCCTCAGCGAAGGCCTGGCAGACTGGCCCATTGTGCATGCGCCAACGAAAGTCGAGTAGCTGCGAGCCTGCTGGCCCTGCTTCAGGCTTGCAACAAAGTCCGCTGCCCTCCTGAACTGCGACTCGAGGCTGTCCTTGAGAATAGAGCGACCCTGCTTCGAGTAATTCTCCAAGAGGCTGAAGATTTCAGAAGACTCTGCCGATCCCCACCAGCAGAAGATCTCCTTCTCGCGGCGAAGGAAGCCGTCGGTCTTCTCCAAGTTCCACTTAACAAGGTTCTGCTCCTGGCTCTCGACAACCCAGTACATCTTGGGGTACTTCTGCTTCATGCGCTCGAAGACGAGGTCGGAAACGTTGGTAAGGAAAGCGTCTTTAGTAGTGGTGAAGGTGGAGAGCTGAGCAAACTCGCCGTCCTTGCCAGGAGGGTAGACAATAGCCACAACGCCCATGGAGTCGTCGAAGAACGCCTCGAAGGGGCGGCTCTTGAGGTTCTCAATGTATGACTTGACCGCATTGCCAGCCTCAGCGCCGCCGTGCTCCCTAGCCAATGCCTGAGAAAGCGCATCAACGTCCAAATCCTCGAACTTGCTGACTTCCTTGACGCTGCCACCGTTGCGAATCAGGGTACCTCCGCCAGTGTGCGTGAACAGCTCCTTTCCAAGGTTCTGAGGGTGGGTAATGGCGACACTGGAGGTGCGCGGAAGACCATCCAGGAGTTTCTTGGCCTCGACAATCTTGAGCTTGGTGCCGTACCTGACCCAGGGCTGCGAGAGGTAGCTGTCGTACTCGCCCTCCAAGTTGATGTGAGAGATTAGCTTGCCAGTCTCAGCATTGAACAGACCACCCTTCTCAGACAGGTAGATGATCTTCATGGGCTCGAACTCGCGTGCGAGAGCAGCAGCGACAACATCGGCGTTGACGTTCAGGATCTGGCCGTCCTCTGTCTCGGCCATGGAGCACAGAATGGGGAGCTCCTTGTTCTCAATGGCATCCATAATGGCCCTGGGATTGATCTTGGTGATGTTGCCAACGTACTTCCACTTCTCCTTGTCGAGGTAGTCTGCCTGCAGAGCACCGGCGGTGATGGGACGGGCAGGCACGCCCCAGTTCCTCTTGAGTGTCATGACCAGGTCCATGTTGGCCTCCAAGAAGAGCTTGCGTGCAATGCCCAGCGTCTTCTTGTCTGTGACTCTGATCCCATCGATGAAGTCTGGCTCGACACCAGAGTCCAAAAGGGTCTGGTTCATCTGGGGGCCAGCTCCATGGACGATAATGGGGTACAGCCCAATGGCATGCAATTGCTGCAGGGCAAAGCATAGCTCATCGAGGTGGTCGGTCAGGATAGCACCGCCGACCTTGACTACGGCGAACTGGTGCGGCTTCACGGCACGGAACTGGCCGAGGTACTGGTCGACTTCCCTGCGCGAGCTGGCGCTGGCAAGCAAGTTCAGGAAGGCGGCGTATACGGACGACTTTTGGCCGTCTCCTGTAGTGTACAGGCGGCTCGGGGTGGTGCTGGCGACGAGGGCGCGAGGGAAGGCCTTCCGGCCAGAAGCCGCAGCTATCTGGCGAGACGAGCGTGCTGCTGCGCGCGCACCGGCTCGTACGACGCCCTGCATGGTGACCGACTCGTTCGCTGGGCTCGATAGGGGTTGCTCGAGGACTGGGGCGCGGCGGAAAGGCGAATTGGCCGTGGGATAAGGAAAGAAGAGTCAGACACGCAGACACGAATGACGCTGGAAGTTTAGAGCTACAAATTCGCTTCCGATAACGCACGCAGCGATGAGCATCTAACCCGCAAAGTGGCGCGATAAACCTGGCCTGCGTCTGGGGATCCCGCCGCTTATTGGCCGCAGCTGCAAACTCTCGAGCAAAATTTCCTTCTTCGGCAGCAATCCGTGATCGAGAAGGGCATCGCCCGTGGTTGGTGGAGCGCTGCTAATCAGATTGAAGGATCTGATAAATCGACGTGAAAAGACTTACCGCACGAGCTGGAGGCTTCGTGCGGTGAGATTGGGCGTCATTTCAGTGCTTTTAATTGGGGTATTATGACCCTTCATTTACTTTAGACACGTGCGAGCGACAGATTAAAAATGCCTCTGACAGCTTATCTGAGAGTCAGTAAAGACCGCAGCTGGCCGTCGTCTGTGCTATGCCTAATGTCTCTAGTTCCAAGTGCTGTGGATCTGCGTTGAGAGTCTGTACCCACAGCGAGCCATTTGGAACGTCATGCAGACTCGTGAATGACAGGTACCTAACCTCGACTGACTAATTAACGTGTAGAAGAGGCCCAATGTTGCACCTGCGCGGCCGAGGTTGGATACTGGATGCACTGTGCCTCTGTCCATGTCAGCCTACATTTCAACACCAATGCACACCGTTGCAGAGACAGGAACGTCAGAGTCTTCAAGAATGTCATGCAATTGGCTATGGACAAGAAGACGAGTGGAAAGCATTCGAACTCCATTGTGAGCGGATCCCGGCTATGCCCAGAATAGCTCCGAAGGTATCATATCGTGAGAGAGCTTTCCCAGGCACCGTAACGCAGGCTGCATCCCGTGCCGGTCGTCAAATGCAAAGAAAGACAAGAAATCGAGCCTCGCTCCCAAACAGTCGTAGATGTAGTTCCTACAGGGTGTCATGATAGTACAGTGCACGTGGGTGCCACTCCCCTCCCCGTGGCTGTGCAACTGTCCGCCGCTACGCGATTATTAAGTGGTATGTTTCGTGGTATCTGGCGTAAAGACGTTTACTTCTTCTGTGTTGCAACGACTGGACACTGTTAGCAATGGACTCGCAGCCGCTGCTTCAGATAACTCACCAGCAGGGACAATGATGACGACGAGCAGGATGATGATGCCGACAATCAGGCACATGCGCATCTTCATGTCTTTCCACCACATCTGCTTGCGTACGCGGTTGGCGCCCCTTCGGAAGCCCTGTGCGGAGACGGCAAGATTGTCGGTCTTATCCTGCAGCGAGTCGAGACGGGCGCCACGCTCAGAGACCTTGTTGATATTGTCGCGCATAATGCCAACGGTACTGTCGATTTCCTGGACAACATGTCAGCGGCTGCCTAATGTATTGCTACGGAGAGCGCAGCGCATGCGCAGAGTGAGCATGAGGCACGGGACACAGCGCGCACTCTCCACGTTTGATGCAGAACATAGAGAGTGGCTGCCGCAGATTCCACAGTGCTCTATCGTCGTCGCAGGGCTGATGTCATGTCTCTGTAGCTTCGACACCAGCTCTTCAAACACGACTGCTGCACCTCCGCTACTTCTCAACGCTGCACATGCCGCAAAAGTGCCCTACGCCCCTTTGACAATGGACGAGGTAACGTACCGCCTGGAGAGCGGCAGTGCGCACGTTGCCATTCTGGCCCTGCGCGCCCTGGCCGGCGCCACCGGAAGGGATGTAGGGATCGTAGGGCTGCTCGCGGTCGGCCATTGCGTGTGTGGTGGGTGCGAAAAGCGGTACGATCGAGGGCGACGGGGTTGGTGATGGACGGTGTCGTGAAAGTCGTTAGGGTGATGGGTGATGGGTGTGGAGGTGGTGTGGTTGGGCGTGTTGAGGAAGGCGGAGAGCGCCAGGGCAGGGCAAGGGTTCTCGTGTGTCAGCGCTGTCGCGGCTCCAAGGCTGAGGCGGCGTGAAACACAACACAACCACAATTTTGTAGATTAACAACAAGTGGAACAGAGACACAGGAGAGCGCGAAAACGTCCAGAAGCAGCTGTTGAGCGTGCAGTCGCTTTTAAACCTCATCTTTGCACACCAGCATGTTCTGCCCTGCGCCACGGTGGCCCAAGTCACGTGGTCATCGCAGCCACCGCCATTACGACGGCCACGAAATGCGAGCAGCTGGTCGCTGGCGTGGCAACAAAGAGCGCCGAAATTAGAACGGCACTGGGCTAGCTCGAGCAGGCCTCGTAATTGCCAGGGTCTAATTGCAGCCCCCGAGCTTTGCTTGGAGGCCCTCACCAAGACATATTGGCGGCTCGCTGCAGGTACTTGGTATGAGGAACATCAATGGCTTCTAGAAGGATATGCAGACGTGTGGAAAATAGCAGTGAATGCATCATTGCCAGCCCCGGAATTGCCTGCGCCTAGTGATGCAGTGATGCGCCCAATGCCTGCTCCTTGTGGCCTACTGGTCCCTTAGCTCGGACTCCAGCGCCCTGGAAACACTTCCACTCGTTGCGCATCCGCTGGTGTGCCGGACTCCTGAGTTGAACTCGCAAGCCAGCCCTTTGCCTCCCCAACGCCCCTCCACCTTCCTCAGCAACCACGCTCTTTCGACCTTTCAAGCTCCGCGCAAGCGCATAGTACTCTCCCGACGCTCACCGGGCGTTGCCTTTGCAGGCGCTTTTCTTCCCCGGATCCCGTCGCTCGCTTTAACCCTACGTCAACCATTTCCACGCTTCGCCGCGCGGCCTTAACTGAACCAAGCCCGGCGCTTGACTCTGGGCAACTTCCGTCCCCCATCTTCATTCACGCCACCGCACTTTTGGCCTGCGCATCATGAAGTTCACCTCTGCCGTCGGGGCCTTGGGGGCCTCGAGCGTGCTCTTGTCTGGTGTCAGCGCTATTCAGCTCGACATCACCTCGACCGGTAGGACTGCCTGCGTCCTGTTGCGCCATGCCTTCTAACATGTACAGACAACATCAAGCAGGTCGCAAAGTCAATCTCCGCCAACCTGCGCCAGTACTACACTGGCGACCGTGTTGGCGACACACCTGGAAACTTGCCCGACCCGTACTATTGGTGGGAATGCGGTGCCATGTTCAATGCTTTCATTGACTACTGGTACTACACCGGCGACGACCAGTACAACGGCATTACCACCCAGGCTTTGCAGCACCAGATTGGAGACTACGATGCCTTCATGCCGGCCAACCAGACCAAGACGCTCGGAAACGACGACCAGGCTTTCTGGGGAATGGCCGCCATGACTGCTGCTGAGAACAAGCTACCTGATCTTACAGACGGGTCACCCTCATGGCTTGCCCTTGCTCAGGCCGTTTTCAACACTCAAAAGGACCGCTGGGATAATGCGACTTGTGGAGGAGGATTGAAGTGGCAGATCTTCACCTTCAACAACGGTTACAACTACAAAAACACCATCTCCAATGGTTGCTTCTTTAATATCGCTTCCCGCCTTTACAAGTACCTTGGCAACGAAACCTACGGGACCTGGGCTGAGCAGGCTTGGGAATGGGAGCTTTCTGTTGGTCTCATGAGCGCCGACTACCACTTCTACGACGGTACCGACGACACGCAGAACTGCTCTACCATCAACCACATCCAATGGACCTACAACGCTGGTGTACACATGGCTGGGGCTGCGGCTATGTGGAACGTCACTCAGAACGACCTCTGGAAGACTCGTGTCAAGGGCCTTATCGACGGTGCCAGTGTCTTTTTTAAGGACAATGTCATGACTGAAGTTGCCTGCGAGAACAACGGCAAGTGCGATGTCGACCAGCGATCTTTCAAGGCTTATCTGGCTCGCTGGATGGGATACACTGCCATCGTTGCCCCATGGACACGCACTTACATCGACCCCTTGCTCCAAGCTTCGGCCAAGGCTGCTGCTGCGCAGTGCACTGGAGGCACAAACCAGACATCTTGCGGTCTTCGATGGATTGACAACGGCGTAAACGATGGAAGCTTCGGTGTCGGCGAGCAGATGGCGGCCATGGAGGTTATTCAGGCTTTGCTCTACCCTACTGTTTCTGGACCTGCCACACAGAACAACGGCGGCATTTCGACCTCTAACCCTGACGCTGGTTCCGACGTTCCTCAGACGGCCGTCAGCTTCAACGCTGTCACAACTGGCGACAAGGCGGGTGCAAGCATCTTGACCATCATCGTTCTTGTTGCTATCGTTGCTGGCGCCTGGTGGATGGTCTCGTAGACACATACAACATGCATCAGAGTGTACATATCCCACCCTGCCCGTGTCGGTCAATACGACCGTTTGTTTACAACAGGCTGACGTTCTGGAAGCCGTGTACTTTTTGTTTTGCGATACTCAGGGCATGGCCTCAGCATCAGGTGTGACCCATCATTGGACCTGTGTCACATTTAGTTGACATTTGGGCGGCGCTGGTGTTCACAACGAGCCCGCACAGGGACATGTAGCTCGTATTCCTCGAGAATATACTTATTTACAGCACTGCGACGATCGTCCGCGGATCCGCTTCGTGGTATTGAAGGCGATTGAGTTCCACGAGATACTGGCAAGCATTCGTCAACAGGACTACCCAAATACAATGTCCCCACAACGTAGATGTACTGTTCACGCCTGTCATTTGCCAACGTCAACAGCACTTATTCCACACAAGATATCCGCGGTACCCCGCGCTAGACCTGATGCACCTGCCCAGATGCTCATTGCCCCACCTTCCAACCCCATCTTACTATCGATATCATATCATACGTCACCACGCGGCAACATAGCCCTCCTGACGCGGGAGCTGCGCATCACTGGTGCCTGCTTTATAAACATGCCGCCCCCGTCCAGGCTTCTGTACCAGATCAAGTCCTACCTCGAAATACGTACATCCGCTGTTTTTATCCAATAAAGACACAACTGCAGAACTCCCTAAGCTTCATCACCTCACAGTAAATGATATCCCGGATATCGCGAAGGCTATCCTGGATAGTGAGACTCGCGTGTATTAGACAAGAAGGCCAACAAGCAACAGAGTAACCGTCAATATGCCAGTCCACCCAGCTGAAGAGACCACTTCCGGCAGTACGTTCCCCAACGGCGTTAACGTATTGCTGCTGCTTACTTCTTCTGCGTTCTCTATGCCATCATGATCCCGTGCTAATGCATCCAGGCATCACGGACCAGGTTGCAAAGGAGTCCAAGGACTCGAATGCCTCTACCCACCAGTTACACCGTACGTCCAATTCGCACGTCACTAACATATCACAATAACGCAAGATCAGAGGAGGATAACCAGGCCACAAGTGGCGGCTCCGTTGCCGCCAACGCACACAAGGCCAACCCGGTACGAAGCACATCGTCCCTGTTAGACAGGATACAGCACCCTGGATGGACACTGACCGGCAGACAGGGCCCTGTACATGCTGATAACCTGCCTGAGCCGGCAAGTAAGGAGGAGCTCAAGAAGAGGGCCGAGGAGCTCAACAAGTAAGCGGCTCGCCGTGTCAGGGTGAGGAGTGTTGATAGGGAAGGACCCAAAGATATAATGACAACGATTTACAAGGTCACTTTCCCTAACTTTTAACATTATGCTCTATGACAAGATGCATCTCTATACTGGCGCACATCGCGAACCAGCGGTTGTAAAGTCTTTCGGATGATATTGAGAATGTCTCAACTAACGCAATGCTCTGTATACACACGCATCGCTTAGAGATGCTCGATGACACTTGGATAATTACGATCACTATTACGACGTACTATACCTCCAGGGTATCCGGACGCTCAACCAAAACATTATAGCAATTCACCAGATCATCGCAACAAGCAGTACTGTGAAACGAGTTTAGCCTTGACTCAGGCCAGCTTTTCCAAAGTCCTTGACCGGCGTCCACTTCTTCTCCTTCTTCCACTCATCACCCCTGATCGTACTCTGCGCCAGCTGACTTATCAGGTAATCCCGTCCCTTGATCATCCACACCATCTGGCTGGGCACTTTAAACCCGTTGAACGCACCAACGCCCTTCTGCGTGCCAATCGGACAAATCTGCTGCTCCTTGAGATTCGGGGCGTAGTGGCGATCGCCCGCGAATACGGTCCCCGAGAGGTGCTTAAGCAGGTCTTGCTTGAGATTAGTCAGCGCCACGGGCACCGCGAGGCTCAAGTCCATGACGCCGCCGCGCGTGTAGCTACCCACGTCGCCGAGGGCGTAGACGCACGAGGCGGCGGATTCGTGCTCGACGCGCAGCGTCTTCGGATGACATGCCACCCTGCCGCGGGTGTCGAGCCACTCCTTGGGCAAGAAGCTGCTATTTGGCCGCGACCCCGTGGCGTCTATGTAGATGTCGACCTCCATCGTTTTACCGTCAGATAGCTCGACGCGCGTCTTTGCGCCGGGCTGGTCACCGGGCTTCGTGACCGAGACCACGCGCGTGTTGTATGTCACGCTGCAGCCGAGTTTCTTCAGGAAGCCTTCTGCCGTTGCTCCGATGCTCTCGCGTAGCACGGGAAGCAGCTTCTTGTCTGCGCACACCAGTGTGACGGCTGCGGTTGGGTTCTTCGGTCCTGCGCCCATGAAGCCCGGGCGTCCGTTGAGGATCTCAGCGACTTCGCCCGCCGTCTCGACGCCCACGGGGCCGCCGCCGCCAATGACGACGCTCTTTGCCGTCTTCAGACCTTTCTGGAAGGCGTCGTATATGCTTTCCAGTGCTGCGCGGTCGGTGGTTTGCGTGAACAACGGGCTTGGTGTGCTGAAACCTGTGGCGATGATGAGCGCGGCGTAGGGGATGGTTTGCTGCTCTCCGTCGACGGTCTGTACGCTCACGCTCTGGCCTGCGGCGTCGACGTGCGTTGCTGTACCCTGGATGAACTTGAATTTCGGGAATGCGTAAGTGAAGGCTGGCTCGATGGGGTAGAAGATCTGGTCGTATGGCATCATCTGCTTGGACACGAGAGCGCGCGGTGCGGCGAAGCGCCAGTACAGATCTTTCGAGGGGTTAACGAGGGTGACATTGTATGTGACGTCTTCTTTTTTTGGGAGCTGTGGGAGCGTGTGCTTCAGTGCGTAGTGAGCGGCGCTGATGCCGGCGTAGGATCCGCCTAGGATGAGGATTGTTTCTGTGCTCATGGCGACAACAGGTGAACGAGCAATTGAGGGTATCAAGGAAAGCAAAACAGAGTAGAGGAGAAGAACGAACGAACGCGTCGCGACAAAAAGTATGAAGCCAAGACAGCGGTGCGCCTAAAATAGAGTTGAGCTTACAATGGCCTTCAGGGTGCCATAGGACTAAGCATGGGGAGCCGAGATCTTGGGAGTTGCGACAGATGTCCTGAGATTAGTGGTGGAACGTTGATGGTGTGACCAGAGAATTAGCGACAGCTTTGCTCCTGCAGGTGCTATATCACGAAAACCTTTCCAGGCATCAGCAAGATCCAATGATATTGCGAAGGTGTTCTGTGTGGATGTGTGCTCCATGAAAGATGGTAAGTTGGTAGAGGCTGACGTCGGAAACAATGGTTGAAACCCGTGGCGCTAAACTTATTGCCGTATAGTCTCGGTAGCACCCTCAACGCCTCATGCATCTGTCGACGGGGCTGTTCAACATGTTCGCCTCGATGTTGTCAGGCCTTGCGGTGAGCTGGAAGGGAGTGATGGTCCGTAGCTGTTATAGGTGGTTGGTCGTCGAGAAATCTCCCAAGGCCGACCAATTACAGATTGTACTCACAAGTCACGATCTACTTGCCCTAGTGGCTCAAAATAAATGGAGCTATGCTCTTCAAGCGGTAAGACTTACTTTGGACAGACCGCGAGGAATGTTGCAATTCTCCCGAAATGGTCAACTGCCTCATCTTCCAGTGGGGAAGCTCTACGAGCTTGACCGTCTGACCAGACTGCTCAACGTACGCGGACGTCTCCTAACAAACATATCTTTTTGACTCATCGCAGAATTGAGCATGTAGTTTGTTGTAGGTCACCAATTCTACATAAGAATTCGCTGTTGCGTGCTGGGATATTTTTCATTTCATATCTTTCATGATACGCCAGTCTGGTGTCCGCATCATCGGTCCACCGCAACTGCCCAACGCGAACAAAGCTGACGGCTGCACGGGATTAGTCATGCTACCCATGGCAGGACGCCTGTAAACCTCCGCTGCGTCTCTGCGCCGCGTTGGTTCTACACTTCGCTCCCTCGGCTGCTTCCGAAAAGCTAGCTTACTCGACATCAGGCTTGTTGTCGGCCTTCTCGGCTGACTCAAAGCTGTCGCCAGCAACGAGGTCGGGGATGTCGTCATCATCCTCATCGTCGTCCTTCTCGCCAGCCTCACCCTTCTCCTTCTGCATGCTCTGGTAGCTTTCGGCAAGTTTGCGCAGCGATGCGAGCGAGTCGGGGCCGAGCTGGTTGAGGATACCGGGGACAAGCTCGGTCAGCTCCTTGTCCTCACCGGCGCCGTAGATGGCGAAGGTGTTGGCGGGTACCGAGGCGTGAACTGTGGAACCGCGTTAGCAGATGCAGATGTACTCCTTCGTCTCCTTGGCAGGTTCGACTAGCAGGCTCCAGTGCGAATGGGTGCAGGTATAAAGCCTGGCATAGCGTCCCCAATGCCATCTCACGGAGCGGGATGTATGGACCCACCCTTTGGTGCAGCGAAGTGAATGACGTTGCCGTCGCTCTTGAACATGTTGACCTCCTCAATAGCCTGGATGGGCTGGACGTTCAGCTTCTTAAGCGCGGCCTGGAGCTTCTTGTCGTCGGTGCCAGCGGCCCTGTGAACCTTCTTGACCTTCCTGCGGGGTGTGCCCTTTCCACTGTCGCCCAATTAGCCTCGTCTTCCATGACCCATATCCTCCAAAGATTCATATGTTGCGTGTGTGATATCTGTCTAGCAATTTCGAAGGTTTGCGGTGATGTATGGGCGGGGTTGTCAAAATTCGGGGAAGAGGTCTGCTTACCCTGTCCACTTGTGTTAGCTGATCCATTGCCCTCCAAGCTTCAAACAGCTCTGTCCTCGACAGCTAATCATATCGAAACGACGGGAGACAACATACCAATGCGCACCGACGCCTGCATGCGTGCCAGCTTGGCCTGATCCATATTTGCGGTTGTGGGGGGAGGGTGACTGTGGGAGGGTCTGCAGTCGCGGAATCGTCAGCAAAAGGTCGAGAAAAATTCGATGGGGGCGGCCGTGAGCGTTCGGGTACGGGCGCGGGTCGGACTCACCTAGATTCGGCGTTGTAGGGCAAGACTCAGTGGTGATGTTCTGCGGTGTTGCGAGAGTGCGGATGCCGCACGGACTTCTCGCTTGCTGTCGTCAGTTGCGGGGCAGCTCTCACCATGGGTCATCACAGTACTTCGTAGCATGACATTGATGACCTTGGAACTCGCATTCAGTTCTGAGCAGTGTCCGCAAAAGATCACGAGCTCTATGCTCGGCTTCGTAGCACAGCGCTGTGTTGCATGCTGGTGTCAACACGGGACGCTCGAGGTGGCCGGCCTGGTGACCGCATCACTCGAGTCTTCGATTACATCAACTAGGACCGTGGTTGAATCTTCACACAGCACTCGATCACACACCAAATCTCCATACTTATGTACAGTAGAAAGGCCATTGGTATCATTGATGCAGAACAACTAATTATTATCGCTATAGCTCGCTCCAGGCAAGCCGGATCCATCGTCAGATCGTCTACAACATCGCAAGACTGACCAGGCCAACGGCACCCAAAACCCAAGTTGCAGCCTTTGCCTGTGCGGCGCCACTTTTGCTGCTTGCTGTAGCAGAAGCGGCCGCACCGGTTCCACTTGCACTTGCACTTCCACTTGCTGTGCCTGTGCTACTTGTGCTGTTCGGGTTACCAGAGATGTTCTGCTGGGAGACTGAGACGCCGGTACCGTTCTGGCAGTTCGTGCTGTAGTCTGACTGGGAAAGAGCTGTGTTGACCATGTTGACGTCGGCGCACTATCGTTGAGTTAGCATTGTCAGGTGATATATCTGGTGTGAATTTCGCTTACCTGGTACAGACCGCCTTCGCCGTGGGCGTTGGTGATGACCTGGATGGTGGCCTTTGTGCCTGCTGTGACGTTCAAGCTCGAAGGAATGCTGACATTGCCCAGGCAGAAGTTGCCGAAGCCAGAAACCTGGAACTGAGGGTACAGAACAGTGCTGAAACCATCGCCTGGGTTGTCACCAACAGCCAGGTACACAGCTACATTGGTCTGCTGGTGGCCCAGGTTGATCTGAATAGGTCCGCCACTGATAGGGAAGTCGGTGCGCTGCGATGATACTGTGTCGAAGCCTCCGCAAGGGAAAGTTGGCTCCTTGTCCTCGTCGAAACCGCGAGTTGTGGGATATTTAAGCTCGAAGTGTGCAAGCGCAACAGGAGCGAGCGCGAGTGCGAGGAGCGATTTGGAAAGCATTTTAGAGTTTGAGAGCTGATCAATTGATGAACGGAGGTGAAACGGGAGTAGAATGCTGAAAGGTGTGCAGAGCAGGGTGAACGTAGGTGTAAGCTAAGATGAAGCTCGATATGACACAAGAAAGCAGATCTGGGCATCCTGCCGTATTTATTACACAGCAGCTGCAGGAACGCTCTCCTCGTGCCGCACATTCCGACCAGGGATTCGCGTGGCTCGCGCGTCGAGCCAGTGAGCCTCTTCACTCCGGCCGAGACACACCCCTTACACGTTTCCAGCAGGTGAGCAAGATCTTGCATCACTGGCGGCTTTCGCTAAAGATCAACAACCAGCCGGGTACGGAGCGCTAGGGTGAAGGTGCAGGAGATGTGAGCAAGTTTCTCTCCAAAGCGGCCAGCCACTAGCGCTAAACTAGCGCAGTCCGGCCCTTTACAAATCAGTTGTGTTTCGCGATAGCGGTCCAGCTTCACCGGATGGCAGGCGGCATGGTACTGCGGAAATAAATATTGTAGGCGTGACATTCACCGTGGTCCGTTGCACCGGACATTCAAGCTTTGGCTAGTGGTTGTGGCAGCATTGGCACATGTGAAGTGTGGATCCTGCGGGATACCCTGATTCAATAGATCTACATATTGCTGGACAAGGACTCGTTCTTTGTGCACGGCGAATATATCGCGATTTAGAGATCATGAGCTTCAACACCAGCCCCAGGCTCTTTATCTTGGTCAGATTAATGTATTAAAGTGGTATGTGGTTGCCTTAGATTGCTAGACAACGGTCCAAATACACAGATGCTCAAAAGCTTCTACATTGCCATGTTCGCATGGCTGAAACGACCCAGAGCCAGTTCTCCAATGAAGGTGCCTGCAAGAATAGACAAAAAGTAACCGACGTTGAAAGTCATGACCGCCAGCATACTGCGTCAGTGTTAGTGACCGCTCAATCCTGTGACAGTGACCGCGCAACTTACAGAAGATAACCAACACCCGTCGCAACCATCATCAGACCAGCTCGCGGAAGGTCGACGCTGAACCTCCAGGGCTGGATAAGCTTCGCAGGCGCTGACACTATCCGTACGTTCTCTTCCATGCCGTTCGAAGTCAAGATACCGGTCATCGAGCTCGCGTCATTCACCTGCTCTGCAATTGTCTTCTCGCCTGCGACAACGACGTAGCGGCGCTTCATCGCCGCTTCCAATGCCTTCGTCTCGAGGAAGCTCCTAGCTGTGAAGATGCCGCGGAGTGTAATGGCCAGAATGATGAGGAAGATGCATGTTCCAGCATACTGTCCAGCATTCTGAGGCGTCCATGCTTCCGAGTACAGAGGCGTATTTGTTGCCGTGAAGAAGGTCATGGTCATGCCAGTGTGGCTCGAGGTCGTGCTTCCCATGTCCATGCCGCTCATGTCCATGCCTGCTATTTCACTACCGTGAGCAACCGTTTTGATGTACTGAAATGTTCGAGGATGTTGAAGAGATTGTGGATAGGGCGTGAGGTGATCAGGCAGTGCGTTCCAGACTGACCTTTTGTGTAGTACTGGACGGCGATCGGTTCAAGTACCAAGATGTAGTGCTGTAAACTCCACTTCGCTGGTTACAATGAAGTCTTAGCATTAACGCATATGATAGCAAATTTCGTTTGTGCGGTGCTCTACAGACAGAAGCGCTCGAATGCGAAGGTTGTTGCGACAGTCAAGGGTTGACAAGCCTGGGCTGATGCGTGGAGTGTGTAAGATCTAAACGTGGGCTGCCCGCGGTGCCACCTGCCGCAGAACCAATGGCGAGTGCTCGGCATTTTTGTAAAGTGCGCAACTGGGGGGTGGCATGCAGTCACCTCGTCTTTCGGCGGTTACCGTATAATCTAAGTTGTGTCGGATCAAGCCTATGGTAATGCAGCGGCGTTCAAAGAGCCGTGGAAAGAAGGAGCGACTTTGAGCAAATTTAGCCGCAACAGGCTAGCGTTTGATGCTTGTGTCAAGCCACGCCCACCGTAGTGCTCCAGGCCTTGACCCGCACTCTGACATGCTTGCATCGAGGGAGCGAGTTCTGGCTCGACGTGCAGTAGCACATCGCTTATCACCAGGGCCGTGGCTGACGGCAAGAGTGAACGCTCTCTACCGAAGGGCAGGCGCCACTTCCTGTGTACCATTATCCCGGTGAACCCGAACCATCAGTCGAACATCAACTCGAAGTCCGAGGTGTATCACAATCGTCTTCGGTACCAGTCTCGGCAGTACGACTTGACATGGCTTCGACCACGCGATAGCAAAGAAGACGACCCAACAACCACCCCACATCCATACTTCGCTGCGATCTGGAATCAGCACACCTTGTTGGATTGTAAAAACACACGCGCAACGACACGCCGCGGCATCAGCCGGTGCTCAGACATCATGAGCCATAACCATGGCGGCATGTCGATGGGGTCGATGGGCTCGATGGCCCTGCCTGCCCTTCCGGAGTTCCCCAAGTTCTATTACGCCGTTGTAGGGAGCGCAGTCGGCGTTGCGACAGCAGCCAACGTTTACAATCAAGTCCTGTGCAGAAGAAGACTATCTGCAGCAAGAACGGGAGCATTGTCACCTGCCAAGCCAAAGTCCCGGTTCTCATTATGGAATGCGACATTGTACGCATTGGCCCGAGAAGCATCAAACTTCTCAATACAAGTACCACTGAAAGGGAAATTCCTGCGACTGCCTACTGTCGGTCGGACTAGCTTGGTTTTGGCGAATGTGCTCGTTCTGCTTGTGCTCTGCTTCTACGGACTAAACCTCACCGACCAGTTCCAGAAAGAGAATGTTGGGTTTCGATGTGGCGTCGTCACTCTCGGCCAGTTACCACTCATCTTCTTACTGTCGGGAAAGAACAATGTCATCGGTTTTCTCACCGGTGTCAGCTACGAACGTTTGAACTGGTTGCATCGATGGACCGCCAGGTGCATGCTCCTGACAGCAACCATTCACATGGGCTACTTCCTCAGTGGTATGTTGAGGCCTCTATACTGTGGATGATACAACGTGTGCTGACATATCTGTAGTCTGGGCTCCGTATAATTACTTCCCTATCCAACTCAAACAGAACAAGCTTGTATGGCGAGGACTTGCGGCCTGGTGCGTTCTTGTGTGGATCAACTTCAGTTCTGCAACACCTATTCGCGGGTGGAACTACGAACTCTTTGTCGTCCAACATGTGGCTTCGTTCGCGGTATTCGTCGGCTTCGTGTATGTTCACGCTCCGCCTGAGCTGCAAGGCTATGTGTGGGCCGCAGTCGCTATCTTTTTCTTCGATCGCGTGTTCAGAGCTCTGCGATTCCTATACGCCAACATATCTCTGTTTCACTCCTCGGCGAAGCGAGAGGGATTGCTGGCCTGTAAAGCTGAGTTTGCAGCACTGCCTGACGACACGACACGCATCACCATTCGAAACCCACCCATCAGCTGGACCCCCGGCCAGCATGTATTTTTGTCGTGTCAAGGAATTGCTCCCCTGCAGAGCCACCCCTTCACGATAGCGTCGATTCCTGAAGATGGGAAGATGGACTTCTTGGTCAAGGCGCAATCTGGGGGTACAAGACGCTTCTTCAAACACGCCCAGAAGTCACAAGGCCTAGCTGAGACAGCACAAGGGTATGAGCTCGCTGTTCCCCATACACCGCTGTTATTGACAGTCCACAGACCAAAGACCGTTACGATCGAAGGGCCATACGGGTGCCACCGACCGCTCCGCCAATTCGACAGTATCGTATTGCTTGCTGGAAGCACTGGCGCGACCTTCACTGTACCATTACTTCGAGACGTCCTCCAAGGATGGCGGGAGAACAGTGACCCATCGGCAGCGTCAAGATGGTCGCTGTTCGCATTGCCCAAAGGTGCAGTCACGCGCCATGTCCGATTCGTATGGGTGGTCAAGAGCCGAGGCCAGCTCGGGATGTTCGCAGAGCAGCTGTCGTCCGTATACACTGAGTTCCAGACTCTGCAAGAGCAATTGAGGGACATCAAGCTGGAAGTCACCGTGTATGTCACATGCGACGAATCCTTCACAGAAGAGCACAGGTCATTGCTGTCTACCGTCACAGCGCCAAGGAGCACAGCGCCACCATCCAAAGCACTCGAGCACGGTAGAGTGGAGCTCCGCAGCCGCTCATCAGGGATCAAGGATGACTCCAAGAACGAGCTCAGAGAGATGACAACCGCGTCTTCAACCGACGAAGGCGATGCATGCGCTCCAGACGCCAAATGCTGCTGCCGCACCTCCGTCGACGAAGCTTTGCCCTCCGAGCCAGCGCAATGCTGCTGCGCCCCCGCCCCCGCATCCACGTCCGCGCGCTCCAGCACCTCGTCTGCACAGCAGGGCAAGCACGCGCTGCTCGTGCACCCGGCGATCCAGATCTTTAGCGGCCGGCCGCAGACCAAGGACATTGTGCGCCGCTCGCTCGAGCAGGCGCGCGGCGAGTCGGCGGTGGTGGTGTGCGGGCCCCAGGGCTTGGTGGGGGATGTCAAGCAGGGCGTTGTGGAGCTGAGTGATGAGAGGGCAGTGCATAAGGGGACTGGTGCGCAGGGGGTGTATTTGCACACCGAGAGCTTTGGGTATTGAGGTTGGTAATTGTGGAGAATTCAGCTTGGTCATTCGTCGGATTCGTTTTTGAGGCCGTTGATACGTCGTGATGCGCGCTGCTCGTGACGGGTTTGGTGAGCTGTTTGGACTCTGGAGAAGTCTTTCGGAAGACTCAATGCTCGGTCTCTTCGTGGCTTCGAGAGCGGCATCGGCAACGCCTCTTGTGCTTTCTTGCCGTCTAGCCTGCCTGGCCCTTCCGCCAACGGACTGCGAGCAGTTCTTCTTGATGCCTTTCTCGCCCACTCCAGCAGTCAACATCGTACACAGCCTCAAGCTCTCCCGTTCACCGCCTCCTCAACAACATCCCACCTCTCCACCGCCCGTTGAACCAACGCTTTCATCGTCTCCCTCCCAACCACACCCCCGCCGCTCTTCTCAACCCTGCACACCGTCCCCCGATGCACAGTAATCGTCACAGCCTCCCTGCACACACCCTCCTCAAACGCATCAGGATCGCTCAGTACCCAGTCCGCGCCCTTCTCGCCCTCGCCCTCGCCCGCACCCCGTCCCTCGAACACGGCAAACGAGCTCGCCACGGGCAGCCCTCGTAGACGCAGCGACGAGGCCTCCGCAGGCGCGTCGCTGCACAGTATGCCGTCGAGCTCGTCGTCGAAGTACGCCCGCGGTAGTCGCGTGTGGCGCAGCGCGGCCACGATGCTGAGCCAGGCCGCGTCGAAGGCGCCCCCGTCCAGCGAGAGGAAGACAACGTCCAGGTACAGCACCCAGTAGCCCTTGAGCTGGGCGGCGGGCGCGGCATCAGGGTCCTCCGGGTTCACGGCCGGCGTGTGGGTGATGTGCAGGTCGCGCGCACGCAGCAGCCGCGTGCTGTGCAGCAGCGTGCGCAGCCGGGTTGTGAGTGCTTGTTGCGTGGTCGAGGGTGCGGCGCCGGGGATGTGCGCGGGGGTGCTGCCGGTGCTGAGTTCGATGTTGGGGACGACGAGGCGCAGGGCGTCTATTTCGTCTGCATCTGCGTCTGCGTCTGCGTCTGCATCTTCGTCGTCTTCTTCTTCACTTGAGACTTCGCGCGCCGAGGTCCCCGGTGTGTCTTCTTCGCGCAGGATCTCGGCGCGCACGCCACACACCACGCTGGTGTTGCCAAGCCGCACCACGGCGGAGCCATTGCAGTGTGTCAGGCTCCCTGTGTGTACGCCTGGGGCGCGAAACTCGTGCGCGGCGCGGCCGTTTGCGCGGATCGCCGACTTGTCAGCGGAGAGGTGTGCTTGGAGGAACGGGTGGGGCGAGACGGCGGCGAAGATGGGGCGCGGGAAGGTGAGGGCCGGCGGCGGCGGGGAGGCAGCGGTCGCCATTGTGTCGAGCTGTGTCGGTGGTTGAAGACGCGGATTCGAAGTTGGTGACGTTGTGTGGGAAATTTGGGGCTCGAGATTCTGCCTGCATGGCGCTAGGTAGGGCTGAGCTTACGTCGGTGGGGCGCGGACATCATCTATTCCATCACCACAACAACAACGCAAATGCCTAGAACAGCCTATTGAAGTACAGGTCATGGTAACATTTCTAACAAGAGACAGCTATAATAACACGCCTCCCGAGAAGCGAGCCCGCCCAACCGAATGCCAGTATCAACGCCTTCCCATCGTAAATGTCGCCGAAAGATGCTAGTATGCTGGCTGAAATGAAGTCAAAAAAAAAATGCTGACAAACCGCCTTCGGACATGGAGAACAAATGGAAGAGACAGGAGGATGGGATTGAAAGAGGGAGGTCGATCCGGCTGCGCCCTCGCTCCACCATGTGGTCGATGCATCCAGAATGCCGCCAATCTGCTGTGCCCGTGGTATCCAAACGTGCCAATGCTATCCGTCGTCAACCGTCATTATCTGGTCGCTGCTTCGCCTGATGACTTCTCTCGTCCTGAAAATGAAGGGACTGGTGCTGCCTCACCTGACGACCTTTCTCGTCCTCACAATGAATGGACTGGTGCTGCTTCACCTGACGACTTTTCTCGTTCTGACAATGAATGGACTGGGCATCTCCGTCTCCACCTCTGGGTCCCAGACTGCCGGCTCTTTGCTCTTCAGCTTGATGGGACTCCTGTACCCAAATCCGCGCTTTCGGATGCCCTCGTCGTCACTCATAGTTTGCACGGGGATGCCTCTTGCTTGCTGAAGCTCGACTAACGTGCGCCCTTGCACGCCGCCGTTGTTGCGCATTGCCTGGATGCGGATGGCTTCGTTGCCTTTCTTCGATCTGAGACCGCCCGTAACAGGCTCTGAGCGTGCGGCCGAGGCAGCGGTTGGCTGGAGATGCGTTTTGCGTGGCGATGGGGAGAGCGCCTCGACTGATTTTGACTTTGGTCGGCTCGGTGATGTGGCGATGATGGGCACCGCGGAAACGGGGCGGGGCTTCCTCGCGGGCTCGAGGTTCGGTGTGGAGCCGAGACGGTGGTAGGGTTTGACGAGCGGGCGCGCGGCGTTGGCGAGCGTCTTGAACGGGTCGTCGCTTGCGGAGCGGTTGCCGTTGGCGCTGCGGGCGCGAGTAGGAGACGGAAGAACGGGCAGGTCGTCGTCATCGTCGAAGTCACCGTTCCACTCCTCCTCCGTCGGCGAAGGGGGAACCTCCGCCTCCCACCTCTTGGCGCCGTCCTTAGCAGCAGCGAATATGTTCGGTCGGGAGACCATCTTGCGGGGCGAGAGCGACAGCCCTGCAAGATGAGCAGGTGCTGGAGATGGCTCGCCCATCTGAATGTCGACGGGCGATGCAGGAGCGTTGGGGTTGAACATGGTGCGCGCACGCGACAGAGGAGCGCGGCTTGGGCGCTTCAGCTTGGCCGTGATCCTGACGTTCTCGGGGTGTTCTGGCGAGTCCTCGAGCGACAGGGCGGACATGTCAGTGCCACTGCCAGACCCAGAGTTGGTGCCGAGTGTGCTTGTCGACCCGCTGACAACGGTCGCGTCCGTGTCGGCCGGGAAGAGCAGCTCTTGCGTAACCGGCTGCAGGACTGGCGTGTTCGATCGCGGGGCGAGCTTCGGCGACGTGCTGGGGCGCTTGGGGTGCTTCTTCAGCGCTTCCTTGACGCGCTTCTGGACCTCCTTCTCAAACTCGGCCTGCAGATGAGCCAGCTCCTTCTGCACGCGCTCCTCGGTCTGCTGCTTGACCTGGCGCTCAATCTCGAGGCGGGCCTTGACCTCCCACTCGCGCCGCAGCTGGTCGTCCATGTCCTTGCGCATGCGCTCGAGGGCGCTGGCTGCCTCCTGCTCTCTGTGGGCGGCCAGTCTCCTCTGCTCCTTCAGATCCTGTCCCAGCTTGACGACCTCCTGCTCCTTGCGCATCAGCTTGACAATGGGCAGGTTCAGCAGCGCGGCCGTGTCCGGGCGGTGGTCGGGGGTGACCTGCAGGCAGCTGGCGATGACCTTGCGCAGCTCAGCCGAGTAGCAGGCGGGTATGTCTGGGTAGCGGCCGGCCTTGATCTTCTGGATGAGGTCAAAGTGCGTCTTCGCGTTGAAGGGCGGCTGCTTGGCGCACATCTCGTATATGATGCAGCCCAGGGCCCAGATGTCCGAGTGCGGGCCGTACTGCTCGGCCTTGCAGATCTCGGGCGACATGTAGAAGGGGGTGCCGACGTAGGTGGAGGCGAAGTCGTGCGACTGCAGGATCTTGGACAGGCCAAAGTCGCCCAGCTTGACCGAGTTGTCGTCGCCCAGGAAGATGTTCTCGGGCTTGAGGTCGCGGTGCAAGATCATGGGTTTGGCACGAGCGTCGCGCGCAGGCTTCGCGTTGGCAGCCAGGCCCAGGACGTTGCGCCCGGCGGCCGGCGGGTCCTCGCCGTAGTGGCAGCGGTACAGGGCACTGACAATCTGGCTGCAGATGCTCCAGACGAACTCCTCGTCGCACACCTGGTTCTTGTTCTTCAGGTCGCGGATGACGCGCCCGAGGTCGCCGTTGCCGCAGTACTCCATGTACAGGTGCAGGTCCTGGCTGGCCTTGATGTGGTCGCGCTCGAAGTAGGCGACGATGTTGGGGTGGCGCAGCTCCTTGAGGATGGACAGCTCGGCCTGCAGCTGCTCGCGCTCCTTGGGCGACATCTTGCAGTAGCTAATCTCCTTGCGGCACAGGATGTAGCCGTCCGACCGCCGCTTGACCTTGCGGATGATGCCGAAGGAGCCATGGCCTGCGCGCCGTCAGTATCGTGAGAGCAGTATCGCGCAAGTCGCGGGGCCACTGGCACGCACCAATCTTCTCCAGGACGTCGTACTTGTCATCGTCGGGCATGCTGGCGGGGTGGCGGAAGACGTGCAACGGACAACGGGCGGGCGGGAGACGTGCAACGGGCAACGGGGGACAGAGGCAGCGTCGCGTCGGTGAGGGTGCGTCCAGGCATGCGACGTTGCGGGCTGGCGGCCAGGGCGTGCGTAGACGGTGGCTCTTTGATGTCTGCCCGTGTTTGGCGTTGTCCGAGCAACGCCACACGCCACCGCCGGGGCCCACTCCGCTCCGCCGCCTTGCCACCCACCAGTGAGGCGCTGACGCCGCCCCGCGAACATGTGACGCCGCCACTCCACCCCGCCATGGACGTCAAGAAGAAGCACGAGCTCGAGGCGGCCCTCGCGACCGAGGCGCAGGCCATCGCCGCCGGCCAGCTCCAGGAGGAGAATCCGCTGGACCCGAGCGACGCCTTCAGGCGGTTCTGCGAGGCGTGCCGGCGGGGCGACGAGAAGGCGTGCCAGGAGATGATCTCCCAGGGCGTGAACCTCAACGCGCGCGACCAGTACGACTACACGCCCTTGATCCTTGTAAGCTGAAGACGGCCTTGGCAGCATCCGCAGCCCGCAGCCCGCAGCCCGCGCTGACTGTCGCAGGCCAGTCTGTGCGGCCACTACGAGGTCATACGGCTGCTCCTCGAGAACGGCGCGCTGTGCGAGCGAGACACCTTCCAGGGCGAGCGCTGCCTGTACAATGCCCTCAACGACCGCATACGCAACCTGCTGCTCTCCTACGACTACGCCAAGTCGACGAACCCTCTGCAGCCGCTCGCGGCGCACATCACCTCGCTCCTCACACGACCATCGCCGAAGACCGCCGACATTGCAATCACTGCATTCGACCAGACCTTCCACCTGCACAAGTTCCTGCTCGCCGCACGCTCCCCGTACTTTGCGAAGAAGCTCGCAGCAACTCCATCAGTAACATCATGGAAGCTGCCGGACAAGATACCTGCAGAGTCGCTGGCCATGGCGCTGCAGTACCTCTACTTCCAGGAAGTGTCCATTCGGCGCGCACTCGTGGGCCTGAGCGACGAGCAGGAGCTGGTTGTCTTCAATGGCATCGACAAAATTGGCAAGCAGCTGGAAATCGAAAGGCTGTTTGAAGACATCACCGAGATCGACGATCGAAGACGGTTACGGCAGCGCAGGGCAGACGAGCTGTCGAGAGGGAGACAGCAGCTGGACGAGTGGTTCCAGAGCAACATTGTAAAACACAAGAGGGTCGTCGACACCGACAAGGTTGACAGCATCAAGTGGGACCGCGAAAACTCCATCTTCGCTGACATTTTGCTTCGCGCCGACGACGATGACGAGCCTGAACAGTCCGCGACCTCGACGCCTGCTACAGAGGCCGCGAACGGCGCGCTGAATGGTCTACCGATTGGCCCGAGACAATCGAGATCCCCGTCACGGCAGCGCAAGCCTCGCCAATCCACTGTATACCCTGCGCACCGCGCGATGCTGTTGCGGTCAGAGTACTTCTTGACCATGTTCAGCTCAGACTTCAAAGAAGCGCAAGAGACACCGCACCTGCAAGTCGTCACCGTAGACTGCTCACCGGCTGTGCTCGAGACCATTCTGACCTTCATGTACACCGAGCGCGCAGATTTCGGTCTCGACATAGCCATCGACGTTCTGTTCGCGGCAGACATGCTTTTCATCGACAAGCTGAAGCAGCGCGCTGCAATCATCATCTCTGCACTGGGCGCCGGCCAATCAGCCGTCGAGTCTGACAATCCTCGTGGCGAGACAGATGCTGATGACGTCATCGACATCTACGAGGTCCTCCAGGCCGGATGGGAGACGAAGGTGCAGCGTCTCGAAGAGTTTGCAGCACGCTACATCGCCTACCGATTGGAGCACTACATCGACGAGCCCGAGTTCGCGCAGATTGTACAAGAGTCTGCCAACAGAGTCAAGGCGCGTCAGGAGACGGATACAGTCGAGTTGGTCGACGACATCCGGTACTACCTCTCAGAGAGATTCAGACTTCGTTTTGAAGACAGCGGACTGGACGAGATGATGGACGAGCAAGCTGCCATCAAGGCGGCTGAGAAAGATCTCGGACGGTCGGTCGACAATCTTTCCTTGGATGACACGATGCAAGACCAAGCTGTTCCTGTTGAGCAGCAGATTGCTGCAGGTGCCATTCGAACGCTAGACGGCGAGCCTGTCAGCGATGAGTTCTTGCAGGACGCCCAAAACTACCAGATCCTGCTGGGTAAGATAGACACCTTGTTGGAGAGGCTCAATCTAGACGCGTAGACAGAGGAAAATAGAGCATCATTTCGTCAATCGCCCGCACATTTGTGTTCGCTGCTCAGGAATGCTCTCCGCTCGCAACTCCCGTTGGCCGATTGCGTGCATTGACATCATTGGCGGGGTGGGGTAGCTCCGGACGCAAGCTCCACATCGACATCAGAGTATCTTGACAAATACCTATCGACATTTATAATGCGTGCACTTGCTCGTGCTACGTCAGCTTCTCGTTCGTCATTTTCCAGATCAGCTTCTCGAACAGCAGCTTCGAAGCTTACCCAGACCTCTATTGCCCACACAAGCTCACCAGTAGCTACACCTCCAACCCCACACATACCGATACCGGCTGCAAAGATGTCGACAGAGAGCACCCAGTCACAGGCGTGCTGCAACACACCCGCCGTTACCAGCGGCACCTACAAGGAGAAGGGTGAATGGATCCAAGCTGATGGACTCAAGACTTGTAGGCCAACTGCGCAAACCAACCTGTCGCGTAGACTGAAAATCCTCCACAGATGCCACTGGTTCCAAGGATACAAAGACTGGAATTTTGGTCGTCTATGACATCTTCGGCTTTTTCCCACAGACACTCCAGGGCGCTGACATCCTCGCCTACACCGACAAGGAGCAGCAGTACCAGGTGTTCATGCCCGACTTCTTCGACGGTTCGCCAGCAGACATCTCCTGGTACCCGCCGGATAACAAGGAGAATGAGCAGAAGCTCGGCGAGTTCTTCAAGAACTCAGCTGCACCGCCCAAGATACTACCGCGTATCCCCAAGATCGTCGATGAGCTGAGCAAGAGCAAGGGCATCGAGAAGTGGGCCATCCTTGGCTTCTGCTGGGGCGGAAAGATTGTCAACCTCTCCTCGCAAGAGAACACAAAGTTCAAGGTTGCGGCTGCCTGCCACCCGGCTATGGTTGCGAAGGACGATGCGCCCGGCATTACAATTCCCTACATTATGCTGCCGTCTGGCGATGTGAGTAGCTTACCCTTGGACATGAAGAGCTTGACTGATGGTACTTGTAGGAGTCAAAGGACGATGTTGAGGCGTGGCAGAAGAGCGTCAAGGTCCCCAATGTCGTCGAGTGGTTCCCCGATCAGGTACACGGCTGGATGGCTGCGCGCAGTGATCTGTCGCAAGACAAGGTCAAGAAAGAGTACGAGCGTGGTTACAAGCTGGTCTTGGACTTTTTCCACAAGCACTTGTAAGTGGTCAAACACGCTCGAGACGCACCCACTGAGACACTCAGGGGTGCAAGCTCGAAGCTCTGAGCCACTGCAAACCAGACTGCTCAATGGAATATGGCATTGATGAAAAATTTACAATGACGACACAGGCGTATCTTTCCTCCAAGTCACGTGATTAGGCGTCTACTTCGCAAATCTCCAGGATCTTTCCAGGATTCGAGCCTGCGACACCAACCGAGCTCTTGACAGCAGTGACAAGACCCACTTCCCAGACACGCTGACTCCTGTGCCATGCGCTGGCTCCCATCCTGACCAATCGCTTCGCCATTCTTTACATGTGATGCGAGCAATATAGCATTAAAGATTGCTGACACGCTTGTGCGGAATACGTTGAGCTGGAGGCGTACATTTGATGATTGATCACATGGCATTGTTCAACGACGATGCAAACAATGGCGGTTTGATCAAGCTCAATGGAATTCTCACCCCCACCGTCCTAGTGCACGCATGTGCTGTCTCAGCTCCATCAATCTCCACACCCACCCCAGGCAGACTTGCCCTCCACTGTCCAAGCTTGCCGCGGGTGGACCTTCGGAACCGCTACTGCGTTCGGCCAGAACGTCATGATTGTTTTCGCGACAAGCGCGCTCAACAATTCAGCAGATCGTCCTGGCAGGTGGCAACAGATAGCAGCGCAGAGATTTGTGGAGAGGCGAAGGACAGATACAACAGAAGCCGTTACGAGTCGTGATGTCCCAGGTTGAGGCTCTCTTTCCCGAGGCCTGGGCCTCTGCAGCGGATGAGAGCACTTGCCCTGCTGTAGCATGGTCGAGAGCTGCGACCCGCATAGCACGGGCCAATGACGATAGCGGAAGCTCCGCTCGTGAGTTCCTGCATGCGTTCGCTGTGCGGCAGGAGGCAGACTGCGGGCGCTGTCTCCAAAATCTCTTGCAGCGTGTTGTTGACTTGTCTCTCCCTCCAAACACCGTCTCGAGTCTCGGGCGCTCTCTCTACAGCATTACAGCATCACAGCATTACACCTTCACAGCTTCATAGCTTCATAGCTTCACACCTCTTGTTCTTTGCTTTTACAGTTTACCCTTGCACGGTTTGGCTGCATCGTCGATTGCCGATTGCCTGCGTATCCACACTGACACCGCCCATCGCGCCGGGCCGCACCCTTCATTCATTACCAGTTGACTCGATAGTCCTTACACCTCACGCAGGCCACATTCACCATGGTGCTCATTGAGAATCAGGAGTACCTCTGCGAGGAAGAGAAGCGTCTCAAGGAAGACCGCGAGCGCACTGCTTACTGGAAGCGATGGGGGCCCTATGTTGCCGAAAGGCAGTGGGCTACAGGTCAGACTTCACCTCCAACTTTCATCTGATCTTTGCTAACATAACCCAGTCCGCGAAGACTACTCGTAAGCAATCCTTATGCTGCTGGTGCTTTGAGATACTAACCCGTGTTTACAGCCATGATGGAGACGCCTGGAGTCGTACGTGCACCGATCTTGATGCAGGCACCCTCACTGACCTTCCCTAGACTTCACGCACGACATGGCACGATCGCGCGCCTTTCGCTGGGGTGAGGACGGTATCGCTGGTGTCTCTGACTCGCACGGCCTCCAGAACATCACCTTTGCCTTCTGGAACGGAGAAGAGTATGTCTAGCCTGCTACTTGCTGTCCTCGAACTCGACTGACACGAACAGTGACTTTCTGAAGGAGCGCCTGTTCGGTCTCTCCAACCCCCAGGGCAACCACGGCGAGTCGCTCAAGGAGGCCCACTTCCACTTGGACAACACACCAACCGTATGTCGGTCTTCTGCACCATAATGCACAGCTAACACCATCCCAGCACTCGTACATGAAGTTTCTCTACAAGCTCCCCCAGCGCAAATTCCCCTACGAAGATCTCGTAAAAGAGAACGCGAAGCGCAACAGGCTTGAGAACGAGTACAATATCACCGACACTGGCATCTTCGACGATGACCGGTACTTCGACATCTTCATTGAGACCGCGAAGGAGGCAGACAACCCGGATGAGCTGCTTTTCCGAGTCACCGCATACAACCGTGGTCCCGACGCCGCGCCACTCCACATCATACCCCACGTCTTCTTCAGGAATACCTGGGCTTGGGGACACGAGGACATCAAGAAGAAGCCTTCCATCAAGAAGGTCGGCCCTACCACAGCTCAAACAACACACTACAAGCTCGGAGACCGGTTCTTCCAGCTCTCGCCCTCCCCCGGTGTCGGCACAAGTGGCGACGATGTGCAGCCTGAATTGCTTTTCACCGAGAACGACACAAACTACAAGAAGCTTTGGAAGGTTGAGAACAAGACCAAGTACGTGAAGGACGGTATCCACGAGCGTATCGTAAACGAGAACACCGATGCCGTCAACCCCGACAACGTGGGTACCAAGTGTGGAGCCTGGTACGCTTTTGACGAGGACGAGGGTGTTCCTCCTGGCGAGTGCGCTGTTGTTCGTTTCCGGCTGTCAACAAGAAGCGAAGGCTTCCTCGACGAAGAACTCTTCGATGATATTATGGAGCAGCGCCGTGCCGAGGCCGACGAGTTCTACTACCGTATCAGCCCGCTTCCCATGGCTGATGACTTACGCAACATCCAGCGTCAAGCATTCTCCGGTATGCTCTGGTGCAAGCAGTACTACCACTTCGTCTGGGACCAGTGGGCAAATGGCGACCCGAATATGCCTCCCCCACCCCCAGACCGAAAGGCGATCCGAAACAAGGAGTGGAAGCACATGTATCTGGACGACATTTTGTCCATGCCAGACTCTTGGGAATATCCATTCTTTGCTGCTTGGGACAGTGCTTTTCATTGCATTCCGCTTGCAATGCTTGACCCCGAGTTTGCAAAGAAGCAGCTGGATCTATTCACTCGTGAATGGTCCATGCACCCCAACGGTCAACTACCAGCGTACGAGTGGAACTTCGGCGACGTCAACCCTCCAGTTCACGCATGGTCCCTCTTCCGAGTCTTCAAGATCGAGCGCAAGATGTACGGCCGTGAGGACTTCGACTGTCTCGAGCGTGTGTTCCAGAAGCTGTTGTTGAACTTCACATGGTGGGTCAATCGCAAGGACGCCGACGGAAAGAACATCTTTGAGGGTGGTTTCCTGGGCCTCGACAACATTGGTATTTTCAACCGATCTGATCCTCTGCCCACCGGTGGTGTTCTGGAACAAGCCGACAGCACTGGCTGGATGGGCTTCTACTGCCTGAACATGCTGAACATCTGCCTGGAGCTCGCCAAGCGTCGTCGTATCTACGAAGACATGGCATCGAAGTTCTTTGAGCATTTCATCATGATCAGTGATGCGATGCAGTACCGCACCGGCGGCGAGTCCAAGCCGCTTTGGAACGAAGAGGACGGATTCTACTACGACGCCATCTCTTGGGGCGGTCCCTGGAGCCACCAGATGCCTGTTCGATCCCTGGTCGGTCTTATTCCTCTTTACGCTACTCTGACTCTGGAGCCGGAGGTCATCAACAGGTTACCAAACTTCAAGAAGCGTGTCGAATGGTTTATTCACAATCGCCCGGAGACTGCTCAGCGCAACATTGCCTCGATGAAGAAGCGTGGTCAGGGTAACCGCATGCTGCTGTCCCTTGTCAGCGAGGATCGTCTGAAGCGCATCATGAAGCGCATGCTGGACGAAGAGGAGTTCTTTGCTGACCACGGTATTCGTTCGCTGTCAAAATTCCACAAGAAGCACCCGTACTCCATGGATGTCAACGGTCAGCGCTACGAAGTCGCCTACCTCCCCGGCGACTCAGACAGCGGTCTCTTTGGTGGCAACAGTAATTGGCGTGGACCGATCTGGCTTGCGGTCAACTTCCTGCTCATTGAGTCGTGTCAGCGTTTCCACTTGTACTACGGCAACGACTTGAAGGTCGAGTGTCCTGTGGGTTCTGGAGACTACATGCATCTTGGTCATGTTGCAGAAGAGATCCAGCATCGCCTTCAGCATCTGTTTGCCCGCGGCGATGACGGTAGAAGGGCCATCAACGACGGCAACCAGATGCTCGACTATGACCCGAACTGGAAGGACTACATGTGGTTCCACGAGTTCTTTGACGGCGACTCTGGACGCGGTCTTGGAGCGAGCCATCAGTGCGGTTGGACTGGCTTGATTGCAAAGATGATCCACGACACTGGGTGAGTTGATTCCGTTTTCGATGTGAGTGCGGAACTGACAAAGTACAGCATGACATGCAGACTTCCACAGACACCACGTACGCCGACAGCTGCTGCTGCGCACTACTTCGACGATGTTCTTAGCAGCGGACCTCGGCCAAAGAAGCCTTCTCAGCTCCGTAGATCCTCAACAACCCGTAGTATCGGATTCCGTAGCGACTACGGCGGCGATGATGACGAGGACGAGGATGGCCCGACCAGCCCGGTCAGGAGGAAGAACTCTGTCGGCTACCTTGACGAGGACGCAATCAAGGCCAAGCAGGAGATCCAAGACCGGTTCAACCACTATGTCAGCGGCCAGCTTGAGCGCGTCAAGACTGGTATGCAAGACTATGAGCCAGACGAGTTCGAGACTTTAGTCGATGGTGCAGATGAGCGTCCGAGAGGCAGACAAGGCTCCAAGGCCAAGTCAAACGGCCATAAGGAGCGTGCGGACTACTTCGAGCAGGACGAATACTTCAGCAGGTGATTGTACTGATAGTGTCAGCATAGCGTTGTTTGATTGATGGAGCGGGAAGAGCGCGATGGACAGCATCTTATATATCCCTAGACCCTAGATAGATTTCAAAACTCATCGACCTTCCATACCGATTCTTCGTTTTCGTTGTGCAGCCTTGCAGACGCAGTCGGAGTCCCACGTGCTTGCGTCATTGGCCCGAGTGCCCGGCAGTCGCGATGGAGATCAGATGAGGGTCCACAACACCAAAACAGTCCAGACCGGCAAACATTCAAGTCACCACGCCTTTCTCTTCGTCCCTGCCTTTGCTCTTGATCCTTCTGAAACGGTCGCTCTCTGCACGCAGCCAGTGCCTACATCAATCGCATACGTAAGTGCTTGCATTCTTGCTCGCTACCCCCTCATTGTCTCCTAGCTAACCACTGGAATGCGATGACAGACGGCACACGACACAGCTGACCTATATACCTCACGACACAAGCACCACCGTCATGTCAGGCTTCATAACCACAATGTTCGTCTCTTCCCCGTCCAGCATTCCGTTCCCCGCAAAGCCCAAGCCCATCTCCCCTATATCCACATTTGTCCAGAGCCAGAGCTGCATGAACCTCCGGATGGACCTGCTCGACTACCAGGAGCAAGGCATAGCTGGAGGGATATGGATACAGGATCTAGCCTCACGCGATGAGAAGGGCATGCTCACGACTCTCGCGCTGCCAAAGGAGACGTACAAGAGCCCGCTGCAGAGGCTGGGGGAGGCACTGCGGCTGCCGCAGTCTGGAAATGCGCTTACAAAGGCGCTGGCGGAACACCGTGTACCTGATGTGCGAGGCCGGCGACCGCCCAGACTGCCCGTCAAGCAGCCGGAACGTCAGGACAGTCCCATGCGCCCGCCCGCCGACCACTCGTACAGCCTCGTACCCAAACGCAGCAACGCAACCACTCCGAAAGGACCGACAAGCAAATCAGCTCTGGACTCTGGACACCAAAACGTTGTTCAGAGGAATCGTGACGACGTGATACTCGTACCCCGGCCACTACCACCTCTGCCGCGCAACAATGGTGATTTTGCGAGCCCTGACTTACTTTCTTCTGTTCATAGTAACCCGCGCACTCGTGCACCGTTCAAGCCACAGAAGTCGAATCGAGGCACAAGCAGCTGGCAGCTGAAGCAGTATGCGGAGGCGACACTCGGCAGCGGCAGTCTGAGGAAAGCTGTCAAGCTGCCTGAGGGCGAAGATAAGGACGAATGGCTAGCTGTCAACAGTAAGGACTACACTCACGAGTTTGGGAGCCTAGCTGACACCTATGGCAGTCGTCGACTTCTACAACCAGATCAACCTGCTCTATGGATCCATCACCGAATTCTGCTCGCCACAGAGCTGTCCTGAGATGAAGGCGACTGACGAGTGGGTTGACAGACACGTTTGCTATAGATAGTCTCTGACGTACACAGATTCGAGTACCTCTGGCAAGACAGCGAGAACTACAAGCGGCCCACCAAGATGCCTGCGCCACAGTACATCGAGCATCTGATGGCGTGGGTGCAGTCCAACGTCGACAACGAGCAAATGTTCCCCAGCCGTATTGGCGTGCCGTTCCCGAAGACATTCCCCTCTCTGATTCGCAACATGTTCAAGCGCCTGTACCGTGTCTACGCGCACATCTATTGCCACCACTACCCCGTCATCATCGAGCTCGGTCTTGAGCCCCACCTCAACACCAGCTTCAAGCACTACGTGCTGTTCATCGACGAGCACGGCCTGGCAAACGGCAGCAAGGACTTCTGGGGACCGCTGGGTGATCTTGTGGAGAGTATGTTGAGGAGTGACTAAATCGCTGCAGTGGATGTTGATGACAATTTCGGTTTTTGGATGCGATCAGCAACCACAGCATGGGACAGGCTTACGGCGTTGCGGAAATTGGTACATGCACGTACATGGGGATATCCAGAACTTTCTTACGATGTACGAGTATTACGGACGCGAATTGACCCGCATAGCATTTACTTCGCTTACGATACGCCTTCCGGTGCTAGTGAAGTGTGGTTCTCTACCATGCATGTGCATCGCGGCTTACTTGCCCACACAAATCTGTCAGTCTTCGTTCTTCTGACAAGGACAAAAGTAAGCCCTGTGCAACGGCCGCCTACTCGCGTGGCAGCCCGCAGCCGTTGCACACGCCCGGTTCGGCGAGCTCATACACGCCGATCGAACGATGTGGCGATTGAAAACGCTTCCTTGCATGTACATGTACAGATGCCGTGCGATGGTGGGCCGGCGTGCTGCTGGATTGTACGCCGCGGACACCTGCGGTCGGCGATGTAAAGTTAGTTTGAAAGTTCTTGCTGCGAGTCAGACTGAAGAAGCCATGGGACAGGCTCGCCGTTACCGTGGAGTGGCATATTGAGTGCTCATGCTCATGCTTGCATGCTGGAGAGGCCGCTGCATCCCGTAGCAATTTCGTAGTCGGCGAGCTCACAATGGAAAGACATGTGTATCACACCGAACGTGCCGACGCTCCACGGCCGAAGGATTGCAAAGCTTGTACACAGTAAGTATTAGGAAGGCGATATATATCGCACCGACGGTTCGACCTTGCAGAGGACCAGAGTGATGATGTGGTGTGGTCGTTAGAAGGAAGGGGATACCCTTGAGCACGCTGCCCCGCCGATCATCATCTTTGGTGCTTTCTTTGTGACCCGGATTCCAGCTTCCCTAGACTACCGTGGGCTACCTTGGACTACGGACAACACATAATCTACGGAGCAACGTCCACCGACTCGCGATCGCCCACGTTAATGTCCAGATTAATTGGACCACGTAACGCAACGCACGCGAAACCTTCGTCGCAGCTCCAACGTCGCCGTCTCTCGTCGCCGAGGTTGATGACTCACTCCACCGAGCTGCAAGAATATGTGCGCAGAGCTGCGAGAGCAACTCCATAGTCACCCGCTCCTCACTCCTGAAACGAAGCACAACAGCGACACAATGCCCTACAGCGCCCGTCGTATGGTTCACCGTTTTTCAAGCCTTGCGTCGCGTGCGATGCCTCTGCAGCGTCGCCGAAGTCCCGCCACCGCGCGCGATCCACGTCCAGGGACCCGCACTAGGCGCAATGGGGGCGTGTGATGGACGCGCTAAGTATCTGTCTGCTCAGTTCGCCGACTAGGGACGAAGTGAGAGTTGTGATTGGAAGATGGGGTTTGAAAGGGTCGTGAGCATCGTCGGCAGCGTTCCTTGGGAGGGGAGCTCGGCGACGGGTGTAGATAGCGACCGGAGTTATGTGAGTAGGTATCAGTGAAAAGCTGTCACTAGGTACTGTTGGCATGTTTGGTGCGCTATTGCCTCGTTGATGTTTCTTTCACCTGTCATCTGTCACTCGTCGCCTGTTGGTGTACTTCTCTTTTTCCTTATCGACAGTTCTGACGACGTGAGAGGTTGTCGGGATGTTTACTCCGGTTGAGACGTCGATTGGTGCGCTGCTGCTGCATCAAGCGACCAGCAATCTGCTCTATCAGAATGGCAGCATCTTCGGCTTTTCGGGATTACTGAGAAGACTGATGAATGCGCCAACTGTGGAGGTGGTAGCTCTCTTTACAGGCATGGCAGCGAGCTATCCTTTGCTCGCATCTTTGGTGCCGGAGATGGTTACTCGGTATCCTTCGATATCAATTACACCGCACGCTATATTATTCACCACCAGCGTGGCAGCTTTGATAGGCTGGGGAACCAAGGTATGTGGTTCTGTCGATACCAAACAAGCACAGGAGATTGATCTACCATAGGCATCAAACGGCTGCACATCCGGACACATGCTTTGCGGCCTTCCAAGACTCAGCGGACGTTCAGCAGTAGCCACTGCGATCTTCTTCACCGTCGCACTACTCACACATCACCTCGTCCACCCAAGCCTCTACACCGACGCATGCCCTGGCGGTATCCCATGCTATACACCTGTCTATCCATCGGCCGCCACAGGTCTCTCCCTCACACTTCTCGCCGGCGGTGCAATCCTGGCCGCTCGAACAATACCTTACTTGATCGCCGACGCAACGACCTCGAACGCTGCCGGCAGCAAGACCCAACCTGGATCTCAAGATGCAGGACGCACCGCAACGCAATTTTTCAGCGGCCTTCTCTTCGCCCTCGGCTTGCAAGTCTCCGGCATGGCGCACCCAGCTAAAGTCACTTCATTCCTCTCCTTTCCCGTCCTGAACGCCTGGGACCCGTCGCTCGCGCTCGTTATCGTCTTCGGCGTGCTTCCGAACCTCATCATGATCCAGCGGAAGGGCTTTGCTGAGCCGCCGGCGTTCAAGACGGCATTTGAGCTGCCGACAAAGACGGTCAAGGATGTAGATGTCAGGTTTGTGGCGGGTGCAGCGGCGTTCGGGGTCGGATGGGGACTGACGGGCACATGTCCTGGGCCTGCGGTGTTGAGGGCTTTTGCGCAGCCGGTTTGGGGCCTGATGTGGATGGGTGGGTTTTGGCTTGGAGTTCGGGTTGCGGCGTGATTGGTGCTACGGGATGATGCAGAGGTGCGATATACTTTCATGATACCCAGATTCAATTCATAATCCAATGCTCGAGCGTCGTGCATCTTGGGTCTTGGCTCGTGGTGCTTCAGTGAGCAGGCAGATTTGCAGAAATACGGCTTACCACTCCTTCTTGGATTTCGGCGCCGCCGCCTACCCGCATGGCCTGCGCCTTCCTCAAAGGGCGATACGGAAGTGCTTGCCCTCGTGTACTGACCTGCACCCTGCCTGGTGGACAAGGCTGCCGCGAGCTGTTGCCTTGTCATCCACCTCAATTCTCGAACTAGGCATGGCCTACGTGCACAGACAGCCTCATGAGGCATCACGACTGTGAATAGAAGCTACTCGAAATTCTTGCATCGTTGAAGTCTGCTTTCTCTACTTTTTCTTTGTCAATCTAGTTCGCTTTTGTACGCCGCGCATACAGCCATACGGCAGTCTGTTGAGCGTCATACTGATCAACGACTTATCACTGATTGATCTCCATAATATACGCCTTGTGTTGGTCATCGCAGCCTTGCATATTTGCCTGATCCTTGTGTTGTCCAAATCTGTACTGCAATCGTGCGGTCCACAGAACCGCCTCCGCGTTAACCTTGGATCGCTGCCAGGACCCTTTCACTCAAGGGAAAACACCAAACCCGTTTGCACGAATTGCGTCAGGCTTTCGACCCTGACTGTACAAATATTGCTCATCGCCCGCCGCTACCCATGAATTCAACAGTTATACATGCGCGCCAACCAACGGATGTCACAATACACCACCTGAGTACAGCAACTTGTTCTGATACCAGCACCTATATGGCAAAGACTTGCGTTATTTGCGGCGGCAACGAGGAAGCTGATGGCAACACGCTTATCGAAGCTCCATGCCAGCGACACTGGGTTTGCACCGACGATGTCACCAGTTTCTTCGAACGCGCAACTGAGAACGAGAGCCTCTATCCACCCAAGTGCTGCGGCCAAATTTTCCTCCTCGACCTGTACGACGGCTGTGTCCCATTCGATGTTCAGTGGGCGTACCAGATGAAAGAGCAGGGCGAGTACTCTGTGCTGGCCAAGTAAAAGTTCCGTGATCAGCTTCTCTCATACATGCTAACAGTCGTAGGTACCGTGTCTACTGCGCAAACCCTCCTTGCTCAAAGTTTCTCAGCCCGGCTACGCATGTGAAAGACCCGATTGCCGACGTCAGCTATGCCATCTGCGTGGACGATGGCTGTGGTAAATTCACCTGCACGACCTGCAAGGCACTCCTGGATGGAGTCGAAGGACACATCTGCGAGCAGAACGAAGACGAAAAGAAGTTCAGGCAGACAGCGACCGAGAGAGGCTTCCAAGAGTGCCCGACCTGCGCCTCTACAATCGAGCTCGCTGAGGCGTGCAACCACATCATGTATGCCGCATCCAACCATTTCTTGTGCAGGTGCTGACCAACAATAGCTGCGAGTGTGGTGCCGACTTTTGCTACGTCTGCGGCGAGTCATGGCCAGGTATGCACGGCTGCCCGCACTACGGTCCTGCGATCTACGACGAAGAGGGCTACAACCAGGACGGATACCACAGAACCACTGGCCTCAACCGCGAGGGCCTCACGCGCCCCGAGCAGACACGCTTCCACACCATCGGAGATGATGATGAGGACGAGAGCGATGAAGAGGGCGATCCTGACGACCATCACCTTGTCCTGCAGCACGTCGACGCTGCTGTTCGCGCCGTGTTTGCAGCACTTCCACACCAGGACCGTGAGGCATTTCTGATGAATCTGCAAGTCCAGCTCTTCGAGGAACGCGGCATCACCTTCCCACCTCTTGACGAAGACGGACGCGGTGATGATGGCAGCCTGGACGACAGTGACGTCGACGGAGATAATGAAAACCCTGACCCCGAGCACAGCCTTCACGATAGCGATTGGGAAGTGGATGGAGACAGTGATGAGGAAGAGCAGAACAACGTTCGACCTGACGGCGACGCCGACGAGGAAGGACAGGACAATGCACCCTCCTTGCCCGCGATCACTGCAACTCCAGGTGACCTGAGCGAATCTATCAGCGCACTAATTGATGAAATCGATGGCGCTGAAGAAAGTCTCGGTGCCGTCATGCAAGGCATGGAGGGGTTTCGGAGTGGTGCATCATCTTCAGTTGGTACTCGAGACGACGATTCGCCAGGGACTCCCATGGACGTGGATCCGGTGGAGGAAGGGACGGACAAGCAGCGTGAGCCTTGGCTGAGAACGCCAGGCTCGTGGCCAGATGATGATGGATTTTAGAAGGATCATGGCTCTCGAAGCCGGATGGGTCGAGCATTCGCAAGCACCATCTCATCAACCGAATTTTTCAATGGACGCGTTTGAATTTTGCAATCGACCCCGAAAGGCAAGGTGGGAACGACACGATAAAGTGACATCTGGGACTGATCAGGCGGGCGCCTTGGTACATGATGAAGAGTTGTTGAGTTGACAAAAACGAGACTGAATTTGAACATCAGCTCATAATTAGTCTGTCAAGCGCGAACCGGACCGCGTGACGTCAGCAGCTGCTCGCGACTTTAACCGACGACTTCGATGATGATTAATGAACGAACAGACAAAGTGGGGAACCGCTACAACAACGACGATGGCTTTCTATCCTTGCCATCACACAGCAATAACCTGACTATAACTCGCTCAACATGTCTTACAGCAGAATCGGTGTTGTCACTGGAGCAAACAAGGTACCTTTACTCAACGCGTCTTCAAACTCATCTAACATCATCAGGGCGTCGGCCTCGCCATTGTTCGCCAACTGGCTCTCCAATACCCCAAGTCACCTCTCAACAATGGTCCCTTTCTGATCTACCTCACGGCGCGCGACAAGGGTCGGGGAGAAGCCGCGCTGAAGCAACTCGAGCAAGACTCGCAGTTGAAGCAGGCCAAGGCCCTTAGAGCGGATGGCGGCCTCGCAGAGATCAAGTACCACTATCTCGACATCACAGACGAGTCCAGCATCAAAGGCCTGGCAAAGCACCTCAAGGAGGCGCACACCGAGGGCATCGACTTCGTCATCAACAACGCCGGTATCGCCCTGGACGGCTTCGGTACGTTGGCACCACCACATACACAAGCACACGCGCTGACCGCACAGACTCCAACATCGTCAAGGAAACTCTCCACACAAACTACTACAACACCATGCTCGCCTCCCGCACCTTCTTCCCCCTCCTCAACCCCACCGGCCGCATCGTAAACGTCGCCTCCTCCTCGGGCGCGCTGTCCAAGTACTCCGACGCCGTGCGCGAGCGCTTCCTTGCCGCAAACACCGAGGATGATGTCACGGCTATCATGCACGATTTTGCGTCCGCCGTGGAGCAGGGCAAGGAGAAGGAAGCCGGGTTCCCGAGCGCGGCGTATGCCACGAGCAAGGCGGGGTGTATTGGAGGCACGAAGGCGCTTGCGCGCGCAGAGAGGGAGCGAGGCCGGAAGAGGCTGGTCAACGCATGCTGTCCGGGCTATGTGAATACGGATATGAGCAAGGGGAACGGGACCAAGACGCCGGATCAGGGCGCGCAGACCCCGGTGCTGCTTGCTATTCAGGATATCGGGGGGAAGACAGGCGAGTTCTGGAGGGATGGGAAGGTCATTGAGTGGTAGATGGGGGCGATTTGATCTCTTGATGGAGTCTGAGTCCGCATCTTAGGCGGAACTAAACGTTGATCTGTTGCCTAAGATACCTGTGGTTGGCTGCATCTTTATCGTGATCTATCCAAGCACTGACAACCCCAATACCAGCCAGATATGGTAGCTAGATGGAATAGCGACATGGGGCAAGCATCAATGAAGCGGAATTATGCTCATCATGGCATCCACGCAAGCACAAATCACACGGATGATGAAGAGCAGATCAATTTGTACATTGTCGCAGAAAGGATCGAGGTGAGGGTGCATATCACGTGATCCGCATCTGGATATTGGACCGATCAGACACTGGCGATCTATCACGCCATGGTGAGCGGAATCGGGTACAGCTTGGAACCGTGATTAGGGCTCCAATTATGGTATAGCTGGATGAGTATCGGTGTATATATTCTGCTCATTCAGCACCGTAGATAGAACAAGGAACTTGATCACTTTCTTCACACTTGATCAACGATCAGAGACTGCTCAGCTTCCACATACATCAATCCCGTGATGAAGATTATTGTACAGTATCAGTCCTAACCTAAAGTTCCTATTCAATCGCTGCCGGTGTGCTTCGTAAATGATTCGCCCACAGATATGGTAACTGCCTACGCGAGCGGGTGTCAGACTGTGGGATTGTGCTCGTGACAACATGAATTTCTTCGTAGTTCCTGCATCTGATTAGTTGGAGGCAAGATTTTAGAGGTCGTGAAACTCACTCATCCAGATCATCCTGGGCATACCCCCTGGATGAAAATGCTTCGATGTGCTCTTCTTATTCTTCGTCGTTTAGGGCGTTGCGATGCGTCTGTGCGAACAAGACATGCACACTATGCATGTTCTGCTTCACCATATGGTCGTTGCCTTCGCTGCTTCACCGTCAGTCAAATCTAAACAACCATGAGTCTCCACTCACATCTCCATGACGCCTACCCTAGCTTCTCCAGCCTGCCCACCCCTAGACAGGGTTGCGATGATCTGCTGGTACTTCGTCTGCTTCTCGAGCGCGTGTTTCAACTGTTGCTGCCTGGTTTCTCTGTCGGCCTGCTTCTTTATGGCAAGTGCCTCGCGCAACTGCAGCACTTTTTCTTCAAAACCGGATAGGCGCAGCAACTCAGCAAGCTGTGTGAGGTTCTCCTCCTCCAAGGCCTTGTTCTTCGCCTCCAGCGTCTCATTGTTGTTCTCTAGGTCGTTCATACGAGCCTCGTATTTGATATTCTCGTCTTCGATTGTCTCTACCAGGCTATAAACTGTGGTCTAGGTGGTCTCAGGCTGTCGAGTCAGAATGCCGATCTGGCGGGACTGGCTGGTGTCCGTTTTCGACAGGCGGTCGACTTCTTGGGACTTGTCCTCGCAGCCGGGGCAGTTACCGGAACGGGTGCGCGACATGACTGGACCTTTGTTGTGGTTCGCTGACGGGGGAGGGTGAGAAAGAGGCAGCTGGGATTGCGAGAGGGTTGCGTTGACAGTGGGGTAAGCTAAACATAAGTCGGGGTGAAGACGAGTGAAGGCAGGAGCTTGCCTGACCAAAAACAATCTACGGTCACCACGAAATGCCGGAGGAAAAGACCAGTCACCGCTGGTATTGGTTATAGCGTCAGCTGCTGAGAAAGGAAGCTTTTGATGCAATTCGCTCTATCGCTCGACTATGAAACCCTTAAACCAATGCGCCATGCTTATTGACACAGGCTCGTTTTTACCTCATCTCCTGCTGCCCGTCTGTGCCCTCAACCTCCTCACCCCTGATCCAGACGCTCTTCATCGCCTCGTTCAGAATCTGCATACCCTCATCGATCTCGGCCTCAGTGATCGTCAGGGGCGGAACGAAACGTAGTGTGTTGGTGCCGCAGGTGATGACAAGCAGCCCACGCTCACGAGCAGCTGTGACGATCTCAGTAGGATCAGCGTCGAGCTGCAGACCGAGGATCAGACCCTTTCCGCGGACCTCCTTGATTTGCCCAGGGTACTGCTGGCGCAGAGCATCGAAGTGCTTGCGGAACGCTTGCTCCTTTGCTGGGATAGCATCCAGGAGCTCAGGCGACGAGAGACGAGACAGGATGTACGAGGCTACGCGGCTACCGAGGGGGTTGCCACCGAATGTTGTGCCGTGGTCGCCAGTCTTGATGTGGTCGCAGACGAAGTCGTTGACGATGGTAGCGCCGATGGGGAAGCCGTTACCAAGCGCCTTGGCCGTGGTGACGATGTCTGGGTGGGCCTCCTTGGGGAACATGGCGTGAGCCCAGAAGGTACCTGTACGGCCGAGACCGCACTGAATCTCGTCGTAGATCAGAACTGCGCCGACCTCTGTGCAGCGCTTGCGGAGGGCGAGTAGGAACTCAGGTGTTGCTACGTTGACTCCGCCCTCACCCTGGATCGGCTCGATGATGACACCGCATGTCGACTCTGTGACCAGGCTATTGATACCTTCGATGTCGTTGTATGTGCCGTACTTGAATCCAGGGACCATGGGCGAGAATGGTGTCTGGTATTTGGGGTTTGGTGTGGCGCTTAGGCTTCCCATTGTCCTGCCGTGGAAGGAGTTGTGGAAGGAAACAAACTCATGCTTCGAGCCGTCTGGCTGAAGTGACTTTCCGGTTTTGCGCGCGAACTTGATAGCAGCTTCGTTGGCCTCGGAGCCGCTGTTGCAGATGAAGGTCTTGGTTGCGCTGGCAAAGCCGCCGGTCGCGTGTGTGAGCTGGATGAGCTGCTTCGAGAGGAGGCCGGTGTGAGGGTTGTGGTAGAGATTCGAGGTGTGCATCAGCTGCTTAGCCTGTGGTTTGTTAGTACCTGGTCACGTCTTTGCATAGTGACTCCCCATACCTGCTGAGCAATGACCTCCGCGACGCCAGCATCGCAATGCCCCAGAGCGTTGACAGCAATACCGGCTGTGAAGTCTAGGTATTTCCTGTTCTCAACATCCCACATGTAGCACCCCTCGCCCTTCTCAAACATCGGCGGTGGGCGAACATAGGTGGGGACCATGTACGGTAGCTGCTGGTTGACGAGGCCTGCGGTCTTCGAGCCTGGGGCTGGGTCTGGGGTAGCTAGTGTCGCATCGCGCTGTCTATAATCAGCAATTGGTACACAGCGCACCTTGTCTGGTCATCCTTACCGCTATCGCGTCCTTGACATCTTGCGGCAAACTCGAGCCCTGCACCGCTGCCGCCGCCGAAGAAGCAAAACGAGTCAAAACGCAATTTACGCGGGGCGCACGCAGTGAAGCGCACACCCGCCTAGAAGCAATTCGAAAAGCCATTGTATATACTGGGTATCTTACAAACGAAAAGGACGCAAGAAAGAAAAGTCAGTGCGGCATTTACAGTCACAGGCGCGGGCATGCACATGAGTCTTTTGAATTTCTTTATCGATACAGCCTGGGCCGAAGCCGGAGGAGGCGCCGGTCCCTGCGGCAGCTTACGGCAGCAGTTTGCGACATCATGTTTGCCAGCGACGGTCGATGTGACACATTCACTCGGTACGTCCCAAAATTCAGTTGGCTGTGAAGATTTTCAGGACTTTGTGAGGCCGGGGAAGTTGCGACATCGCTGACAACGAAAGACGAAGACGATGCAGAGCTCCGTGAAAGCTGGAGAGTATCACAACGTCTACAATATATATCTATGTTTTTTCCTAGATTTCATCAAAGCCTCTAGCTTCCTTGGTGTAGTCGGTTATCACGTCGGTCTCATATCTCGTCGAGTATGACTATTCAAAGAATAGAAATCCGAAGGCCGCCAGTTCGAATCTGGCAGGGAGCATTTTTTGCCTATGCAGCCGCCCTGACTGGTTGGTGCAGGACAGACTATCAGCGCGTAGTCTCTTTTTGCTGTACTAACTAATTAACATGCCTGCTAACTAACTTGCCTGCTAACTTGCCTGCTAACTTGCTTGCAGTCTCACATTACTTAGTCAGCAGTTGGTGCTAAGTTAGCTCCATTGCCAGGTCGACTTTCTCTGTATAGCCTCCTTGAACACCTCAAGAGATGCATACTACTTCAGATAGGTATGTGCACTTGAACGTGATAATCATTTGAGTATGCTGGGAAACGATCGCTGTATTCATCATGCTAGTCCGTTAATGCTTCTTCGCATCTTTCTCCTTTTGTTTCTCCGCAATCAATTCATTTAAACGCCAAAACGCTGTGACGCCCTCTACGAAGCTGCTCCCGACCCACTGCCACCAGACAGTGTCAGCAGAGCTTAGCCCGTGTCTCTTCACCTTATTTGCCATGATGAAAGACTCAGTGATGTGAATGGCCAGCATGACGGGTAATACGATCCACCTGACCTGCAGCACGAACCTTGCGAACGCCGGAACCATAAACAGAAAAGTGTCGTACATCAGACTACCTGGCTCGAAGTTGGCTCCCCTCGGCAGCAGAAGGTAGACCAGCATGCACTGCGTGAAGTTGAACAGATGGCCCAGCTTGGCATACGGTGGGATGTAGCGATTGACAGTGATATCGCTGCGGCCAAGGATCTGCAGAGTGTCTTTGTCCATCTGAACGAGACGCTCTCTTGCTTCGCGCAGGCTCTTCATGGGCGGATTGAAGGTTACAGTGCTCATCTGCTCGCCAACACTGAATGCCATCTGATTGAGATCGATATCAGTCATCTGCGCAGAGTGACTTTGCCTGGGGCTTGTGGAGACGTAAGCTTCGACATAGCGACGGATCTGTGCTACAATCAGAATCCACACCTCGCAGTGGGTGTAGGTGTGCGACGGCGTACAGAATCGTGGTGGTCCGCGTTCATGTGCTTGATGATGCGCTGTTTGGCCGCTGCTTCCTGTGCCTCGGTAGATGCCATCTCGCGAACCTTGTGGGTAAGAAGGACCTCCTGTCACGAAGCAGGGTTGGTATGATGTCTGTCGATGCTCTGGTCGATTCCTGCGATGCCTCCTGTTGTTGGCGTCACGAGCGTGTGCAGATGAGGCTGCCGGGCCGATGGATCCCGGACAAGCCTCCGCGCTCCACGCGTGACGCTCGTGAAGACTTGCAGTTTTGCGGCAATTCCGACGCTTGTTAGCCGAACGCTCCTCGACGATGAACGTCGTATCTGAACGTTATTTCATCATCACTCAATTCATGGTTGCCTGTTTGCGAACAGAAACGTAGAGTCCGGAGCTACTGAAGGTGTACCAAAGTTACAGAACGACCTACCAGCCACGCGTGTCAGGCTGTCAGCCAACCCTGTCAACTGCGTGGTGTGCCTCAGCATCCAGGTTTTGCCTTCGACGCCGCCCAAAAAGGATGATCTTAAGCGCGCATGCAGGAGCGACACTCGATCGAGATATTCGGAGCTCGTTCTGAGCTCACTGCACGGTGAGCGCGCCAATGGGACATGGCGGACGTGTCAGAGCAGAAGAGGCGGGCAACGGGGAGAAAGTTGGCAGAACGAAGGATTGTTTGAGGCCCGGGCAGGCCAGCCCGATCGATACTCGCCAGGATGCTGACAAGTTTTGGGAATGGCTCGCGCGCGTGGTGGGGAGTTCCACTCTTGCGTCAGGCTGCATGATGTGGGTGGCTCGTGTGCGAGCAGGGATGTGTCAAGGTACCTTTGCAGCTCCAAACCTGTTCCCATCCCGCAGGTGATTCCTCTTAACCAATCTAGCTCCGTCGACTTGGATTCAGCCATTTCCAGAATTGAATCTTGAACTTACTTGCCAACATTCAGCTTCGTGCGCCCCCAGACCAGCACTCCAGCCTATCCATCTGATATCCAAGACACCACACCATGGCGGACACTGTCGAGGAGAAGAAGCAGTCCGTTGAGGGACAGGGCCAGGCTGACGCCAATGCCTCGATTGGAGGATCTGGCAAGGCCGAATCATCGAGTAAGAAAGAAAAGAAGACCCCGAAGAAGCTGGGCGGGAAGAAGCCCCAGCAACAGCCCACTCCCGAACCCACCCCCGCCCCCGAGAGCGAAGCTGAAGGCGACGCTGAGGGCGACGCCGATGCCGAAAACGCTGGTGACGCAGAGGCTGAGCAAGAGGACGCAGGCAAGAAACAAACCAACGGCAGTGCCGATGCCGACGATTCAGAACCCGAAGCTCAGCCTCAGAAGTCAAAATCGCAATCGAGGCGTCGCCAGTCTCGAGGCCGTGGACGACGAGGCGGAGATTCCGAGGACACTGATGCACGATCCGACGTCTCCCAGTCTGGCGGCCGCCGCAACCGTCAGCGCCAGAAGAAGGGTGGGAAGGGAGGCCCTCTTGACGACATCACCGAGAACGTTCCCGGAGGCGAGCTTGTTGGTGGTGCTGGCGACATGGTCCAGGACACCGCGGGCAAGGCTGTAGGCCAGGTCGGCGACACTGCTGGAAAGGCTCTTGGAGGTCTGACCGGCGGTGGAGGCGGCGAGGATGAGGGCGACAGCAAGGGCGAGCAGCTGCGTCTGCGATTGGAGCTTAACCTCGACATTGAGATCCAGCTCAAGGCTAAGATTCACGGTGACCTGACCCTTGGTCTGCTGTAAGTTTTGATCACTCTGGAGATACATACATACAGGTGCTGACTTTTGCAGTAACTAAGCTACAAGCAACGAACATTGCACGACCATTACTACTTTACGACGTTTGGAGCATTGAGTCCGGAGCTTTCCTGGACGGCGTTAGGCTTGGGGATTTTACGTAGTGTAATTCTACTGATTGCTACAAATGAAGTTCTGGAACCATTTTCTCTTGCATTATGCCTCATACATACACGTGAACTTTGCCAGCCTTTTCTGAGCCAAATTGCAAAATCCCAAATTTTGAAAAGCAAGCCCAGACGCAAAACGCGAATCGCGGTGGCGTTCCACCCACCTCGCCGCGGTGACATCCTGGTTCCGCCCTGCCAACTTTCCTTCCCGAACGTCGTCAGCCGCGTGCCGTTTCGTGAACGTGCAGCTATGACCCCTGCACACAAAAGGCCATCCCCACTTTCTGCTCAGCCTACGCGCCGCCACGCAACGGCAGAAACGGCCGCGCCATGCCAAATCGTGCTGTGACGTCAGAGCCACGGGGATGCTGCTTCGGCTGCAGTGGCCAGGATGCCTCGTTGGGGCGACGTGAGTTGCACATCCCAGCTCCGCCCTAGCATGCATCAATCTTGATTTCGAGTGACGGCTGGTCATGCCTCTAGCTTGGCCCGACCCTGACCTCCCCTCATCTGTACATTCGGTCCTCTCTATTCATTTTGCAGGCAGACAGAGACTTGACATAACATACCCTTTCAATCGCAAGTATAGGTGCCGCATCTGCACCACGGGTATCCACGTCCAACCCAGAATCAAAGGAAAACCCGCCTTCCACAAACGCAACCATGGCGGACGCAAAGAAGCAGTACAAGCAGATCGAGCAACAAGTCCAACAAAATGCCGACCGCGAATCTGACTCAGAGCCGCATGAGCGCACAACCATGCAGCAGGAGAAGGCCATCAACAGGAAGAAGCAAGAGAAGCGCGACCAGGGTCTACAGTCCGCACGCTCAAGATCATCATCTCGCCGCGCCCGTCGCCAACGCATCGAGAAAGGCATCAAGGACGGGAAATACATGATGACCTCCTCCCTCGAGGCGCTAGAAGAAGCTGACGCCAACGGCGACCTCCAGAAGATGGGCATGTTCGAGCGCATTGGGCCGGACAGCACATCCATGGACGGTCCCGTGACACACGCCCGAGCGATGCGCGGCGAGATCCCCTTGCGAAGCACCATGCCCAATGACCCGTACGTCATGGAGCCGGAGAAGAAGTCAGGCGGCGCGCTTGCCGACCAGGACGGTCTGAAGCTCACGCTCGAGGCGAACCTGGAGATTGAGATTGAGCTCAAGGCGTCGATTCGCGGCGACTTGACTCTTTCGTTATAGTAAGTCCTTTTCGTATTCCTTCTTGACATTCACCTGCTTGCTTGTTTACCACACTTGGTTTACTGCGTCCTGATGTTTGCAGCGGCGACATGCTGCCTTCAATCTCGCTGCCCAAATTACCCAAATTGCCCAAGCTTCCCAAGTTGCCCAGTGTGGGCAATATCACGAAGATGGTGCCCAATGTAGGCGACGTAACAAGCATCGTCCCCAAACCCCAACTCTCCAGCGTTACCAACCTCGCAAAACTCTCATAAGGTCGGCCGTTCCTAATTCGGGTCTTAACAGTGAATAGTGCATGATTGGTCGAACGAAGTGCCGACCTTGTACCGCGCAAAGACGTCGTTACCAGGCGTTGTCGCAACCTGGTTGCTAGTACCACAAAGGTGGTGCCACGAATTTTACGACCCCGCTACGAGGTCTCGGTACCGATCGTCTGAGCCACGAAACCATTTTACCGTCCCAACGGACTGATGCACTGTTCAGAGCGTTTGGAGTTAAGTTGCCATCTCATTAGGCAGGGTTGTTGTATTTTGGGTAGCTAAGATGAGAAGAACTGAAGAACTGATGATGTTATACGACACCAATCACTGTCTTGCTCATTCTGAAACGTGAGAGTTTCTGCGTGAGAATATCAGTACGACAACCTGGTACGGAGAAGAATAATGGACGTATGTAGGGCCGAGATTAACTCTGTGCTGACTCCCTTCAACGTGGCGAATACCTCCAGGCCTCATGTTTGAGCCCACATGTTCGAGCCCACACCATGCCCTTGCAGTTTCCATACACCCTCTTGCGCCCACGGAGCAGCGCAAACAGTGTTGAGGAGACCTCTTTGGAGTCAGGGTCCAATATGAGAGTAAGACGAGGCTTTCTATCCCGCTGAGGAAAAGGAAAGACCAAGAGGCGACACGATGCTGGCCTCCAAGCCTCAGCATCGCCGCGGGGACAGACTGTGACGCAATATGACAAGCACTGACTCTCCAAGGGTATACATGACAAAGGCCAAGAACTCCCCTCTTGCGACGCCCGAGCACCGACAAAACCTACCATGTTGTTCTGATCGTGTCCAGGAACAGCCCAACGTTGTTATCATTGCCGCTCCTATGAGGCTCTCGATAAGACTTGCATTGCCTCGTCTGAGCCAGTGGAGGATGAGACACCTTCGCGAATCCCTTCCCCAACAGAAGCAAAGATCAGTCAGGCTGCGCAGATAAGACCAGGCCAGTCCTCGACAAGCCGCTCTAACTTGCGGAATGACCAAGGGCAGTACAATCCAGCTCCGTTACCAGCGATACGTGAGAACGACTGGATCTCAGCAGACGTTCTTGCAGACTACAAGCCTAAAGAATTCAACCTGAAAGAGCTCTTGCCCAAAGGGGACGAGTTATCAGGGCCTCCGGAAATGTTGAAAAAAGCCAAAGGAAAGTTGACGAGGGCTTGAGGCCAATCGACTCGAGTTCCTCCAGATCAAGTCGTTGCTCGTCCATGTACTGGACGAGAAGCGCCACGGACCTTGCCTCGCAGCTTTGGACCATGACCACCAATACTTAGGAGACAGCACCTCAAGCCAAAGCCGTCTCTCAAGCCGAATCGACAGGCCAGACCGTCACCTGTCCAGCGTTTGCTCGTGCTACCATGAGATCCTCAAGCACGGCTGCAAAGGCAAAGCCGGCACCCAGGGCTTCGCGGACACTACCACGCTCCTTCACTATGCGTCTGAACAGCAGTTCGAAGTCCTCTAGTCTGGCTCAGACGGGTAACTCTGCTACACTTGAGGCTGCTCGAATGATACTGAACTCATCTGCGAAGCCTGTCAGGAGTTCTGGTGCGCCACGGATCTCTCTTAGCGGTGCAAGAGCTAGAGTTGTGGCAAGCACAGCTTCCCGAGCATTTCTTGGGCCCAACGTCAGGCCTGCAATGGTTGTTGATACAGCTGCGAGGTCCTCCAGACCTGACTCGAAGATGGGGAAAGTTGGAGCCGTGGCTTCTCGAATCCCTCCATTTCCTGTTGTGTCGGTCGGTATTAAGAAGACTTCCAGTTTAGGGAGAACAAGGATTCTTGTTCCACGCGAGAAGGCCATCATGCCGGGCACATATCCCGCTTCTGATGCCGGAGGTGATGACCGGTGATTACGCGGGCGTCGTACAACCATTTCGTACTGTAAATCCCTGCTCTCATCGATGTTCAAAGCATCTGTGGTGCTTTGATGAGCCGAAGACATCCGCGGTCATAGCAATTCGTCGATGTCGCAACTGCCGAAAGCGCGCTCTACCGCGTTAATCTCCTGCTCTAGGAACGCTCGTACAATGTCTCTAGGTAGCGCGCGATCTCAGAACCCATGAACGCCTCAGCTCTCGACGTTGCACATGTCTTGCAAAGTGTGCAGCTGAAGCTTTGACAAGGTGTTGTACGGTTACATGCAGCACGCTGCACATGCGTAACGCAAGGCTTCCAAATTCCTCTTCCAGCCAAACAGAAGCGCGCGGAATGACGGTCGAGCGGTTCCTAGTCCCGGTTGCGGCTGGCAGCAAGGCTACCCCACAGTGGATCGCCAGCATCCGCAGGTGCCCCTCCAGCGGCCCCTCACAACAATGACGCCCACTTGCGGAGCTTCAAGGATGGGGTTATAAATCGCGCGAAGGTGGGCGTTTTCTGGACCTGTCCAGGAATCGCGGTCCAGAAGCTATTCGCACCGTAATCTTGCAGCTCGCTCTCGCAATCGGCCCCATTCTCGCACGCATATAAAGACACAAGAGCTCACAATGGCACGCGCCCCACAAGACAGCGAGAACATCATTCCTCTCCTCGATCCCGACCACGATCCAGGGCAGGTACCGGCTGAGGATACATCGAACAAGTCCGCAAACATGTCCGGCGACAAGATGAAGGCAGTGCACTACGAGGGACCGTTCAAGGTCTCCGTGAAGGAGGTTGGACTACCAAAGATCGAGCATCCAGATGATGTAATCGTCAAAGTGACAACTGCAGCCATTTGCGGTTCAGATCTGCACATGTATCAAGGCCGAACCGCTGCTGAGTCAGGACTGGTGTTCGGCCATGAGAACATGGGTGTTGTAATTGAGAAGGGCGCAGGTGTGACTTTGCTGGAGAAAGGAGATCGCATTGTTATGCCCTTCAACGTCGCCGACGGAAGATGCCAGAACTGTGAGGAAGGCAAGACAGCGTTCTGCACAGGGTGAGAACGAGCAGACTTCGAAGCAGATTTTGCTGCTGACAATGGCGCAGAGTCAACCCCGGATTCGCAGGCGGCGCATACGGGTACGTTTGGAGGAGAATCTGCGACCAAGCGCTGACATCGCTAGGTACGTCGCCATGGGGCCCTACCAGGGTGGTCAGGCGCAATATATCCGTGTGCCTTTCGCCGACTTCAACGCGTTGAAGCTTCCGAAGGGAACAGAGCACGAGGCAGATTTCATTCTGCTGGCCGATATCTTCCCCACCGGCTGGCACGGACTGGTCCTCTCCGGATTCAAGAGCGGCGAGAGTGTCGCAGTGTTCGGAGCTGGCCCTGTTGGTTTAATGGCAGCGTACAGCGGTATCTTGCGGGGCGCCAGCAGGGTATTTGTCGTCGACACCGTCCCAGAGCGACTGAAGGCGGCAGAAAAGATTGGCTGCATAGCAATTGACTTCAGGAAGAGCGATCCTGTTGAGCAGATTATCAAGGCCAATGGTGGTATGGTCGACCGGGCAGTTGACGCTGTGGGCTATCAGGCAGTGGACTCCTCGGGATCGAAAGAGAAACCGAACATCGTCCTTGACCAATTGATCATGGTAACACGTCCCACTGGTGGTCTTGGCATACCAGGATTGTATGTACCGGCAGACCCTGGCGCGCCGGATGAGCAGAGTAGGAAGGGACAGATTCTGATATCGTTCGGAAAGCTCTTCGAGAAGGTACGTTTGAATTGGAGATCGCGCGACCGAGTGTTGACATTGCTAGGGATTGTCGTTGGGCACAGGACAGTGCAACGTCAAGGCCTACAATAGGTATCTACGTGATATGATCATCTCGGGCAAGGCAAAGCCAAGCTTCGTTGTCTCGCACGAGATTGAGATTGACAGTGCACCGGAAGCGTACCAGAAGTTTGACCAGAGGATCGACGGATACACTAAGGTGCTGATTCACCCCAACGGGCCACTGAACTGATCAGTTTCTTGACCACGTTGTATGCAGCGACCAAACCAAGTAACTTACTTTATACTTTCTCTCAAGCCATACACCCAGTTTGTGGAATGGGTATCTTCATGCTCTTGATGTTCGCTTGCGTTCCCTAGAAGCTTAGACTCATGCCAATGCTCTACTCCTTGATGATGTATGCCTTCAGAATCTTGACATCCTCTACAGGTCTGTCTTCTCGGTCTGTCTTGACCAGGCCAAGCTTCTTGACCGCCTGCATGCCGCTCTTGACCCGGCCGAAGATTGTGTGCTTGCCGTCCAGCCATGGTGTCGGTGCCAGCGTGATAAAGAATTGAGAGCCATTCGTGTTGGGCCCGGAGTTGGCCATGCTGAGGATGCCTGCACCGGTGTGCTTCAGAGCCGGAGAGATTTCGTCCTCAAACTTCTCGCCGTAGATCGACTCGCCGCCCCGCCCAGTACCAGTTGGATCACCGCCCTGAATCATGAAATTCGGTATTATGCGGTGAAAGATAAGGCCATTGAAGTAGTTGCGCTGCGCAAGGCCGGAGAAGTTCTTGCATGTCTTGGGCGCGTGGTCATTGTAAAGCTCGACCGTGATGAGGCCCTGGAGTGGTCAGCGTTGGTAGTGTCTCTTTTGAGCGCATGAACTTACGACAGTAGTGTCGAGCGCGACTTCGGTTGCCATGATGTCTGGAAGGCCAGTGAATGCGCGAGGTGGGTGAGTACAATGTTGGTCCGTTCGCTGCTTCCTCAAAAGTTTGGCGCACAGACAGAAACAGCAGCCACACTTTGTGGCGTCACTAACGCCGGATGACATCGTTGACTCTATTGCAGAGTCCTCAACTTGTCGACAAACAGCAACACCGTAAACTTCGCCAAGATGAGCCTCGCAGCATGGGCGCTCCCACAACTTTCGAAGTTGCTTCCGTTGGATAACGACTCTCTGAAGCAAATCGTCGAATACACCGAGTCTTTGCCAAACAGGGAAGCGGCGGACCATCTGCAGAATATGCTAGGTGATAGTCCTCAAGCCTTGGAGTTCATCACATCGTTCAACAATAGGAGGAAGTCGAAAGGTCCCGCTGTATCAGCTCAGACTGCGCCGTCAGATGATGTCTTAGAAGGACCGAAGTCAAAGCCCCGCAGGAAGAAGCAGACGGGGATAGGCAAGCCATTACCAGCACGACAGGTGCAAGACGCTGGTAATTTCGCTGGCGCATACATGAAGAAGAATGAGGGCGACTACATGGCCGGCAGCTCGAAGCACAAAGCGCCGAAGTCGAACACGTTTGGACTATCACAGAAGCCAGATGCTCTACAACTACCCACCGCCACGTCTTCAGGGACGGCCAAGCCAACATCACGCGGCGTCTCGCCAGCTCCGCAGCCAAAGAAGCTCCCGCCATCAGCCGCGGGCCAGCTCATCTCCGAGACGAAGTCGTCAAGGAACTTGTCACCAAAGCCCAAAGCGAAGATCAGTGTAGCAGGTGGCACCCCAATGCACGGAGCGTCGACCGCACTCAACGACCTCGAATCTGCTATCCGAACCTTAGAGATCCAGACAAACCCCAGTTTATCCGCTCAAGACAGCACCAAACGCAAGTGCAACTGCATGGCATCCCGGCATCCACTGCTCGACGCCGCGCCAAACTGCCTGAACTGCGGTAAGATCATCTGTGTGAAAGAGGGTCTCGGTCCATGCACATTCTGCAACACGCCGCTTCTCAGCGCTGAAGAGACCCAGTCAATGATTCGCATATTGCGCGAAGAGCGAGGAAAAGAGAAGATGGCCGCAAACAATGCGGGACAAAAGCGTGCTGAAGTCGCGCATGCGCCTCGACCATTCTCCACACCAAAGATCACAGCGTCGACTTCTGACGCAGACTCTGAAAATGAGAGGCTGGCAAAGGCAAAGCAGCACCGCGACAAGCTTTTGGCGTTCCAGGCGCAGAACGCGAAGAGAACACAAGTGCACGACGAAGCTGCAGATTTCGAGACAACGAGCGCAGGTTTGAGCATGTGGGCGTCTCCACAAGAGCGCGCGATGCAGCTCAAGCGTCAGCAGAAGGCATTGCGAGAGCAAGAGTGGAATGCGCAGCCCGAATATGAAAAGCGCAAGGTTGTTGCTAGCATTGATCTGGTAGGGGGCAAGATCGTAAAGCGTATGGCTGCAGCAGAACGACCGAAGATACCTGAGAGTGAAGATGAATCACCAGAGCCTGCGCAGCACTATGAGTCGGGAGCCATCTCCAAGGGCAGTGGCGCGTTCAGCAGAAACCCACTTCTTGGTGCACTTATTCGCCCCACGATCAAAGTGGAAGCGAAAGGCAAGGACAAGCAGAGCGAGAAGAAGCAGGCTTGGAGGAGGGTGCAAGACGACAACGACGATAATGAGCAGTGGATCTTGGACGGCGGAGTGTACGGCGGCAGGAACGATACTGGAGAACCGGAAGCAGGCCACTGAGTGCGCACTGACGCGAGACTTGAGGAACTATTATCAACATCGTCACTACGTTCGAGCACGTTGGCTGCAAACATTTACAGTCGATAGTGTTGTCTTGCGCGCTGCGGATAGCCGTCTACACGGTGCCTGCGCCGACCTCTTGCTCCGGAAAAGCATTCGCCCTCGGATCCGGCTGGCTCAAGAAAGCGTAGCCGAACATGAGGTACGGCCTAGCTGTCAATGTTCAGACCCTGGCTAGCTGAGTGCTAGCAAGCGTGACATTACGGCACTCGTTCATAGCCTCCAACGCAAAACACCTCTCTCGTCAATTATAGGTGATTTAAATCTATCAATAAAGAACAATGGCCAAGCTGGACTAACGACCTTGGGGCTCCAACTACCGCCATTGAAAGTCCGCACCTTCCTTATCCATTTCAAACAACGACAGCTCGCCTGCAATTGCCGCGACCCAAGACCACGTCCAAGACTCCAAGACCTCTTCCCCGCAAACTTTCCCAGACGTCTCACTTCCATTATTCAAGACTGTGGGTCTGCTACGCGCTCCACGTACATCAAGAAGGATCAGCGCCGGCTTTGGCAGTCTTCTTTGGCGGAAACATGATTTTGTGGCGCTCTCATGCAGTTCAAAGCCCACATGAACTGCCACTAATGCCTCGCCTCCTTCGCTTGACGATGTGAGCCAAGCTGATGGGATTGTAACGTTGCATGTTGCGCCTGCGTTGATGGCAGATATCGGTAAATGAGCGGACAGGAAGGCGCAGGGTGCAGGATCTCATTTTCCAGAGTTGAGGAGGTGTGATGCATGTGTATCTGATTGCTCCCAGGTTCCGACATATCGCCCTTTTCCTCTTCGTTTATCTCAATTAACTTTTACTTCCTGTACGATTCTGCCTCTAGGATCATTTACCGTCATGGCAAAAAACATCACCTTCAAAGACCACGAGGCGAAACGTCTCGAGAATGTCGACAACGAGAAAGGGTTCACGACGCCCTCATCGTCATCCCAAAACGATGCGCCCTTCACAATCGACCCCACAGTCTCGGCACGACTTCGTCATGCAATTGACTGGAGGCTCATCCCTGCCCTAGGCGCCATGTACGGCATCTCGCTCATGGACCGCAAGAACGTCTCGAATGCTGCAATCGCCGGCATGCTGGTAGATCTAAAGATGGGCAGGGGGATGGGATACAATCTTGTTAATTTGTGCTTTTTTATCACATACGTGCTCTGCCAGCCCTTTATGGTTATTCTTTGCAGGAAAGTGGGTCCAAGATACTTCCTCCCTGGTATGTGTTGTGATCCGTATCCCATAGCCGAACACTAATGTTGCATAGGAATTTGTTTGGCTTGGGGCGCTGTCATCGTTGGCTTCGGTTTTACCAAAACCTGGCCTAGCTTGATCCCTTTGCGACTTGTTTTGGGCCTTCTCGAGAGTGGCTACTTTCCTGGGTAAGCACGGCAAATTAGTCCTGCGTTAGATGGCACTGACAGCCTCCTTAGTTGCCTGTACTTGCTGAGTTGTTGGTACACCAAATTCGAAGTCGCGAAACGCTACAGTGTCTTCTACTTCATTGGCAGCGTCGCATCCGCACTCTCCGGTATCCTGGCGTATGGCCTGCAACAAATGGAAGGCGTAAATGGCATTCGCGGCTGGCGCTGGTACGTGTCGCTTCTGCGCTACCCTCTCACAGCACAACAGTAACCCTTCTTAGGATCTTCATTATGGAAGGTGTCATCACCTGTGGTGTTGCTCTTTTTGCGTTCTCCTTCATCGTCAAATTCCCCGATCAGGAGAAGATCAAGCCATCGTGGGGCTTCTTGAAGACACCCGGTGACATCGACCTCGTCATTGACAAACTCAACGCGGACCGCGGCGACGTCGCACCCGAGCCATTCTCCTGGAAGAAGTTTCTCGCACCCGCAACACAGTGGTACATCTACGGTTTCGCCTTCATCTTCTTCTGCGTCACGACGATCGCCTATGGCTTCGCATTCTTCCTGCCGATCATCCTAAGCACGAAGCTAGAGTTCAGCGTCGCCATGGCGCAGTGCATGGGAGCCCCACCATATGCTGCAAGCGGTATTATGATGTACGGTGCTGCATGGTTCAGTGACAAGTACAAGACCCGCGGTCCCGTAGTGTGCTTTCTCTGTCTCATCTCGTTGATTGGTCTGCCTATTATGGGCTTTGTTGAGAACCCATGGGGACAGTACGTCGGCGTGTTTATCACAGTCAGCGGAACAAACAGCGCTATTCCCGCCATCATGGCATACCAGGCGAACAATATTCGTGGACAGTGGCGCAGGGCTTTCTGCTCAGCTACTTTGACTGGACTGGGTGGTATTGGAGGTGTTGCGGGTGCGCTCATTTTCCGCACCGAGGACGCCCCTTCCTACGTGCCGGGCTTCGTGGCGTGCATGGTTTGCAACATACTGGTTATTCTAACGACGGGAATCTTGACTTTTTACTTTAGAAGGTGTAATGCGCAGGCGGATAGGGGTGAGAGGGTGATCAACGACGATCCAACCTTCAGGTTCACCATCTGAGCGGCGAACAGCTTCTCACAATCGGCGCAAGAGATTATTTATTGGAGCCGGAAACTGGTCTGACTATCCGTCACTGTAGTAAATCTTTTATACAATTAACTCAGGCACCTGCACCTCCACTTGCCGCAAGCTATTTGCTATGGGGTCTGGTCACATCAGATGCACTATGCTACCCTTTGTACCTGTATTTGAAAGTGTTTCTTCTTCACAAGCACCTCACTCGTACCGAAGTCCACCATCTACGCCATGACCTATAAAAACATCAGCCACAAGCCTAGTACCATGGCTGAGAAATAGGAAAGTCAGTATCGAATGTCTGCAGATTGCTTGAGCAAGACTAATCAACAGCCAGGCCACTTCTGCCGAACTGTCATTCACATGACGCGCAAGTTCAAGATGGTAGATTCAGAGAGATGACAAGATATGATCAGGGCACGCACAAAATAAGTGGAGGAGATATGAGCCTGACGGTCCTGTCAACACTGCCTTGTGTCTGAATTCGCCACCGTTCTCGATTTGACAGCAGAGGAACATCTTTGAGAGTTTTGGGTGCCAAGTTTCACATCTCGTCGATCACACAGATGCACAACGATCGTCGATCGCCAAGCAAACCGTATCATTCAGTCGCAAGCCGCAAGGATCGCGCAGCTGGAGACAGACGCCGAAGCGTGGGCGGACAAGATCGAGGAGTTGAGTGCAGCGCGGGACGGGGCTCCCTCTGGGTGAAGAGTTGATGGGTGGTGCGCGGAGCTAAGATAGATGATTGGTATTGATGGGATGGGGAAGACACACATTCGTAACTAGAGAGATCATGTCAATTTCATCATCTACCGTACTTTCGACTTGCTACTCCCAGTCCTTCCACTCCCTCTCCAGATCCTTCAACTCATCCTTGGCACGTTCATAACCCCTGCACCCCTTCTCCTGCCCTGCAAGCCACTGCAGTATGTCCCTCCTCTCCTTGGCCAACAGCACCTCCTTACGCCTCCTCTCGAGCACCTTTCTCTCGAGGTACTTGAAATCGTCCTCCTTGACAGCAACATCCCACACCCTCCTCATCCTGCCGCTGTACAGCGCACAGCTAGTTCCCAGCTCCAGATCTTCATTCGGTACGAGCTGAATGCTCTTGTTCACGAGTCGCGGCAGAGCACCGGACTTGAGCCAAACGCACTCATCATAGCACTCTTCACACACGGTGAATTCCGGGAGCTGCGGGATGAAATGCCACGCTTTCCGTACAAATGCTTTGCTCCTTGCACACTCACCTTTGAACGCGTTTTCGCGCGCGAGCTTGATGAATTTGGAGATGTTCAGGCGTTGACCTGTAGACTGCGATTCCGCGTCAAGGGCGACGAGGAGGTCGAGGTACTTGGGAAAGCGGTGAGACGTCGTGCGGAGGGAGCAGGTGTGTTTCTCGAGACCGTAGGCTGAGGAGGAGGGGAGGCGGGTGAAGTAGCCACGGGTGCCGGGAAAGAGGGCTTCGAGGTTCTTCACGTCGGCGGAGCAGACGGCGAAGTTGGCGACGTGGAGACCGTCGCGCTGGTCGGCGATGCCGTACCAGGTCATGCGTTCTGTGCTGACTTCGCGGTCGCCGGGACAGAGGCGTTCTGAGTCAGCAATGTCGGCGAGCGCGTAGATGAGGTCGATGGATTGGCGGCGTTGCTTAATAGTCAAGAGCCATGCGAGACGCATCCAGGCGCTGTTGAAGTCGCAGAAACGTTCGGTAGGGCGCTCATACTTGCGAGTTTGCGAAAACTCACGGGCGAACAATGTACCTGCGAAGGCTCCGTCGTAGCACGAAGGACAGACGTCGAAGTTGCGGTAGTCGGAGAGACTATACCAGTCATCGTACCTGTCGGTCGCGGTCGGCCTGGAGCAGTTCGGTAGAGGTCTGTCGATGAGCGCTACGGCCCTGCTTGACTTCGTGCGGCCGTCACTGCTGCGCTTCGAGTCAACACTATTTGATCTGCTCCGTCTCTTGCGCGGAGCTTCCTCCGGGCGTGGCGTCCTGGGTCTCGGAGCGCGCTCTCGGAAGCCGTCACCTTGACGAGGTGAATTCGCGATCGAGGGCGATGCAACTCGCGGAGCATCTCTGAAGACTTCTCGTGGGGACGAGACCGTTGAGTAGTTGAACTGGAAATGCTCCTCTCCTGGCATCCAGACATCTGCATGGTGATCCTCCACCGGATAAGGTAGAGGGTTGTTGGGCCTGACTGGTGATGGGCTTTGGATGTCTACTCGTGGAGCAAGAGGGATTTGTATCGTCTCATGCCTACCGAAGCGCGAAGGCGGTCTTGAACGGTCATTCGCATTGACCGGTGGGTACGTCGAGTGCCAGTCGGCCTCGGTGATGGGGACCTGATGAGCCTGACGAGGAGAGGGGGGACGAACTGTAGTCGACCATGCTAATGGGGAAGCTGGCCGAGTTGCATTGCCCCGCGATGAAGGCCGAGATCCAGGCGGCGACTCGCGCAGTCGTGGAGGAAGCCTTGGCGATGGCGCACGGTACATCGGCGAACTTGGTCGACTCGACGGACGAGGACTATTGACATATCCGGTGTCTACTGGCGCAGGCCTCGACCACCTCTTCTCGCTATTGACCGAGGACGACGAAGAGCGAGGGGAGTGGTAGTATGAGTTTTCGTAGCCTGTGCGTGCAGTCGGCGGTCGCTGAGTGGAGTCCTGTCTTACCAGCTCAGGTCTCGACTGGCTCTCGCGCAGGTTCGTTCTAAGATCCTCTTTCTGGGCCTCGCTCTTCACGAAGCTGTACCGTGCAGGCTTGCGTTCGTTGATCCGTAGATGTGCCGTGTCCTCTGCTTCTGAAGTCGAGTCATCGAAGACATCGTTCCTGGCCAACTGAGGAGCTGATCGAGTGAAGGAGTCGCGCCGTGTGCGGACAGGTATCGACTGCGATGGCCTGGCGTTTTGGTCTTTCTCACTGCTGGCAGTCGTCCTAGGCTTGCTTGTATTGGCCGGCGTGATAGGCTCGGGCGAGAGCATAAAGGCAGCCGAAGCGGGTGCAGCCGACTCCTTTTGCGGCGTGTACGAGTACGGGGTCGACAGCCTCTTGGTGAACAGTATTGGATCACTCTCGACATCCGTCCTCAGACGCGGCATGTTCCCGCGCCCAGCGAAGCTCTTCCTCCGCCTTCCGTCCGCAGTATGTGTCGCACTGAGGCCATTGTCGCCGGACCCAGGCACATGGGCAAAGCATCGGTCGTCGTGGTCAGGCTGTCTGGGTTGCTCGATCTCGTCCAGCAGATACTCCTGATCGACAGTGCCCCGCGTGTTGGTCGGCGGCTCGCCCTCGGCCGACCCCACCACCGAAGACGCCTCTTTCTTCACAGCAACGCTCTCATCCTCAACAGCGGGCGACGGCGGCCATGAAGGTCTGCGGGTGCGTGGGCGCTCTCGAGGAGGTACAGCGGACCGCTGCGGGTCGTAGGAGTCGTAGTAGGAGCCATAGTAGGAGTCGCGGTGGGACGAGGGAGAGTAGTCGTTCATGTTGCCCCGCATAGCTGGCTTCTCGCGCGGGGCAGGCGGTTGTGCATAGCGGGAGGAGTAAGGGTCTGTGTCGCGCGGGTATGAAGAATACGTTTCATGACGTGGGCGGTAGTAGCGGTTGTGGTCGGTGTAAGACATGTAAGAGGGTTACTAGGTCAGACGATGGTGTCTCGCGTGTGCATGCGGGCGTTGGCGAGCGCAGTATAGTTGTCTCAGGACTTCAGTGAGTGCAGACAACCACCAGATGGGTAAGACCAGATAGGTATGAGGGTCTATCTTGTAGAGAACCTTCTAGGAGACGCAGGACGCGCAGGATTACATAGCGGGGGCAATTGTTCTCTGTTGAATGCCCTTCTGCTCAGTGACGCATCCGTCAGCGCAAGGCGGGTCCCGCCTTCCTTCCATCTTCCGCGCACGCGCTGGCCGCAATCTGGTAACGCGTCTTTGCTACCCGAGTTAAGCGGCCAGGAACACGAGCTAGAGGCATGCTCCCACCGCCAGTTCGACGGCTTGGAGGCAGTCAACAGCAGGGCAATGTGAGGCTCTTGAGCATTGTTTGCGCCCTTTGCCCGCTTCAATGCGTGGTGGGCTTCACAAAGGAAGCCACAACCACCATGTACCTTCTGTGAGCCCTCTTGACAGCTCTGCATGATCCTGTCATCCATCTCAGCGTCCCTGCATCACCATGGTTGCGCTGATCGCTCTTGGTGAAACCTTCGCTACCGGGACGCCCAGCCACAGACTCACACGCCCATTACACCAGCGTTAAGCTTAAAGACAGTGCACCACAGTCCGTTCGGTCTCAGAACACCTCATTCAGAGTCTCATCCATAGTCGTAGCAGTTCACGTCCAGTGTTTGGTACGACAGCGGCCACTTCCGCGCAGCGGTCAACGACCCTGTCCGCGCCCCATTCCTCCCCCACACCCAAGCCTGGAGAACGCTGCAAGTGCACAGCACAGCCACCACATCACCCGTCACGCGAACCAACTCAAGTCCTACGCAGAGCCGCATTGCCGGTCAATCCACTTTGGCATGTCCTTGATTGCTTATTCCCTCGTAGTCACCTTCCAGCTGAGGAGACAAGGCGGATTGCACGGCTGCGCTGCAGCTTCGCACCTTGTTGACCGCCGAACGTCCGTAGGAATGCTGCAAGACACGTACTCAAGGTCCTGCACGATTGCCGGCGTAGCCAGGCGTATCCCGTGGGGCTTTGGTAAAATGTCACAGTGCGTGTACAGCCCACGCTTGCTTGTCACGCTCGTGTCACACCAAGTTCTCCCCACTAGCGCTGCTGGGTACCACGAGCGCTGAGCCGCAGTCACGCTGTATCAACAAGGGACACCGATCGAGTTGCTCATCAATACATTTCGGCGCACATCAAAACAGAATGCTTTCCACGACTGTTAAAACCGGAACGAAAATGTACACAGTAGATACCGCTCCAGCCACACCATCTGCACATCAGCCTCCATACGCCCACACATAACAATCCGCGATCCTTTTAATATTATTTCCTTCACGTTGAACACGTCGTGATAAGGACCAGGGTATATCGCACTAAACATGGTAAGAAACGGCCGGTATGGCGCTGCGTCCCAAGGACAGTAAAATCGCATTGAGAAGATAGGTGGCTTTGAGACACCCATGGCGCTTAGAAGTAGTTGCCAGCAGGGATGGCGCAGAAAATGCCGACTGCGACACCGCCAATGATGAGCGAACCGAGGATCGCCTGGATGAAGATGGTGTCTTGGATCTGGCGAAGTGCAGGCTCCTGGATCCAGACCTCGCGGTCGAAGATCTTGCGCACAACATTGCGCCTCTCGTACTTGGCGATCCACGGCTCGTCCTCCCACGAGTTACTGGATGCGTGCGAGCCGAGTGTGTCATTGGAGTCGATCTTAGCGTCGTAACCTTGTGGCTCGTCATCTGAGCTGAACAGCTCCCATGGTCGCAAGTGGCGGTGGTGCATGCCGTGAAGGACGACACACATACCCTTCCAGGCAGCGATAAGGGTGGATATGCCGATGATGAATCCGAAGAGACCCATGACCCTCCAAGCACGACCTGCGCTGCTTAGAGTGAGGATGATACACGTGAGAAGACCAGCGACAATGCCGCCAATACCCAGTCCGCGCGCAAAGATGACACGAGGGCGGTTGCCGTTGCAAATTGTCCAGCGAATGAAGTTGGGGTGAGCCTGGCAGCGGAGCGACCATTCCACTGTGGTGATCACTTCCTTGAACGCAGATGGGTGAGTAGTGTTCTGCAGAGCGTGCAGTAAAGCGGTGCGCTCCTTCGAAGAAAGGTTGAGCTGGCGGGAGCCGCCGTCAGCGATGTAGATCGAGATGATACGGTTAACCTCCTCGCGATAGGGCTGGACGGTGACTGTTGTGTATGAGCATTTTGGTCCTAACAAAAGAAAAATTAGTAAAACTCACGTGGCTTCCACTTCAGCCCCGCATTTTCAAACGCACCTGCAGCACGTTCAGAGTGGTTCACTTTGCCGGTAGTCATGCTCTCATCATACGAATCGAGCGACTCATCCCGGCGGTGCGAATCACTTGTTGGCGTGTGCGGTGGTGTGAAGAATGGGTTATTAGCGTTGCTCTTGTCGCTGCGCTTGCCAGTCTTCTCGCTGGCAAAATCGGTGCCCTCCAGAATAGCGGCCACATCTGGGTTCTTTCTGGTGAGCTTGGGCGCCTCGACATTAGTCTGGCTGCCGGCCCACTCAGGCGACAGGAGCTTCTCGCTCTCAGGCAGCTCGTGGAAGCGCTTGCTGTAGTCGCGATACCAGAGGAAGAATTGCAGATTCTCAGCTGACAGCTCGATGTACTTCAAAAAGTTCATGAAGTCACGGACTGTGCAGGGCTGCATGTGGTTAGCATTGCACGACAATCAATCCAAGCAGTTCAGGTTGGGTGCGGGTGAGGCACAATGCGAGGCTTGCAAACTTACAGGACAGACACCACCGGCAATGATGCGGTCGAACGACAATGCCTCAGGAATGCCATGGGACATGCCACTGCTGCCGGAGCGGACAGACTCGTGAATAGACAGCTGCTTGTGTTCGCCACTGACTGACTCGCTGGATGACTCGGAATGCCTCTGAGGGCGACGGTAGGTGAGGTTGTAGACCATGGCGTGGAAGCTGGTGTGCTGTGGGCTGATGTTCAGTTTCGTCACGGCTGCTCGCGTGGGGGCGTGAGGTGAGGCAGGAACGACTCCTGTTAAACAAGCACGATGAGACCCGTGATGAGAAGTGATGTATGCAATTCCAGTAGACCGGGCGAACGGTGACTTCGATAGCGAGCTGACAGCAAGCCACGCGAGGGGCGGGAGGATCGGATCAGACTCTAGATCGATACGGACGGGACTCCGCTGAGAGTGGTAAGAAAGGCGTCGGCGTTCTTCTGCTGGGAGAGGACTGGGCACACACGGCGGAAAGCAAAGCGTGGCTCGAGCCACATATAAGTAGATACGAGTAAGAAAAAGAGCAAGCACCTTGCCTAGACAGAGGCCCCGACTGCGCTCTTGCAAGCGCAGAGCAAGCTGCACTTGCCTCCACAGGCGGCGGTTCCCCAACTCGGCTACGATGCGTGGCAGCTCAACGCCCGTGGTTGCACATGGGATCCTCGAGGTCGCCGATCAGCAGGCGCGCCCCCGCAGCCATTCCTAGCGACACTGGCCAGCTCAACCCGCACGCCAACTTCGGTTCCTGTCAGAGTGTGCAGCTTGTGGAGGGAGCTGAAGTCCAATCCCCGTCGCGCACTGTATGCATAAGATTCGGCAGCCTGAGCATGGGCCGTGTCGATCACTCGGCTACTCCTCAATCGAGACAGGTGTCGGCGGAAAATGCAAATCTCTTTCCTCTTGCAAGCATAGCCTGGTGCATGGGTCCTCGAAGAACCGTGGCGCTGGCCGGACTGACCGTCAACCTCAGTCGGAAACAAACCAAATTAAAGACTCGACACGAACCGTTGTATCTCGGGCGCAACATTCACAAGTGCGCAAGCGCGTGAAGATGAAATTCGGCCGCGACATGGCGAGCGACGACACGAAACTGCAGGCTACTTGCATTGTTGCTGCAATCGACGGCTGACAGCAGGAGAATGACGCTCTTTCAGACAGCCACTTTTCGGACTATGTCCTGGCAGATGTCACCGCAGACGGACAGGATGCGCATCCATGCCGCCGGACATGGATGCGGAGTGGCTCACCCACGATTGGAGCTAGTACTGGCGGACACAAGACGGTGCTTGAGATTACACATGAAAGCTACCAAACTTTTACTTTTCTAGCCGTCAATTGGGCGCGAGCACTAGGTACGTCCACAGTGAGCTTCAGAAAACATCTGGCGCTCGACCACGTTATGAATTGCGTGAGTTTCGGGTGTCCATGAGTCGCAACTGATGCTGTACATGAAGGGAAAGGCCGATGACGATCTGCTGGTAAGATCCGGGCGCCTGCAGAGACTCGACGGACGGCTGCTGCACGGGAAGAAGTAACTGTGCCGCTGACGCCTTCATGCTTATTATCTCGCTTAGACTTGACCACGCCCTCATCGCCAGCATTTGGGGACCACAGCGCCTCCACTTTACCTGATGAATGTCACCCAACCGATTGCAAATCACCAACAGTCGAGACAACAGAAATTGAAATCGAGAAATTGGGCACGGGAGACCCGCTCAGGGGCCGCGGCGTGTGAACGGGACAGCTGCGGTTCCTGAGAGTCACACGCGATGCCAGTTTTCGTGCGCTTTTGTCATGTGTTCAGAACGAGTACCTCACCGATTCGTACAGAATGGAGACATGGTGGAAGTCAATCGTAGAATCGCCGTCCGTTTTGGGACTATAGACAAGTGATTATTGACGTGCACTACTGCGACTTTCGAAGCTTTCAGCACGACTCAGACGATCAAGCTTTGCCGGTGCACGCCGTGGAGAGCAGCAAACCACGCAGACAATCGCTGCTCTCTCTCTCACAGACCACCAACTGCCCCTTCCTCCCTCGTGACTAAAACTGTCTTGTACCAGCTTGCGACAGCAGTCAACGATCCGCAGTCACAGGCATTAGCGATTCATGCACCTGCAGATGTCGAAGAGACGTAAAACGTCCAACTAAACCATCGTCGTCGTTCGCGTAGCCTCATCGCCTGCCTCCACTTCCATCATCGGCGACTTTTCTTAAACCCGTTCAGCTCGAGTCTAAATAGCGGAGCCCGCTATGGAGGTTTTCAGCGACCAGTGCGTCACTACGATCGAGCCCTCTCTCTAGACGCGAATCTTGCCTGCTGCAGACCGACGCTGATTGGCCACGGCCATTGGATTCCGCTGACCTCGACTGCGGGACTGCGCAAGCGTAACTCCGTTTCGCTGCAGAAGTCGAGGCTGACGCGAGAAAAGCAACGAAAGTCGGTAGAGAATACGAGGCTTGCCATGTGGCCGGGGCGATCAAACAGGACACCGTCGATCACGACGTGACAGATGCGGGGAGGTCTGGCGACTACCGTGTGGTGCACGAGAAGTTGCTTCTTTGAGCCGCAAAGGGCGATCAGAGGTTGTGCGATATTGGGGTCGCCCTTCTGGTTGGGAAAAGGAAGATCTATGGAGACCGTCGCCCCACCACAAAGTTTGGCACCACCCACTGGCTGCACGCATGCTGGAGAGAGCTGTCGTTTCATTACTTCGTAAACGGTAGGTAAGAGACCATCACTTGTGCATGGGGAGTCCAAGGTAGGCACTGCAGGTAAGACGATCTTGTGAAGGTGCTGACGAAAACGACTGCTCTGCTCGAAGCGTGAAGCGTGAGAAAATTAACTTCGATGACTACACAACATAATTCGTAAGTCTTTTCTTTGTCGCTACACCTGTCTTCGCAACTCCAGTCTTAGATTTCTACATACTTGTTTCAAGCCTGTGCAGTTGCTCTATATTTTAGCGACTTCTTGCCTCTGCTTTACAAGCACAGCCCCGTCGCTTGTCAGTTCCTGTACAGCTCTGATCGTGCTGATTCTGTCTTTGGTTTGCTCGAGTTCCAGTTGCAGGTATTCTTGGACATCGAAGCTCATTTGTACATATACCCCTCGCAGATCTGCAGTTCACTCTGCATGAGCGTGAGAGTGCATCGCACTCCAACGCAATTGATAGAGTGCCATGGATCCTGGATTTGACGTACCGTTGGGGTTTCTGAGCCGAAATCCCATGCTACTTCGATTGTTGTTGCATGGGAAGCCCCACCCTCCAACAACCGTCACATTCGATCGAGACTCTGATTGCGAATAAGGTCCATGTAGGCTTCAAGCAAACTGCCGAGTACAACGAAACCGACATGGAGATTATGTCTCGACTGTCGATCAAAGATAGTATCCTTGTCTGTCGATCAAAGATAGTATCCTTGTCTGTTGATCAAGGATAGTATCCTTGTCTGTGGAGAGCGCGTGTTTCTCAGCTTCTCTATCCTTGCTTCACGTTCCTCCTGAGAACCCAATCCTTCATAGCCAGCGACCCCAAGTCTATGGAGATTCTCTTTGTTATAAGCAATGTTGTACTTGGCTCCGCCTGCACTTTTCCCTTTGGTCGTCGACGTTTTACCGAATTGTTCTTCGGCCCCCTTGAGCTGTCTCTGCGAGTATTCTATGACATTGAAATTCAATTCAATCGTACCATCCCTTCTCGGCGATCGTCGGAACAAGATACCTGGTCCCATTTCCAATTACGACCGAACCTTGAACCTCGTTCGGATTTCCAATTGGTTCGAGTTCTTGCGAGCTCCAGACATGATCCAGAGAGGTAAAATTCCATGTCATACTGATGGCATTGACATTAAAAGCTCAGTCTTGGCGCCATCATGTCATGCGCTCGTGGCTTCGGCTGCCAATTTCATGCATGTACATACATGTTGAGCAACTAGCCAAGTGCCGTCGACTCAAGCATGCGGGCCGCCTCCAGCTCCAGATCAGCTCGTGCTCGTACGCAAACTCTTGAGAGCTCCGTGGCTGTGTCCTCATCTACAACCAAGTGTATCTCGATGTCTGCATAAAGCTCGTGCCAACTGTCTTGTACCCCCATGGTCTATCTCGTCATAGAGTTGTCGGCATGACAACCAGAGTCCCGAAAAGTCGCGGCAACCGTTGAACGGAAGGAGAGCTGTGTGAGCGTGTTTTGCGAGACAAACGTTTAACGTCAGTCGTCCAAGGAACAAGCGGCCCTGTGTGGCGGCCATTACGAATGCTGAGACGATCATTGAGGTGGTTCGTGCCAGGAGCAACGTCAGCTGTTGCCTTGTGAAGGTATGACTAGCTGTCTTGAGGGCCAACCGACGTTGCGAATACTTCTGTTCGAGGGAAGTATGAGCAAGACGAAAATTCAGGCAATATATGAGGTCGAAAATGTAGATTCGTATCTGCAATCAGATTGGTGAACCCATTACGAACCTGGATGTCTCTGCGTCTGCCTGTCTCTGCGTGTCTGTCTCTGCGTGTCTGTCTCTGCGTCTGCCAGTCTCTGCGTCTGCCAGTCTCTGCATAGGTCATATCTCCTCACCATCGAGTTCGGCATCTACATCGTCGACTAGTTCAAGTTTGCGCAGTTTCTTTATTTTTCTTACAAGACCGAGCTCGTTTCTCTGGGACGCTGTTCATTCAGCACAGCTCATTCCACGGCGAAGCAAAGGTGATCCAGCATGTGCAAACTAATTCTATCTGCATTTGTTCGCTTCTTTGACCTTGAAAGACAGTCGCTCTCCGTTTGCTCGAGCGGAACCGTCGGGCTCACAAACACGCATCGTACAAAGATCCATCACGGCCCTCCACAACAAGCCCAGTTCCACCCACACCGAGATAGAAGAAGCTGTTGAAATCACGGTCACTCCATCACAGCAACTATGACGGCGCGAACCCTGGCTCCGTACGAGCCACCAGGGCCTAGTCCACAAGTAGAGTATGAAGTGTCGCATCACCAGAATCTCGGTCGAGATCATGTCCTCATTACCAGTATCGGCGCATTCCCAACGCTCCGTGGCGCACAGGATTCCGCTCAGGACATTCTCAGATGCACGCTCGAGCAGTACATGGCAAGAGGTTGGAGCGGGTACTACTGCAACGCCGTCGATCTCGACTTCAGAGGCCTCATTGCCGGACGAGTGGGCGAACACGAATGTGTGTACCTGAGCGAGATCCAGCTCCACGCCAGGGAGCGAGCGTACAAGCCATTCCAACTCCAACTCGACCATGGAGAGGAACGGGTATGTGCATACATCAATAGACACGAACCACCAATCCCCAATCCCGGCCACAACACGTATCCAGCACCGTTCCCAACTGCCCTGCTGACTCCCTGGCGCCCGCTGAGTCCCTCGGCGCAGATACGGCGGGATCTGAACTCGCACAGTAGGCAGGCTAGCTCCTCGAGGAGGTCGGATAGCTTCTCGCAGACCCGGCCGCAGTATTTTGATCGGCCAGGGTCCTTTGTCCCACGCGCTTCTGCGCACTATGACGAGGCCATGAGCTTCTCCGCTGTTCGGAATGACGACGCTAGCGCAGATCAGATTGTAGGCACGGGGAGCGCGCGACGAGGGCCTGGGTCGCACCCACACGGTAAGCAACGATATGGTAAGCACCAACGCGCTGCGAGGTATGGAATGCGAGACCGTGTCACTGATCGGTAGGAAGGCAGTTCTCTCGGGGGCGGCTACGATATCAGGAGCGGCTACAATATCAGGGGCGGCTACGATATCAGGGGCGGCTACGATATCAGGGACGGCTACGATACCAGGGACGGCTACAATACCAGGGACGGCTACAATACCAGGGACGGCTACAATATCGGTCATCCGTATCTCGGACGCAGGCATTCGTCGATCGGGGTATAGTCGGACAGCAAGGACTTCCAGCACACAGTCGAGGACAAGCTGATGCGAGGTGGCAAGATTACAGTCTCGGTCCTGGAAGCCAGACGCACCGCTGGACCCTCAAGCACGGGACAAGGGTGAGGCTTGGTAAGAGGGTTCGAGCAGGGACTCATCACCGCGTCGATGACTACGTCTGGGACCCAGGCCCGCAGGCCAAAGCCACGCAATCAGACAGAATCCGCGCTCAGCAATGCCCGTTTGGCCATGTCGTGCCGTCAGTTTTTCGCTCACAGGATACGGCTGTAATGGCACATTCGTTCGGCGCAACGCACAGATGCCATCCGCGCAGTTTAAAAGGCAGTCCACCTTCTGCTCGCATCAGAAGCCCAACTCACACCCCCTCTCTCTTAGATTCCCAACTCACACCCCCTCTCTCTTAGATTCCCAACACAGACACACAACAGTGAGCCCCCACCGCCGACCCTCCACTCCCATTCCCAGCTCACACCCCCAGACCATGTACACCAACATCCTCCCCCTCGTCTTCCTCACCAGCCTAGCCACCTTGGCCACCGCCATGGCCGTCCCCGCGCCCGCGCCCGCGCCTCTCTGCAGCGCGCAGATGTACCGGTGCGACGCGACGCGGCGGCGGGTCGAGGTGTGCGGCAGCGGCGGGTGGCAGCTGCAGGCGCTGTGCGGGACGGCGTCGTGTGCAGATGATAAGACGCTGGGTGTGCCGCATTGCTATGATTAGAGTTGGGTGAGTGCGAGGGCGTGGCGTGGTGTGGTGTGCTGAGCGGGGGGCTGACGTGGAGTAGATTTGCTGCGCGGATGGAGGTGGACGGCGTGACTGACGAGCTTTGCGTGGCGAAACAGTAGAGTGGAGTGGAGTGGAGTGGAGTGGAGTGGAGTGGAGTGGAGTGGAGGTGGAGGTGGAGGTGGAGTGGAGTGGAGGTAGAGGTGGAGTGGAGTGGAGGTGGAGTGGAGGTGGAGTGGAGGTAGAGGTGAAGTGGAGGTGGAGTGGAGGTAGAGGTGGAGTGGAGATGGAAGTAGACGTGGAGATGGAGAGACAGGACTCGTAACACTTGAATTGATCAGCCGGGTCCGCGCGCTATACACACCAAGTGGCTCTCCACCAAGTGGCTCTCCACCAAGTGGCTCTCCAATATTCCCTTTCGCCAAACGCCAAGCGCCAAGCACACGTCCACTCAGGCACCAACGTCCGTCTCCTCGGGGAGGTTGAGATTCAGGCTCAGACTGCCCAGCGGCAAGCCGCCGCCTCTGCGGGGCCCAACAAAGCCCTGTCGCTGGCGGCCGGTGCGGCCGCGACCCAGCCAGTTGTACTTGAGCTCCTTGCTCATGCGGGCCATCTTGTCCTGGCTCTCGTCGGCGCTCTGCAGACTCACGAGGACCGAGACGCACTGCAGCATGCGGCCGACCGTCTCGGTGACCTTGGCAGAGTCCATGGGCTGCAGGCGCAGGCTGTGGGGGAGCGACTGCGGCGGGTGCAGCGTGGCGGGGTGCGAGTGCGGGTTCGACGAAAAGGAGCCCGCCGAGGTGTTGCTCGTTGCGCGGCTGCGGCCCGAGGGCGGGAGCGACGAGGATGTGGATTCGAGGTAGCCCGCGGAAGAGTGGGACGCGGCGTTTGTGCCCAGGCTGGCGCCGTTTGTGCCCAGGCTGGCGGCGTTTGTGCCCAGGCTGGCGGCGAGGCCGGAGAGGGCGTCCGAGGCGCTGGACGCGGTGCCCGGGCGGGCGTCGGGGATAAAGGACGGCGACTCGAGGCCGGCGTTGAGGTTCTCGAGCGACAGGCGCGAGAAGATGGCCATCAGGCTGTCGCAGCGCGGGAGGATGACAATGTCGCGGAACATGAGCAGCGTGATGCGGCGCACGTCGAGCTCGCCGAGAATGGGCATGTTCTTGTGGGTGGGCGACTTTGTGTTCATCTCGTCGGGCAGCACGACGCCCCAGAACTCGCTGGCCTGGATGCTGGACATGATGCCCACGCCTCTGAACTCGAGATCGAGGGGCAGGAAGACGGCCTGCAGGAAGGGCAGGATGGTGGTGAAGACGACTAGCCACATCTCGACAAGGTGCGGGATGAGGCGCTCGTCGGGTATGTGGCGGAGGGTCTGGTCCAGCGAGCCAAACCCCGTGTACAGGAGCTCGTTGAGGTCTTCGATGAGCAGAATGGGCGAGCGCTTGTGGATGCAGCGTTTAATGTGCACCGTGACGAGCGCGTTGAAGTCCTGGACCGGCGGCCGCGGGTCCTCGCCCTCGAATATCGACAGCACGCGCGCTTTCAGCAGCGGCCACGCGTCGTCGGGCGACATGCCGGTGATGCCAAAAGACGCTCCCAGCTGCATCATCTCGGCCGTGTGCGCCATGGACGCGCCCGGCGCAGTGCCGCCCGGGGTGCTGTTGAGGCTGCCCGCGAGAGACGGCCATTCTGCGCGCTCCGTGCTAAACGAAGGCCTCGGCACGAAGCTCGCGTCGAGGCCCTCGCCCAGGTAGGCCGCGGCTTTGGCGTTCTTCTTCGCTTCGCGCAGGCCCCGGCCGCCGTGTCTGAGATCGAGGCCCGTCACGGAGCTGGGGAAGGAGCTGCCGGGCAGCGGCGAGGACGGGGCAAAGTTGTAGAGCGACTCGGGCGCGTTGGGGTTGGTGGGCCGCGACGTGCTGTTTGCCGACGACAGCGGCAGCGCGTGGTCGTCCTTGTCCTTTAGCTTGGCCTTTGTCCGCGACAGGAAGTGGTGCTTGTGCTTTTCCTTGGGCTCCGGCGCGTGGGGCTCGGTCTTGGCCACGAGCGTCGACGTCGAGGCGTTGGTCGAGGCGTTGGTCGACGCGTACAGCGACGCGCCGGCCGAGGCGTACAGCGACGCGCTGCTGCTGGCGGGCGCCGAGTCGAGCAGACTGGTCGTCGACTGGTTCATGACGCGGTTGAGGGCGTGGGCGCTGTGGATGCCGATGCCCATCTTGCCGGGCGACGGCAGCGCCTGGTGCTTCTTGTCGGCGGGCTTGTCGAGCTCGATGCGCTTTGGCTTGGAGGACGAGAAGAGCTTCATCGTCTTGCTCTTCTCCTTGGGCGCCTTCTGCGGGACCAGCTCGGCCGCGGCCGCGGGCAGCCGGGGCGAGGCCTGGCCGGCCTCCGCGAGGCCCGGCGAGGCCAGCGGGCTCGCGGGGAACGCGGCGTTGGCCGCCGTCGCCGCGGCCGAGCGCGTCGGCGGGGCGGTCTGCTGGTATGTCATGCCGTTTGTCCGAAAGGTCATGGACGGGCTGCTGTGCGTGGGCGGCGGGCTCAAGGGCTGGCTGCGGCTGCCGGGCGCGGGCGCGGGCGCGGGCGCGGGCGCGGACGCATTGTGGTGGCCGTGGCCGTGGCCGTGGCCGTGGCTGTCGACGGGCGCGGGCACCGTCGTCGAGCGCTTGCGCATGTGCTGCGCGCTGTAGGCGGCCTGGGCGGCCATCTGGCTCGCGGAGAGGTGCGGCGGCGGCGGCGACGACACCAGGCTCTCGCCGCGCATCGACGCCAGGCCCGGCTCCAGACAGCCCTGCGAGCGCTGGCGCGGGCGGTGGCCGAGGCGCGCGCGGTCCATCAGCGACGTGTGGCTCTGCGCGGCGTGCACAATCGCCGGCCGCGAGTAGTTGTGGGCGGGCGGCGTCTGCTGCGGCGTCTGCTGCGGCGTCGTCTGCTGCAGCGTCGCCTGCGACCCGTCCGAGTCGTGCTCGTCCGACGACGGCCGCTGCGGGCCCGTCGTCGGCGCCGCGGGGGTTGTCGGCTGCATCGCGTCTGGCCTGTCGCCGTGTCCGTCTGTCCGTCTGTCGCCGTGTCCGCGTGTCCGTCTGTCGGTGTGTCCGCGTGTCCGCGTGGGGGCTTTTGCGCGAGGGCTGTCGTTTACGTCTTCGCGGTCATGGCCAGCATGCCACTGTTGGCTCTATCATGCAGTCGTCCGTCTTTTTGTCTTTTTGTCTTTTGTCTTTTGTCTTTTTGTCTTTTGTCTTTTGTCTTTTGTCTTTTGTCTTTTGTCTTTTGTCTTTTGTCTTTTGTCTTTTGTCTTTTGTCTTTCTGTCTTTCTATCTTATGTCTTTCCGTCTTTCTATCGTCTTCCCCTGAGCCGCGGCGTCTTCTCTCTGATCGGCGCAGTGGATGCTACGAGTGTGTCGTCGGAGGTCGCCCTAGCTCGCGGTCGATCACTGCATACATGAGGTGCATGAGGCTGAACGCCAACCAAGCCCCACAACCCCACCACTCCACCAGAGCACAACGGCCGTCTCCCATCCCATCCCATCCCGTCCCACATCCACCAGCCCGCTCCGTCGCCGCCGCCATGTCGAGCCTCTCCGCAGCCTACGCCTCGCCCAGTGGCACCCTCGTCTTCTCCGCCCAGCTGCCCGCAGTCTCGTCGTCTCCACCCACCAGCGACCGCGTTGCCCATCTCGGCGACCGCGTTGCCCATCTCGGCGACCTGCAAGCCGGCCTCAAGACCCTGCAGACCGATATCAACGCCTTCCTGACCCAGAAGATGGCCGACGACAGCGCTGGTGATTCGAGGGAAGAGGATAACTACGGCGAGGAAGTCGTCGACGAGGACTGAATACCACATGGAACCAACCTCGACCCCAAAAAGTTGGTCCACTGTCGCAATCCAAACGCAGCGCATCATGTTTCTCATCACTGTTGACGGGGTTCTGCACAGCCGTGGCAACGTCATAAACTCACAGTCGTATGGTCTCAAGTTTCGTCCGCTTGCCATTCGTGTCGTCTCGTGCTCCTCTCAAAGCGCCTTGCATCTCTCAAAGCGCCTTGCATCTCTCAAAGCGCCTTGCTCCTCTCAAAGCGCCCCGCACCTCTCCAAGCGCCTGCACCTCTCAAACTTCCACATCACCCCACTATGGTCCCTTCACCGATTCGCCCATGCACGCAGGCTCCTCGCAGCACCAGCACCAGCCAAAACTCGCGCTTCATCGGGCACAGCGCGTGAGACGGCAGCCTACTGTTCCGGCTGGAACCCTCTAGAGGCACCGGTTGGAACCCTCTAGAGGCACCGGTGTGCTGTGCTGGTAGCCGTGCGTGTTTGCCACCGTGCCGCTCGCCTTCATTCTCATCTTCACCTTCACCGCACGGCTGCCTGCGCCGGCTGCTGGGTACATGACCACGCTGTCTCTTCTCTCACCATCCTTTCCTCGTTGCTCTCACCACTTTTTCCCCTTTGCACTCTCCACATTTTCCTCTTTGCACTCTCCACTTTCCTCGTTGCTCTCACCACCTTTTCTCGTTGCACTCACCACTTTCCTCGTTGCTCTCACCACTTTCCTCGTTGCACTCTCCACTTTTCCTCGTTGCACTCTCTGTAATCGTGCACGGCAAGGAAGAAGCAGTCGGCATTCGCATTGAAGCCTACAGCAACCATGGCGAGCAGCAGCACTGACGGCGAGGCCTCCCGGGCAGCGACGCCAGTCGACCCGAATGCCATCACGACGAGCTCTCTAAAGGCCCTTCAGTCCGCAGACCAGCGCAAGGTTATGGACATTGTGGACAAGCTTCGTCGCACCGGTCTCAGCGGCATTGTAGAGCTGCCCCAACTCGTCGTCTGTGGCGATCAGTCCTCGGGCAAGAGTTCTGTACTTGAGGCCATTACCGAGATTCCCTTTCCACGAAAGGAGAATCTCTGCACTCGATTCGCAACCGAGGTACGTTACCTGACAAACACACAGCACACATCGACTGACCGCACCAGATCATTCTCCGACGCTCACCTTCAGCAACCATCTCCATCACCATCACACCAGACAAGCTTCGTCCTTCTGATGAGCAAGACACGCTCAAGAAGTTTCGCAAGTCCATCGATGACTTTGGCCAGCTGCCTGCAATCATCGATGAAGCGACACAGGAGATGGGTCTGGGCGTCGTTGGCGGCATTGGCTCCAAGGCCTTTTCTCGCGACGTCCTGTCAGTGGAGATTACTGGTCCGGATCGACCTCAACTGTGAGTATACACCAGACGCGCACAGTGACGCCTACATTAGACGCGCACAGTGACGCCTACATTAGACGCGCACAGTGACGCCTACATTAGACGTGCACAGTGACGCCTACATCAGACGCGCACAGTGACACTGTGCTGACCGTCATAGTACTCTAGTTGACCTTCCGGGTCTGATTCACGCTACGAACAAGTCCCAAACCGAAGCTGACAAAGAGCTCATCCTGAATCTCGTCAAGGAGTACATGGCGAATCCTCGTACCATCATCCTTGCTGTCATCAGTGCAAAGAACGACTTTGCCAACCAGGTCATTCTGGAGCACTGCAAGAAGATTGACCAGCAGAACCGTCGCACTCTCGGCATCATCACCAAGCCTGACTACCTCCGTGAGGGCTCAGATAACGAGCAGTCCTGGATCGACTTGGCCCAGAACAAGGACATCTATCTCGAGCGCGGTTGGCACATGCTGAAGAACCGGAGCGACGACCAGATGGACTTCACCTTTGAGCAGCGCAACGAAGCAGAGAAGCTCTTTTTCAGCAAGGGCCGCTACGTCCACGTGCCCCGCGACAATGTCGGCATCAACACCCTCTGCGAGCGTCTGAGCAAGCTCCTGCTCAACCATCTCATCAAGGAACTCCCATCGCTCAAGGAAGAGATTGCGAGCAAGCTCGATGCTACAACCCACGACATTGAGAAGCTTGGAGAGAGTCGCAAGACTATCAAGGAGCAGCAGATGGTCCTCATGAAGATCAGCATGCGCGTCAACGACATTCTCAAGTCTGCCACCAAGGGCTACTATGAGTCGGGCTTCTTCGGACCCGTCAACATGGAGGCTGCCGTCGACTCGTCTGACAACATCCGTCGCTTCCGCGCCGTTGTCCAGCACCTGAACCTCGCCTTTGCCGAGGACATGCGACTGAGAGGCCACAAGTACGCGTTCGGCCGGGGTCCCGGCGACAATGAGCGAGACGCCGAGGAAGAGTCCAAGGCGTACAAAGAGCTCGAGAAACTCGAACTCGACGACGTTGTGCTTTCGCCCAAGCCCAAGAAGCTCAGTCGCAACGAGGCCGTACTCTGGGTCCAGAGGACGCTGGAGCGAACCCGTGGCTACGAGCTCCCCGGTACATTCCAGCCCATGCTCATCTCGCAGCTCTTCTGGGAGCAGTCGCTGCCATGGCAAGAGATTGCCGCGGAGCACATCAACAAGGTTGCTCGCGCGTGCAGGGAGTTTGTCTTCGAGGTGCTCAAGCACACTGCGCCCGCCGAGTTCCAGGCCGCGCTCGCCGCAGTCAACGTCGATGCCGCGCTCGCCAAGACGCTGAAGAAGGCGAAGAAGGAGCTGGCCAAGATCCTCAGGGACAAGGCCCGCCACCCCAGCACCTACAACCACTACTTCACCGACACTATCCAGAAGATCCGCCAGCGCAAGCACCAGAAGGCGTACAAGGACGCCGAGCAGGCCTCGGAGGTGATCGTCCGGAGTCATGGCGCCGCCGAGTACAAGACGTACGCGGATAAGGACAAGCTGCAGGACGCACTCAACAATGCGATTGAGAAGGACATGGACCGGTTCTCGGCGCAGGAAGCGCTCGACACGCAGCGCGCCTACTACAAAGACGAGCTGAAGTACTTTGTCAACGCCGTCGCCAAGGCCGTCATCGAGCGCCACCTGGTCGAGCCTCTGCCCGATCTGATCCTCTCGCCTGTCACCGTCACGCAGATGAGCGACCAGGAGGTCGAGTTCGTCGCCGCGGAGCCGCCCGAGATCACGCAGCAGCGCGCGCACCTGGAGAGCAGGAGGGTGATGCTGGAGAAGGGGCTTGACACGTTCCGGGAGGCTATGGGCGGGCTGAAGCGCTGAGCGCGGCCGAACTGTGCGGGACGGGGCGGTTATTCGTGCTGTTGACGGGTTCTGGCCTTTTTGCGGACGATACGTTGCGACGTCATGCCTTCAGCGCACCTCTGCGACGAACATTGGCAGATCAGGATAGACCTTGATGACGGTACTAAACCTGTACAGAGCAGCGTCTGATGACGATATTACAATCAATCACACACAAGCCTAAGATGACCCATTGTGACATCCATGGCCTTGTGCTGACTCCTTGACATGCCTCGCACACACCAACCCAGCAGCAGTCTCGCTCTCCCTTCGCACGCAGCGATCTCGTTGCCCTGGCCACACGCCAACAAGACCGATGCAGGTCAATCACGTAATTCCTGCTTCGCAAACACAAAAGTAGCGCTCAATTCGCTCTCAGATTACATCAATATACACGTCACTTTTCCATTCACATTCCGACATGCTCGTCTTCACGCATCTACAGCTTGGCCTCCTTGGGCGCAATCATGAGCTCGGGGCGGACGTGCTTGTCAAAGTCCTCCTCGCTGATGACCTTGAGCTCCATGGCGGCCTGCTTCAGCGTGAGGCCGTTCTTGTGCGCGTGCTTGGCCGTCTTGGACGCGGCGTCGTAGCCGATGACGGGGTTGAGGCAGGTCACCAGCATGAGACTGCGCGTGTTAGCCGTGTTCGAGACAGGGTGCTTGAGGAGCGGGTGGGAACGAGGATCGAGGGAGTTGGGCAGCGCTCGGGATATCAGGACATCAGGGTCCAATGCACTAGGGTGTGAGACACGGAGGGACTTACGATTCGGTAAGGAGGGAACCTATACGCTTCTCGTCCGCCTCGAGACCCTCGACGAGGTTCTTCTCGAAGCTCCTCATGCCGTCAGCCAACAGGCGCGAGCTGTGGAGCAGATTGCGGATCATGACTGGCTTGAAAACGTTGAGCTCGAAGTTGCCCTGCGAGCCGGCGAATGTGGTCGCGGCGTTGTTGCCGAAGACTTGTGTGCAGACCATGGTCAGGGACTCGCACTGTGTGGGGTTGACCTTTCCGGGCATGATGGAGGACCCGGGCTCGTTCTCGGGCAGCTTGAGCTCGCCGAGGCCGCAACGGGGGCCGGAGCCGAGGAAACGGATGTCCTGGGCGATCTTGAAGAGGGAGGCGGCAAGGGTGTTGAGCTGGCCGTGGGCCTCGACAATGGCGTCGTGGGCAGCGAGGGCCTCGAACTTGTTGGGAGCGGTGATGAACTCGTGGCCGGTCATCTTGGAGACCTCGGCGGCGATGTCCTCGGCGAATCCCTTAAAGGTGTTGATGCCAGTTCCAACAGCGGTTCCACCCTGGGCAAGCATCCTGAGGCGGGGCAGAGCAGACTTGACGCGCTCAATGCCGTAGTCGAGCTGTGTGACGTAGCCAGAGAACTCCTGACCAAGGGTCAGAGGCGTGGCGTCCTGCAAATGTGTGCGGCCAATCTTGATGAGCTTCTCCCACTGTTCGCTCTTCTTCTTGAGGGCGTCGCGCAGGCTGGTGAGGGCGGGGAGGAGCGACTCCTCAAAGTCGAGAACGGCGGCGATGTGCATGACGGTGGGGAAGGTGTCGTTCGAAGAGGCGGACATGTTGACGTGGTCGTTGGGGTGGACGGGCTTCTTGGAGCCCATGGTGCCGCCGAGGATCTCAATGGCGCGATTCGAGATGACCTCGTTGGCGTTCATGTTCGACTGGGTGCCGGAGCCGGTCTGCCAGACGACGAGGGGGAAGTGATCGACGAGCTTGAGGCTGGCAACCTCCTCGGCGGCCTGCTGGATGGCCTTCCCAAGCTTAGGGTCTGGCAGATGTTAGCATATGCGAAAGGTCCACGGCCTCAGCTCGCAGCTGAAGCCAGCCTAGGACGTACCCAGCCCAAACTTCATGTTGACCGTCGCAGCAGCGCCCTTGAGGATACCGAAGGCGCGCACAATGGGAGGAGGCATGCGGTCCTGGGGCTGGTTGATCTTGAAGTTCTCCAGCGAGCGCTCGGTCTGGGCTCCCCAGTACTTGTCGCTGGCGACCTGGAGCTCGCCAAAGGCATCGCTCTCGGTGCGCGTGTTCGCCATGGTGGAGGTTGCGCTGAACAGGCGGCGCTGTGCGGTCAACGGCGTGTATGTGAGGGACTGGCGTGGGACGGTGGAGAGAGGACGCGCCATGCGGAGCAGGGAGGGGTTGGTCCTCGCATGTGCCAGTGAGCGCGTGCAGCCGGCCTCGGCAGCCCGGAGCTGTGTACGGGCGCTTCTGAACATGGTTGCGACTCGCGTGGTGGAGATCGAGAAGCGAGGTAGACGGCGGGCAATTGGCGATGTGTGACGTGCCGATTGAAGAACTGCGATGCCTGCTGTGCTCTGCTAGAAGGATGACGACGGAAAAAATATCCTCAAACTTTCGAGAGCTCAGAGCTTCGCACGGAACAAGTCGGAGCTTTGCTGGCCACCATTGCCGAGCACCGCCACGTGACCGGCCATGGAGCTTCCCCACCAGTGGTTGAGGAAGTCTGGGGAGAAAATCAAAAAAACGAGGCACGATCCACAGAAACGCAACAGTCCAGTCTTCAAATAAGAAACGCAGAATCAGACGAGACCCCATTCTTCCTTCCTCCTCGGCTCCTCTCCCAAGCGGCCATAGACTGCAGCACAATCCATGGTTCGGGCGTTGATCCTCATGCGCCGTGTTCGCCTTTTTCTTGACTTTTCCTCGCTCGTTTGCATTCGCAATGCATCGGCCCGCTGAGTTGCACCACTCTAGCTTGACCACTCCAGGGCCCGTCCAGGAGGCACTCAATCAATACTCGGCGGCATGGTCGTTGTCTCCCGTGGGTCAGGCTGCCCACGGACTGAATGAAACTCTGCCCCTCGTACTTCGTACCTGCCCAGTGCCCGCTCTGCTGGCTTTGGTCTTGGCGTGCCTGCTCGTTGATGGTGCCGCTGGTCGCCATAATGGCTGCGGCAACCCTCACTGATCTATTGGTACGGTGGGCTCGTAGTCACGGTAGCCTGCCAACTTCCCATTCGCTCCCAGCGCAGAAGTAACTTTGAGGCAAGCTGCGTCTGAAAGACAAACTGCAGGCGGAATGGGGCGCTGCACGCTTCGTGACGCCGACACGAGTACCCTGTCCCTAGCAGTGCTCGGATCCAGCTTGCCGCCGCCAGACGTCCGCTCCTTGCGCGAGTTCGTGCTTAGGCAGAGGTCACTCCCGGACAAGGTGGCGCGAGGGCAGCTGGTCTCGCTCATCTCAGCACGTAGTGGGCCTTTTGACCACATGATTTCACCGCTTCGTTGTTCGTCACCGTTCGCACCGGTTAAGCCATACATGGTGCCGCTGTTGCTCAACCCCGCTTGCGTTGTCTTCATTCAAACCTAACAACCTCGCTGACAACAAGCGGCCTTGCTGCCTGCCTTTTGCCCTTGCAGCTTCGCTGCTACCCGCTCTCCGCCTGCGAATTGCCGCTTCAGACGCCCTCCACGCACGGCTCCTGCACGGGGACAAGACCTGACCCTCTGCCCCTTCACGCATCTTCTCATCTTCTACACTGTGTCCTCGATCTGGATTTGCGTCATCACAGTACCCTCGTGCTTGCTTTTGGATAAACCTCATTTCGTCAACTCAGCGTCTTCAGTCTGAACACTAACGTTCTTCGAGGCTGAGGTTTGAGAGCACCGCTAGTTGAAGGCCGACATCAAGCTTCACTCACACCGGGACACGTCAGGCCTTCTCGGAAGCCCGACTTGTGTTGTCTCTGTCGTACACATGGCTGCTTCTGACTTCAGTACAAGCAATCAGTATACTGCAATGTCGACAGGTGCAGGAGCTCGGAATGCAGACGTATCTCACCCGTGGTGTCCAGCTGCGCCGTCATACCCACCTCAGCAACAACAGCAACAACAGCAACAAGAGCGACAATGGCGACAAGAGCTGAATCAGACGTTTCCTCAGCATAATTTCAGTCACCTCTTGCCACCGCCGCCACTGTACAGCAGCAGTCCATACGGTCACCCACGAGCCCAGTATCTCCCCTCTCCGTATGCCAGCTATGACGGCCAGCATCCTTTGGCAATGCATTATCCACAGTCTACCTTCAGCTATCCACCACACCCACCGAGACTTCCCCCAGCAATACGAAGTGGCCGTGTGGAAGAGCTCCTTGACCGGCCTTGCCCTGATGTGTATCACGGAGGAAGTGCAAGTCATGGCACCTATCACACATGGCCTCAGGGTCTACCTCCATCCGCGTCTGGCCGTTGTCCTGCGTGGAGATCGCCTCAGCCAGCTGCAATGACCGTGGACACGCCGAATCTGCCGCATGACAGGGGTCAGCCTGTCCAGGGATTTGGTATTGGGAGTAGTGGTATGCAGCAGTCTCAGCAGATCTATCCGCCGCACCCAAGGCTGCCGGTGTCGAATCAACCTCCACAATTGCGGCAGAACCAGGGACTACAGTCTACTCGTACAAATGTCATCCGTCATGACGGACATACAGAAGTGCAGGATCCTAGTGGACAAATCCGCCGCTCAGATCGTAGCTCATCTCCACGTACTTCCGCCCGTCGAAGTTTCGACCGATACTCTGGAGATATGACAAATTCTAGCACCTCCTCTGATGCAGAAGAAGCTGCAGCTCGATCGCCGCCCGCCAATCGCATGAGGCGTGCACCGAGGGAAGGTCGACCGCGATTCTACGGCCAGGTCCACGATCCCAACGTGATCATTGGTCGCCAGATCAAAGAGCTCAAGGCAAGTCTGGTCAAGTACCTCCTTGGCCAATTGCCGGAAGTCACATCCCCGACATGCGATATCTGCGCAAAGGACTACTCGGCGACAAGTGTGCAGCCCTCAGAGGAGAAAGAAATCGCCGTCATGCTACCCTGCGGCCACGTCTTTGGGGAGTTTTGCATCGATCAATGGGTACGTAAGTCCGTTCCCATGTTATCCGTGAGCTGACTCGCACGCAGTTCGACACATGCAAAACGCACAAAAATAAGATTACATGTCCAATGTGCCGCAAGCAGCTTGTCGCACCTCCACCATCACCGTATAGGAGAGGCTACTACATCAGCGCAATGTCGTACCCACTCGCCGCTCGCAGTTCACGACCGTTCGAAGAACCGACGGCCAGCGACTTCCAGCCAGCGCATTATGCACGCGTGTGAAGGGCGATTGAGAAGAGAGCATCTGCGACAGCCACCCAGAATGAAGACGCCCAGAATTCGGCGCGACCAGCAGGTGTGCCAGCTCCGCAGCAGGACGAGCGGGACGCCTGGTTTCGGCATTAGTGTGATGGGGCGGCGGTTTTGGCTATGATATCATTGTTGTGCATCCTGGTATCTATCAAAGCTTATCGGTAGCCCCCCTCGGCGTTCAGGGAGTATGGGATATGGGTTGGAGTTTGGGTCTGAGACTGCACTTTGGGTCCAGATGAGACATATTCTGTCACCAAGATGGAACAAGATTTGGGCGTTCTGTAGGGCAGCAATAATACCAAGACTTTGAAGCACGTTGTCGTGGTCGAGCCGTGTTGAGATGGTGAGCAAGCTAGATCCTGGAATGCCCATTGGTTGCCCATGGCGAGCAGCGTTGACAAAACAACACACCCCGCAACACACCAACAAAGCTGGCGGCAACATCACCACACACTCTTGACGTAAGCTGAACACTACACAATTACTCTGTAACATTGTTTATTTTCTGTGGACATTAGCTGTGCCTGCCTCTGCTCGTCGTCACCTGCATTGTTGTTCTAGTCGAAGCTGCGACGATCAGAGTCGCCGACGCTCCTTCCCCGCTGCCATTGCCTGTTTGCTGTTGACGTGCAAACATGGCTTCGAACACCAACGGACAGAACTCTCAGCTTCCTACACAACCTCCCCCACTTCACACTCGCACCAGCGAGATGGACCAGCCCGGCACACCCACGCAGGAGGGCTTCCTCAGCCCGCGCCAGACGCCTCAGGGCAGTCCAAGCAAGAGCCACGCGCCGCCCGGTGCATTTGACCTGCCCAGTGTATTCGACAATGCGATGAAGCTGTTCCCTACCATGGGCTCACCCACCAAGCAGAAGCCAGACACACCAGGTTCGCCCAGCAGGCTGAAGATTGGCACCAATGCCGACCAGGGGGCGGGAGACGTCACAACGCTCACACCAGGCAGCCCTACGCGCAAATCGAACCAGGAGAATACGCCGCCAGGAATTCGTCAAGACACACACAAGGACCCCAGCTTCCTCACACATGCTGCGCAATCGCGTCAGGAGCCATATCGCACAAGAGGGGCGGAGGGTTCGCAGCGATTCTACCCTGCGCCTCCACGCCTGTCCGCTGAAGAGCTTGAGAAGGCCAGGAAGCCGGCCGTGAAGCGACTGGCAAATGTGACCCAGCTATGTACGTTGCGGTGATCGAGTTACACACGCGTTGCTAACTCGCCACAGACTTCCTCGACTATTACTTCGACCTCCTCACTTATGTCCACACCCGTCAGAACCGCCTCAACCAGTTCAAGACACAGAACCCAGCACCCCCAGACACACCCGAAGCCGAGTATAGCGAAGCCCTTACACAATACCTGGGTCGCGAGCGCGCCAACCTCCGCAAGCGTCGCACTCGATTGAGGCAGGGTGACTTCCAGATCCTCACACAAGTCGGCCAGGGAGGCTATGGACAGGTGTTCTTGGCCCAGAAGAAGGACACCAAGGAGGTGTGTGCTCTCAAGGTCATGAGCAAGACACTGCTCTTCAAGCTAGACGAGGTCCGCCACGTTCTCACTGAGCGTGACATTCTGACCTCGGCGAAGAGCGAGTGGCTTGTCAGGTTGCTATATGCCTTCCAAGATGACAAGAGCATCTACCTCGCCATGGTACGTCTGACCTAGCTTGACATTGTGGGCTTCGACTAACGCATCACAGGAATACGTACCCGGAGGTGATTTCCGTACACTATTGAATAACACTGGTGTACTGCACAACCGCCACGCACGATTCTACATCGCAGAGATGTTCTCCTGTGTGGACTCGCTCCACCAGCTTGGATACATTCACCGCGATTTGAAACCAGAGAACTTCCTCATCGATAGCACTGGTCACGTCAAGCTGACTGACTTCGGCCTGGCAGCTGGTATGCTCGCTCCCATCAAAATCGAGTCGATGCGCATCAAGCTACAGTCGGTGAGTGACGTGGTCTCGCCCTTCGGTCGCCCGGTGGAGGAGCGAAGCGCGGCTCAGCGCCGAGACAACTACCGATCTCTACGTGAGCGAGACGTCAACTACGCGAAGAGCATTGTCGGCAGCCCGGACTATATGGCGCCCGAGGTGCTCAAGGGAGAGGAGTATGACTTTACAGTCGATTACTGGAGCTTGGGCTGCATGCTCTTCGAAGCTCTGGCTGGATACCCACCGTTCGCTGGAGCTACGGTCGATGAGACATGGCAGAACTTGAAGCAGTGGAAGAAGGTACTGCGCAAGCCGGTCTACGAAGACCCGTCTTATTTCCTGTCAAAACGTACCTGGGACCTCATCATCCGCCTTGTTGCCTCGAAGTCAACCCGTTTCCGCGGTATTTCTGAGATCCACGCACACCAATACTTCACAGAAGTCGACTGGACGAAGCTGAGAGATAATAAGGCGCCGTTCGTCCCAGAGCTGGACAGTGACACCGACGCCGGGTACTTCGACGACTTTGGCAGCGAGGCTGATATGGCGAAGTACAAGGAGGTGCACGACAAGCAGGCAGCACTAGAGGCCATGGCCGAGCGCGATGAGAAGATGAACAAGGGCCTGTTCGTTGGATGTAAGTGTATTGCACTCTTGTTGTGCTGACATCGCTGACCATGAGACAGTCACCTTTCGTCACAAGAAGACAGCAGACGAGAGCGGCAACCCTACCAGCCCGAGGAAGCCTCTCAGTGCGGTCGAAGAGAACTTCGGCACTATCTTCTAGTGTTGACCACGGCTGCATATCTTTGCACTGGCTGTGTCGGTTCCGTTTACCTTTCTGGGCCTGGCTAGGCAACATTTGAAGCATACAAAATTTGACATTAGAACGCATGATGAACCAGGTGGTTGAGAAGTCGGTTCAGTATCATGTCGCTGCGCACGGGTTTGGCGTTTCTGCATGTAATGAGTTGGGCGTGGGCTGTCATGATTCATCTGGTGTGCGGTTTCTCTTCAAAGAGCGCTGCCATGTATTAGTAGATAGTCTGGTTACTTACGAAATGATACCCGTATCTTCTTACTTCGATATAGGCATGTATCCGTCTTTGCTCACCTTGCTTACCCTTCTGCTTCTTTGATACATCGTGATCGATCGGTCCCCCCCTCCGGTCTCTCCCGAACTTCCCTCTTTGACGCGCTTTCGCGCGAGCACGTGTTGTGTTAGCGTGAATTCAACTTATCCGCCTGCAACTCAACGACCCCGCAACGACACATCTCAACGATGCCTGGCATCGTCCGCAATGGGCGTAAACGGCCCTCACCAGAGGCACCCGAATACGATTCAGACTCAGACCTCCCCACGCCTGTCTCTGTGAACGGCAACAAACGCGCTCGCTACGCCCGCGACGCGTCTGGCAGTCCCTCTCCGACGAATGGCAACCGCAGCCGCCACAATGTCTCAGCGAACGGCATTTACGATAACGATGTTTTTCAACCCGGTTCGATCGTACGGGTCAAGCTCACGAACTTCGTCACATACACCGCCGCCGAGTTCCACCTGGGTCCCAGTTTGAACATGATCATTGGTCCAAATGGAACGGGCAAGAGTACACTTGTCTGCGCGATTTGCTTGGGTCTCGGATGGTCGTCGAATCTCTTGGGAAGAGCCAAGGAGATGAGCGAGTTCGTCAAGCACGGTGCGGACGAAGCTACGATCGAGATCGAATTGGCTAAAGCGGAGGGCATGCGTGCAAACCCAGTTGTCACGCGAACACTGCGTAGAGCCGACAACAAGAGTGTCTTCTTCCTTGACGGCAAGCACGCGAACAAGAACGCTGTCATGGACATGTGCAAGCGCTTCTCCATCCAGATCGACAATCTGTGCCAGTTCTTGCCACAAGATCGAGTCGTCAAATTTGCCGAGATGGCGGACACAGAGCGACTTAAGGCGACTTTGGATGCGGCAGCTCATCCCCAAATGAGCGAGTGGCACAATCTACTCAAGACCTTTCGCGAACAAGAGAAAGAGCTTGAGATAAAGCGGCACGCCGATTCAGAACATCTCAAGAAGCTGGAGGCTCTTCAGAACACGACGCGAGGTGACGTCGAACGATGGAACCAGCGTCAGCAGCTTGCGACAAAAGCGGCAGCCCTCGAGAAGGCACGGCCAGTGATACAGTTGAGGATACGCAAGAACGAGTTCGCCCGATTGAAGGAGGACGCCGAACAAGCGAACCGAGAGCTGGCTGAGCTACAAGCCGAAGTCGAGCCCACCAGACAAGCGGAAGCGGATGCACAGTTTTATCATGATCAGGCCAAGCAGGTCGTGCAGCGCCGTAAGCAGATGATGGACATGATCAAGAAGCAGGCAGAGAAGAAAGCACAGGCAATTGGTGCGGAGAACAAGAACATTCAAGTATTCAAGGACCAGATTACCGGCGAAATTCGCTCCAAGCAGGGTCGCCAACAGGACTTTGCTCGTCTCACGAAGAAGATCGCAGATCTCGAGCGGAAACGATCGGAACAACCTGTCGAATATGATGAAACTTCGTTCCGACAACGTAAAGAGGAGTTGCGCCAAGAGACCTCAATAGCGGATCGTCAGATTACCGAGCTGCGAAGTGCAATGTCGGCCATATCAGCTGAGATTGGAGACTTCACTGCACAGAGGAAGTCGGTTCAACAACAACGGGAGCGCCTTGACACACAAAGCGGCAAACAAGCCAGTCTACTCCAGAAGCTCTCCCCCCACACGGCCCAGGCATGGGAGTGGTTCCAAAATAACAAGGCGCAATTGCCTTTGAGAGGCGAGGTCTATGGACCACCAATCTTGACATGCTCGCTCACAGACACCAAGTACGCAGATGCTGTAGAAAGCCAGGTGAGATTGGGTGACGCCGTTGCCTTCACGTTCACGAATAAGGACGACCAACAGCTTCTGCTCCATGAGTTCACGAGTAAGGACAAGCTTGGTCTGCACAATGTCTATCTCAGGACTTCGCCGAAGCCATTGTCTGCCTTTCCTCCCCCCGTTCGTGACGCAGACCTGCCACGGTATGGATTCGAAGGCTATCTCCGCGATTACATCACCGGACCTGAGCCGGTTATTGCGATGCTTTGCGACAACGTTAAACTCAACAAAGTTGCGTATGCTGCAAAGTCGATTACCGAGCGGCAACATGCAGAGGCATCGAGTAGTCCGATTCAGGCGTGGGTCAGCGGTCGAGAAACGTACAGAATCACCACGCGCCGAGAGTATGGCGTTTCTTCTACCTCCGTTAACCATCTCAAGAGGGCATCTTTCTTTGTGGACCAGCACGTCAACTCAGACGAAAAGATGCGACTTGACGAACAGCTACGCAAGATGGAACGCGAAGGTCAAGATATGGTCAGTAAGCATAAAGCAGCAAAGACTGAAGTTCTGCGGCTCGAGGATGAGGTCAAGGCTTTGAAAAACCAGAGGGTATGTCTTGTGCATCACGCTTGTGTTAACAGTGTTAACGTGTAAAGGACGGCATCGTGAAAGAGGAAGCCCAAATCAAGAAGGCCAGGGCCGAATGGGCTGCTCTTCCCCGTCAGATCGGTACGTATATCTTCAATTCGCCCTTATCTTTGTTACTAACGTCATGAAGAGCAAAATAAGACCGAGTTGCAAGAGTATACCGATCTCAATGCACAAACGAGCAACCGCATTCGGGACATCAAGGCTCAGTCACGACAATGTTCGCTGAAGACCGCTGGCCTTGCTCTAGATTATGCTGTGCGTGCACCGCTCGTCGTGAACACATTATCGCTAATTAGGTCAGAAATCCGTCACTGAGTTCCGTCGCCACCACGAGACTGTCGTTGAGGCGGAGATCCGTCTGATCGAAGCTGCTTCGGAAGTCCGGGCTTTCGAGAAAGAGAACAAACAAATCTTAGAGCGCCTCCGGTCAAGAGAGACGCAAGTCCAGCAGCTGGAGCAGGCTAAGGCTGACATGAAACGAGCACTCAAAGTAGAGCAAGGCGCTGCTCAAAGACTGCTCAACGAACTGACACCAGAAGAGCACTCAATCGTTGTTGAGTACAAGGACCTCGAAACCGTTGCTCTGCTCGAGGACGAAATCCAATCGGTCAGTGCTAGGCTCGATATGATGTCTGGAGGAGATAGTTCCGTGGTTAGGACGTACGAGAATCGCGAAATTGAGATTCAAAAGACGAAGGAGTCTTTGGAGAAGCACGTCGCAGCCCTGGAAGAGGCGCAGGCCAAGATTGAAGAGATCAAGGGTCCCTTCGAGAATCAGCTAGATGAGCTCATTGAGAAGATCAGCGGCGCTTTCTCATATAACTTTGCGCAGATTGGCTGTGCCGGCGAGGTCTCGGTTTACAAGGACAAGGACGACTTTAATGCCTGGTCCATTCAGATCTACGTTCGCTTTCGGTAAGTTGGTCAAGTCTCCTCTTGTCCGCATTGCTGACCGTCTATAGTGAGGGCGAAAGCATGTCCGTGCTCAATGCCAATCGTCAGTCAGGTGGTGAGCGTGCTGTCTCAACGATCTTCTACCTCATGGCTCTCCAAGACCTTGCGCGAGCACCGTTTCGCGTTGTCGACGAGATCAACCAAGGTATGGATCCACGTAACGAGCGTATGGTTCACGAACGGATGGTCGATATCGCTTGTCAAGAGCGTACAAGCCAATACTTCCTCATCACACCAAAGCTATTGACAGGCTTAAAATTCCATCACAAAATGAGGGTTCATGTCATCAACAGCGGTGAACACGTCCCGAAGAGTACGACCTCGAAGGATGAGTGGAACCTCAAAGAGCTGGCGAAGATCGCGCTTGCAGTTAGAGGGCGTGTTAGTGCTGCTGCCTAAGCTCGAGCACGAGTAACGCTTGATGTGTTTGGGGGGCGTTCTTGGTTCGGAACTTTCTCTGCATTTCCCATGGATATTGATACCGCGTTTTTTGCAGGACGGAGGCGTAGCGTGATCTATACGACTACTCTTGCGACATCAGTTGGGATTCGCTAAACATAGCAGTGATTGTCGCAGCCAAAAAGGCGGCAAACTGTACATACATTAGTACCCCAAAGTAGGCCTGCTAAGTAGGCCTCTTCTGCCCGCGACAGTGCTACTATCGGTAACGCACAAGAACTTGAAGACCGAATCACTTGCACAGTCTGCTTTTGGCTTCTGCGGTGCGTACGAGGCTCTCCGGTCATAACTGTTGCCGCGTACTACGACCTCAACGTTTCGTACTACCCGGTACTGATGATGGTTGCACAGACAACGGCTCAAAGAGATACTCGTATGAGTGACGGGCGGCTGCCAATGAACAGCAAGGCTCACATGGTGATAGCGTCGTACTTGCCAGTCTGGCTTCACTGCCTCTTTCCCAAGACGTAACAGGGAAGGCCTAATTCGCGCCTACTGTATATCGTGAAGAGTACTTGCTCTCACGAGAGCACACTTCACTTCTGTCCTGCACATACAACAACCATCAATTATCGACCACCAGAGCCAGCACGATGCTATCCTTACACCTCATCGCCCTCGCCCTCGCCTTTCTCACCACATCAATCACTGCGCTCCCAGCACCTGGCTTCTCTCTCATCCCCCGAGTAGCCACCGAACGATGGAGCATCCCCACCATGGAGCTGCATATGATGACCCAGCACTCCGGGCTACCAGGCGGCGGCGAGTGGCCCGAATCCTCAAAGTATCCATCCACAATCAGCTTCGCTATCCACATGCCCGGCCAGATCGCACACTGCCACACCGAATTCGCCAACGGCACGCTGCCGGATGATCTCGCTTCTTGTTCGAGTGAGGGCAGTAGGATGAGGTTCAGGATGGAACAGTATATGGGTTCGGGACCGAGGCGGAAGGAGTTGGCTTTCGTGCTGAAAGTTTCTAGAGTGGATAATACCTCGTGAGCGAAGAACCGTCCATATCCGGAAATGAGATGTGTGCTGATATGAATGTAGAGCAGGGCAGATTATATTCCAGGGCGAAGTTGCGATTACGGCGAATGATCCAAAGGATGCTTCGAGCTACCTTACTTGCCTTCTGGGCCCGCCGTTCGATGGCCTGCGGTGTGAACTCATGGGTTTGATGAGTAATCGGAAGGACTTGGTCATTGAGGCGCACTCGTCCAAAGTTAACACAATTGCGCTTCTGACTGCCTCCTGAGTCTGCCGAGGTCGGGCATGCACAATCGGAGACGGAGGGTTCGGTATGCTTGGCTGAGATGTCGTAGCTGGGTTTGTTTGTTGACTCGCTTCGCTTCGCGTCGCTAGGCGAAAGTGTTGTTGCTTTTGTGATGCTGCATGTTCATGTCACACGGCAGGAGTAGTTCGTGCGTTCGAGGGGACGTTGTGTTTCAGGATAGTCCACATGTCATCGTACCGACACCGCTGAATATCCAATGTAATTGATCGCGACTCGCAAAGTCTGACCGCAGTTGCGACTTCATTTGCATAATTCTCTCACGGTTTCTCAAAATCACTGCAAGCTGCTGTCTCGCGATCTATCGAGGTGTGCCGACCTCAAAGAAGTGATGTGCCGCCTGAGCCCCTCCAAACTTTAGCATCGGTACACGGCAGGTAGTTGCACTACTTCGTGCACGAAGGTTCGACTTTATTTGTGTTTCCAGCCACCACGGTGACGAACACGTTGATCAAGCGTCCCTGACTCGTTGTTTCTTCTTTCTCATCGCAACCGTCTTCCAGACCTCAGTTTCTCAGTCAATGTCTACTATGCGATCGTCCTTGCTGAAATCTTTTGTCACAATGCTTGTTTCCAACAACATCTGGGCTGCGTATGGGGTGCACGCCACGGCAGAGGAGAGCCTCGAGATGCAGAGCCTGGTAATTGCTCTTCTCTTTCTCATGTCAGTTCACTTAACCAACACACCTGCCAGAACCATCTCGTCGCGCGAGCAAGTGCTCCACAGCCTACTCTTGTCATCGACTCCTCCTCCGCGCCCACACCATCTACACCTTCATCTCCGGCCTCTCACACGGTCCCAGCTCAACCGACAACCACGTTCTCATCAGCCACCCCAATTGCTCCCTCCGTATCGCCAACTGCACCTACTCCATCGGCCCTCTCTCCCGCCGCCATAGCAGGACTCTGTCTCGGCATCGGCGCCCTCGTCGTCCTTGCAGCGTACATAGCGATCGAGTTCTGTGTGCTGCGGAACAGGAGACAAGAGAGGGCGCTCAGGAGGGCGGTGGAGGAGGTCGAGAACGGGAGCATCAGGAGTGGTAGTGTGAGGAGCGAGGTCAAGAGCCGAGAGGGGTTCTCAGCGGATGAGATGGAGATGCAGGCCGGAGACGAGAAGATCTGGGAGGTGGAGGAGGGGAGGAAGGGGTTGAGTTTGCCAAGGAGAGTGTGGTGAGGGGCCTACAGAGTATCTTATGGGAATTTACTGACGACTGATGGGGTTCTTTATGATGTTCGAGCTGAGAGCCTTGTGGGGTTTTGGTATCTTGATCGATAAATGTCTGTGCTGTAGGGCTGTGGGCATTGTGACCTTGGGAGGTAGGGTTACGAATGCTTGTCACCGCCACTGGAGGATAGTAGATAGCTTGAGCAATACGCGTGAGTCCTGTTTATGCTCGTAGCGAATGAGAGACCGAGATGCGTTTCGATGTGGCCTCTTGCTGTTAGCGTTATCTTCCTCTCTGCATCTGCCGATTACTTGCCGTCGACGCACTCCACTTTTGCTTTCATATTGGCGAAGAACTTCACGAGTGCAGTCTATATAAGACCCAGGGTTACCCTTCTCATTTGAAACAAGTTTTGAACAGGAAGAATCAGTCAACTACAACATGTTTAGATATTTGATCACGGTCGCGGCAGCGCTAGCGGCAACAGTGGGGGCTGTTCCTGTCAGTGCGCGTCCGCCTCAAGCTTACGCCTGACTAACATCAATGCTTAAAGTTCTCCAGCAACCTGCATAAGCATACTGCACTGCTCTTGATCGATATTCAAAACGACTTCATCAACGGGTCGCTCGGCAGCCCACGCGCGTCGGCCATCCTGCCAAAGGTCTACAACCTGCTTGACGATCACCAATGGCCCTTCATCGCCGCGTCGCAAGATTGGCATCCGGAAGGCCATGTCTCATTCGCTTCTGCGCATCCAGGCACCGAATCTGGCGATGCAGTCAACATCACTTTCCTTGACAGCCCCTTGAAGCAAGAGACCCAGAGCGTCTACGCAGACCACTGCATTCCAGGAACATGGGGCGCCGAGATCGAAGACGGAGTCAAGACGCGCCTACAGCATCTTGAAGGATACCGCACCACCGTGAACTATATCAAGAAAGCTCAGAACCACTCTATTGACTCCTACTCGGCGTTTGCAGACAACCAGTATCACCTGTTCACGACCCTGAACTCGGAGCTGACGCTGCATGGTGTCGAGACTCTGATCGTCACTGGGCTCATCACGAATGCATGTGTTCGAGGAACTTCGATCGACGGTATCAAGCTAGGATACGAGGTGATACTCATCGAAGACGCAACGGAGACTATCTCCGCAGAGATTAAGGCGGCAGCCATCCAGGAGCTAGAGGACTGGGGTGAGTGCTTGTCGATCTTGACTGCACAGTAGTGCGTTCGGCTAACTTTGTGTAGGAGTCCAAGTCATGAATTTGACCGACTGGGAGGCTGCCAATCCGACCAAGTTCCGGAAGCAGTACGCCCGAGAATTATAGTATGAACTGGCATGTGAACAGACTGGCATACGAAGAACAAATTTGTGCATGTTTTCGCTCAATTCTCTACATTGGCTTTGTCCCGGTGTGGCTGCTCGTAGCTCCAATGCAACTATATTGTGGCTTCTACACATGTCTATCTGACCTTCCTGAACAGATCTTCGCTTCGCGCATCTCAGATAGCGAATTACAGCACGTCCTGATCCAGGTACATCACGGGAACAGAAAACCGTAGTCTGACTGAGCCTCGAATCGGTCCATCCGCATGGCCAAGCTCCGCCATTCCCACCTCCTTCCTCTTTGGGGCAGCCAAGGCCTCTCCGAACCAATCGACATCACCCCGCGCACAATCACGCGAGCCTGCCAAGCGACTACCAAGCTCCCTGAGTAAATGAAACAACCATCCAGAGCATCGCCTCTTCTTCCGATCACCATTAGTCGTGCCTTCCCGGCGCTTGCGGCAGATCATCATAGAGCTGGGGAAAGCAACACCTGCCTAATCCATGTGTACTGTGATGGCCATTTTAGATGGTCGGGCACAAGGACGCGATGGGCAGGTGGAACTGAACGCCTCAACGCTTAGACCTAAATGCATGAGGTGAGAGCGATCAACATAAAGGTAGGGTTGCCCACGGTGTCTAATTTGCAACAGCGCAGACCTCAACTCCATCTTCCAAGATGAAGTACATTCTTACCTCCGCGTTGCTCGCCTCCTCGGTCTTCGCTTCGGTCGTCCCAAGAGACAATAAGAAGGTCGACTACAGTGGCTTCAAGCTCCTGCGGCTGGAGAACACCGAAGGCCTCGAGGACAAGATCGAGGAGCTTTCCGCCCACGTCCTCAACCCTGGAAAGTCGGCTCAGCTCGATGTCGTTGTATCGCCCGATAACTTCGATGCGATAACCTCGCTGGCGGAGAGCAAGGTCATTAACGATGACGTTGGCGCCATCCTGGCTGAGGAGGGCGAAATGAGCGTGTATGCTGGTGGGTTGGGTATAGCCATTTGATACTTACATCGTACTAACATGCGCGGCAGTCCCTAGCGAGAGCTGGTTCACGGCATACCACCCCTACGCGGATCACTTAACCTTCCTGCGCGATCTCCAGGGCGGCTTCACCGGCAACTCGGAGATCATCACCTCTGGTTCTTCTGTCCAGGGACGTGTCATTACCGGTATTCACATCTGGGGATCTGGTGGCAAGGGATCGAAGCCTGCAGTGCTCATCCACGGTACGGTCCACGCTCGTGAATGGATCACTACTATGAGCACAGAGTATGTTGCCTGGCAGCTGCTCACCAAGTATGCCTCCGACGCCAACATCAAGGCTGTTGTCGACAAGTTCGATTTCTACATCATGCCCATCGTCAACCCTGACGGGTTCGTCTATTCCCAGACGACTGACCGTCTCTGGCGCAAGAACCGCAAGACCATCAGCGGAAATAGCTGCGTAGGCACTGATATCAACCGTAACTGGCCCTACAAGTGGGAGCTCACTGGCGGTGCTAGCACCAACCCTTGCTCCGAAACCTACAAGGGCCAGGTCGCCGGAGACACACCTGAGAACCGTGGTCTTACTGCCCAGGTTCAGTCGCTCAAGAACTCTCGCGGCATTCGCCTGTACCTTGACGTCCACTCTTACGGACAGTACATCCTCTGGTAAGTTGCGCCCGCTGTTCGTTTGATCATATCCTGACATCATCCCAGGCCATACGGCTACGACTGCAGTGCTCGCACTGAGAACGATGCTGCGCACCGTACACTGGCCACAAATGCCGCAGCCGCCATTCGCGCTGTCTCCGGAACTCCTTACACCATCGGCCCCAGCTGCTCGACTCTGTACGCCACCACCGGCTCCTCCACCGACTACACAGACGTCACTGGCAACGCTACCTATTCATATACATACGAGCTCCGTGATAGGGGCACATTTGGCTTCTCTCTGCCCGCCAGCCAAATCCAACCAACAGTCGTTGAGACCTGGGCTGGTATTCTCAACATGGCCAGGGCGGCATAAGGGTATTGGCGATGTTGTAAATAAACCAATTATTATCATTGCCGCAAGGACCGACATTCATGACCGTGCCTTGTTGGTGCAGTCATTGAGAACACTCCCAGATAGGACAATCTCACATGCACTCTGTAAATCAATTTCGTCCAAGCAGTCTCTTGCGTGCGATTTGTAATACGGGTTGAACGTACTATCCAGACCGCGCACTTCCCAAGATGCCTCTATGTGACCCATGTGGTTCTGCCTTTTGATGATCAGGTTAGTCATTGACTACTAAACTTACTGCGGTATCCGAGACGTCGAAGCGGGACATCGTGATTCTTTGGTGTAAATTCGGATGTTGATGCAGCTAGTAGGCTTTGCATCTACTGGTCCCACTTGTGAAAACTCTTCACATTCCGCCAAATCTCACCACTCAATTCTCGCGATCTTTCTGATTCGCACTCTGAAGTCGTTGGGGACGCTCGTCCATGCAATATTTTACGCAAAATATAAAATCATTATCGGATTCTTTCCACATCGAAGCGAACAATAACTTCCACTGCATCGGTGGTTTAGTGGTAAAATTAGCCGTTGCCATCCTTTCCAGGACAGTTTCGGCTAGCCCCGGGTTCGATTCCCGGCCGATGCAAGTTTCATTTTTGTGGTTCCAATGTCTTAGGCTTGAGAGTCGTCGTGGTGGAGATGCTGCTTAGCTGGAAACTGATGTCGGCGTAGGTCTCACCAACACGTGTTCGCTTTTGCCATCATCGTCTTACCATGCATTGTTCCTTACCATTTCGACTCCTAGTTACTGCAAGAAAATCGTGTTGAGGGTGTGCATCGATCATTAATCCGTGTCCATGTCTTTTGTCGATGTGGTGACTACCTGCATCAGTCAACATTGTCCCACCACGTCTCCAGCGCTGCTGAAAACCTCAATCTGACGATGTCGACGCTAGTGTCAGCCTTGCCTTCTGAGTGAGTCTATGAGACCTCGGGACTAGAGTTGCGACAATTAAGTGATTGTCAAAACGTATGCAAAGGTCAAATACTGGCGTGTCGAAGTGGCTGGCCACTGCTCAGCACAGATCGCTGACGCTAATTACCGTACATGGAGGCTCAAGCCCAAAACTCTGTCACCATTGTAGTTCCCTGATCAATTGCGAACATCGGGATCCTCGGGAGATACATGGGGACCTGGCCCCAAACGAGTATTGTTTGTTCATCAATGTAATTCCAGCTCTCGTCTAGCATTTATAATCTGAGTCAACACAGGAAAGCGCAGAGAGATGATGATCGTAACTTGGAAGTCGACATAATAATTTGCCCTTGTTGCTGAAAAGTTGGTGCGTGAATTTGAACATTCCATTCGATATCCGAGGCGGCGCCGTCGAGCACCATCTTTCACCAATGCTCATCTTCTTGGATCCTCTGGTAATGAGTGGAGGATCCCATCTGGTCGAATGGACTAAGAGCGACGTGCGTGAGCTCATGTGAACGAAGTGACAGTCGCGGATGATCACGTTTCGAAACGTCAAGGACGGCAAGAGCATCTCCAGGCGCTGTAACCGGAACCAGATCTGTGGCTCTGCTCCATTTGCCTGCGCCCACGCCCTCCTGTGCTAAGCGCTGCAACTGCAACAATGATCCAGCCTGCCATTCAGCATACGCATAGTCGTAATCGTCGTCTCCGTACCCGTAAAAGCGTCGGAAACTGAACAGAAAAGCCAACAGGCTATCGAGGAAGAGCGCCAACGACTGGATGATACCGCCAACAATCAGTATGATAGACAGTCCAAGAACGCTGACGGAGTAGTGCCTTGAGCTACGAACCCTCTGCCGACCATTAGTCTTTAGGGATAATAGATTCGGAGCTACGTACCTGATTGTAGCAAAGTCGTTCGCACTCGCCTCGATCGCACAAGTCCCCACCGAGCCAGGACCCTCTTGCGTAGTCCACGAGAGAATGTTGCATTGCTGCGAAGTTGGCTTGGCTGAGGTATACCATCTCGTCCTGCCACTGATCTGACGGTAGTGCTTTTGTTTGATTTGCATAAGCGGGCTTAAAAGTAACTGGCGGAAGTCTTAAAGTCTGTCTTGCAAGCAGATTTGGCACGTTCCTGGCCTCGAAGAAAGCACCTATGCTTTGCGCCCCGAACTGGTGCAAAGTCATTACCAGGGCACGTAAATGTTTCCTGTGTTCAGGGTTATCCCATGCTGCCTCGAAGTCCCTTTCTTGTTCTGTGTAGTCTGAGTAGACCTGGACACAATTGTTTGGGCCCTCTTTCTTAGGGTTGCAGTACTCTCTCCGAGTCGTACAACCGACAACTGAGACAATGTCGTTTGAGACATAAACAAGCCCTTGAGCATCGGTATTATTGGCCAGGAACCAGGGATCATCCGTTTTGCTCACGTAATTGATAGATGTCGATACCAAAAACAGCATGGTTGTAGCCATATTTGTCACTGTGAAATCTTCGATCCATGGTATATGCTCACCGTAAAGGGAGCCATTCTCATGTTGACTAACCGCGCTAAGCCCTCTGTCAGTTTCCATATCGAAGTTGATGGGTGATAGTCCACCAAGCGGTTGCTGGAGGAGAGTTGATCATGCGACTTACTACACAACGTAGTTGCTGCGGTGGCCTGTAGCCGATGTAGTTGTGTCTTCCTTGATCTCAAAAGTCATATTCTCATGTCGAGCGCCGAGATAGTATCTCAACATATCTCCTTCGTGCTTGGCTGTGATGTTCAATGGCCCACAGTGATGCCGCACCTGCATAGTCACAGGCGGACCCTGGTTCAGCCCGAGATCTTTGTAGCCATCTAGTCGATCTGTCTCAATGATGATGTTCGCATCTTGTAGCTTACAAGTGACATTTTTGAAGGGACAAGGTGCGTTCCTTCTGGTCCGATACGGTAACGTTGGGATGGATAGAATACCACAGTCGTCGGGAAAAAGCTCCTTCTTTTCTTTTTCGCTTAAATGACCGTAATGTTCGTACCCGTCTTCTTGCTGGCTGTTGCGCTTCTCGGCTTGATAGCACCGCTGTGCATATGCCAGGTACTCCGCAGACTTCTGGCTCAAGAAGGGCGCAATATACTCCTGTATAGTTCTATTTTCAGACCGTATGAGATTGGCACCTGGAAGGTGGACATTACAATCGTCTTTCGGGCCTGATATCAGTACCTCGTTCCAGCCTTGAAACACTCGAGATGAGAAGATACCTGGCTAAAGGTAAGAGGGGAAACATATGTGAAGTAGCGAGCCGTCAAACATACCAGCTAGGGTGAAGGCCACCGCTACCATCAGAGCAATAGACGCAGTTCCTAATAGTCTTCGATTACCATTCCTGATTCTATTGCGCCATACACGCCATATGTCCAGAAAAGCGAAGAACGCGTCGAGGGCTAAGTTCGAATTTCGCAAAGTCGCCTGCCCTTGTAGGTAAAGTGCATCGGGTCTGGCTTGCGAGGAACCTCTGAAATGTAAAACGCATCGGGTGAGTTTCCAGAGGCCCCGACCGCTGGCATTCACAAACAGAGCTACAAGTGCAATCAACAGGGCGCCAGTTCGGTGATCGAGCGTCAGCGTTGCTCCTTCGATCCAGTGAACAGAGCGGTTGATCCAGAAGCCAAGATATATGTCAGCATCGAGAGAGCTTGTGACGAACCGGACACCCTCGAGTTCCTCTCCCATGGTGCAAGGTCCTGTGGCAGGCTACCGCGCGATATTGAAGTCCAGAGGGTACTGTAGCAGACGCAAGAAGGCTGAAGAGTACGATCAGGGTGGCAGCCGTTCTTTAATGAACTTTCAGCCTTGTTCGTCAGCATGGCCCCCGGCTTGCCGCGCCAAGGGCTTCGAGTTTTGTGAATGCGACCGGTTGCATTTCCTGTACAACCCTCTCTTATATCCTATCAGCAATAAGAATCTCCAATGATGGATGCTATATTGATCCCGCGTCGTCTGAGATCCAGACGCTAGACGCGAGACAAATTGCCCGGCCTAAGAAAGAGGGTATGAAGCATCAAATTGCCCCGGTGGGCGGTCCTTGTCATCGATGGGCAGATAACATTGACAGTATCAGAATATATCGAGAGTTCCAGAATATTCTACTACGTCGTGTGAAGATGTTAAACTGTCAGGACTGACCAGCCGCGTGTCGGTGGGAATGATCTCACTGCAAGCCGGGGGAAGGAGCGCCTCGCCAACGTGACGCTAGCCCTACTGTCAAAAGATCTCTTTGCAACGCGTATACGTTTGAGTACCGAAAGGCACGATGTTGTATCAGTGAAGAGCGAAAATGAGATCTCATCTCTGAAGTGGGAAGTTAGAGATCTCGATCGCAAGCTGATAGGAAGGCGCCTTTCCTAATTCGATCTTAGCGTGTTGTGGGGAAAGCCGAGGTTCACATGCGCTCTTGGTCACGCATCACGGCGTCCTGCATGTCCCACGAGATTCACATGTAAGGCGCATACGCGAGCTGGCTTCTACGAAGTCTTCACCTTTGCAACTACGCTCACGAGCTCTCTTTCAACCTAAACCACCGCCCAGTCCAGCTCAGTCCTTAGTGAATGGTGACGTTCGATACACCCGCGCCACGAATGCCTCTTCCACGGTAGCCATGGCCGTCCTGTCGAAACCTTGGTCGAGACAAGGTCTTTCCAATGCCTCGATCAAGTCGCTCACCAACGAGTTCACGTCTCTGTACCTTCAAAACCGCACCCGCATATCACGCGCCGTCTACCTAACGCTCTTCGTCGCCCTCATCAATCGCGTGCGCAATGCCATAGCTGAGCAGAAGGCTGCTTCAATACGGCGCGAAGCACAGCGAAAGTCTGGCACGGGACCAAGCGAGGGTGAAGCAACGGGGCGGAAGAAGGTCGAGCTGAATCGCGAATTCTTCAAGAACCTTTTGCGACTGCTCAAGATCTGCATACCAGGATGGAGAAGCAAAGAATTCAGACTGATCATCAGTCACAGCGTATTTCTGGTGCTGAGGACGATGATCAGTCTCTATGTAGCTGAGCTGGATGGCAGACTGGTCAGCAGTCTGGTGCGAGGTAAAGGAAGCGAGTTCTTGAAGGGACTGGTATGGTGGATGACAGTGGCCATCCCGGCGACCTTCACAAACTCGATGGTACGTTGCCAGTCAGAGGGTCTGAAGGGAACAGAAGCTAATGTAGGCAGCTCTCCTACCACCAGTGCAAGCTGTCGCTGCAATACCGCACACGACTTACGAACTATGTCCATAACAAGTATCTCTCGCAGATGACCTTCTACACTCTCTCGGCTCTTGACGACCGAATCAAGAACGCAGATCAGCTCATCACGGTAGACGTGGCCAAGTTCGCGAACAGTATGGCCGAGCTATACTCGAACCTTGCAAAACCAGTGCTTGATATAATAGTATACAACTACTCGCTGTCACGAAGCGTAGGGGGAGAAGGCCTATTCTTCATGAGCTTGCTTGTGCAGATTTCTGCTAACGTTATGCGCGCGCTAACGCCACCGTTTGGAAAATACGTCGCAGACGAGGCAAGACTTGAAGGCGAGTTCAGATTCCAGCACTCGAGGTTGATCGACTACAGCGAAGAAGTCGCGCTGTATCACGGTCACGAGGCAGAAAAAGACACGTTGGACAAGGGGTACTTCACATTGATCAAGCACGTCAACAGAATACTGAGAAGACGCCTATACCACGGTGTCATGGAGGACTTTGTTATCAAATACTTCTGGGGCGCGCTTGGACTCCTGCTCTGCAGTGTGCCTGTTTTCTTCCAGGTTCCTGGACAGAACACAAGCAATATGGGCGATCGAACGGAAAGCTTCGTTACCAACCGCCGCATGTTGCTCATGTCATCTGATGCATTCGGTCGTGTCATGTTCTCCTACAAGGAGATCACTGAGCTCGCTGGCTACACATCTCGTGTATCCACTTTGCTAGATGTCATTGATGATATCCAAGCCGGTCACTTCGAAAAGAAGCTCGTCTCGTCAGCCGACACAGAAGAGAACGCAGCCGTTCTGCGCGGACGTGGTGTGGTTACTGAGGGCGAGGATATTGAGTTTGTGGACGTTCCCATTGTCTCACCCAACGGCGATGTACTTGTGCGTAAGCTCTCGTTTACAGTCAAGCCCGGTGATCACCTCCTTATCGTTGGCCCCAACGGCTGCGGAAAATCGAGTCTCTTCCGCATCCTAGGCGGCTTGTGGCCAGTCTACGGTGGCACAGTACGCAAGCCACCTTTCGAAGATATCTTCTACATCCCTCAGCGCCCATACCTTTCTCGAGGAACATTGCGCCAGCAGATCATCTATCCGGACAACTTGCGCGAAATGCGCGATAAGGGTATTACTGACGAAGACCTGTATAACGTCCTCAGTGTTGTTGAGATCGAGAGCATTGTTGACCGCCCAGGTGGCTGGGACGCCGAACAAGAATGGACGGATGTACTGTCAGGTGGCCTACAACAGCGAGTAGCCATGGCACGACTGTTCTACCACCGACCTCGGTACGCCATCTTGGATGAGTGCACAAGCTCAGTTACGCTGGAAATCGAGAGGGTGATGTACGACGAAGCGAAGCGGCTCGGCATCACTCTCATGACCGTCTCGCACAGAAGGAGTCTGTGGAAGTACCACGAGAAGATCTTGCAGTTCGATGGCCAAGGGAAGTACGTGTTTACGAGGCTGGACGCAGAAAGACGATTGGAGCTTGAAGAGTAAGTTACACAACCAATGTGGCGATATGCAACATCACTAACCTGATAAAGTGAGAAGGAGGACATCGAGCTGCAATTGCGAGCCGTACCAGACATCGAGCAACGTATTGCAGAATTGGAAGCTTCGATGTGATGCGTTAGCTGTGAGCAGCATGACAGACACGCAGCTAGCCGCTTCCGCGGTCCTTGACCCCCTATTGCTCATCTACAAAACTGCAGACTACTAGAAATTCGACGCCCCTGAACAATGAACTGTCTGTGATGTTAAGTGATCACCAGAAGGACAGCCTCATCAAGTGGGGCCGCCTTCTTTAGCGCGCGCTAGTCGGTGAATGCCAGCTTCCGTGTTTCTCGAAGCTCAGACGCGTCTCCCTGCAACTCCACACAACAGCTTTAAGTTGCCGAGTCAATACGCAACCTGCGCCCGGCCGCAGCCACACCACCATGTCCGAATTCAAGGTCGGTCAGAGGATCGAAACAAATACCCACCGCACGGGCATAGTCAAATATGTAGGCCTTATCCATGTTGCAGAGGGCGCCTGGCTCGGCATCGACCTGCAAGAGCCCACTGGAAAGAACGATGGTTCCGTCCGCGGCGAGCGATACTTTGACTGTCCGCCCCATCATGGACTCTTTGTGAAAGAAACAGACATTCTCCGAATAATCTCGCAGCCTGCGCCAAAAGCAGCGGCACCGAAGCCTAAAGCCCCTGCACCTGCACCCAAATCACGACCTTCGAGCGTCGTTGCGCCCAGACCGGCGTCAACGTCAACACGACCTGCCAGTGTCACCTCGCCCCCAGCTACTTCAAGAGCACCCAGCCACACCAAGCGCCAGTCAGTAGCACCCGCTGCCCCTCGCACCCCACTACGAGCTCCAACGCGCAAGCCAAGCGTGGCCAGCGCATCCATCGCAGCGCCGTCCCCACCTCCCACACGACCTCCGGTGACATCGAGACCGAGCGCATCCTCCGCGACGACATCTACATCACAACCATCCACAAACCCGTTGAGAACATCTACGAGAGACAGCAACGTTGAGGTGCTGCAGGTTAAGATCAAGCATCTCGAGAAACAGCATGCGGAGGACCAGGCAGGACTGCAAGAGCTTTCAAAGGCAGAGACCGACCGCGACAAGTACTACGGGATCGTCCAGAAGCTGCAGGCGAAATGTCAGGCGCTTCATCAAGAGTCTCAGGCCGCCAAGGAACAACTGAAACAAGCCGAATTGGAGAACGAGCGGCTTGCCAAAGAAGCGCAAGAGCTTGAGTTCAACGCAGAAGTCGCAGGTCTCGACAAGGAGATGGCGGAAGAGCGCGCTGACACGCTTGAGAGCGACTTGGACAATTTACGCCGGATCGCGGAAGAGCGGGACCTCGAATTGGACATCTTGAGAGATGAAGCAAAAGCATACACTGCGGACATGTCTGAAGCAGAGAAAGAAGCAGCGGGGTATTACCGACTACAGCATGAGAATGAGCGCCTCCGTGACGCATTGATGATGTTGAAGGAGGTCACAGAAGAAGAGGCACACAAGAGCAAAGACCGAATTGCCGAGTTGGAAGAGGAGTCTACTCAACTTGAGACATTACGGGCAGAGTATCAGACCCTGCATGAGCAACGTGACAAGGCACTCGACGCCGCCGAAATTTTCAAAGCTCAACTCGACGGGAGGAATGAGCTGGACGACCTTGTGGAAGAGCTAGGAGTCAAGATCCAGGGTCTCGAGGACAGGGTAGAGAACCAAGAAATGGCAATTAAAGAGCTTGAGGAGTTGAGAAACCTCAATCAGGACCTATTAGACCAGGGAGAGGAAGAGATTCAAGGACTCCGTGCGGAACTCGAAGATAAGGAATCTGAGCTTGCACAGCTTGGCGAGCGTGCCCTCGAGCAGGCTGTGACAATATCTGATCTGGAAGAAACGAACGGCAAATTCAGAGACCTCGTCACGGAGCTGCTCACACAAATCAAAGAAGCCGAATCGACAAAGACTATGACCGAAGCTCAAGTCAAGGATACTACCGGCCGGATCAATGAAGTCATGGACGTCAATCGACGTCTTCGTGCCGCTGAAGTCAATGCAACTAGCAAAGAGATCACATCAGAGCTGCGTCGACTGAAAGTCGACCAGACCTCTGAGATGCTCGAGATCTTGAGCGAGACACAGTCTCAAGAGTTTGGCAGAAGTGAGCCAATGCAGGCGTACTTCACGGCGAAACGCATAATGTTCAAGTCATCGATGCTGAGCAGCTTTTTGGCAAACACAGACAAGCATGCGGCTCAGAAGGGTGGCGTCGAGGAAGCATCCTCGAAGCTGCTGAGCGTTGAGGCAAGCTACTACCTCGCACATCTCAAGAGTGGAAGCGAGCGGATATCGTCTGCAATGTCTGTATCGACATTGCTACAATTCGCAACATTCAGTCCTGCGTACGCTGAGTTGGCCGCCATTGAGAGAAATTTGGATCACGGACTCGACGCACTGAAGGCCGACACGATCGACTTTTCAGACATGGCAACATCATTCAAGGGCTCGACAGAAGTGTACAAAGCTGTCCTTGCCTCCCACCAGGCGGTGTTGGACGAACGGCCTGAGGACGAGACGATGTTGCGAGTGTCTTCGATTGCTACAAGCTTGACATACCTCGATTCTACCTGCGCAGCCACCACCTTGATGCTGAAATCATTGGCGACTTCCAGCGAAGAGCTCACCGAGGAGGCACACAATGTTGTGGATCGATTCGCAGCGCCGTCTGCGATCTGCAATAAGAGCTTGATGGCTGCAACACGATTGCTGAAGACGTGCCGGGACCGCAGAGGAGATGGCTTGTGTCCACAATTCAATGGCGATCTTGGCTCTGTCAAGGAGGCCGAAGAGTCTCTGACCAGACTTGCACAAGATGCAGCCAAGTGGTCACGTAACGTCTTGGAAGTACTGAGTCGTTCAGTCGATCCAGATGGCGTACTCGTGGAAATTGTCGATCTCAAGGACCTCCTGGTGCCGTTCTGGGCCGACCGCTCGAGCAAGATCGACAGTCTTGTTTCCAAATTGAACAGCTGGACTGAGTACGCTCTAATGCTCAAGGACACGGTTGAGATTCAAAACGGTCCTGCGCCGTGGACCGAGAAGGCCAAGGAGATCGAGGCAGCCAGGAGACAGGTCGATGAGGCAGCCAACAAGCTCCAGACAATCTCTGCTGAGCATCAAGCAACACTCCTGAAGTTGCGCGAGCGCGAACAGGTCATCGAGACCAGAGAATTGGAGATCGAACACTTGGCTGCCAAGAATCGTGAAGCCACTAATAAGAGCGAGGATCTACAACGCCTACAGAACGAGATCGAAGAAGCACAAGCCGAGATCAAGCAGCTACAAAAGCAAGACAAGGCTCAGAAGCACGAGATCGATGGCCTGAACGCCAAGCTTGCACACGCTGCACAGTTTGAGCCCGTCGAATCAGAGGAGGCGCCCGCAGTTGCAACGCCTGGTCCCGAGCCTGCGGACGCCTCGTCACGCAGCGCACCAGCGAGTGTCATGTCACTGCTCGACGCTCTGCAAGTCGAGAACCGCTGGCTGCGCCAGAAAATTCAAGGGGAGACTTACTACGCGGAACAACTGGATCTCTTCAAGTCCATGCAGTCCATCGAGAAGCGCGAGGCAAGCAATTTGTCTGCTGCAACTGAGGAGCTTCTCAGCCTTGCTTGGTTGACCGATGACTTCGACCAGCCTGAGACGCTCACTAGTATCTCTAGCCAACAGAATGATGCTGCGATCAAGCCAACGCTCTCGTCACGAATCCATCGATCCAAGAGGGCGCCACTGTCTTTGACACCTTTGGCGACACAGCTCGAAACCATCAAGGGTAAGGGACGTCTGCACTGGCATGGAATGGATGAGCTGAGCTTTGCTGATCTGTCGCCGACGGTGGAGTACTTTGATAGGGAGATGTTGGCGCTGAGGCCATTGAAGAGTATCATAGTGCTCTGAGCATCAAGCAGGTGCGTATCAAGGCATTGTGGTGGAGTTCTGTTATTATGCGATATACCCCATGGCGGCTCGGCATGCTGCTCGCATTGGATAGAGATGCTGAATAAATATACATTGATATTGCACCTCATGCTTCGTAGACTTTTTGCACCTCTGCAGTGGGTTCAATGTCCAGGATGCTGTAATGCTTGTTACATCATTTATGGCTTCAATGCATGCCAAGCCCTACGTTTCTACGCCAAAAGCCTTCTACATCCCAGCATCCAATATTCGATAGCATCTGTGCACGTGGCTGGTCGCCTCCGTTGCGCCAATCGTCATAAGGCAAAAGCAATAAGCTCATCTCCTTCTTGGGTACTGTGACTGTTGACACATCGTCGTCGGTCATGATGCCCTGCGCATTCTAGACATCGGCTAGTGGCAGAAGTGCGTACACGTGGTCTCTGACTACAAAGAATGTCGAAGAAGGGGCTCCCAAAAACAGTGAAAATAGTGGTACCCGAGAGATATGAAATGTATTGCCACACGAACCCAGTCATTCTGTCAGGCATCTTGTTGCGATAGGTTTCAAACCGACTGTAGATAATGAAGTCGTTGGGTCACTCACTGAACTCTTTTACCGCAGATACGAAATGGAGTAATTCAGGCAGTACATCCGATTGCTTCAGTATTCTTCTTGATTATGAGATTAAACACTCGCACGTTTCCATGTTCTCGCGGTCTCCTTGGGTGGAACTCACTCATGAATGTCCTGCAATCTTAATAGATACGTGATGGCAGCCAAGTGTGAAAGTTGGTCGCACATGCTTATATCCACAGGCGGTTAACGTGATCTATTGATGAAACAGACATAGGAAGCGAGTATAACACTGTGACATCGTGCGGGTCGTATCATACACCGTGCGTCACTATAGATGACGACACTTATGCAAAGGTAGGCGTGAAGCCCAGGGTCCGACCTAAGGAAGGTATGATGAGCGAATGCCAATCTGCCGCTCGCTAGTCTCTCACTTGGAAAGCCGGGCGAATGCTGAGCAATCTGCCCCAATAATGATCAGTTAGAACACGTTCGATAAGATGAATCGCTTTTTGAACGCCTCTAAATGGTATCTAAGATGCAAGTAGTCATCAACACGTCTCAATGCTTATCTCCTACCGCCCCGTCCACCTCTACCAAATCCGCCCCTTCCCCTCGGACTCCTCCCCTTCTCAACTTTTCCGCTAGGACCGCGCTGCTTCTCAGCACCAAGTCCCTTACGCTGAGTCTTCATGCCACCGCGACCCATGCCTGAGCCAGACTTAGCCTTCCTGACGCCCTGTGCATCGAGACCGTCGTCCTCCATGTCCATGTCATCGTCGTCTTTGGTGCGCTTATTACTAAACTTCAGCTTGTTACGCTGTCCACGCTGAGCAGCGTCACGACCACGAATAGCGTCGACGTAGGCGTTGATACCAGCTTCGAGACCGATGTTGTCCTCGTCGAGGTCCATTTCGATGTCGTCGCTCTTGCTTGACTTCTTGAACTTTATGCCACCTTCGTCATCGGAGTCGCCAAGGACAAGCTTTCCGTCTTCGTTGGTGCGAGCAGCGGTCCTTTTTGTTGGTTGCTGGCGTTGACGGAGAGGTTTTGTGGAGGAGATGTTGCCAAGTGCCTTCTTTGATAGCAGATCGAGGGGCTCATCTTCGTCTTCGACGATGTATGTTTGACCGGTCTTTGCCTTGCCAGTGCGCTGTTTGCTCTGGCTCTTTACGAACTCATCCTCTGAGTCGCCCTCTTCGCTTTCTTCACTGTCGCTGCCGTAAACAGCCTGGTCATACTCGCTCTCAAACTTGCCCTTCGGCTTTTGGGCAGGAGCTTCGCCATCCTCCTCGGCCTGTTGCTTCTTCTTCTTACGCTGCTCACGTGTCTTGCGAATGTTGACGACGAGCTTGCGGTCCTCAGGAGGACAAGCGCGCTCAACCTCCTCGGCACCGAACTTGCGGACCAAGCGCTCGACAATGTGCTTAACCTTGGCCTTGAAGTGCGCCTTGTGCTCATGACTCCAGACCATCAAGTTCTTCAGAAGATTTTGCAGACGAGGACGAACAAGTGAGTCTGAGAGCGTAATAACTTCGACCTTTACGAAGCCAAGCACACTCTGAACGATTTCCCTGTTGGGGTTCTGCAAAAAGATGTCCATCAGTTCGAGCAGGTTTGTGATTGTCTCATCAGATATCCTCGAGTGAAATTGGTACAAGATACGAGTCACGGCGGTGACGGACGCAGAGATCATGTGAGGTGTCGAGGCGGCCAGACCGGCTGAAACCATTGTGAAGTATTCCTCAAGAGATGCCTCGACGGTAGGTGCGTCTTCGGGCATGTTGGGCACCTTGGTCTGGACGACTTGGCCACCCTCGGCCATCTTCTCGCCCATGGCTACAAGCAGGCTGTACGCAGCCTCGCGTGCCTTCTCGTTAGTCTCTTTGGCCGAAATGACGACCTCGGAGAGAACCGAAGGAATGAAGTGAAGATCGCTCTGAGGCAGGAACTCGATGACCTGCGACATGGCAAGTAGTCGGTCGCGGCGTGCTGGTCCTGTGACCTTCTCTGAGCTCTGCAGAAGCAACTGCTGCAGCTCGCCGTTGCGCGCTTGCAGCGCCGACTTGCCAACCTCGGATTCTGAAAGGCGAGGAATCAGTTTGTATGCCTTCTTCTGCAGCTGCGGGTCGTCGTCCTTGTTGATCATGATCTCAGCCATGCGGAACAGTGAGCCGTAGCTGTCTCGGGGAAGGTAAAGCGCAATTGTGATGATGAGGTCCATGAGTGTATGGCTCATTGGTGGCATCTTGTTTGCGCCCTTTCCTTGCTTCTGCTTGTCGGCCTGTGTTTGAGGTCCAGCTTCCGGGAGAGCTTGCTCGAGATTCGAGGCTACGCGCTCGAAAGTCTCGATAAGCTCCTTTTCGGGTATGATGCTGAGGAAAGCGTTGATAGCTCGTAGGATTGTGCCACGGTACTGAGGCAGTGTCTGGCTATACACATTGAACAAGACCGCGAGCATGTTGCTCGCAAAGCTTGCCAGGTGCTCGAGGTTTTTCTGCGCATCAGTCTTCGAGACGCGAAGCTGCTTGACAAGATCGTCGTTACCGTCAAGCTCGATAATTGTCTTGTTGCTGTCAACAAGATTCTGAAGTGCCTTGCAAACGTCGGTACGCAGGTCTGCCTGACTGTACAGCAGATTCGCCAGCATCTCGCAGAAGGACTGGTCGAAGGACTCGGTCAAGTCCAGGGGCAGGTCGCAGTATCCGGGAAGGGTGGACCAGATCTGCTGCACAACGGTCTCGAAAACCTTGATTTCCATGGTCTTCTCCCTCTGCCCGTGCTCGATGACCCTCTGGAAAAGTTGCTCACTAAGTGGGACCATGACGCTGCGGAAGTGAGAGAGCCTAGTGTTGTGTACGGCGTCGCGGAGAAGAGGCAGCATCCAAACTCGGCCGGTTTGCCCTGGTAGTGGTCGCGGGAGGTTCAAGGGAAGAACGTCGAGCACGGCGTCGGGGCCCATCGAGGCAATAGCCCTCGAGATGACTACATCCGCCTCCTTCTTGCCAGCAAAGCTCTCGCTACTCCTCAAATCTCCAACGACCCTCAAAACTGACCTCATGATAGGCTCTGAGCGCCATCTCAACGTCTCGAACATAGCTGATAGCGTGCTGAACACCTCCATCCACGCAGCCTGGAACTTCACGCTCAACAGGTTCTGCGCGATCTTCGCGACCTTCTCCAACGTCTTCTCGTCGTAAACCGAAGGCTCGAGAATGACGCTGTCTGGGATGATGTTGACCAGAAACGAGATCAAGCATTCAGAGGCAGATATGCGTATGTTGTGCGACGAAGACACCAAGAACTCAGAAACCATCGTGAACAGCTCTGGTAGCTTGACGAATGTGTCCTCAGGCTCAACCTGGGCTGCGACCTCGTATCCTCGCGAGATGACGGCGATCCAAGGCGGGAGAAGCTGCGAGTCGTTCTTCGAGGGCTGCAATTCAGAAATGACTTCCAAAAGACGAGGGAGCTTCGCAGACGCAACCTCATCCGATGCCATACCCGCGAAAATAACCTCGAAGATCTCGAACGCAGACATGGTGAGGAACTCGTTGGTGGACCTGGAGATGTTCAGCAATAACTCGCAAAGCACATCCATCTTGCGGCTCGGCCAGCCACCAGACGCAGTAGCAATAGTCTTGATAAGCTGCAGCGCGTGGATGAGATCCGGGTCCTTGCTTTCAGCATTCTTTCCGCCCTTGCTCTTCTTCATCTTTGCCGCTAGCGCAGCAATGTCGTTGAGCACCTTGAGCGCCGTCTCAGCGCACATGTCTGCCGCAGGATGATCCAGAGACGGGCTGGGTGGTGGGTTGGCAAGCACCTTCGCAAGCGCTTCCTGCGCCCTCTTCCTGACCTTCGGCCTGTGGTCGACCGAAATTTGCAGTAGCCCAGCGACAGCTCTACGCGGGCTAATCTGGGTCTGCGGCAGCTCCCAGGCGTGCACGTCCTGCACGACGAGCAGCGACTCGAGACATCCTATCGAGGATCGTAGGAACGGCGCATCGGCGTCGGGGTGTGTGAGGGCGGGCGCCAGGCTTGTGATGATCTCGGTGAACTTGGAGCGCAGCAGCGGGGCGGGCACGTGTGGGGTGACGAGATCGAGCAGGTACACTACGGCAGTCGCAGTTTCCTTGTTTGCAAGGCCCTGGTCGGTGATCTGACGGCCCAGGAGCGACAGTAGCGCAGCGAAGTATGCCGTCGGTGTAAACTCTGAGCTTTGCTGGCGGAGCGTGTCTTCGATGGCCGAGAGGACCACTTGAGACTGTGACAGTCAGCATTGGATTATTGGCTACATGGGCGGCTGGCGCACCTGCTGCACGCTCTGCAGCTTCGGACTCGTCCGGATCTTGGTCAATCTCTCCTCGAGCGACATCTTGAGGGCTGTCGATGCGGAGAGGTGTGAGCTGCGCCGAACAAAATTATGAAATTTCCAATCGATAACGGTGGGTCTGTCCACTGTTGGCTGCGCGCTTGCCTGACTGACCCGCTCCTGCCTGATTGGCTGCAGCGAGTGTTACAACCACGACAAACACAGGCAGGAGTGCGAGACAGTGTGCTCCAAAGCTCGCCAGGTATATGTTTTAATTGCCAAGCAGTATCTATAAAAGCCGTTCTACCAGGCCAACAACTAGGGTATAGACAAGAAAAGACCAGGGACTATACAAAAGACCACCCTCCGCGCATGTCAAGGCATGTATATTACAAGACATTCTTCGGAAATCGCCGTCTGTCTGACCTCCCCTTCTGAAACGAAATGCGAAAGCACAAAACAAAGCTGGGCGATGAGCTTACTCCTCGACGAGCACATCGTCCCTTCTCCCCCGTCCTGCAACGCTGTTTTTGCTGCTCTTCTTGGTGATGCTCATGAAGCTGAGCCTCCTTTTCACACTACTCTTGCGAGCTGTACCGTCGCTACTCTTCTCGCTCCTGCTTGTGTCTGGGCGCGACTTCTGGCTGGCAGCCCTGCTTATGCCGCTGACATTCTCACTGCTTGCGAAGTCCGGAAGTGCCTCTAGTGGCGAAGTAGGCCGGAGGAACGACAGGGAAAGACGTGTGCGATTGGTGTCCTTGCTACGGCTGCGACTGTGTGTTGATGCAGTCGTTGACTCGGCATCGTCCGCTCGCTGAGGCAGCGCTGTTATCCCTTCCTTCCTGCTTTCCTGATCCGGCGGCGATTCACCAGTTATGACACCTTTGGTGAGAAAAGCGAGACTCATGCGCTTCTTGTCTTGACGAGCAGCTCGACCGTCGGGAGTGGGCGATGTGACTCTATTGCCGTTGACTTGCTGCTCGTCTGGGGTCGGGCTTGCCACTTGGGATCTAGAGGTGGCTGCTGCAAGCCAGGAGTCAGTCGGCGACCGTGTCTGTGGGGGCGCATACGGTGGGGCAAGAATAGCTAGTTCCCTATGGAATGATGATTCAAAGCCTGGATGTGTGGTTAGCCGGAGTTCCTTTGAAGGCATGGCAAGACTTACGCTGCGACAGATCTGTCTTGGTGGCCTGTTGGGCAGGCCTAGTGTACATGCCCAGACAGCGTCGAATCACCAGAGCGTAATCGATCAAGCTGACCCTCAATGCATTCTCTAACGGGTTTGGGGGATCGACCTGATGTTCCTCTTCCTCGTCCTCTTCCATCGAGCGTCGTGGGTCGCGCAGCAGGTCATGATAGTTGGCAACGCAGCCTTCGATATTGGTGTCGACAGCATACATCAGTTCCTGAGTGAGTGTATTGAATGCTGTGTCGTCACCCTCGGCTATTCTCTTCTCGAGCGCAGCGATTTCTACAGCCTTGCGCGAGGTTCGCTCGATTGCCGACTGCAGAGATGTGAGGATGATGGTTCCGACTGCAACAATCTCACTGCGTCGTAGGATGGTGGGGAACGCTTCTGCCGTGGTGTACAGAGTCTTCTCAATGGCATTGTCATGTGTCGTGTTGCGAGACGCTGATCGCCGAGACGCTGATGTGAAATGCATTGGTCGCGACAGCAGATGGTAGTCGCGAACTGATTGCGACACCTTGGCTCGCTGATAGATCGGATGGGTAAGATCCTTCTGCGGACTAACAGGATAGATTTGGAGGTACTGGCCCTCGACATCTTGTTCCACACCAGGGTTCAGGATCTGCGCTGCAGGGTGTTGCTGTTGCATGCGGTCGGTGAAGGATGCCACCCGGTCAGTAGCAGAGCCCTCGAAGATGAATTGTTTGTCACGCAGCCCCACTGGGAAACCAAGACCCTTGTAGACGACTCGAAAGTAGCGCGGGTTGTGGCGTTGACTCTTTGCAATGCTCTCGTGTATCTTTGCAATAGCATGCTGTGTCCTGGCAAGCTTGACGAAGTCAAAGGCGTTGTGCTCATACTGTAGAGCCAGCTCTGCGTATGAGCCGAGCGCATTGTTCCACGAACCTCCGGTCTCGAAGTATTCAATCATCTTGAAGTACAGTTGCTCTTTCCGTTCGAATGAAGACTGAGGTGGCATGCTGGGCTCGGTCAAGGGATCGACGGTGACGTTCGGGTCCCACTCGTATAGCTCAGCATGCAAGCGCATTGCAAGACCGGCTTCGGTGTGATTGTTAGCCCCCACCTGTAGGTCGACTAGCTGGTGTACATAACGAATGTACATATCCTCCTTTTGCATGTCTTTGAGAAATTCCATGAGATGCAGCGTGTCCATGATATGGAAGACTTCACCTGCAGCTTCCGTGCTATGGACTGCAACAAGAAGGTCCAACAGGTCGTCGATGGTAGCAATGAGGCCCTTCAGAGCAGCGAGCAGTGGCTCCCCCGGGTCTTGTGCAAGAGGCTCAAACAGCTCTACAAGCTCCCGGATGAAGTGCTTCTGGAGTACCGACTCCGTGAGATGCTTCGTCTTGAATAGGTCGTCGAGGCAGTCGATCATCTCAGCCTGGATGAGCAACAGATCCTCGCTCAGTGTCCACTCGCTTACAATCATGGTTTGCAGGACTTCAATTGCAACGCTGCGCAGCCCTTCGTGAACGCTAAGGCAGAGCTCGACGATCGGCGCTACTAGGCCAGGCACATATTGCACCTGGAACCCTCCCATCTTCTCGAGGCCAAATTGACTTTTTTCTTCAACGCTAGTCTCCCATCCAATTGCTTCCCAACTGCGCTGTAGCAGCTCCGCACCGTGCTCACGCACATCGCCAGCAATTTTCCAGACAGCTCGCCTCTTTTGTTCTGGAAAGGTCTCGAGAGCAAGTGCGTCACTGCCGACGAGCTTTAAGAGCGCGTCAAAGAAGGCTCGCCAAAGTTCCGTATTGAATTGATCGGCCTCATCAGGCAAAGGAAGGAACGAGTCGGTCAGGATGCTGAAAATCTTCGTAAGAGCGCGCATCGTGGCCTTGTGATGGTAGATGTGAACACTGAGCCAAGAGCTGGGGAACGCCTCGCAGTCGAGAATGGAGATGTAGACCTGCAGAACGTGGAAGAGAAACTCGGCAGTCTCTTCATTTTGTCTGTCGAGGTGAATCATCGTTGGCAAGCTCGATATGGCTGCAATGATAGCAGAGATCTCGATCAGAGCTTCGTCGAACGTTGCTTCTGTCGTCGTTGGCCTAGCCTGGAATGGATACGTTGTAGGAAATAGGAGCGAAAGATTTTTCTTGGCTGGTCGAGCGGTCGACTGTATTGCTCGGTATGAGTGCACAAGCTTCGGCATGTAGTCACACGCTTCTTGGCCCAGCTCTTCGACTTGTGAGGCGACTACCGAGCAGCACAGGCGTACTTGGTCCTTCCACTGATCTGTGACGTTTTCGACATGGCCCCAGTATGGCGCAAGCCAGGTGACGGTCTTCTTCAGCAAAACCTTGCGGGTATCAGGAGCTTGGAAGATCTGGAGACCGGAGATGTGATGGATCAGAAGGAGTTTGTACAGTACAAGCTTGCCCTGTACGTCAGCGCAGGCTTCGACGAAACCTTCGACCAACTTAAAGATCTCCATGGACGACATGCAGCCTTCCAATTCCGGTAGCCAGGAGTGAAAGTTCTGTACGAGGAGCGTCTTGGTGCCGATGAGTACTGGAGAAGGATTTTCCATCAGCTGTTGGAGAGACCTAAACAGACTCTTGAGTTCCCTGTTAAACTGAGTACGATCCTTAATGCCGATGCTTTCTTCCTTAACCCTCTGCTTCTCTCTTGCGTTGACCAAAAACTTGATAACAAGATTTCCAACTTTAAAGGTCGCTCGTAGACGCCGAGAGCTTTCCGACTCGGCAGGCTTAGCCAACAATCGCCCGAAGCTTTGCGTCAGGCAGGATGTCACGAGTGAGTGGAACACCTTGGTCTTGGCGTACTGGTCGACAAGTGGCTCCAGGTTGAAGCGACGGTCGTGAACGATCCCTAGGACGATCACTACCGCGTTAAAGATGAGATCCTCATACTCGTCACTGCCTGCATAGTGACTTTGAATAGCGAAGAGCGCGTCGAAAACCTCGCTCAGTAGCTTCACGATCTCGATCTCCGGCACGAAGTTGAAGCGACGAAGCAGGCCGACAAGCTCACCTGGAGGTTGGTCTTGCCATTTGATGAGCCCGAGAATGGTAGGATCCTGAGAATACCTGGTACTACACAAGAAGGTCTTGACATGTACAGCAGCCATGGGACCACCCATTACATGCTCGTCCTTCTTCTTTGCGCTCCAGGGTAGCCCCAGGTACGCGCCTTTACCGGCGATCATGCCCGATGTGTACTCGTCGTATCGGTAGAGCGACAGAGCATGGTCACCGTCCCGTACGAAGGCATCCTGACTCCAGAGCGGCATCCAGCATAATGCAAAGGGAAATCCGGGTGCATCTGCTACACTCATGATCAAGTGAGACCCGGGAACGTCCTGTGGGTCGATGGCGAGGCGAACGGTGGCGTTCCAACCTTCTCCTCGCTCTACCGCTGTTGTACGCCATGCAGTATGCCCTGCACTGTTAGTGGAGGGGTATATGCAGCCATCGATCCTCTCTCCTGAACTTTTGCGGACCTCGATGGTTAATTGCAGACTTCCCATTGAAGATGACTGCACGAGGGGTACTGTTCCAGTTTTGGGGTGAGCTAGGAAAGCGTTCTTTGGTAGAAAAGGCTCCGCTAGTGTTACGTAGATGTCACTACGCGGTTTAGTAGGAGCGCCTGAGAATCCTATCTTTCGAGTTTGTTTGATGTTGTGAAGCATTGTGGGTGTCTTTTCGATCAGACTCTCGGCATCTGGATGAACAAATGCTTTGAGGTGAACAGTGAGGCCACTGATATCACCGTTTCTCCTGTATTTTCCGGATGCACTGGGGTAGAGCTCGGTCAAGATGTCGTCCCATCCATTGTCATCATCTGATGTCTCGTCAGATGGGCCAACAATTGACCACAAGGTAACCGCTTGGTCCACTTCCGATACGCTCTTCATGACCTGATTGACGCGAAGAACGCCAACTGCAACGGCCCTCTTGAGAGTCTTATGATCTCTCGAGGGGGTTCTGTTCTTGGTGGCAGCTGAACCTGGACGACCGTCAGAAGCTTGGGATCTCTGTAAGTCAGGACTAGTGTGTCGGCCATCTAAGGAGTCAGTTATTGAGGTGGTGGTGGTGGTGGTGGTAGTGGTCGACCTGGAGGTCGTGGTGGACGAGTCTTTCCTCCTGGGTCCAAACATGGCGCTCCGTCTCCCACCCTTGATGCTTCCATGCTGCGAGGGCTGCACCCCTGCTCCACCTGCAGTGTTGTTGTCCTTTGTAGCGCCCGGTTTCTCCTGTGCCGCGGCACGTACTGGCTCGTTGATCATTAGTCTGAACACAAGATGTATACTTGAGCCAGAGCCAGCACCTTCGCCAATGTCGGTGGAGCTCAGGCCTACGATGAGCGAGCGCAGCTTGTCGCCGGCTAGCGAAACTGACGACCCATCTCGCGCTGTCAAATCAAATGAGTATGCCTCAGAAAGTGGCTGTGGTGCCATGCCCGGCGTCTTGAGACAGAGATACATGCTCACCTGAGCCGCGCCAGGGACGACATCGCCTGCCACACGTCGCAAGCTCACGAAGAGATGGTGCAGGTTGTGCTCATCTGGCTGTGGGACAGGGCGGCTCTCGAGCAAGCTCATCATCGACTGCAGCTTTGTTGTGTCGATTGCGGAGTCGTCTCCAGTCAATATGCGCCCACGCTGTGAGGGACTGCGCACAATGACATCTCCAGACAGCAGTTTGTTCCCTGCCACGAGGTCCCAGACGGTGGCCTCGCGGACCTTATCCAGTTCCTTCGCTGTCAAGACCTTGTGTAGTAGCTGCCGGCGCGCCGTATCGAGTCGGTTGACCAGCGAAGACATGTTGTCCAGCAGTGTGTATCTGCGCGCCAGCAGAAGCTCATGGACCTTGGTCGAGTGCCATTCGCGCAGGCAAGAGGCGATCTCGTCGACGAGAGGCTCTTGCGACGAGGTAGGTGTTTCGTCCCCGATCTTCAGCATGGGTACGGGTGCAGGTGGGCGCGGTGCGGTGGAGTCTGACACGGGTGATAATGGCAGCATGAGTTGCTGCAGGCGGTCCTCTCGAGAGGTCCATTGTGAGCCATGGCTGGCTGTGCGCTTCTTGCTGGATCGCCGCCGTGATAGGGGAAGGTTCGTGGACGACGGCGGAGCTGAGACAACGCCTCCAGAGGTCGCACGCGTGCTCTCGGTGGGGGTGACGACGCCGTTCGTGCCGTGTTCGCCTTGAGCCGACGCGCTGGGCGCTTCGATGGCAGCCGCGCTCTTTCCCTCGCCCAGCACCTCGCGCACCTCGACACAGACGCGGGGGAATATGCCAGAGAAAACGCGCGCCTCGAGCGTCTGGCCCTTCACGCTCGTCAGCCCGGCCAGCAGCGACGGCGGCGCAACCAAGTAGCCGCGGAACCAGGCGCCGTCATTGCCGCCCTGCTCGATGACGTACAGCTCGTCGCCAATCTCGAGGGGCAGGTCGGCAGGCGATGAGGGCTGGAACGGGTGGGTGCATATCGCGAATGCGATTCGCGGGAGCGGTCGCCAGCTCGGCATGGCGCCAGACAGACGTGTCGTGCTATCGAGGGGAGGTTGGGTGAGCGGGCATCACGAGCAATCGCCGTGTGGATGGATCGGGGCGCGGTTCCTGCTATCTGCAGCAGACGTCTTGCTGCCGTGTTTGGAGAGTTTCACCGCCGGCGTGGTGTTGAGGATGCCCCTGATGGGGGACGGAGTTGCTGGGTGGGTCCAAGTTGGGCGGCACCATCTGACAGCAGCAACGACAGCTAGCTACGAAGTACGTCAATTGACTCCGACGGGACGACGGGAGTGTGCGCGGGACAGTCTTGGCCACTGTCAATGCAGAATTCTTACTGCGACGCCTGGCTGCGCGCGCGAAAAGTCACCATCACCTTTCACGCGCTTGTGGCCGTATTCCTGCATGACCTAAGGCGCACAGACAACCTTCAAAGCGTTGCAACGCCAGCATCCCCAGTCTGCTCGGCCTCCGCTCGTCTTTGTTCACCCCACCACTGCCACAGCCATCACGGAACGCAAAGAGCTCAACACGGAATGAAGCACTGGACACTGGCCGATTATCTACCGCCATCGAGGGCTGTCCTTCCATCTTCAACTTCGTCGACAACAACACAAAACGCACGCGCGAGCACGCGTGCACGCGAGTTCATCTCAGCTCGGCTCCGCACCCCTGCCTCTAACGCTGGTTGCACATCTCCCGCGGCTTTATCGACTTCTTATTACCCATGATCTGAATCATGCACCTTCAAAGCCACGTGGCTGGCCTTAGACAAGCCTTCGTACTCACACAAGCCTGCGAAATATGCATCATCATCCTGCTTCCTGAAATCTTTACGGACCGTGCACCTAGTCCCAAAGGGATCGCACAGAGCCAGCAGCAGGGTGAGGGACGCTCTTCGTGTAATCTTGACGGTGACCGAGACTACCTGAGATATCCAGTAGCCGCGCCACTGTTTACCGCAACTCATATAGCCTACAGGCCCCTCAATTTGGTGGAGGAACCACAAGATAATCGGGATTCTGCAAGGGCCCCATCCGATTTTCCAACGTAGAATCATGCCTGCTGCCCGAGGTGCTTGCACTGGATGCTGATTGCAGGTCCTCACGCTCGATCGTTCGTGCGAATATCGACACCCTGTTCCTGGAATCGGGAAGACGAACCGTGCCATCAGGAACCCGTAATGTACCCTCAGGCTTGCTGTTCACCTCGGTCCTATCCTCTCTTTCACTGCGCTCAATTGCCCAAGCCTCTTTCGTATCGTCATACACTGATCTGAACGTGTCCAACACATTTGAGCTCAAGAATGTCAGTTCAACATCTTCAAGCTCGATGCTGTCCGAATCCTCGTGATAGCGCAGCACTTTTGGATCCAGAGGTATTCCTGCTGGGTGGCCAGCCGCACGTTCCTCAAGCGTTGGCCGGAGCCAGGATGCATAGATTGCTTTCGCACCCGCTGACGAGCGCGGTTTAAGATACAGTTTGACATCGGACGAGTCTGATTCGAGCACCCAGTTCACATCAATCCTGATCGTACAAATGAAGCGTGGCTCATGGAGGTAAATACACAGTCGACGTGGAGAGTTTCTCGGGCGAGCCCCATCGAAACCCCGTACAGGTCGTCCTGCTGCGGACTCTTGCGTCCCGCGGAACTCTCTCCTCATCGATTGTCTTAGCACTGCATCCTGTTGTTCAGCCCAAATCTGGACTGTTGCTGAAGTCATGGTAAACATCTTGCTGCTAGCCTCTGCAGGTGCATTGCCACTTGTCGGTCGAATCTTGCGATAGACTCGGTTTAGCGCTGCTACAGCTGAGCTTGCTCTGGTCAGCTTGACTTGGCTTAGCGGAAAGCTGCCAACAATGTGTTGTGAGGTTAGGATAGACTGCACTTGTCGTGCGTCATCGAGCCCAGAGTCTCCATTGAATGCGAACTTGGCGTTGGGAACGACTGAACATCGTTCGGTGCTCATTACCAGGAGGTCTAGCCATGCGTTCGAATCTCGAAACCTAGCCGGATCCCAAAATGCGTAAAGTGGCAGCATCTTGACACTGCTGTGGGGAAGATTGACATCTTGCGGCACGTGTCCTTGACCCCAACAGTGAAGACGCATGAAGTTGGCCTCGCTCTTTAAGATGGCCAGCCTGCATTCCTCCCACTCTCGGTTTGCCGCTGACCAGTGCCAGAGTTCAATTTTACTCAAATCTGGTTCTCCGAGAACATGTTCGCCAGCTTCAGAGATGATCTGATGCGGCCTTTGCTCGATTGCCCCTGCCGAGGCTCGCCTGAGGGCACTCGACAGGATGTCGACCACCATAGAGATACCCACCCTGTCCGCAACTTTCGGTTTCAACATGCGATTGATCAGGCCAAGAATCTTATTCAAAAATGCCTTACTTTCTTCGCTATTAGCGTAGCGCCCATGGCTGCTTTCAAGATTGACCATGAAGGTTTGGATATCTTTCTTGACCATATATGCTCCACTCGGAACTTCTTGGTAGAAGAATCTCTCGTTGCTGTTTCTTGCCCAATGTGGCATGGCGCGACGTGCTTGGTCTAAGCCAACAAAACTACCGGAACCGGTCAAACCAGCGGGACCCAGCACCATGAAGGCAGTCACCTCTAGCATGATACAGCCCAAAGACCAGATGTCGTAGGCGCGACCGAACTCCATGTTCACGTCGTCAATCTCCGGTGGAGCGTATGCATCAGTCCCAAAATGGCCGCCTATTCGAGGTGTTGTGCCCCTTCGACGCTTTGTGAGCGCAGACTGACCGAAATCTGTTATCAACCAGTTCCCATTCTCCCGCTCGATAAGGATGTTATCTGGCTTCAGGTCGAAGTGGATGCACAGTTGTTCGTCCACAGTGCCATTCGACCGGCCATTTCCAAAGCCGTGTATCTTCTTCAATGCTCTGGAGATTCCGAGCAGCTGCTTCCATGCATCTGCCAACTCGAGCCGAGCATCTCTCTTGTCACTGTAGCCGAAATTTCGGTCGCGAAGAAGATGGTCAAGATTTGTCCAGGCTCGAGGAAAGATGAGATTGACGCTGTCACCGTGACCGTAAGCCTTCACGAGTTTTACGATATGGTTATCTGCAAACTGCTGCACGTAGTCGATGTTGGAGTGCTCCAAGTACTGTTTAGGCTGAGACGTCTCGATGCGCTTCCGCACGTACTCAGTCCTTGAACTTGAATGCTGGACTCGTCAGTGCTGGCGAAGTGTTTGCCACCAAGAGAGTACCCACCGGAAAGCGATTGTATTCGCGCTGGATTCTGAAAGCAAACACTTTTCCATTTGCACCCTCTGACGTCAACTGGCCATTCTCATCACGTCTCTGACCTATCTGTTTTTCCTCGATGAAGGGGAAGACGGCCTTCTCGCGATACAACGAAAATCCGTCTGGTCCCAAATGTGGTACTGAGAACTTGGACAGGCTAGAAGTAAATCTCCGCACGAATCTGTCGAACCCCGCTGCGCTGCGCTGCTGGTAATCTCCTGTAAGAGTCCTCAACCGCTCGCGGGAGAAATCGATTGAGCGCGTCACCCAGGATTCCAGGATGTAGTCGTTGCATCTGTTCTCCAGAAAGCCGATGATGAACAAAGGATGTTCTACGAAGACTAGAAGACCAAATACGCTGTAGTAGGTCTTGGTGAGGTCTTTGGGCTCTGATCCACCCATAATCATGTCCACGTAATTCTCTCGGGCGATGCGACTGTTAAACATTCGCGCATCCTCTCTGCATTGCGAACATGCACACAACAGGATCTCTCGGACCTTTTGTTCTTTGAAATAACTTCGCAACCCATCGAGCGGAAAGAAAGATTTTGGGTCTTGTTCAATCTGCAAGTCTTCCACCTTTTCCTTCGCGGTCCTGCACGTCTCTGGCATCGAACCAGATGCAACTGAGTGTATGAATTGTTTCCAGTAAAGTTGAACAGGATTTACCGGATTTCAATGCTGTGGTATCTGTAACAGCTAACCAGCCGTTTGAGCCTGCTGTGAAAGTTCGAGTTCAGGGAATGGGTATGCGGAGTGGGACGGTACAAGGAAAGGGGGCCAGTGGGCTACCGGTATTGTCCGACCAATTGAGGCTGTGAACGTCGCGACTCGCCACCAGATGCAAATTGCAAAAGCCAAAATGAGGCAAATATGGAGGTATCACAGGTGGACTAGATTATTGACGCACGAGCTTATCAATACGGGCGTGCATACATCAAGCACCCGAATGGCGCACCAAGACATTGCTTGAGCCAATCAAGATCAGAATCGCTTCGTCCCTGCCTTGAATGTGCACACCGGTCTCAGTCTCTTCAGTTCCGCGGCCTCGAAGTCCAGCTCAGCGTTTGCTGCCTGGAGAGTGGTCAGACCTTCTCATCTGCAGACTGTGTTTGTGCCTGCCCGCTCCGCCACCACCTTTTCTTTTTTGGGAGATCAAGGCAAAGCCATGCACCAGATGTCAACAAGAGAAGGACCACTGTCAGCACGGCGAATATCCACAGCTCTGATGCGAATTGTAGTGAGGCTCCACGTTTACTCGAATGCACTGTCAAATACCCCATGCTGAGGAATTGCTAGATCGAGTTAGCGATGACCGCAGATGACGCGAAACGACAACAAACACTCACCGACACGAAAGAGGCTGGAAGATAGATGGAGGTAAGCCAGGTGACTTTCTTCAGCGTGGAAGCGTCCTTTTGAGACTTCATCGTCAGCTTGACCATGTTTTTGGTATCGATGTCTGCCAGCCTGGCCATCTCGTTCGAGTTCTCACTACTCGTCTTCAAAGAGTCAAGTCCACGGAAAGAGATGATGTCCTGCATCTGGCGATACGTTAGCGGTGTACTTCCGTGAGATAATCAAGGTTTACCAGAATGGAGCCACTCTTAGTACGTTCCAGCAGATTGTCAACTCGATTTGATTGCAGCTTCAGCTCATCTGCGAAGAGATCAGCCTCCGAACCTAAAGGAAGCTTGTTCTGTAATCTCTGGCAGATTCCACTGTTGCAGCTCAGTATATAATTTGCTGCATTTATACGGTCATGTATGACCTGCACGTCCTGAAAATCAGAGTACTCGATGGCCAGCACTGGCATATGGTCCAGTTTCTTGCGGCCTTCAACGCGAGACACATGCGCTTTGGAAATCTGTCACCATATCAGCTCAGAACTCCGGGCGAACCATTTGGAAAGATTTACGAAGTGAGCCAATTTTGTCTCCCAGAACGTCAGGTACCATCGCCATTGCCAAGTGCAATGAGATAGAGCTAGATGATGTACACTACGCCAGCTTGGGATACTTCCAGTCTTCGTTTGCGCGTCTTTCAAGCGTTTTTGAAAGCTGATCATCGGGTTCAGTAGTATCAATGTATCATTACCAGCCACAGTATCATGTTGGTGATAGACACCTAATTGGCGGATTGACCACGGCTCGTCAGAGTCGTCACGCCCATGACGCTCAACGTTCTTGAGTAGGTAACACGTCTCTGGTCAACATTACTACAGTTTCCGAATGGTGAAGGCTACACTGACCTGATACAGACCCCGCTTGCCAACTATAACAGCCCCCAAGTGAGTCGCTTGTTTCCGAGGTTGACTTCCCGAAAGCACAGAGGACATCAATGAATGCAGGAAATATGTTCAAATGGTGAATGAGTCGACGCAGGGCACATTCAGAGATAGTCAAGCGTCCCCAAGAGTAAAGCTGCGGTATTAATCTATTCTGGTAAGAACGTTGCGGCCAACAGGGAATTTGCGACTTGCATTATACGTGTACCTTGGAATCGACTTGTCTCAAGGTACGTCTCAAATTGGTCAACCAACGTGAACACCCAGTCTGCAGCCAAATTGCGTCAACACAATCCCAGCGTCCTGCTCTGGTCATTACCTTTGTTACCAACTTCCACCACCTTGATTTGTAATTCATCGTCAGAGACTAAGGTGCGCTCTGAATTTTCCCGCAAGAGATTCTCAAAGTGACTGGTGTCGAAGATGTACGGGTCGCAGGCATGGTCAGACAAGGATTCGTATTGGGAATGCTTCGCCATGATCGAAAGTTGAATGCAAGAAATCGCTGAGGAGTGCAGAGCGACGTCAAGTTATGACAGCTGAATATTGAGTTTGCGATCACTTTCTATGACCTACGGAAGGGTTGGTCGTAACAGTGATCATAACGTTTCAGCGCTTGGCGTGGCTGCACACTCGCCGAGGCATTCTTGGGCTGTGCGCAGACCAAATGGCCGTCAAGGGTGGCTTTGATTTCTCGCTTCTAGACAAACAAGGACTGGTGGTCGGTGCTGTAACTTCGATCCTGCAGCTGATCGAGCTCAGCCTGTTGCTGTTAGCCTAGTCGCTTTACAAGGTCCCCGCATTCCTAGCGCTTACCTCTGTCAACACACGCCAGGCCGTGAACGAGATCTTGTTGTCTCGGGCTTTCTACCTTGTGTCAATGCAAGTGTTTGTCACAGTCGCTAAGACTTACCACGTAGGTCCATTGAGCCCCAAATTCACTCACTCGAGCATTAACGTAGTCTTCAAAGACCCTGTTCTTGATATATCTCCTCATGATTAGCAAAGCATACTAAGAAGCAAGGTAGTATCTGATACCTTCGACTGATTACCTGCACATTGTATTCGCGCACAACAGTATCTGCCATGGTGCCTCCAAACTCGTTGGGAATACGACTAGGCTGAGCTGAGCTGAACTGAGGTCTATAATATGTGACGACGAATACCGATGGGTCTGCTTTTAAGCCCGGCGTAATGCAGGGCAGTTGTAAGCTGACCGATGAAGGGCCTGTATCGGGAGGCATCGATTCACGAGCGGCCTCTTCATTTGGACTTGCGCCAACGCGTATGCCCAGCGATTTGTGTTGTTTGTGGCTGCCTATTGGCGTGCCTGCCTTCAGAAGTATTACGCGAAGTGTGGGCGCATAACGTGGACTGCGGACCTTCTGGTGGGGGCTGAGTACAAGGAACATCAAGCCTTGGAGGTCCTGCCAGCAAATCATGTTCGCCTTATGAATTGCTTTGCCTTGCGCAGTCACAAAGTGGCACAGTATCTATGCTTCCGAAAATTGTACAAATCCCTGAATTTGTTCAAAGTGGTGAAATTTGTCGACCGTGAGTGAGCCATAAACGCAAGGCTGAGGCTAACGAAGCAGTGACTGATAATTGGACAGAACATCTGACAGCCGGTTACAGGTTCAGAGCATCGCTGGTATCTTTGCCTCGAACCAAACACATTTTCATAAACAGTGGACGTCAACTACAGCATGTCGCTCGCACCAGGTCGCAATAAGTATTCTACGACGTCAGCAGACTATGAGCTTGGCCGTCTCCATCGGCAACAAAGTGCAAACGAATCATCAGTGCGGTCAAAGTCAGCACCTGGATCTCGCAACAACTTTGCCCACGATGAACCCAGCCCGGGTCCTAGTTCCATGCACCCCTCCATGGATGGAAACTCGCAGAACACAATTATGTCGACTGACGTATTCAAGACCAAGGCAGAGATTCGTGTACCCCCTGATCTCAACCCGGAACAGGAGAATGCTCGAACAAACTCAGATCGCTCAAGCAATCCCAATGGCAATCAGAGAGCTCAGCGTCGTCACTTTAACGAGCATGAGCTACCGGCTCCTAGCACAAAACTCACCATCCTGGACGTTGCTGCACTCATATTGAATAAGCAGATCGGCACTGGCATCTTCACAACACCCGGAGCAGTATTGTTGTCAACCGGATCGAAAGGACTAAGCGTCGCTCTGTGGACGATTGGCGGATTTTGGACCTTGATATTTCTCCTCATCTACCTTGAGTTCGGTGATGCCTTCCCATATAACGGCGGTGAGTTGGTGTATCTTGATGAGATCTACCGCCAGCCTGAGCTTCTGGCTACGATTCTATTCTCTGGTTTCTTTCTCATGCTCGCGAATTCCTATGGAAATAGCACCCAATTCGCCAAACATGTCCTCGTTGCAACTTTTCCAGACTTGACAGATAGCACGCAACTGGATCCTCGACTTATTAGGTACATCGCCATCTCGGTGATTACATTCGTCTGTCTGATCCACTGGCATTCAAGCAGAGCGGGGCTATTTCTCAACAAACTTGTGGCATGGTACAAGATTATCCTTTTGCTCGCCGTTTTCGTCTCGGGAATGGCCAAGAGTAGTGGCAAGAGGTCAGAGTGGGCCGACTCTGGGAGTGGTGGATCAGCTGCTGACGGCATGACCGGCATGGTGTTGATATTCTACTCTTATCAAGGTACGTGACCCAGCAGAGTTGTAGGAGCACTGCTGACCAGTTGCAAAGGCTGGGAGAATGCCAATTATGTAAGGAATACGAGATACATAAGATTTTGAGTATAAGCTAAACTGATGTAGGTGGCCGGGGAAATCCGTGCTTCAGACCGTACAACATCTAAAAGAACCCTCAACATCGGTGCCACACTAGGTGTGACAGCTACTTGGATCCTCTACGTTCTCGTAACTGTAGCTATCGTAGGGTGCCAAAACAACTCGATAGTTTAGCTTGCATCGCTGACGCATGACCAGTATCGTGTCTTGTCATATGAGGATTTGACTGGGCCGCATTCAGATCTCGCCGTAGCGCTCAAATTTGCGCCCAAAGTGTTTGGAGGCGCCACAGGCCTGAAAATTTGTATGGCAATATCTGCCTTTGGCAATGTTCTTGCGGTCACGTACACTGCGTCAAAAGGTCAAACTTCCGCTTGTTTGTCGGCCGTGGCTTTCTCACTGACGAGCAATAGTCAAACAATCCATCGCCATACAAAGGATACTGCCATTTTGGCAATATTTGAAGGAAGATGATCATACCCCAAAAGGCGCTTTGGCACTGCATTGGATTACGTCTGTTATCTTTCTAGTCGCAGCACCCGTGAGCGCGGATGGGTATAGCTTTGCCGTAGGGTTCTACACCTACGGACATATACTGTTCAGCGGTAAGGTTTCTCACGAGTAACAGTAGCAATTAGCTAACCCATGGTTCAGTTTTTGTTGCCCTTGGATTGATAAAACTCCAAAAGCGAATCAGAAGCTCCGAAGAGCCTGAACACCATAGTTGGAACTACACCTTCTTCCAGTCCAGAGCCTTGTTGTACACGTTTCCCATCATCTTCGCTCTTGGAAATGTTGCCATCTTAGTCTTCTCCGGCAAGACGCACAATAAAGGCAAAATACCTCGATGGTGGTGGCCGATAGTGACCCTGATCATTTTGTTCGCAAGCGCACTGTACTGGGCTGGAATGCGAATACTGAGAATCGAAACCAAGACAATGAACCCTAGCGGTCAACCAAGGACTGTTGGTGACATTGTTGGACTGAGTGTTCGAATTTATCAAGGTAGCGAGAACCTTCCGCAAGAACTAGGACAGGATGTTGGTGAGAAGCTGGCTGCCAAACTGGACGGAAGTCGACGACGTGTAGTCACCACCACAAGCGGCTGGCTTGCTAGCTTGTGCAACTTACTTGACAAGTTTGGAAAGTTTGTTGGTAAGAAGCTGTTCTAGTCTGCGCTATTCATTGTATAACATGGAGTATTTTATCAACAATTTGGATATGAAAATCACAGCTTGGTTCTCTCCAAATATTTGTCTGTGTTTGACATCTTCTACGATAATCTATAGTTATGTCGCTACGAGTTATGCTAATGTACCTGTAATAATGTTTAAAATCGGCTTGTCTATTATGATAGTCGGAAACCAATGATTGAAGCTAAAATCAAAAATCGTTGTCTCCCAAGATTAACTATGATGAGACACTAGGGGCCGACAGTTTATTCTCGGTCCATTATTTGGTTGAGTCATCTCGCATAGTATGTAGGCGTACGAATGTTTGTTTTGGTACAAACTCGTGCATGAGCCGAGGATGTTCAGGGACGGGTAGATCTTCATTCACCTGCAAAATGACTCTGCCCACGGATCTGTGTCGTTCACCGATCTCTAGCCCTACAGTGTATTCGCATCTCCCATGCTGCAATGCCCGCGCGCTACCATATGCTTGTCCGTTGAAAGGGAATGTCGCTCCGCCTTTAATGGCCATCATTGATACCACTGAAAAGGGCCACATGGATACTGACCGGGCAATAATTAGCACACTGTCAGTTTCGGCAAAGCACCCGTTTGTCAGGCCATAAATAAATTCGAAGGTAAACTCTGCTTGCGTCCCGACACAGCAATACTGCTCCAGTCCTTTATAGCCTTATCAGATCCTTCATGGTAGTGGAGTTGTGGCCCGTATGCTATTGGCCTGCAAAAGAAGGCAACAATAAAGATGACCGCACGACCCACGTGCCCAGCTACGCTGCGAACCACGTCAAATGCAGTCTAGACTGCATGCGCAGTCCAGCTTGCTCGAATCATCGTTTGACCGCAGTTGCCGCGCGTTGATCAGCTGAGCGGTAGTCGTTGGGCACAGATGTGAGGTCTTCAAACATACTTGAGAGTGTGCTCCTGCCCCGCGTCTGACCGTCGATTGTGCGGCTGATCGGGCAGTAGCACCGTCATATTATGTGCCGTACATCACCATGAGGCATGCGTCAGCTTCTAACCCACCAAGCTCACACCTGTTCCATACTCCAACCTCAAGTAGCTGCGCTGCCACCTATGGCATTATGCGGCTGATTCGACGCCAGCACGACGGCGAATTCGAGTTCACGAGATATCTGGGCGAAGATGAACTCTTAAGGTATCCATACGCTATTCTTTCGCACACCTGGCTTCTCAGCAACAGGCATGAGGTCACATATGAGGATTTCGTAAAGGGACAACAAGAAAACAAGCCTATCGGCTACGCCAAGATACGTTTCTGCGCAGAAAAAGCAGCTGCAGATGGCCTGGAGTATTTTTGGGTGGACACCTGCTGCATCAACAAGGCCAACAGCGAAGAGCTATATGAGGCAATCACGAAAATGTTTTCTTGGTACAGAAAAGCCTCGAAATGCTACGCATACTTGTCAGATGTGTCTGCTCAGGACTCCTTCGATCCGGTAGTATCTGAACTACTTAGTACACATGCTTGGGAACCAGCATTTCGCGGTAGCCGATGGTTTAACCGCGGCTGGACATTGCAGGAGCTTTTAGCTCCACCCTCAGTTGAGTTCTACTCGGCTGAAGGTATACATCTGGGAGATAGGGCATCTCTCGAGCAATGTATCTATGAAATCACCGGAATACCTCGTGAAGCGCTTCACGGACGCAATCTATCCCGGTTCACTGTCGAGGAGCGAATGAGGTGGTCTAAAGACCGGGAGACGAAGCGCAAAGAGGACAAGGCTTATTGCCTGCTCGGAATCTTCGATGTCTTCATGATTCATATGTACGGCGAGGGGGAACACAATGCGTTCGATCGACTCCGTGTCGAAATTGGCAAGAAGCAGGCGGAGATTACTCGACAAGATCATATCATAGCGGCCTTGCCATTCGCTTCTGGAGCAGCATTCGATTCGCACAACAACGAACACCAACCAAAGTGTCTCCCGCGCACACGTACAGAAATTCTAGAAGAGATCGATAAATGGGTCAATACGGTTGATCAAAGATGCATGTGCTGGCTGAACAGCGTGGCTGGCTCGGGAAAGTCTACTATCGCTAGAACACTCGCGACTCACTACGATAGTTCGGGCAAGCTAGGAGCTAGCTTCTTTTTTTCGAGAGACAGCGGAGACCTCAGCAATTCGATACGATTCGTGACAAGTCTAGCTCGACAGTTGGCGACTAATGTACCGAGCGTCAAACGCTATATTTGCCAGGCACTATCGGAGCAAAGAAGCATATCAGACCTGTCTCTACGCGAGCAATGGAGTCGTCTCATCTTGAAACCTCTGTCTGAGCTGGAAAGGAAGATATGTCCTTGTCCTCTGGTATTTGTCATCGACGCGCTGGATGAATGCGACAACGATAGAGACGCGAGAGAGATCTTTAAGGTACTCGCTACGGCCAAGACGCTAATCAACGTTCGTCTACGAATCTTCATCTCGAGCCGGCCAGAGCTACCAAAACAGTCAGGCTTCAAGAGTATGCCGGAGCTGCAACGACACACTCTTATTTTGCAAGAAGAGCCGCGGACTCGGGTAAACAGGGACATCAAGCTGTTGTTCGAAAGCTACTTCCAGACCATACGGCAAGAATGCGGTCTATCTGACGAATGGCCTGAGTCAAGTGTCGTAAAGGCCTTGGTGGATAGGTCAGGTGGCCTGTTCGCCTGGGCCTCGACAGCATGTCGGTTCATCCAAGAAAGTCCACAGCAGTCACAGAAACATATATCGATGCTGCTAGAAAGAGATCAGTCATGTGTAAACGCTAAACGACAATTGGATCAACTTTATTCAATTGTTCTGCGAAGTGCTATCTCAAGGCAGACAAGCACATCGTCAAACCTGAGCGCAATCATAGGGCCAATCGTCGTGCTTTGCTCGCCGCTTTCCATTGAGGCATTGGCGAAATTACTCGACAGGTCCTTGAGCGACGTGCAGGCAACACTGGCCAGTCTGAGATCGATATTTCGCCTTCCGACTCAAGTTTCTGCACCCATTAGGCTCCACCACACAACGTTTCGCGACTATCTTCTGAATGAGGCTCAATGCACCGTACCAAGCATTTGGATTGACCAGCCCGAGATACACAAGCGATTAGCCGACAGCTGTGTCGATCATATGTCACGAGAGCTACCATTGGCCTTTTTGCAGTTCTCGGGTTCCCACTTCGCGTATGGCAGTATCCATAACGTTCCCGCAGCTGTTGTCTCTCCTGCGCTTCACTATGCGTGTCTTCACTGGATCGAACACTATCGAAGAGGCAGAGCACAGCTCCGTGACAGGGAAAGGGCTCATACGTTTATCGAAAATTCTTTTCACCTTTGGGTTCAAGCCATGAACCTGATAGGAAAAGGCCCAGAGACAGGTACACTACTCAGGATATATCAGTCGCTGCTCACTGTACGTAATAATTCTGTCAGCTCTGTGCGAGAATGTGCTGACCAGAATGGTGTATAGTCTGCTCTGAACGAGCGGCAACTGAAGATGATTGTGATTGCCAGACAGTGTCTCGTTGCCTTGCAACCAGCTGTTCGACGGATGACCGACCAAAATGAACCCTTGGTTACGGTCTCTCCTCCTCTGACCCTGGAGGCATTCGAAAAGCTTAAACCTTCGTCGTGGCATCTTGGTTTGCAAAATGCCGAGGCGAGTACCAACAGCTGGAAAGACATAAAGGACAACAACAACTACGTCAATGATGTTTCCTTTACGCCAGATGGCACACAAATAGCTTCAGGGTCAAACAGCGAGGTAATACGACTCTGGTATGTCAATTCGATGAAAACTGTCCGCATGCTTGAAGACAACTTCACGGAGAAGGTTAGCTCCGTCCGCATATCCCCCGACGGCACCAAATTGGCCGCAGGCTCCGATGATTCCACTCTCAAACTATGGGATCTCGAAACCGGTAAGGTTCTTCAAACTCTTGAGCCAAAAGCGGGCTGGGTCAACTCTGTTCAATTTGCGCCAAGTGGAAACATTTTGGCTTCAGGCTCGATGGAAGGAAAGATTGTATTGTGGGACACTGCAACGGGTCAGAAGCGTACAGACTTCGATAATCAGGGCAGATGTGTCAATAGTGTGAGCTTTTCTCCAGATGGCTCCCTGTTAGTCACTGGCTCCGATGACGATGTGGTCAGACTCTGGACCGTTTGTGATGAATTAGTAGAATTCCAAATGGCTCTTGATGGGAATAATGGACAGTCCATCAACGCTGTCGAGTTCTCCCCGGACGGAACCCATGTCCTCTTTGGATCGGACGACACTACGATGAAGCTGTGGAACATCACTACTGGCAAGCAGACAGTATTTCGTGGGCACAGAAAGAAGGTCACCAGCGTCTCATTTTGCCCAAACCTTCGGGTCGTAGCATCTGGCTCTGAGGACATGACTATCAGAGTGTGGGATGTATTGAACGGAGATCAGTTGCGGACGCTTCGAGACCACAAGAGCGGCCTTAATGCAGTTGCCTTTTCTGCAGACGGGAAACTACTGGCTTCCAGCTCGTTTGACGATGAAGTTAGACTTTGGGAGACCAAGACCTGGAGCTCTACACTTGCGTCAAACGACAACACTTACTCTCTCTGCTGAATTCAAAGTCGACACATTGGCGGCTTTGAACCTGCTTCAGATGGCAGTGGGCGTGTAGAACACGGACAACCAGTCGAATTACGCCGACGACCTCCATTTCCCTGTTTCAATCTCGTTGCGTCGCTACTTCTGCTGATTATCTAGTATAAAGTACGAGCTGACCGCCTTCGTCAGTTTCGAGGATCCCGCATGTTTCCTCTTTGTCGCACATACTCTATACTGCTGAAGGTCAGACTTGGTGCAAGACAAGTAGCGCAAATTGTTAAAGTACGGCGTCTGGCTGTCCTTACATTATTCTTTAGGAGATACGTCACGCATCTTTCTTACGAGATAGGTCATTGGCTCGTTCACCATGGTATCGCGGAGCCTATTTGTCCGTTCTCTATGGCTTCATTTCGTTGGGAGAAATGAGGTATCACACGCGAAACCGGTGGCCTTCCTCTGTTCTATTGATTCTTTGCATTGAATCATTGTCGTGATTCATGGACAGGGCATTGGTTACGTGAGATCAGTTCAGATATCGACAAGATGATTTGAAATATTTGTATATGTGTTACAGTCCTTTTGGCACATTGACTGTTGAAGAAGTCGTGATTGACCCGTCTGCATTGTAAATTGCTTTCGCGACTGCTCCAACGATATCATGATAGTACATCCACGACTCTGAAGCATTTGCTATCCTTGTTATCCGCGCTTCGATTTCCTCATCGATAGGTAAGCGGCTGTCTTTCAAGGCACTTTTGATAGCTGCAAACTTGTCCATGGTCGCGTAAAGTCGCTTATAATAGGGTGACCTGATGGAGTTGTACAAACTGAGTGCGTCGGCTATGGGTATATCTGAGCGGTACGCCCAAGCTAGACTTTCAGTCAACGTGTACACATCCTCCAGTGCAAATCCTGCACCCGCACCAAAGTTGCCGCACAGTGCGTGAGCGGCGTCTCCGATGAGGGCAATATTGCCGCCGAAAGCCATGCTACGAGAACGAGGCCCTGAAAGTAAGGCAAATTCCTGTGTCTCCCCTTTTGCAGCAACGCGAAGGATGTGCTGAACTGGTTCGCAGAAATCCGTGAATTCGTGGAGAAGGTTATCAAACTTGTAAGGTCGACCCCAGCTGACCTGGCCCTCTCCATTCTTTGGTTGGCGGATGCGTGCTGTCACCTCGAAGTCATCGTTGCCTAGTGGGCATGTATAGACATACAAGCCGCTCTTGTGCTTCCAGAAGACAGGGGCCCACGGTATGCCCTTGATCTGTTGAGCATCGGCTTTCCTAATAACCGTGCGATATACGCACTGTCCACTGTAATGTAGAGTCTCGCCTGGAAAACAGGCCTCTCGAATGGACTACGAAGAATTCAGAGTTAGCTTCAAGGGAACCTTCTTGATAGCGGATCTTACTGATCTGATGCCATCAGCGCCAATCAAGAGATCGACCTCATCTTCATGGCCATCATTGAAGAACAAAAGAATCCGGCCGTTCGAAGTTTGCTCGAGCCTGTCAAGCCTCTTGCCGACATGAACACGGGTTTGATCGACGCCTTTTAGCAAAGCAGCTTGTAGCTTAGATCGCGTGAGACGACAGGTCTGATGTTTGGGAGGTACATCGAGTAGGGACTCTGTAGCGCGAATTAAGTCTCCGCTCCTGCCGTTTCTAGTAAAATCAGTACAAACGTCGCAGTGAATCTCGACTTCATGACACTGACCGTCTCTGCTCAACTTGTCCGTCCGAAGGTCTGAAGAAGTCGTCGCAATTGATGTGTTGAGACACGTTGTTCAAATCAAGTAACCTCCAGGTGTGCGGCTGTAACGAAATCCCACCTCCTGTCTCGCTGATTTGGGGTTTCTTCTCATACAAGTCCCAGTGAACGAAGGAAAGGCGGGACAGCTCAAGCGCAGCGCCAAGACCTCCGGGTCCTCCACCTATTATGGCGACTCTCACAGTCTTGTTGTACTTCTCCGCACCCATCTCAATACTTCCAGAATATCAGCATAATCCCTTCCTTCTTCTGTGATCTATATATAGTTTGGCTGCAGTCCGTGCACGCGACGCGTTAGGTACCGTGTTCGTGCGCGCAATGCACGCGGTCGCGCAATGCACGATATCCTCAAAATAGGCTACTTTTTCAACGCGTCACAACACAACAACTTGACTCCAACTGAAGCTGCGCTTGCGCATATAAATGCACTTAAACCTAGAGAGAAACTTGTCTATTAAAAAATTGCAGATTAATACAGTTGCAGTTAGTCAACGTTGTCGCGGAGGCACTGGCAGCAGACAACGTCGCGTGCAGTCAAGGACTCTAAGCAGCACAAACTCAACCTACAACAAGAGGCAGAGCTTGTAAAGTATATACAAGAACTCACTACCCGTCGCTTACCACCTACAAGAGAGATGATACAAAATTTCGCCTCTGCTGTAGCGCAGGAGACGCTCTCTGATAGCTGGGTCACTCGCTTCCTCCACCGTCACAACAACTGCCTCCTGCCACGTTGGGCCTCCGCTATGGACTCTAATTGCCACTACGCCGAGTCATATACTAAGTATAAACAGTACTTTGATATACTCTACTCTAAGATTGATAAGTACAACGTAGAGCCAGAAAACACATACAATATGGACGAGAAGGGCTTTATGATAGGGGTCATTGGGAGGTCAAAAAGAGTATTCAACAAGCGTCAATATGAGAGGAAGGAGGTGCGGCAGTCTATACAAGCTAGTAACTGGGAGTGGGTGACAGTGCTAGCTTGTGTATGTGCTGATGGGAGTGCTTTACCACCTGGTATTATATATGAGGCAGCTGGGCCAGCTATACAATCAAGCTGGGTGGACGATATCAAACCAGAACAGCACTTAGCACACTTCACTACATCCCCTACAGGCTGGACAAACAATAACGTTGGCCTTGCCTAGCTTGAACAGGTGTTTGATTGCTATACTAAGCAGAAATCACGTGTGCAGTACTGGCTCTTAGTTGTAGATGGCCATGGCTCCCATATAACGATGGAGTTTATCAAGTGCTGTGATAATCATCGAATTCTGCTGGCTATACTGCCCCCGCACTCAACCCAGACTCTCCAGCCGTTGGACGTAGTCTGCTTCGCCCCACTGGCTCATTTCTATACTATTGAGCTCACTGAGTACCTACAGCAAAGCCTAGGGTGGCTCCTAGTCAAGAAAGGTGACTTCTTTCTACTATTCTGGCGTGCTTGGGTGAAGAGCTTTACAGAGAGTACTGTATTGAGCTCCTTCAGAGTTACTGGGATATGCCCACCTGATAGCAGCCAAGTACTTGATCGCTTCACCCACGGAACCCCTGAGGCAGCTGAGAGCTCTGATTCGCCTACTTCTGTGTATAGCGGTGACGACTGGGTCAAAGTCCAGAGTCTTATCAAGGCTGCAGTGAAGGACAACAATAGTAGAGAGACCCGGAAGCTTCATCGGACTCTCCACCATCTATCAGTGCAGAATCAGCTTATACACCATAAGCTGCAGGGCCTTAAGGAGGCTGTAAAGACCAAGAACAAGCACAACAAGAAGCCTAAAGTACTGCCTCTGCAGCGGGAGCAGGAATATCGGAGTGAAGTGATTTTCTGGTCACCTACCAAGCGACGTGAGGCAGAGGAGCGTTATCAGCTATAACAACAACAGGAGGAAAGAGAAGAGCTTGCAAAAGTAGAGCAGCGGCAAGCACGCGATAAGAAGAAGCAGGCACAGGAGGGAGAGAAGGAGGAGAGGCGTGTGGCGCGAGAGGAGAGGAAGAAGGTGCAGGAGAAGGAGAGAGCTGAACAGGCAGCTGAAAAACAACGTCAGAAAGACGCCCACAACGCTGCCAAACCTATACAGTTATCTCAAACAGGCAATAAGAGAGCCTCATTACTATCTACACAAAAGAGCAAGCGTCAAAAACGTGTGGTGGATGCCGTGGGTGGTGCTTAAGCCCAGGAGGCCTCCTCAAGCCAACCACCCGTCACGACGTCACGCGGCCGCAGCGTCAGACTGCCAAGTAAATTCAAATAGTATAAATTAATCGCCATACTTCAATTACTACTACACCACAATATTATATATTTACCATTTGTGGGTGGCTGTAGAGCCTCATTTTTGTGAACCCGTTGGGCGCAAAAATCGTGCATTGCGCGACCGCGTGCATTGCGCGCACGGACACGGTAGCGTGCACGGCCTCGTTGTGCACCGCGGCGCGTAATGCACCAACATCAACATTGACGCGTACTTTGTACCCCCCTATAACTCAACACCACGAT